TTCCGTGGAACACATTTTAAGAAACGCTGATTCAGATAATTAATAGGCCCATCGTCATAGCAATGATACGGTGATGTCATTCTCGTCATGGTAAATTTTTGTTTAATTAATCATTATCCGACATTGAATACATATATATAGAGTAGACTATCAAACTGCAAATGTTGTAATAACCTAAGTCATAGATAGACTCGTGAGTCGTGATTATCACACGGTTCACCACGCCATTACCTCATTGTCGACTTGGTACATATAAGTGAACAAATACAATCAGATACTTATTACTTATCGATTTTAATCGGTAAGTATGTTGATAGGTATTTGTCTGTATGTATGTCTGTCTGTCTGTTAGATGCACGCGATATCTCACGAAAGCGAGTTTGAATCTGCTCCAGATTTTGCATGTACGTTTATCATATCTCGGACCAGAAGCCTATCAATTTTGAGCGAATTATGTCGTATAATTAGAGAGTTATTAAATAATTAGTGATGGGACGCAAGGTGTCACTGTGGAGTAAGAGTGCTGTTTGGGGAGATCCCCTAACTTTCAATCGATAAGTCTTCGGTCTCTGACCGATAATCTCGTGTATTTGTTATTCAGTCTCACTATGTGATAGTGTTCCATAGGATAAACAAACTGCACACTGCGTGTTTGGCATAATGCACATCAGCACACATTAATTTATTTATAATCTGTAGTCGTTCTACGGCTAGTAAAGCACGAACGCTAGAGTGCTCTATACTTCTATAGTATACCATGTTTGAATAATGAAAGTATTATTATAGATGATCGTCATTCAGTCGGCAGAGTCGTCTTTCAAAATGACATAATATAATTAAGGCCGCCAAACCTATAGAAATGCTATAAATTCCAACATAATCACAGAGAAAATGTTTTGAATTAGTAGTCCTTTTTATATATTTATATTAGCTAATGGTAAATGGGAATATATTTAAAATAATACCGAAATGTTTTTATAGAATACCTGTTTTAGAGTTGAAAGTGAAGCGTCTATGATTTTTGTACAATGCATACAAAATCTTTTTAGTGAACATGATACGGATTGTAGACTACAAAAATGCTATCGCAAAAGTTGCTTCCTATCTAGTAAATTTTTAAAAAGAAAACTATATGTAAAAGGTTATTCGTGATGAAATTGAACATCTTATATGAACTTGTCAATTTTGAACGATGTTGGGGCGTTGTGGGTAAGCCGGTATTTGTCAAAAAATGCATTGTCACTCCTCTGAAGCAGAAAATATATTTGTTTTACTCAAGTAGCAAACAGTGTTTGGACAAAAAAGAAATGTGCAACACATCATCCATTATAATACTCTTTGAACATAAGAATCATTGTGAGATTACGCATGATCTGTAGATAGTAGTACTTGGACTATCATAAATGCGAATGTAAATTATGCGATGACAAAATAAATATGAATAAACAATATTCCATCGTCAGTTACGCAATTTGCAAAGTGTTTATTATTTCTATTTTCCATATTGGGCGTGCATTAGTTTTGCATTTATATAATCAAGCAACATATGCGCTCAAAGAACACAATTTATCTCACATCCGCATTTGATCAATTTAGATCCGTTTAATCATGAGAAACTTTTTTGAAACGCCGTATGTACAAATAATCATTTAAAATCAGAATGTGGTCGAGCCTTTGGTAAACAATATTACAATACAAAACCAAATGTCATATTGTTTTATCGGACAGTTGTACAGAGCTGCATGCACTTAAAACAATTATTCGTACAATACGCATTATTTCAGGACTGCTAAATAATTTGAAGATAAGTGACACAGGGAATTCGTACTTGAAATTATATATTATTATTACAGGTAATTCAGCTTTTATTATGGGGTTCGTGACCTTGATTTTAGCAAACTTGCATGATTAGGCATAATAGGTAAATTCACAAAAAAAGTTCTATTCCGTTCTGAAGCAGTGAGTTAAAAATTTCCTGGTAGAGATTGCTGTTTCTCTTTCTGTGGCAGTCATGAACGCAAGTTATGAACTTCCGATTTACAAAAGAATTGTTTTCCTAATCATCAATTCTGATGAAACCAGTTTGCAAACTTTGTATCAGGCTGCTGAAGATTTAAAATTCTGCCTCGGCATTTTGTAACACTTTAATTATGGAGTGCCGTTGGCCATACCCTGCACTTATTTGCGCCTGACAATATTAGAGACGTTTTTAGCGATTTTATGTAGATGGAATTACTATATGTAGTACATATACGGGTGTATGTACAATACAGCTCTAATTCAATTTCCTTTTTAACCGTGTTTGTTTGACTCTTGACTAATAGGACTTAGAAGTAAACTAGAATTGAAATTTAAAATAACATAATCTCATTCGAGGCCACATATTCGAGTATCACCGATAGATTTATAGTTTCGTAATATGGACACAGTATTTGCAGTAAACCGGGTGCGGTTAACTACCATTGTAAAAACTAGTATTGGCTTGTACGATATTTGTTTATCTCAAATATTCAGCGTTGATATATATATATAACAAATGCTGCAGACTCAGGTAAGTTTGAGTGCCTAACTACATTTGCAACATAACTACCTAGCAATCCTATTAGCTATATGTCAAGGGTGGCCAACCTGCTTTCGACTGCGATCGACCAAATTCTTCAAAATAGATCGCGATCGATTGAGCGGTAATAAGGTCCTACACAAAAACAAATAGGCACTTAATGTGCAGATAACTGCACACACGCATACAAAAAATAAATTCCACCGCTGCCCATTAGAAGTCTCCGTGGGCACATTATTATTAGAATCGACACAAAATTTGTATTTTTTATGTTCCATTTAAGTTGTTGATTTGATTATTTAATTGTACCCGGAGTAAATGTTTCATTATTTATTTAAGATTTATTTAAATAATACAATCCAGACAAAGGTCCTGCTCAATTTTTAGTCGTAAGTGTTGAAAATCGCATAATGCAGAAGTTACTGTAGGATCGTTTGTCAGTCTAGTATTCGACACTTCATTTTTGAACCTTGGCAGCGTAAAAACTTGCGTTTGTTACGTATTAATATTCTTTATCGGGCTTGCCCAGACTCAAATACTTTATGTTATGTGTATATTGTATTTTGCGCATATACAGTGCTGTATTCTCCCTGTTGTAAAACACACAACTGGTTCGAGGCAATTTTCGGGGTTATTTTAATAAAATTCAATCAACATCAGACGCGATCGACTGCTCGTGACGTGACGATCGACCGGTCGATTGCGATCGACGTGTTGGCCGGGTCTGCTATATGTGAAAAGATTCTGATAGCGTATATACTGCCTATAAAGCTGAGGAGGGTGATCTTTGATAAAAAATCGAAAAGTTTGATGGTCGTAGTAAATAGGTGCGTTTTTTCATCTTTTTTTTTATGACGGAATTTGCCCTAAGCAAGGACACTCACTTAGAAATATAGCTGGATGATCTCCTTATAGTTTAGAATTGCGAGTCAGCATATTCCGGAAGTTTTCAAATGTATAATTATATCCGCAAAATAAGCACAGCGACGCAACATTTATTCTATGAGAAAGAGTCTGCAGTTTGGGTGCCAATTGGAAATCAGTGAAATTTGATACTTTAAAAAAAATGAGGTGTAATTCCAGTCCAAACATGACAGCAATACTCAATGTATGAGCGTATCAGTGATTTGTATAAGTGGGGTATGCACTCACGGAACAAAGATCGATCGAGTTTGGTAAAGATATTCAACTTTGTGTTTACTTTTATAGTAATTTTGTGATTAATGACTAAAATGCGATTAATGTACTTTCAACATTTTTATCCCACCGACTTATTACCATTTACCTCTGGTAATTTAGACACAGTTGAGAATAGATTGAAATTAGTGGATTATGAAGGTGGTAGCATGGTAGCATATGAAGCAGAACGTAGAACAAGATCGGTAAATCCTCTATCAGTCGATTTCAATTTCATCTATTACTAGGTTTATATTTGAAAGTTGTCGATAATTTCATCTAAAATTGTATTACCTAACTGTTTGTTTGACATGTAATCTTGAGTCCTGATATCTAACTAACAATATCTGGTTGATCAAGTTATTTTACTCCGAGGTTGAGATTTCAGAATATAACTGGGTTCTGGATTTCAAACCAGGTTTGCGTTTAAAAGTAGATCCTCATACAATATTTATTGTCATTGTGTAATTATTGTCATTGATATAGTTTATACACAAGAATCAGGCAAAAATTTCGGTCTTTGTCTATTCAATCATTCAAATGTGGCTGATCCCACCATCGTTAAAACACGTTTACATCAAAAAGAAAGAGACAGTTTTGTAAATTTGTGCGTAGTAAATCCCATCATTAGTATTATATTGTTTGCATACGAAACTTAAAAATGATTCGAAACTGTCTTTTTTAAAAACTTGACTATCCCTTTTACTGTGTCATGAATGAAAGGAAGAATCAAACGACTGAGCGTCGACTGGTAAAATAATCTTGTCTCGTTCATGAAGGTCATGTTTTCTGTTACTTATTAATATAGTCTGATAAATTAAATTGAGCAACATGCATATTAACAACGAATTTGTTATCTTCGCGCTTGACAGGTAGGCAGTCATTACGCCCATAGTATGTTAATTATAGAAACTAAAAAAGATATATCTTGTATACGGCTTGCAACTCTACAGATTGTACCTAGATATTCTTTACTGTTTTTCTAACACTAAAATATTTACAAATATTTAGGTATTCCAGTAGAGAATTTATTAGTTCAAAACCAACAAATGGAGATACATTTAAAAACCAAACATCACCTTGTTTAGCATATTTCGAAAATCAAATACCGGTATTCACAAGTTGACTCTAGCTTTTATATAGTATCAGAAAATATCAGGAAGCTTCTTTTCCATCCGCCCACAGATTCGTGAACGATATTTACTTACATAAGTTACATTAAAAAGAAATGCATTTAATTGTTTATTCAAACTTACAACTAGATTTCGTAACTTGAGATAAAATTAGAAGCATGTTAGCTAAATTTTTACTGGCGATGCTGTTGTACTGCAACATTGAAATATGTTTGGGTCAAATTACTTCAGATGGATGTGGCACCACAAAAACTTGTTTCCAAAATCCATCAGGATGTCAACCATCCGAAACGACATGCCACTTCTATTCATGGAAAAAGGTATTACTAAATGTTTACACAATTTTTTCAATCTGAATATAATATTTGTTAGGTTTATTATCGCTTTATAAACCCTCGAATTGACCGAAAGTTTAGGCTAGAATTTTGCTATTCTATTAAAATTTGTTTGAATAATCAATAATTCATAGGAACTCTAATTTAGAGTTGTGACAATTTCGTTTCGAGGTTCCCAGTAGATGAGGTATATCAGGCCTTCAAATAGGTAGTTCAAGGTAGTTTACGGAAAACGCGTTCAAATTCTCATTCATACTACCTTGCTTTCAACTGGCTACTGTGTGTGTGAGTGTCAATTTTTATATTACTTTGCATAGGGCAAAAGCGTAAAATCTAACATAAATATTCTCACATTTTTATCGTCGGTGATTGTCAGGCCATCGGATACCTGGTTACGACATGTCGTAATTTAGTATGTTTTCATTTTATTCGATCACGGCATTTTATTATTCTCTATTGTTCGATCACCCTTTTTCTTTAACTAGTAACATTATTATCGTATTAAAGTATATGCTTAATTCCAAAAAACACCCTCTTTCAATTTCAAAGATCCTAAAATCAATTGGGCAGTCTATTATGAAAACGCACCCACCGTGGCGCGAGAGCTGTAATTGCCAGGAAGGAGTCCATCGTCCGCGACAATATTTCACCGGAAAATTGGCACAGATAAATTGATATATGTTACTTCATTTACTGCTAACAAATTTGATGATTTTGGGTATAGTTGAAATAGAGATTTCGGAATTTTTTGAAAATATATATAAATGATAAAAATCTTTAAAACGGAATAAATATCGACGACGCTCATTTTCACACAAAAAATATTTTAGAAGCAAAATGATTCATACACGAAGTCAAAAAAATATATATATGAACGAACGAAATATGCCGAATTTGAATAAACGCCCCGATGGAACTGACAATTGAATTATAGTTTTGCTTTTATACAAAATACCCAAAAATGATATTGTATCTGAAAAATCTAAAGAGTAGGCCTACATTAATATGTTCTGTATATCTGTGAGATATACCGTAATTTCCACGTTGTTCTTTGTCGCATATATATCGATTTCGAGTACAGGTGTGATGTATCAAATATAGTTAATTATGCCATCTGTCATCGATGACAAGGTAGTTGTAACTTATCTAATTTATTTGATTATCTTTTTTCAGTCGGACGTAAATGGATTTTATGAATTTGAAATGAGTGGAGGAACGAATGTTACAGATCAATACGTTGCATTGGCTCTAGGAACAGTATCTCAAATGAAAGACGCTGATCTTTACTATTGTAATGGAACAGATATACGATCAGCAGTTATCCAACGACTGCACTTTCCTCCAACTTACTTAGAAATGACGGTATATTAATTAATCTGATACATATATACACACTTACTGCATGGTTTAGGGGGGTGTGGAACATCACTCTTTATTCGTTTTATACTTTGTACAGCTTTATCCATGTTTGTCATCATAGTGTATTAGGGTATTTGTTGACAATGCTATATCTGGATTGACTTTGAATAAAGTAAAATAGATATCAGAAAAACAAGATCTTCATTGGTATATTTTGCGCTTGAGCTTATTTTTATTTTCAATTCGCTATAGTACCTTGCTGTAAAAGTCTAAATGCCGAGAATTGGTTGGCCACCAAGGTTGGAAATCAGCATAAATCAGTACCTAACATTCATAAAAATCAGCATAATATCAATACCTGGCTAGTAGTGTCAAATATTACTTTTATCATGAAATAATTCAGAATGGACTTGCAACAAAAAGTGCATCAATAATAAACGGAATCATACAATGTGTCCTGACAAGGCCTGCGTCAGTCACAAAGACTATCAGTGGGGCCATTGACAAGGATTTTGACATCACGAAAGAGGAATATTACTTACTAGGAGCAATTGGACCAACAAATGGTAAGTGTAGCAAAAAGAAATTCTCCGTAAATACTAATAATATGAAAACCAGATAGCAATCGGAGACCGCCGACTTATCGATCTTCAACAAAAAAAAATTTAATTAATTAATAACCGCTAATTATGGAAAAAAAATTCAAAAAAAATGAACAGGAAAAAATTTAATTAAGTAATAACTCGCTAATTATACGACATAATTCATCCAAAATCAATAGGCTTTTTGTCCGAGATATGATAAACTCACGTGCAAAATTTGGAGCAGATTCAACCTCGCTTTCTTGAGATATCGCGTAACATACGCAAGTGTCTAAGTGTCGTTGCGGGCAGGCAGCTAAGTTAGGTCATCGCAGCGAGAGCTATTAGTTTTTCAAGAGTTCGAAGGAGAAATTTGTAGACTCCGGTTAGTAAAAAAGTTTTGTTTCTGTGTTCCAGGGGATGAGATACAAAAGCATAATATCTGGAAGACCGTGACGACAAATACTTATAATTTTGCTACTACTACTACTACTGAATTGAATCAAGTAACTGACGAAGGTTGTGCATCTACTAAAACTTGTTTTAAAGACCCAGCAAACTGCAACGTAGGCACAGCAGGATGTAGATTTTACTCCTGGAAAAAGGTACAGTTGTTTTTATTCACGTCATCGAGTATTATTCATATTTTTAAGGGCGCAAAGGTATCCTCTTTTTCTAGTGGGGTTCAATCAAAAATGCCTGGGCAGAGATAGCCTTGTAACTTTACCTCCACATATAATACCTCCATATATAATAATCCACATATAACATTGCAGTATACCCTTTCTTATTGAATTTATCTTCACGATACTTTTATCATTTTAAAGGCATTCCATAAACCTGATATGGCGCACCAATAAATTGGTTAACTCCAATATATTTAGAAGTTATTCAAGGTTAACTCTGTTTGTGCCTTCGAAAAATATCTTAATGCATTCTTGAAAATTAATTTAAAACATGGTTTAAATTCTTAGTCTGATACCGGCAACACTTACCAATTTGAAATGAGTGGAGGAACTGGTGCTGGACTACAATACATTGCTCTGGCTTTGGGGACTGTCAATCAAATGCAGGATGCTGATCTTTATTACTGTGATGGTACTGCTGTAAGATCCGGAGTTCTACAAGAGCGGCACAACCCTCCTGCGTATTTGGAAATGACGGTAAGAGGATATCATCAGACAGTTTAGTTCTTCTGTTTATCATCCCGAAAATAACTATATCATTTCAAATTCCGTTGCATCAAAATCTTTATTTTTTAATTTTGCTTCCTGAAACAGACCAAGTCTAGTAATCTTTTGTAAATGAAAGAGCTTTGTGTCATACTGATCACAACTATCATTTAGGGAGGGCTGGTATCTGACAAAGCGTCCACAACAAATGGGGTGGCGCAATGTGTTTTCACGAGACCTGCATCTGTGACTAAGACAATAAGCAATGGGGTTTCTAAAGACTTTGATATCACCAAAGAGGAATATTACCTGCTAGGAGCAATTGGACCCATGAATGGTATGTATGTGACTGAGGGAGTCAGTTAGGCTCCATAGAAGACTAAACGTAGCTTTCTAAGTTTTCTTACTAAGTTTTCTTACAAAAATACAGTATGAACATTCAATTTTTCTGCAATCCAAAGATTAGTAGGTAGTACACCCTTTACAATGTCATACCACGGACTTGTGTAGAGGGATGCTCCCACATATGAAACTTAAGACCACACGCTAAACCCGAGAATCAAATTCTTTTTTGTATAAAAGTTACAAATTTCATTCCACTCAAGATGCAAAGATATCGCACATAGCAAATGCGAAATACCTGATTTTGAAGCAATGCTTCCAAATCATGCGAAACGGTGACCGTACATTTGAACCCATGTACATTTGAACCCATGCGTATATCCATGGGTTCAATCTATATGCGGGTGCTAAAACCCATGGGTTAGGGTTAGTATGGGTTTAACTATCCGTGAAACAAAAAAAATTCCATAGGTGCAATAGCATACAGGTGCAATTGTCATGGGTTCAAATGTACGTGGGTTCAAATGTAATGGAACCATGCGAAACACCTCCTTGCTCTTATGAATCTGGTTTTGGGTACGGTTACAAGTTTTTAAAAACTGTTGTGGGCATAATTACCTCAGTATATTTTGGGTGTTCTAAAACCAGTTCATTTTGCATTTTTCATATACCCTGGCAGGAAGAATGAATCTACGTCTTTAGATAGATCTAATAGACTTTAGGAAAGGAATCATGAAACTAAATTTTGTTTGTGGGTAATGAAAGACATGTTCGAACACACACCGATTTTTAAGATATTTCTCCCAATTATTCTACGCCCCTAGTCTACTACCTCTGGCCTGTATCATTCGCGATCAGTCTCTCAATATTACACTAACGGTATAATATTCAATGACGCCATCGATCGAATTTTCGGTTCCTATGTTATTATGCTATAGTATAACTATAGAACATCTGTCGATCATAAGACCATGAGAGGTTTATTTCTGTTATAGTTTGTAAAGGGAAAATGTAGGGGTCTTGCAAATTCAGAATATTCTAGCTCATATTGTACTGGAAGCGACGATCAATGACATCGCGAAAGTAATGCGATATGTAGCGTGCTTCAACGTCATCAAAGTGGTTTGATCTTCTAGCAAGGCAGCAACCACACCTATGCGAGTTATAAAACCCGCGTATAATTACGTACATGGGATCAGCAGTAATTCCATTGTTTACAAGTCCAGTCGGCTCTTCTGTATGGTTTAAAGTTTTTTTTTACTTTCAGATAAAGGTAAATGTGTCAATAAATGCTGTTTTGTTTCTAACTACAGGAACAGAAATCAAAAGACATGATACGTGGAAGACTGTTACTGCTCAAACGTATCAATTTGGAACTGCCTCTTCCTCCCCCATTACTGACACAGATTGTGATAGTGATACTGCAAAAACATGTTTCAAAGATCCAAAAGACTGTACTGCAGGCAATTCGGGGTGTCATTACTATTCGTGGAAGAAGGTATCCAATTCACACTCACGGTTATCAAATATAAATGACCAATATTATAAACGAGAATATCGGTCAGAGACCGAACACTTATCGATCGAAAGTTAGGGGATCCCAAAACAGCGCTCTTACTCCATGGTGACACCTTGTGTCACATTACTAATTAATTAATAACTCGCTAATTATACGACATAATTCTTCCAAAATCAATAGGCTTCTGGTCCGACATATGATGAATGCACATGCAAACACACATGCACATACACATCTGGAGCAGATTCAATCTCGTTTTCGTGAGATATCGCGTACATCAGATAGACAGACAGACATACAGACAGACAAATACCTATCAACATACATACCGATTAAAATCGATAAGTAATAATACAATAATACATACATAAAATTATTCACATGGCTGTATACTGAATGAAAGTAAACTAAATGAATGTCACTACACAAAACTTCAAAGTTAAAGACAAATCCCAGGAAGACCACTGGAATGTTTAAAATAAATAAAAGTAGTAGCTTTTTAGCAACAACAACACTCTTCAACCACTGGAAAGTTCAAAGCAATTGGTCTAAGAAGAAGAAGATGAATACTAGCAACAACGTACTAACAAAATGATCCATATGTACACTTAGTTTCCGAGGATGACCTCTTGTGTACTCGTCATTACCTTTTTGATGTAAACCTATATCACTGTATATTCTAGTTGAGCGACGGTACTTGGGACATTGAAATGAGTGGCGGAACTACAACCGGTCAGTATGTGGCATTTGCACTCGGAACAACTAATGCAATGCAGGACGCAGATCTTTACTATTGTGATGGTATGCAGATCAGATCAGGTGCAATTCAACAACTCCATAAACCCCCAGCATATTTGGAAATGAATGTATGTACTTTATAATTAAAAAATTATCATATTTAAATAAATTGATCTTAGGATACTCGCACTCGTTTACACATACACACCCAAACGTACTCATAAGAATGATTAATTTTCAAGTCAGAAGTTTGTAAAGAGCAACAGCTCTTTTCGATAAATGTTTCATGAACAATGAAATAGACTTAAAAATCTGCAAATCATATTACAATTACATTTTATGCTAAAAAGGATTTTTTTTTATCCCAATAAAAACTATTTATTTTTTTATCAATAATATCTAAAAAAGCGTATTCACTTAAATACGCTTGATTCATTTTCATTTTAGAACGGCCTCACGACCAAGTCCGCTACTACGATCAATGGAGTGACGCAATGCGTTTTGAACCGACCCGCTTCTGTTACCAAAGAAATTAGCAACGGAGTCCAGAAGAACTTCAACCTTGCGGCAGAAAACTATTATCTTCTCGCCGCAGTTGGGAAAATGAATGGTACGTTTTGAAAGAGTATAAATTAAAATTATATATATTGTTAAACTAAATGAAAGTCGTGGATTGTGAGTTGGATTAACTTAAAACACAACGAAAAAATGATTGTACAATTTTGTTTTCTACACAGGAGCTCAAATACAAAAGCACACTTGGAGAGCAATTTCTGATAGTAAAATTGTACCTTCTTCTGGAAAACCGTTGTCAGCAATACAACCAACAATACTCGGGTATGAATTTTCTTTTTCTCATAAGCTTAGGATAATTCTCAATTTGACAACAGAGCTTAGATATGTGATCGCTAAGGTTCAATTAGTAACCACAGTAGTCTATGTGACCTAACCAGAAGTTCGCTATCTCGTCATTCAAAAGCATTAAATCAAAATTGCAACTCAAGTCCCACAGCAGTAGAAATTCACATACGTAATTCGGAGTCGGGCAGTTAGCATCAGCTTTGTCAGTAAGATGTCGCATTGGTCTACTCAAGCGTAATGTCACGTGATGGCAAAATATGACCTTTGCTCCAAATACTTGATTATAGGGTACAATTTTGTATTAAAAATAATATTTGTTCAATTCAAACTCAGAAAATACCACGACCCGAAAGATCTCCCGCAACTTGATGGAAAATAGTTATATACATACTGTGTATGAATTGAAATATGAACTGTTTAGAGAATTAGTTATTTAAATCACACAAGGAAATATGTACGACTTTGGTGGTTATTTAACTTATTTTTACTTTCATTTAGATTGATTGCGCTTCTGGTCATGAAATCATCTACCGTTTTTGTCGACAATTGAGGACGTTCATGAATTGACATTTTTATTTTATCTAAAAAGTATTAATTAAATCATAGGAATTTATACAAAACGCATTTGTGATTAATAATATAGCAGACAGACTATTTTCTTTACTAATGTTCGAATTGTATTGTTTGAATTGGTGTTTGCACATTTGACAGAACCCAGGAATTTACTTGTTAATACCAGTAAATATCAAGATTTACGTACGGCTTGTTAATATATTATCCATTTCAAATAACCCTGACTAATTTGTCGTTGACTGAAAAGCCTTTTTAGACGCAATTATTTTTTATTTTTAATATCTTCCACTCCATTTTCTCGAAAGTTCATTCACCAATGTATTCAACATTATCAGTTGTATCTTGTAACTCATTCAGTTTGGGTTTCAAAAGCACCAATTATTTAACTATACGTACAATATGCCTAAAATGTACAGTATTGTATTTTAGATTGCTGAACTTGACGCATTTTGTTTTGTACACGTTGGCTTGCTATGACATTGAGAGAAATGTTTTCAATGAGCATCCAACAACATAGAATAGTTTTCCACAAAAAGGTTTTTATGATGTAATTTAATATAACAGCATTTCCATGTGAGCTAATCAATATTTGTTCTTGTTTATTTTAGGTATTCTCTTTTCGAATAATTGACTGCTTTTCGAAAGGAATTTAATTCACTAAATAAAAAAATGTTTTGTTTAATTTGTGATTCGTATTTCTGAGATCCCAGTCGTGAACTAATTCAAATCTCAAAGTAAATTTAAGGATCAAAGTCGATAACCATAGGAGCATGCTTGACTATCCGTTCCGCAAAGTATAGATGATCCAGAATGTAGAAAAATATTGCTAATTTGACATTTAGAAATGAATATTCCGCGGCATATATATTTCAGTCTAGCTTTGTTACTATACCAAAAGTATTTTGAAAGCGAAAAATAGACAATTCATCTGTAGCATTTTTTATTACGAAATAAAAAGAACATGATCCGGAATGCAAAAATATAGTTATGATAAACAAATATATAAAGTAAACGAAAAATATCAAAAAATCATAAAACATAATATAGACGAGAGACGACAAATGAAAGGCTTAGTTTGACACATTAAAACAGGTGCAAACAATTTAGTTCATTTTGCAAGAAATTTTAGGCAAAGAAAACACTGTCTAGGGAACATCCACAACGTTTAACAATCATATTTGGAAATTCAGACACTTCTACTTGTGTAATATCACCACGTTTTACCATATACATAACGGGCAAAGGCGCACTTTCTTGCACCGAGCAAGACCTTGGCACACCCTTTCTGTCTCTTCGCAAACTAGATCCACATCTTCCATCACATTTAAATGCTTCGTAACCAGATGGTTCCAAGATCCAATATTGAGTCCAGTCCATTTCTCTGAAGTTGATGTAATAGTCGTCGCGACAACATTTACGTTTCTTAGGATTGGAGTTTTGTTTGCATATTCTTGACCTGTATATAGTAAATACAATCATTTTACATTATTTGTCGACAAAAGACGGCAACGGCAAAATTATCTCAAAGTGGCCGGACATCTCATTATATATATAATGTACTTTTCTCTCCACCAATGTAACATTAATTGTTTTAGATATACGGAAACATATTCATTCACAGATATATAAAAGTATCAAACAAAATGAATATGCTAATTTCATATTTTGTGTCATCCATTCATTATTCGCTATAGGTTTTTGTTATACGTTACTTCAACGTACCCTCCAGTTTCTGCTTCCTCTGTGAAGACGACTAATTCAGGTCTGTATGAAGACGATCGATCAACTTTTTGTCCAGTGAATCTGACTAAACTAGCTATATTTGCTGCATGTCTGCCTGGTTTTGTTCCTTCAATCCACATTTCCAGAGTCATAGACATGATTTTAGTAGGATGCAATTGCCACTCATGCACCGCATCTGTTACGTCAAAGGCTTGCCATCCAGAACCGTTCACATGAATTTTTCTGAAAGTAAGTAAGATGACAAATGTTTAAAATATAGGCAAAAGAAAACAAAATATTATGCAACATTGTGAGCTACGTTTACATGAGTATATGTTCTGTTCATGTTAAAAAAAAACTATATATGTTGAATTATGGAACTCTTCTCGAATATTCATCATGACCAGTAACTATTAATACTATTATCAAATAAATTCAATCATGAATTTATCTATACTACCCAGATGTTGTTTCAAATTTATTTAATTTCTTTTCAAATTACCTCGAATCCACTAAAGTGCTTGTTTGTGTTCCGTCTGGATGTTTGAGGCTATGATAAATTGATACTCTTGCGTGTCTCACAGGTTTCTGGTATCGTCCGGGGTGATTTCGAAGAAACGTTGATGGATGAGCGTTTCTATAAAGCCGGTCTGCAGACGAATCAGTGGGTAAATTTCCGCTCAAATTTGGAAGTTTTTTGAATAGTCTCAATTCAGCCATAGTAACAACAGTGCCGGTAGGAATTCGACCTTCCATTTCAAATTCGAGTTTTTCTCTGTACGGATCAGTGTAAACAATGTCGCCTTGGATTCCTGTGATAGCAAAAAATATACAAAAATTAAATTGAAAAAAACAATATCAAAATGAAATTTCTATAATTTTGAACGAAGAATGTTTTTTTGAGATATCGAAAGAAAGTTTATATACTCCTATAGTAGCCGTTAAAAAGTAGGGCTATGGAACTCTTCATTTCTTTGTTCAGAAGACAAAAATTTTATAATCCATACTTCTAATTAAATATATATATATATATTTCATTATTTTTATATTTTGTTTTATCATCTGTTGTTAACATTGTAAATGATTTATATTGATAAATAAAAACGCATTTCATCATGGTTTATGATTTTTTGTTATAGTTAGAAGAGAGTATAATAACAATAAAGTCCGTACAATATGCATAAAGAAATCTTTGTTCTATTGTTATTTGCTAATTGTTTCTTTTTGTTCGAGAACAGGAGACATTTCCGACTACTGTTTTCTAATTGTAACGAATAATAAAGCGCATTGTTTCTTAGTCATTAGTAACAATACACGGTATCGTGACAACTACTCATTCGTAAATTATGACAAATACATAATTGCTGCGATGTTATGGGATGCAACCATGCACAGAAATATGATTATTACTTTCGTTTCTTAAGGGCAGCAGTTATGGCTAATTGTTTAATATGCATGCGCCAATTAAATGTATGTAGATTCGACAAATGCGTCTGGAATATTCAAAAAGTAATACTGTAAAACATGGTACTTGGTGAAATGTTCACTTTGATAAGGACGAAGAAGAAAGAATACTGAAGATTTCATTTAGGAGAGACGAAATACACACTTTAGTCTAGACAGCGTTTCAAATGTTTACAAACATATCAAATCACTCTTTTATGTTAAACGGCTAAAAAGTCGACCGCCCTACTTAAACCTACAACTGTGTACTGCGGTATTTTCGCTTTTAAATAGTTTGTCCTAACAGTTAGTTGATCTAAGTGGCCCTCCCAATTTCTTCAAGTCAATAAACATCGCTGTCTGCGTCCTATTAAACACGTTGTCAATACACAAAAAACATGAAAAGCTACTTTTGAATTCGTATTTTTTGTTATTATCAACAACTACTTTCTGAGAAATAGGTTTTTATACAAGTTACTACCATGACCACAATTATATTTGGGCCTTACTCTAATTAATTCAACATATTTTTTCAATAATTATCCTGATGTAAATTTCGGACCGAAAGTATAGTCATACGTATTTAACATCAGTAGTGAAGTCTATCGTATATAATTTCACTTTCTATATTCGCAATAAAATAATGAACAAAATGAAATTAAAAATATTCCAGATATATTTCATCAAATAGGTTGTAAATGCCGATTTTCTTATTAAATGAAAAACATAAATGAAATGCAGAACATTTTTAGCACCCTTACCTGGATTTTGATGTACTGAGTGAAATACTCCAGCCAATGACGGCCCAGTTGATCTTTTCCTTCTTGCATGCTGGATATCATGCCTTAATCTCAATTTCTCATATTTCGAACGAATGTGATGAGGAACTTCTATATTCTCCAAATCTTTAGATGAAAATATAGGAAGGCTGTCAAGCCCCATATGTTGTAACATTGCTGATTTCAAATCTTTCATATTTTCTTTAAACAGCTCGCTGTCGTGATTCATAACTTGCGCCTTTTTTACCATAGCCATTCCTTCTATTCTAACTAACAGCAAAGTTTGGAAAATTGACAAAATGAAGGCGATTTTACACATCTGGAATCTTCCACTCGGCACGTGCAACATTGGCAAGTTCGATCTCTGTGACAGTCTTTTGCAAACGTAATTTTCTGGTGCAGTTGACCAAAAATGCTTGAAATCAAAATGTTTTCTTGCTACGCAAATGTTCATTGTTGGAATTAAACAAAAGGGATCCTTCCAATCTTTTTAGTATATCACAAAATAATATCATTCTAGGAATGCGGAGAGTTTTATATCTCTCCCGTCGCCATTTTTTCTTTATTGCGAACCCAGTGATTAGCAGGCGTAGAAAAAACCAATTATCATTTCCAGACGAATATGTTTTCCAAAAGCAATCGAAAAAACAGTTATGTCTGACGTTATTCGGTCACACTTTCTCTCCTTATCAAATTAGCTTGTATCTGTAGATGTTAAGTCTGCGTTACATGCTACAGACAAGTAAAGATAACGACGATTGTTTGGTGCGATTATTGTCATTGATGTGAGGCTATACGTATATTGGCAAAAATATAAAGCTTTAGTAGGCCCATCTAAAGTTAACAATAACGTTGCATTGATAAGAAATGACAGATAATTCGGACACGCCTTCATGACTCCTATCGCACTTGCTTGTTTTGAAAACTATTTATTTTATGACGTACAAGCAGAATTCGACATCTGTTACGTCAAAGGCTTGTCACCTATAACCGTTCACATGGACAGCAACTAGAAAGCTATTGACCTGCCCCAATAGGTGGTACAACAAACTCACATTTAGCAAAGATTTGAGTGCCAAGCCAGGTAACAGATACAACTTATATGGCCAGAATGACGGCAGGGTATACGTGACGGTGTAAACGCTAGGCCTGAACCCAGAGCAATCCGACACAAGCTAAGGCTAATCTAACACGTAGGTGAAACAAATACAATGAAAAAAGATTCAAAGTAATTGGTCCAGTAATTCAAGAGAAAAGCGATTTTTTTCATAACGACGGGAGGAAGAACAGACTAACAACATAATAACAAAACGTTCCATGGGTGTCCAACTTACAGTCTACGCCTCGAGGGCGACAATACAGTTACCAGTTTCAGAGCTCTAGTCTAGTGCATTGGGTATAATAACCATTTTGTCATGTCGACGTTGTTTGTTGATTAAGTCAGATTATCACGTAAAAATATTTTCAGTATTCCGCAATTAGGATTTGCAGGAAATTTTTTTTATAAACGCAGATTTTTTTTTGAATTATAAACATTGAATCATACATAATTTTGTCAACCTTGTTTAGATGCTACATGGCATGACAAGAGCGCGGTTGTCAGAGCGGTGAGTTTCCTGCTAGTAGATTGAGCGCTAACGTTCGCCGTACAACTATACGGACTATATCTGAACATGCGAGTTTTTTTTATACCTGTTTATGTTAAGCAATACTGAAGCAAACGTATTTGCAAATCCGTTTCACTTTAAGGGAAATAAAGGAAGTCGTTCACGATGTCTTGTCTAAAAGTTCAGGCTATATTTTTCCGACAGCCTGAGTTTTTGACAGCATTTTTACGCCCGTGAAGCTGTGTACTGTAATGTATGTTAAATAGGAGCCGGAAATTAATATTTGTCTGTAAACATAGATATCGAAAGGCCCTGGATAGATATAATATCCCCATAATCCACCAACGGCCATATTCATGGTAGATACAGATGTAACTCGGGCACATATCCTGTGGCTGTGGCAATACCTGTCTACCCAATCAGTGACTGTAATTACGTTTCATTTCACCGTCAATTCTCACTGAATCAAAATGTCATTGATCGACAGAATAAAACAAAATAATCGGGCCAAACTACTCAAATCAAAATGAGAAAACTCAAACAATATCAGAAATATTTTCTTTAGTTTACACGAACATTCCACATGTATAAATCTAAGCAATGTAGTCGGGGTCAATGTTTATCGATTTGAGCAATTTATTAGATGTTGTCAGTTCACTTCGGCCATTGACTAATTTCCAAATTGGAAGGAGCAGTAGTTCAGAGTCGAAGAACAGCTCGATTGTTTGAAAATCAAATGATTTATTTGACCTCCTGAAGTATGCGCACCAATATGGCGCACAACCTGACCTCAGGTTGTGTACCAGGTTAGGGTTCAGTTGTGCGACATCTTGGTGCGCATACTTCAGGAGTACCGATTTATTTCTATAGGTAGGTTATGCATTCGCCCAACTTCTTCTTTCAAGATATATCTGTAGTTAGACGAACAAGAATTACGTATTAACCGACATATTCCAGGCATAAGCATCTTTGCTATTTTGTATTTTCCAAGGTTCATATTGTTGTTTCGGTATCTCTGCAGACGATTATTAAGATGAGTGATTTCGTGATGTCGTTGGGCAGGCCATGCAGAGACCATAGGTTCACACTCATGTTATATCAGTGAAAGATACACCAGTCTGGGCCCATTACTTAGCGTGCATGAGAAGTGCTATCATTTGCAATTAATAAAACAACAAAACAAGGTCAAATTGAACTGAAATTTCAATAATCGGCAAAATCTTTCTCCATTCTGCTGGTATTTTGATACTTTAACTGGTTGCAGGGTCATTCGAATTGATTAGCCTACGTGTTGGTCTACAAAAATGTACAGAACTTATGCGCCCATTGCTAAAAATAACCGTAAGTACTATCAGAAGCAGATTTGTTTTGAATTCAGAATACCCAGTTCCCAGCTACACCAAATCAAATTTGGGGAAAACCTAAGCCCTATATGTGTTTATACTTTCGCTGGAGGTGAGAACAAAATTCAAGTAGGCCTACCTCCGAATTTACGTGTTCATTCCTGAAATAACCAAAAGTACCTGCAAATAGCCGATTTTGGTGCGAATCTATAAATCCCATCCATAGCTTTATGCCAAATCCAATACGGGGAGGCCAAGGTCTTAGCTTAAGCTTAAATTTACAGATTAGCAGTGGCGGCGCGTCAATAGGGCCAACCGGGGCAATGCCCCGGTTGTTTTTTCGGTATAATAAAAAATATTCGAAAAATACCTCAATATCGGTTGCACAGACTGTCTACACTAGCCATATTCTCCCGACATGGTTCATTTTTCGCTCGCAAAGCCTTCGCCGAACGTCGACGGGGCGACGCCGATTTTGCCCCGGTTGCTCATTGTATATCGTATTCTCTCTTTTATCTTCCACTCGCCGTTTGTTTCGCTATTTGAATCAGTTAGAGACCTTTAGTCCATTTGCTTTCGATTTTCCACATTCCTTTTGAGCTTCTCACTTCTTTCCGGCTTCGCATTTCTTAGCCTTAGACCTCATAATGAATAAGGTTGATGCACTACTTCGCACTCCGTTTTCGCAGCTGCCGCTGGAACAAAAATTAGAGGTACAACGTCTTGGGCCTTATCAACCAAAAAATTGTTCGCTGGAACAATCCAATGACGGAGGAAAGCGTCGGCGTACATTCTGCGCAGAAACTTGGTATAAAAAACACGAATGGTTGTGTTACAGCGAGGACAAAAATGCACTTTTTTGTTTTTATTGCCTACTTTTTGCTACCGCCCGTGACTCACGTTGGTGTAAATTTGGTTTTAGAGATCTTAAACATCTTTCCGAGCGTGCCAGGGATCATCAATCTTCTATGGAGCATCTGGACAATGCAGTAAAATACCGAACATTCGGAAATGTTAATATTGCAGCACAGTTGGATGAAGGACGCGCGGTTTCTATTCGTCGGCACAACCAAAACGTCGAGAAAAACCGCCATGTTCTCGGTCGATTGATAGATGTTTTAAAGCTCATTGGTTGTCACGAGCTGTCCCTCCGTGGGCACGATGAACGGGCTGGCTCTTCTAATAGAGGGGTATTTTTGGATATGGTGGAATACACCGCATCCCTAGATACAGTATATATTGAGAGATCATCTTGATGCCGCAACTGTTTCGAAAGGGACATCTAAGGATATCCAAAATGATTTGCTCGACTCAATGTATAAAATTCATTTACCACATTTGGCTCTGGAAATTGAGAATTGCCAGTTCCTTTCGATTCAGTCTGACGAGACAACTGACATCATGTGCGTTTCCCAACTGGCTATGATTTTTCGGTTTGTGAAAGATGGTAAACCTACCGAGAGATTTCACAGCTTTGTACCAATCGTTGATCGCACGGCTTGCGGGATATCGGCTGTACTGAAAGAAGTGTTACAGCCGTACAACGCGAAGTCAAAATTGATAGCTCAAACTTATGACGGCGCGGTAGTCATGAGTGGGTCGAAACATGGTGTTCAAGTTTATATAAAAGAAGATTTTCCTCATGCGCATTTTTTACATTGTTATGCACACCAATTTAACCTCGTTATTAAAAAAAATATGTGTCTTGATACCTCTCTCGTCCGTATATTCTTTGCAAATGTTTCGGGGTTTTCTTCATTTTTTTTCCGTTTCGCCGAAGCGCTCTGACCTCCTTCGCCAGATATGTAGCTGCCGTCTCCCAGCTTGTGCACCAACACGTTGGAACTTCCAATCACGCGTGGTGCAGGGCGTGTCCGAAATTAGGTCTGAGCTCATTGAGTGTTTCAATGGCATTCAGAGCTCTCCGGTTTGGGACGAACGCTCTGTGAGGGAGGCGGCAGGTCTAAATCGTCTGCTAGAAGATGGTGAGTTTTCATTTTTTCTCGCTTTTTTCTCCACAATATTCTATCACGTGGATGTATTATACGGCGCATTGCAGTCAAGGCTAATGGATGGAGCGTCTGTGCAGTCGTGTATTTCAGACTTCTGCGATGCTGTATCTCGTATCCGGGAAACAATAAAATACGACGACACATGGAGTGCTTCTTTACGCCGCGGGCAAACAACGCAGCGTTTGATTTTGTCTGCAAAGGAATGCTGTGACATTCTGGTGAATCAAATAGGCGATCGTCTGCGCACTGAACACCTTGCCGCGTTCTCTTCGATGAACCCCAAAATTTTTCAAAATTTGCACGTCAATTTCCCATCCATTTGTTGGCTACTGTCTCCAAATTTCACCCCATGATAAACGTGGGTAAATTGGAAAATGAATTGCGATGTATATACACCAATCAAATTTTTTTGAACATCACATCAACTTGCGCGCTCTATGGGTGCCTCATAGATAACACTCTAGTACAGTAATTCTCAAACTTCCTTTCCTGCGGCTCCCGTTAATGTTTTAAAAATTAATTATTTTCAAAGAAAATTTTTCACAGAAAACTAATCATTGACTCGAAATTAAAATGCTTAAGTCTATTAGTTAGTCGAATGGATTCCCCCGTGTTTATTTGCGTAGCGTTGACTAACCTATAAGATGCAATAGTGACGCAACAGTGAGCGTTTTCGCGGCCAATCGGACACTTTTCACTTAGAAAGATTTTAGACATGGCTGTAATCATTGGCTTGCTTTCGTGGATTTTCAGTTTTTGTCGCATTTCCAGATCTTATGTATAAATCAAATAACTCGATGATTATTTTAATTTCTATAGCATTTTAATTTTGTTCCAGTAATCGAAATAGTCCCGAAAAATCTGGCGATCATCTCAAGCAGCTACTGCAGCTTGCATCCTCAACGATTACGACCCGCTTTGACAAACTTATTAGAAATCAAAGCCTAATTAAAAAGCTGTTAGGGTAGGGTGGGCAAAATTGAATCTTTTTTCGAATCGGATAATTTGAATGTTTTTTTTATACATAACAGGGATTCAGAACGTCGGAGGCCGATACTCCATTTGGAAATTAATAGAAACATTAAAAAGTCGGCAATAAAGCGTTTTTTAATGGGTAATTTTATCATAATTGCTGATTGTCTTTGTCACCGCGGTCGTTTTGGCGGCGATATCCTGAAGTTGGTATTCTATATTTCCGCCCTTTCTCGTTTTTGCAAGAATAAGCGGTCGCCGAATATTGAAGTTTCATAATTCTAGTATACCCTTGCGTTCACATAAGCGACAGCTGTTGAATACATTTAAGGACTGATTTCAAAACCAAATTAATTATATTCTAAGGTTATCCTCTGCCTTGGATTCGATCTTCCGTATCACCGCTTGTAAATTAACCGTGTATGTTTAAAGTGAACGGTAACCGAGATGCAGATATTTATTATAATGATATTTAAGTTTCTCATGCTTTTCTATGGTGTCCGTGTTATTTTAGTATCAGATAGATAAACTTAGCAAATGAACCTGAATGTTGATTTAAAATAGCGATTAAATAAATTGGCAATAAAGGCATTTCTAGGCCTTTGTGCCTAATAGAGGGTCAGACTCTAATTATACCTAATTCCTTCAAGTTTTAACGTTTTTTTTTCAACAAAACAACACCCCGATGGTTATAATAGCTAAATTACGTACTGAGTAATGCTCAATTTTCTTTACGGAATTTGCAAATTCAGCACTTCACTTAATGATTTTGATTATGTCATGCCTTGAGGCCCAATTATTATTGCCCAAATGCTTCAAAATTTAACAATTGTAATCATTTTCGATGATAATAGACGCAACAATTCGTGAACGAGTCAGTGTGCATTGTTACAACGAAATTCACGATTGATTTTACGTTCTACTCTTGGCTCAACGGCCATGCAGGGTCGAGTAAAATGTTTACATATTCGAAACATTACTTGGCAAAGGATGGAAAGGATCACTAAAGAGCTAATACAAAGTGCTTTAAAGGGAGTAGGACATGACATTTCTTATCTGGTTACAACTTAATGAGTGTTTTCCATACAAGTAATTCATACCAGCTTTTGGAAAAACTTTTGGTCATTTTTAAATCCATGCTATTTACATAACTAGAGTGTGTTAACGACCTAAAATCGCCTTTTTCACAATGAAACGCCGAAAAGTCATTTTAACATTTAATTTCAAGCAACTTCATGTTCGGTAATGCAAGAAATGGATAATGACATGTCACCAAGCTTGCCGAGTTTAAATCTGGGAATTTTATTTTAAATACCTAATCTGGTTTGACGTTTCTAAATTTACGGAACGGTCGGTACGTTTTTTTGCAAAATATGGAATTGAAACGATACGTTAAGTGCAAAGATAAGCATATAACACCATAACGCAAAGACGACTTTTCAAATTTTTCTTTTTTTTTCTGATAGCGAGCGCCGTTGGGAAATCTCGCACAATTCACGATTGAGTTGGAGACGCTCGAGTTCGGTGTCCAAGCAGAGCAGTGCAGGTCACGTGGTACCGGATATTCGAATCGTAAAATGCCATTCGAATATTTTATTATTCGAAAATTTTGCCCAGCCCTAGTTGTTACGTGTGTTGTTGTTACGATGACTTAGTATTTTAGTTACGCGCTTAAGGTTTGTTGCTATTTTACCTTGCGTTGTTTGTGTGCGGCTCTTCATAACTTTGAGGCTTGAAATGCGGCTCTGGGACTAAAAAAGTTTGAGAACCACTGCTCTAGTAACTACCTTTTCGGCGTCTGCAAAATTTCTGGACATCATTTTGACGACGCCTATTTCTTCCGCCGACGTAGAGCGAACATTCAGCACGCTGAAGCGTATTAAAACGTATCTCAGAAACACAAGGAAGCAAGATAGATTAAATTCCTTGGCTGTTTTATCCATTCACAGAGACGTTATTTCTGGGATGCATGACTTTAATCAGCGCGTTATTGAGCATTTTGCTTCCAAGAAACCGCGGCGTGTTGCATATATGTTCAAGCAGTAGAAATCTAGCAGCATATATATCTATGAGTGAGCGACGCATGTCCTTATCTTGGCATTACCTTTCCTTTCTTCATAGTAACGTTTTAAACCTTATTCTGGGTTTTTTCTGCTTTCCCGAAGTTTCTGTTAATATGTCATTGTATTTATCTGGGTAAATATTGCCTTTCCTTTTGAAAGAGGTTTCAAAATAAACTATGTCTATATTTATTAATCCCTTGACTTGGACCGGTTTTAAAGACACTTTCTTATCGTTAAAAATTGTCGCTTTTGTCGATTGGTTGTTACCGATGGAATGGTTTTTATACTCATAAAATGATGGGAGAACTTGCATCGCTCATCCTGTCCTCGTAGATGGGGGTGACTTGGTCCCGCAGTAGCTTGCCCCGGTTGTCAAAATGACCACGCGCCGCCACTGCAGATTAGATTTATGCAAAACTTATTGTATATCTATCTGGAATCTAGATAATCGGACGAAAAATCCATGTGTTGGTTTTTGACGTCAATTCTGTAACAGCCTGCGGTATTCAATTTGTCTTTCGTCTTAAAGGTTTACTGACAACAAATTATTTGCGGCAAGATGTAAACATTCCTAAAATATGACTTAGGTCGAAGTATAGTCTGAACACTTACAAATTAAATACATCACTACGGCAAAAGAGCTGCCTCAAAATATCTCTCCAATGATTTATTGTTAATTGGCAAAATTGCACGCTCGCGATGAATCGGAATCATGTCAGTTGTAAATCATTTGGAGTTATAGCATCACAGCAAAGTGATGAATTTCCCCTTTTCATTATTAGAGTAGTTATCAAGATTCGAGAAAATGGTAATTGTGTAATTACAATGGTTTGTGGTCAACCAGAAACCGAATGCTCGGGAAGTTCAAGGGTTACGTGGCGACTAAAGACATTTCATATCACAGCGATTGTACCAGTACAATCAGTACGAAGGAAATTGAGGGACTGGGATCCACCGCCTTGATTTTTATAGTAAGTCAAACGTTGGCTTAATATATTTTCGTTGCTGTCCAGCTTTGTCAATATTATGATAATGAACATAAAACCATGATTTGTAGCATATATATAAATGATTGAAAATAGGTAGCACAGTTCTTACAAATACACACACTGTTTAACAGTAAGTAAAAAATTAGGTATTGATAAAATACGTTCAGTTACAGAACGAGGGGTTTTCTAGGACTGTAGCGCTAGTAGCCTAATAAAATATTTAATTTATATATATATATATATATATCGAATATATCAACAATGTTCAGTATTACACAATTGAATCAAATTGTCTGGATGGTCTCTGGGACGCGATATCGTTTCTGTTCGAAGTAGTGAAAGAACCTCTGGGCCTCCTTTTCTTTTTATGTTTGCAGAAAGGACATAAAGTATGGCACCAATTATGGAAGCATCCAGTACAACATATCATGTTGATAAGCATATTACTTCCGTACAAAAACGTTGCCAACAAGCCACCTCGGTAAAATACTGCAGTTATGATTGTAACACTAATACTTGTAACGACACATGTTATTGCCAGTAAAAGACAACGCTTTATCAAAGCTCTCAGGCGATCGTGAACATACTTTGCTCGCTTTTTACTTTGAGAATCAGAACGTCCAATTGTTCTTCCATTTAATGGCGTGTTTGGATTACTGCCGTTCGCACTCAAGCTCGTACTAGGTGATCGAATAACGATGCCTCCACTTTCATTTGAAAACGTTTTCCGCAAGCTGTTGCGCAAGAGCGAATTCTTTTTCATCTGCGGGTCGTCTCCCGAATTAGAATTCGGCAAAGGTACGCTAGAACGGCTCACAAAACTTCCGTTATGTCCTCTCACAAATAATGAAGAAGTTTGGAGTTTATGCCTCCACATGGGATAAATAAACAAACCCATAAGGCTTATGTGAACAATTGAGCTTGTGATAGAAGCAAGAGTTATTTGGATCGTCCACAATCTTTTTTGTGGATTTACACATAACAAGTTTTCCTCATTAGAAATCGAAGAATTTGATTCTTTTTCGGAATACAGTACTCCTATTACTGTCATAGTGCATTGGGCAGCAAAGCAAATAATGATAACGGCAAATACGCTCCAGCTACAGAAACGCAAGGCTTTGTTGTATAGATACTTCAACGACGGGTTTGAATAAAACAGTTTTTGTCGAAGCCACAAGAATGCATAGACCGCAAACATTCCAAAACAGTATGTGACCTTCTGTACTGCCAATCGAAGGATGCATGATTTATGAGATGCCGGTGCCAACAGGGCAATCACGTTAACAATCAAATGTGTTGTTCCCACTGATGTTGCAAACAAACAAACTTGTCTGGAAAATGAAATTTAAATTAGAGTTTTGAATTTAACATACACAAAACTGAAAACTCCATGAGCACGTTTGTAGTTCTTCCGCCCAGAAGTTACTAAACAATGAATGAATGTTTTTTGTCAGCGGTATTACAAGATCCATAAAAATTATATTAAATGTGGGAGTCTAGATGTTGTAGTATAGTTTGGGAAAACAGACAAATCTATTTTTTTTCGGGTAAACGAGAGGCGTCATTAAATGGGCCTTGCAATGATTGGTGTATTTTCCATCTATTAAATACCGTTTAAAAAGTGGGAAATCTCTTTGGGATATTTACGTTTAGTCATTCAGAGAGTTTCTCAAAAACAACTTAATCTCAATTTTAGTTTAGAAAGATTGTTCTAAACCTTCAATTCATCTAAATTGAACCTTGTCTGTTGACAAAATGTTTCAATTTACGGAGCAGATGGTAAATGGTAGCGGTAACTAATTTGATGTATAATCATGATTTAATTTTAACTGACAGAAAAATTTACGGTTGGTTGATAATTTTTTTATTCTACGATAGAACCTACGATGCAACGCTCGGGCGCGATCCACACACGCTTCAATCACAGTGCTATGCTGTATCTCTTTCTCAAATCTAATCACTCACGGACCCATCAAGCGCCATGTTTGCTTATGAATTATAGGTAACCTGCTTGAGTGCTCAGTATGATACACTATTGGCACTATCTGCACTGTTTTGTATATGTTTTGTCTAATAGGGCATAATATATAATGCCATACTTGATATCATTGGGTCCCACTTTTTAATTCTAAAATGGAAATTAATTTGGTACATATATATCAATTCTCCCCAGTTATATATAATTAATACGCATTTAAGGAGAAAGTAATACCTTTGATAGAGATGTATAATGTTATAATGCCATACTTGAAATATCTTTGGGTCCCGCTTTTTAATTCTAAAATGAAAATGAATTTGGTACACAAATACCAGTTCTCCCCAGTTATAATTAATACACATTATTAATTTAAAACCACCGTGTATACCTGATTTAAAGAGAAAGTAAATACTTTTGATAGAGATGTATGTGAAATGAATTTAACCACTACACTTTGTTGATATACCATCTTAAAGCCAAGTTTTCTCAGAATATTCAAATATTTCACGTTTCATAGTAGAAGCGATGAAATCCTGCACACTAAAATACGACATTTTGATTATCACCACCTATGAGATTATCACACTGATAACAAGTCCCGCGTTAACATTTTACCTACCGACACCTTAGTCGTAGGAATAGATATAAGTACAGCTGCTAGAGAGTCAGTGGACGTTAGCATTGTTTTAATCAGCATTTTTTTCGATTGGCATATTCATATGAATAAACTTGTATAAAATATTGGGAAAAAAACTTTTATTTCTTTTTTATATACGTCTACGTCGAATCCCGGGGAAGATTTGTTCTCAATTCCTCAAAAATGCAAGACAAATTTTTGAGCTGAATAGGAAAATGTCCACATGTATTTCAAAACAGTGGCTTACGGTAAATATCAATTTCTCGTCGTCTTGTTACAAGCTCATCGCCAAGTAATTACTTACTTTTTATTCGTATGTGATTTATATTTATTTCTGAATAAATCTTTTGTATTTATAGATTACTTTAGAGATTTGGGTATTAATATCAAACCAAGATTCACACATGAATTTTAGAATTTACATGGAATTGACAATAATATGACATGTTTGATTTTCAGAAAAAATATTTTTTTATCCTTGGAAATTGTTTTAGGCATGATTGACTATGATAAGACTGCGTCTTAGCTATTATACCGGGTGTTTGAATATCCCGGTTAAGAGTTGTCTATATATATATCCCATTTTTTTCGACTCGGGTTCAAGTACTCTCTTTTTGAGGACTCTTGAAATCTCCAATCTTACATTTGGTTTAATATACAGTTTGACCTCCGGGAAAAAATGAAAAATAAAATATGAAACGGACCTATAGATTTATGGATTACTTATACGAAAATGAAGAAAATGATTTAACAATTGAGCTTTTGTTTGCGTATAATTGTCCCCAATAGTTAGGACACTTCGCCCAAAAATTATGTTCTCGAGAATATGTTAAATATGACCTAGGCTCTGTTTTCACACTCACACACACACTGTCAATACTTTGGATTTTAGGATTTAAGATGGGTCATTTCATGACAATGTTTCTGGTTTACAATTCATGGTGATTTTACAGTTTTCAAAGTAATGACAAATTAATGTCATTGTGAACTTTGAGTTTAGACAAAATCCAATAAAATATTTATGATTTATTCAATAAAAATTTGCCGACAGACGCATCAAAATCAGCGGAATTTATTTTGGTGATATAATCCTTTTATCTGGAGAACCACAGCAATCGATCTGCTTTTTTTCATATCTCAGAATCAAATTTAATATGATAATATCATGAAAATTTGGCCTTTTGTGTAGTCAAGATAGTAATCGTATTCTATAGATTTTTAAACCACAAACCAATAAATACCTTTTTTATAGATTGAAATAATTTTTATTTGTATAATCAGTGTGTTTATACTTTTTAGTCATACAAGAATTATTGAAATTGTTATGATTGTATTATGTGTTTATTTAAATGTATTTGGCTGATTTAAATGATCTTATCTCATTTATATCGGTCTAGGTGGGGTATATTTTGGTAAATATAGTACAGTCAGTCTACTGTGTTATTTCATTCCATATTTTTGTGTATACACTATACAGATTCAAATCTGGAATACATTTCTGTTGCTCGATCAACCAGGTAAGGTAAAGAGAAAGCGAGTGATTAGCAATGTCGGAATATTCAATTTTCATACTTGGTAGGAGTTAATATTATTTACTTATCTATAATTTTGTATAAATATTGACATACAAACCTCAGCCTTTTGGCGTGCATTTGCGATGTTGATGAAGATGCATCTCTAAGCTTCCATTCTGAGTAAAGCATGGCAACAAGTAAATACATTCCAATTGTAGCCTGTACTGTTACAAGTGCCCCAAATACAGGCTGCTTGTTGAGTTCCGTCGTTGTCCGTGATATAGCATTAGTCTGTATCATTATTGTGCTCAGATCCGTATTTCGGACATTGTTTGTTGAAACGGTCGGATATGCACTGAAACCACTCATCTGGTTTGAAATTGCAACTCGTCTGATTCCAGGTTCCGATTGGGACATCATTTAACTCATCCCCAAAATTAGATTAATCTTGAGAGACGGAGGAATTTCTCAAATCATCTTTGCCTTGCAAAATCAAAGTTTATCTTGATCGTGTAAAGGTCACGTTATCTTGTTATCGAATATGAAATATCGATTTCAACCCCGATGATTAATGGTGCAACATTTCTTTCGAGTTAATGGCACTTGTTTGTTTTAATACTCAACTTGAGATCAAAATGAAATAGGCGGTTAGAAGTATGAATATAAAAATATAACAATATATTTCAGCCATTCTTATGAACGGATCCTAGTTTAAAGGCAAAGTTTGAGCAAAAATTACTCAATGGTTCATATCCATATGTATCGAATACGTTATTCGAGGCTTTGACATGGCTTATGTTACCAATAATAAGTAGTAATAATATTTCCAACAGGTAAACCAGACAGAAAAATAGAACCAATAAAAATTGATGATACCGTTACAAACACTTAATAATCAGCCCCGTCTTGTAGCATGTTTCACAATTTGAATGCACTCACAGCATTGTACTTTTGGAAATAGTAGTACCAGAACATATGTTATTCAACAGAAAAAAAAAACTATCTTCTAAACATTTATTCTGTAGAAAGTTTTTTATAAACGCTGCTGTGGCAGATGAAAGTTGTTTGCAAAATCGGCTTATTCGGGCTCATATTTTTGTTTGCGATGGGTATAACTGTTCTATGGTAACCTGGTCGATGTGCCCTTTATTCTCCAAGCTTGACATAGTACTTTGCGCCCAATCGCTAGGTTTACCACAAGCTATTCACTATTATTTGAAGTTGGTCAAATACAAAGTTATAATGAACGTTTGTTCACGTTTAGACTACATGTAATATAATCTTTCGAATTTCAGTGTTAGAAAGATTAGTCAATATTTTACTACAATCCCAGTGAAAAATAAAAATGAAATCAACGCAACCTATTTACTACAAAATGAACTGCGTTATAGTGAACTTCGTTTATAAAGCATGTGCAATACAAAGAAATCAAAATTGAAAGTCATTGAAAAAGTCTCATTTATGATGGCACGATGTTTAGTCAGACTTGCTGGAATTATTCATCTCTGTAACTCATTTCAATTTCATTATTTATTTCATTGTGAATTCTATACCACTTCAATTTTATATTCCGCATCGAATATCACAGGGGTCATAGAGTCACACACATAGATTTCAAGAAACATGTCGAATTCAAATTATCCTACATATTAGTTGTTATATCATACTTATGTCAACAAACGAAGCACCTATCTGCGGTTAATGTGCAAGCTGTACACTTCCTCCGTTCTATTTAATTTCAATGAGTAAAATCATTGCAACCAAACTCTTTCAAGCTCATTATTTTGTCGAAACAAGAGCGAGTTCAGCGTTATACAGATATGAGGACAAGACATCTGCTGACTGAGCCTAATTTCACTTCGAAAGTCATGTTTTAAAGACCTAAATTACATGAAATGACGTGCGTTTAGGTGAAGAGATTATCACCCTCTAGTACATGAATTGGTTCATTTACCAAATTCAGACTGCAGAGTGGATTTAGACCGATATAGATTACAATTTGATCGTTGACATTACCAGGCGACAGTTTGATTCGCCACTCTATCACTATAATTTTATCATTGAAAAGGAATCTGATTTCAAAAAGTCGGGGCTAATTTTGATTTCGATTTCTCTTGTAATCACATCATTACTTGACAGACATAAAGAACAGTCAAGTAAATGACAGCTGACTTTTCTAACCTTATTCAATGATTGTACACTTATATGATGTTGTGGGATGTATTCTTGTGTCTGAATACAGCGAACCAAACCAAAACTATGGCCATCCATACAATTATAATTAACTTAATTTAGTTGATAACATTTTAGCTAGTAAATATTTGCACTGATTGTTCTATATAATCCATGGTCCACTCCCCCTATTGAAACACGCACCTTCTCATACACATCTATACAAACAAATTCAGTATATATTGTAATTCGAATATATCTCAACAGTGAATTCTTTTTAGAATGAGGCAGGTTATTATCAAGTCTAAATATTGCATAAAATAACTAAATCTAGAATCGATACACAACGTCTAAAAAACTAGGTTTCACTATATTTTAAAACAAACTAACATAATATCCGGTAAATCTACTATTCAATATGCATTCACCATCATGGGAAGAAGTTGGAACATTTCTTGTCACTTTCCCAGATTGTGGGGTCTTCCTAAAACCTAGCTTAACTCATGGGTATGGTATTGTTACAATTTTGACATGCCCCCCCTCTCTCTCTCTGTCAAGCACTTTATACTAAACTACAAGACTCTTTGAACTTTGTATTATACTTAGCTACCCGCCGCCTGCCTACACATCCATGAGGCTGATAAGGGTAATCCCGACGTCTGGACGTCAATGATTTATTATATCACTTTAGTACCTAAATCAAATGTCAGATCATGCTTGGTGTATCTATCGCCCATGGTCAAACTAGTATGTTCGGCGATCGATGACAACGTCTTCACCAACAGAACTAAAAGAGCTACTGTTTGCATTAAGTTAATTAAAAAAAATAGTGAAAGTCACTTGCCTTCGCTATGCTATTCAATTTCACGTCTAGATAATGATCAGGATTTAAACAACGTATCATATTTATTTGACGAACGTATAATAAAATAAATTTTACGATTTACCATTATTACACAAAAAATTATATCACCGAATTATCTACATCAAGCTATCGGTTTTGATTATCGAAATCGTCTGCGAAAAAATAGCAAACACGTTTAACATCGTTCAATCAGCCAGATTGCGGAAGCAGATAATGCGGTCTTGAGTGTACAAATATCATCCCTGTTATCACTCTGTGTATCCAATCGATGCTGTATTGTGTAAAGGTTTTGATAAAATAATATCGAACTGATTTCAGTTTAAATTAATTGATATTAATGCTTCATTGACCGAATTTGACGAATGGGGCCTCTGGACCATATGCTCAATCATCGGATTGTGGCTAGGTCGGTACGGCATGTACAATTTTCAATATTTTAGCAAAGCATATGGATCGTGTTATTCAGTTGCAAGATTCTAAAGAATATTGGTAATACTACAGCAAATACAATGTAAATTTCCACCTCAGCAACGATAAAGTTCCTGCCTGGGGAGGTATTCCGCCGCCGGTTGGAAAAGTGGCTTTAGGGGATTACACACCGTTTAGAATTCAATTCTAATTCTTTCAAAGTTCACCTTATAAAGATTTCTACAGTGACGTTTTCTCCATGGCCCCTCCAATTTTATTAATTGCGTTCACGAGTCCAGTGATACAGAATCTGAGATTTTGGATATTTTTTAGCACTTAATATATTAATTATCATGAAATTAAAAAATATAATCGTGCTTAAAGAAATACGCCTATACGAAAAAGCAGGCATCGGCGGAACGTGACAATAAACACAATCACTCACATAAACAAAACAATAAAATAGCATAATACCTAAATGGGTATGGGTTTTACTTCTTAGAACTTTTCTAATCCTTAATTGTTTTCTTGAAGAATCAGCCACCCAGAGAGATCATCACTATGCTTCACCTGTTCAAAGTCAAAGTCAATCCTGAGAATGATTACATACCACAATATTTGTTCTATTTGCCAAGGAACCTGTAATTAATTGATTGAGACGTATGTTTTTTTTTGTTTTTAGCTTTTGGGAACTAATAAAAATGGGTTAGCAAATTATGAAATCGCATTGTAGCTCTTATAACATATTATGATTCAGCAGACATTGTCTTATGCTTGTGCATAGTTCTATAAAATTTGACGCCATTTTACATTCATTTATTCTTACAGATCTGCTGTAACAAGAAGCAAATTCTGAGAGACTGGAATTACCATAATGTAATCGCGTGATGACGAGCCAGCGTTATACTTCTCGTTCAAAAATACATCGTTGTATTCGTTGTTTTGATTCCTAATTTTGAGAAACTAGGCCCCAATCGGCCCTCATATTAAACCCGATCTCAGTTACACTATGGGTCTAATGATCTGACCGTACTAATGGCGTGTGGTATGTTTGCAACTATCTTAAATATGCAATTTATCCCCAGAAAATATGGTGTGAGCTACACTGAAAAAAGTATCAAATACTTTGCCGATGATATAAAATCATGTGCCAATGAAATAGCGCACATAGACATTCACATAATTCAATAACACGATCAAGCTTCCATTAAGATCGTGCTGTTTTCAAAAACCTTGCAAGGTATGTAGGAAATGACTTCTTCCATATGCTTTCTATCGTCATATTTATTGAACAATTTCCTGTAATGATGCTGTTTAAAATGTGGTATATTTAACTGGTCTTTCAATCACATAAAATCACTCGACGTTTTAAATCCTGATTTATATAGTAAATACGATCCTTAAAATAAAAATATCAACTATCTTTTATCACCGAATCTGCTGCATAAAAAATGTCGGAACAGTTTTCCTTTATTTTGCTGTTGTGCTTACAATGTGATGCTTTTCATATGTTACAAAAACACGTTTCGACTATATCTATAAACCTGCATAATAGTATGGAAAATATCAAGACTGGCATGACACAGGTTCAAACTGAAGCGTGTTGCTACATTAGCAAAGCAATCGACCTTTTTGGTGCCTGATACGACTGTCAACTACAATGGCGGGTATATACAAAACGTGAGAATCATCAGCCGAAATCTAATTCAAACCTTGGGAAAAAAATTCGTGGTACCCTAAACAGCGCTTTTTCGAAACATCGGCTTTGAACATTTTGAAACCAATTGAATTATCCTCCTTTTCCGCTCATTAATTTAGACTAGATTTCAATTTTCTTCATTTAAAAGAACATCGTCATTATACCAGATTTAACTGTGCTAAATTTCCCGATCAAAATGTACATGCACGCACAAAAGTTACTAATTGTGATTGAAAGATCCTGGACATGCGTCTCTCGGAGCCTTGCCAATTTATAGCCATTTACGCTAATCTTTGGCAACTTAAGCAGGCTTAATGTCCCCATCCCCCTACGCATTTTCACGTCACACGAATGTTGCATCGGTGACATGAAAGCAACGTTGTTTATTTCGAATGGTTTGAGAAGTCTGCTTGTAATTTACTTGGATGTGTTTCTGTCCTAAAGCAATCACATTGTGCAAGTCTTAATTTAGTGATTTAGGATAAAAAGGATGCAGCCTCAATCGAATTAAAATATTCAAATTGAAATTCGGGTTGCTATTTCGGTAATTGATGGAATTCGGATACACACACTTGTGGTTTTAAAAACTTGTCGCTGGAGATATCAAAATTTTGAGATATCAAAACGGATTGAAGCTGTGAATAAGGTGTTACAACTGCAATAGGAATATCCGGTGTGAGCGTGTGTTGTGAGCTTGCACAATGATTATAAAACTGAACATTGTAGAGAACCATCAGCAGCGGCACATAGCGTTCATCTAATTCTTTTCATCCTGTGTCATTGAAATAAAAAAAATTTGTGGAACGCCCTTATAATCTTCTACAAACTATACCATTGTACGAAATAAGTGCCCGCATTCCATTTTTTTACGTTCACGTATCATACAAAATTGGAAAATTTATCCGGCTATATCATATAGCACGCCATTAATCCGTTACCCACTGGGAATTCAACCTTCAGTAGCATTGAACAGGCGTGAAGAGTTAAATTTATCACACAGGTCACGAAAGGTTCAGCTTTACATACTTATATACATATACAGGAGAATATATACACTTGATATTTTTTTTCAACAAACGATTTTTGCCGAGTTTTGTATTATTTCATATTATTTTGACGGCGTGCGTGGTCGGTAAATCTATTTGGATATATTCCCGAGAAAAGATCTCTTTTTATCTTCAAATCCAACAATTTGATCGAATTTATCCAAATACATTTTCAAATCTCGATATTACGTATTACTCTGCGATGCGATCCCCTATCCTTTGATGCTAGAGTGTGAATATAATGTTCCATCAATACTCCACGGCCACTTGTTGTACTAATATTCAGAAAGTTTTAATTCATTCAAATCGAAAGTTTTATTGGATGTAAACGCTTGAAGATATTTTCGAAAATCGGATTCACAAAATTTATTTTAATCGAGGCTTATCTGAAGATTGAGAGATATTTGTTGGCGTCTGCTAGGTCACAGTTTTAATGCTTTAATTAGTTTAGTATATACATACCGTATACATTAATTTTCTATGTCGAAACTTTTCAAGCAATCAAATCAATATAAATCAGTTGTTTTATTAGTAAAATTGTTATGTATCCTATAGTTTCGTGATTAAGCAGATAAGCTACGTCGTGTGTGGATTCACTGTCATATAGAGGAGAGGATTTCGAAAATTTGCGCATAAATCCCAGATCGACTAGAATGGTTCTGTATCGCCACCAAACGTGCATTTTATGAAGCAAATTTTTTATGCCATACGCTTGGGCGAATATTGATGCATAAAGTCGCTTCTCATACAACGCGAAGTATGTATAAACAACAACCTTAAAATGCGTGCTTCTCAATAGAACACTTTTAGACATAATTCCGCAAATCATATCCATGTTCGTTGATATATACATTACTCAACATAAATTTTACTCTTAACTGGCCATCCCTTGTATATATATATACATATTTATTCGTCGTACTTAGGATTATTAAGTTAAGAATCTAGAGGGGAAATTACCGCGACATATCATTTAGGATAATAATTGGGAGTATTGCAATTAATAAACCCGTATGACCAAGAGCAAGTTCAAATGCAGATATCTATTGATCTTGAGGAGAATGTCTACACCAAGAACGTATTCATTTACAGGGATTCAGGAATCCTTTTATATAGTATTATTCAGGTAATGTAAAAATATATATATAATTTCAACTCAATAGTAAAAAAATATTCTGAGCTAAGCCACACGTACTCGTTTACAATGGAAAGAAAATAAGTCGAGAGCAAGTTCGGGAGAGATTACTGAAATGTTATAAAGCTCTCAGAAATGTAAATAACACCAGACGTGATTCAAATCGAATATATATATGTTAAATATAGTCTTCTGAATCAAAGTTCAACTTATTTATCTGTCTTTGATTCCCGTAAGGGTTGTCACAATAGTGATACCACTGTCGCGTCCTTTGAAAGGTTTCTAAAATAAGTCTATGTTATTCTTTCGAATAAAGGAAGCTTTAACTTAGCCAAAGATAACAAATGTTATTTTGAAACACAAAAAAGAGACAATGTTTTGTCGTAGTTCAGTGACGACATATTTAAGTCACCTATCCGAAAGAACGGGTCTTCGTAATATGAATGTTATTTGACGAAAATGGAGGTTAGTTGAATGTAACGTTGTTGTCATGGCAGAGTTATTACGGTCAAGTTAGCGATTGGTGTCTGATTTTAATCTTTGTATATTTCTATCAGGTAAATGCAAGAGATGGAATAATTCTCCTGCCGCGTATTTCAGTGAAGTTTTATGTGAGGTTGCGAATATTTAATTTAGAAATCAGAAATTCATATTGGTCCCCACTTCAATGGTGCGATTGTTCGAACATCTATGAATATGATTGGTTTAGGGATTTCCTAAAAATTGAGAAAATAAAATTGGGATAATCACATTTTTTTTGCTATATATATATATATACAGAGTGTTCCAAAAGTAAGTATACGCTTTCAATTTTGATTTGCTTTTCAGGTAATCATCATAGATCTTTCATTTCCTCAAAAAACATAGTATGGATAAGTAGTAAAATTCAGGTATTGTTTGCATTTTTCATCAACCCACAGAATGACAAGGAGATTAACCCACAAAATGAGGTGCAAAATTGCTGTTTGGTAAGAAGCATATATATCAGTAAGGCCAACTCAGTGCCTCTTTAACAGGAAATTTGGAATTAATCCAACTGTTTTCTTCAGAGCGTCAGCTCCTTGGTCTTCCTGATTTTTGTGCTTAAACTACAGATCCAGTTTTCATAAATTTACGATGAATTGCTTAAATTGTTTGTCGTGTAGGAGCTGAATTAATTCCAAACTCTCTGTTGAAGCGGCGCTGAGTTTGTCTTACTGATATATATGCTTCTTGCCAGCAATTTTGCATATCGTTCTTTGGGTTAATCTTCTTGTCATTCTGTGGGTTGATGAAAAATGCAAACAATAGTTAAATTTTCTACTTATCCATACTACGTTTTCTGAAGAAATGAACGCTCTATGATGAGTACCTTGAAAGCAAATAAAAATTAAAAAGTGTATACTTACTTTTGAGACACCCTGTATATATATATATATGTACTTATCTTCAATATGCTTTGGGTAAATCAATTTATAATGTAACCCAGAAACGCGGTTTCGACGCGGGAGATGTGATATCAATATAATATGACAACATAGTATATCAATATGGATTTCTGAAGAAAGATAGCAATTGATAATGATAAATCCTTGAAGTTGAGAAGTTAGTTGTAATGATTACGTTCCTGGGCAAATGAAATTCGCGAACGGTCACAACTAATCAATTCCAGATAATCTGCAAAACTGCAATGTCTGCAGAATCACTAGAAAGTAAATTTGTGCACGTTTTTGAAGATAACTAAAATGAATCAAAGCATAACGAAGTTTTCTAGTCGCGATGCCATATGCAATCAAAACTGCAAAATGCTTGTAGCAAGTAATATAGAAGATAGAATTGAAATAATAAGGCATACATACAAGAATCTCAAATACATATTTATGTGGATTAGTCTTCAAAACAATAAGATCATCGTTCGGCGTGATCAAATCGTCCGTGTATTTCCTTGTCACGTTGCAACAGTCGGATCGAGTAATGTCTTTTATTCTTCAGCACGTAAGCACACATAAACAAGAATCAAACCATGCCCTAAACCACAATTCGGGTAGTATATAAATCTTTTTAGTTTGTCGACAATATCAGACTTTTAATATTATTGTAGGTTATGTACAATCGAAATCATTGTATCGAATTTTCATTGTTCCTTTAGTTTTGTTTAACAAAGACCTAAGCGACGACCTAAACGTGGTTGTTCGCCGTCGTCCGTTCGTAGTTAAACAAAAGCTTGAAGAAAAGTGCGTTATTTCTCTGAAGTGGTTTGGATTGGCCTTATTAATCGAGTGTCATCCGTCTTTATCCATTTTAAACTGATGTCAGTCGGAACCACCAACGGATAATATCTTTTCAGTCGAAGATTGTAAAACAGGCAGGGTCCGTGTTAGTTAAATATTTGAGTTCGTTTCGGTACAAACAAACCATGATCCGACTAAGTAAGCGCCGAGGAGTCCGAGTACTCAAAATAACAGTGAGTTTAATTGTATTTCAAAGAAATTCATAGCATAAAATGGCAATGGACAAATACAATCTGACATGGACAGGAATAGTGTAGAAATAGTTTCAGTGAAGTTCAAAATTTTTAGTAATACTATATTAATAGGGCAACAACGCTTCATATTCGTGTGGAATTTCGATTTACTTTACAATGTTAACAGTGTACTTAAAAGTGCTTGGAAGCGAAAACCAAAAACCTGAACCAAATTAGATTACACACAAGTTATTTTTCAATAATTCAGTTGCCCTAAATCTGTGAAGCAATGTACGCTTCTAACAAAGTTGTTAAGCCTTCGACTAGCGTTTTAGAAAGAACTAAACAATTCGAAAGTTTGTCGCATCCGGCGCAGCAGTCCGATGATCAAAAATCGGAGGGTGACCCTGAAGAAGATAGTGACGGGGAAGGCTTAGATTTTGCCGAACTTGTTAGGGTGAGTACTCTTATATAAAATAGAACAGGGTTTCTCGAACATTTTGTGCCGCGAACCCTTGTTTGTGAATCTTTTTTTTTTTTGAAGGACCCCCACCCTATGTCTTATCAATTTCTGTGTCTCTAACCAAAAAGAAAGAATAATGTTTTCTTTGACTAAAAAAAAACTCATGGAAATCTGAATCAATACATATTAATATTAAATACTGGCAGGCTAACGAAAATTCCATACGATTATGATCTATCTGTATATGTTTCAGACTCTTTTCATATCGTTGCGAACCCCATGTGCAGTCATCACGGACCCACAGGGATCCGCGCACCCCAGTTTGGGAGACCCTGGAATAGACAATATAGCAGAATACAAATATAAAAAGTGTATGTTTAATAAATCTTTGACAAATCAAGTCAACCGCATCCTGATTCTTTTGTCAGTTACGCAAACGTTCGTTTCACAAAACATTTCCAAAAATGTTTTTAAGTATAAATTATGCGATTCATTGAATTTTTACATAATTTTCTGTCCTTAATCAATTGTATAAACTCATAAATACGTTTTAAAAAGGTCCCCTCCGTCTTTTTTGGCACATTTATCAGCTTATAGATAATCGTGGTCGTCTTTCATATTATTGTTAATAAAAATTTATTATTGTATTTCATTTATATTTCTTCCTGCACTGACAATTTGTTATATTATAATATTCTGTAACTCTATTTATAGAACATAACGTCTGAGAGTCAAGCCACAACTGGAGTTAGCGATTCAGATGCTTTACAAGAAGCTTTTAAAATATTAGACTGTGATGAAGATGGTTTTATATCAGTGGCAGATTTAAGAACGGCACTTAAGATGTTCAAAGAAGACGAAGATGAAGATGTTGCAGGAAAGGATTCTGAAAATGAAGAAGAAGAGGAAGATGATGAAGCCGAATTGAAAGAAATGATTGCTGAAGCAGATTTTGATGACGATGGTCAAATAAGTTTTGATGATTTTTTGAAAGTTTTGACAAAACCGGAAGTGCCGGAAGAACCAGAACCAATACCAGAAAATGATGAACAATTTAAAGAAAAAGACAGAAAGAAACGAAAAAAGGGTCACAGAAAGAACGCCAAATAAAATAGCTTAACAATTTTTACGACTTTACTTACTGATAAACTTTCAATGGGAGAACTTATAGATTTTCCTAACCTTCCTGAATAGGGTGCTTTATTGTTTCTAGTTTTAAGGTCCTACAAAAATCTGGAAATCAGTTCAATATTAAAAAATGACATTTGGCTACAAAACAACGATGAAATTCTGGTGCGAAATATTGTTGAAAAGATTGAGTACAAGTTTTATATAATTTGTATGCCGTAAATTTAACTTAGTTGCAAATCATTAACAAATTATTAAAAAAATAATTTAGTCCGGGGAACAAGAACAGCAATCATTACAGCAGGCAGAAATATGCATAATGATATCTAGGTGAATGATATCTTTCTATGGTATTCCATAAAATCCGAAAACATAGAATTTGACAGCGATTACAAGCTTCAAATGCGACTCTTTTAAATCGTTATCAACACATTTTGCCTTGTGTGTGATATGATATTTAAATTATTAGGCAACATAATGTACAACGACTATGGTATATCAGAAATATTTCATTCTATGGTATTATAAATAAATTTGAGAAAGAGTGGGACTATATTTTAATAATATAATAGAAATGCTTTTAAAATCACGTGTTGTAGGATATTATGAGGAATGAGCTGATCACAGTGGTATTTCTTCAGCGTGCAGTCTGAAAGTACACAGCAAGAAAAAACTATAAAATCTATAATAAGTAGATTTGAATCGGTTTTCAATTGAAATATTATCTATATATTTATATTATACAAATTACAAGGTGGCGTAACAGGATTTCCTAACAACTCGTTAGTAGGTCGAAAAGTTCGTGATAAATTTGAACAAGCTGCAAACAAATAACATAAAAAATCTACACATTATCGTACACTTTATCATTCTACAAAAAATAGCAGGATTATCTTGATTTTTCATCAGTCTCCTCTCCAATCATCATAATATTTAGGATTTCTGGACATGCCATTTTCTTTTTCATGAAACCATTTAACTGCGATCCATTTTGATCCTATTAATGTCGGGCATCCCGCATGAAGGCCGTATATATTTGCTTCACCGTCGGGAAGAAGATTATACCAAAAAATTGCGCTTCCTTTTATCGGTTTTGCATATACTTTAGGGTACTTGAAAGCAGTATATCCACCTTCCGGAATGTCTGAAAGATACAAAAGAAATGAGGCGATTCTATTTCCGTCATATTTTTCACCCTCTGAACCCCGCACAAAATTGTCATAGTGAAAAAGAAATTGACCCCCTACGCCATAATGAGATACTTGGAAGACATCAGCTTTTGTCCCGCCAAGTCCAATGATAGTTCGAACTCTTTTAGACAGAGACTTGACTATCGCATCGTCCTTAGTGCCGTTGTCTGTCTTGTATGTTTCATTTTCCAACAACCACGCTACATGCCCCACTCTTGGTGAAGTAATATTAATATTTTTATCCTCTGGTATGTTTTCACGACCGGCGTATCCCCACTGGAGTATAGATTTACTAATTTTGATGACTGAGTCAATTTCGAAATCCCTCGCAACGTCGTAGAAACGTATTATTCTTGGGCTGTAATTTAGTATTTCGGTCTTCACCGGCTGGAAAACAAACCAATAGTTCTTATTTTGAGTCCACAAATAGCATTTCTTCGGTTTCTGAACAATTTCTTCGTTGCACAGTTCTCTGTACAATAGAGATGTACCATCTGTTAAACTTGGTTTGTCGGAGTTAGATGAACAATTCACGTATTTTCGTGGAAATAACGACGAAAATTTTTTGGTGTTCACCCCAATCGCGTATAGTCTTGACAAAGACTCTGCATTCCATTTTTTACACTGTTCGTCGCGACCTACAGCATGCGCAGCTTCCGCAATGTTGGCACAGTCAGTGGCAGAAAGGGTCTTGCCAGCAAGTTTACCGCGAATGTTCCCGTCAGCAAGATCACGAGTATCAAGTTTGTAAGTGTGCTCCAGTCGAAGGAGTGCTTGTCGTGCAGCTACCCTGTCCTGGTGCTTGGGAAATACTTTCATGGCTTTGGTGACATTGCCGTATAGTTTTGTCGCCAAAAACATAGGTACTTTTGACCTATTTTCGAGTTCTCTCCAGTCGTATTTATAACGATTCATCAGTTGCAACTGCCTGACAGGGTGCTCGAAATAATGTTCAAAATTTTCGTATATTTCTTTTGCCTCTAGCTGTATTTGTTCTATGTTTTGCTTAAGTTCTACCAGAGCCTTTTGAGCTGAAATCGTTTGGCCGTGTAGTCTTTCTAGCATCAAATTCTCATATTTCAGCATTGCTTTATAAGTCGAAATAGAACTCGACCATTTTACACCTAGAGTCAAGTTAACAAATCCAAGTATAATGAAAATGCGAATCCTTGACATAGCAACTTCTATCGCAGTTTGACACAAAATTCTAGACTTCCTTAGCTGATATCGGTTAGTGGTCTACGAGTTACTGCCTCAGGGCAGCCTATTATATAGATATATATTGCATTTATCTATGAGATATAATTTCGTCGGATCAATGCAATCTGAAATATTGAAAATATAATTATATGATTTACAGGTTGATAACAAATATTGATTATGTTTATGAATTTTAGAAATCCTAGGAATGATGTTTTTGTACCGCATTTTCCACTTAAGCACAAGTATTTAAAAAGACAAATGTTGAGTGTAATAATTTAAACGGCTTAGCCGAAAATCAATACATAATACGCCTTCTGATTGGAAAACGTATGGAAAATATGCTACCAGTATTGACCACGCAATTACCTCCTAATTACACAACATAAGTGTTAATGGTTTTGTTGTGCATAAATATTGACTTCTTCCTTGCGGAGAAGATGATCGAAAATCGTCTGTGTTTGTATACATCAAAATTAGGGTCGCTTGGCGCTCAACAAATAAAGAAATATTACCACGCTTTCAACAATTCGCATTACGAATGCTCGCGGTTTCCAGTATTGGTGAAGCTGATGCTTGAATATGTTTAATACTTGGGGTTTCTGCAGAGAATTTGTCATTTCATATGCAAAAAGGGAAATTTGTTATTTGTAACAGTAACAATATATAATATCACCTGTATTTACTTTTTATAACTAATAAGAAGAACAAGCCCGCCTGAAGACTAAACTTTTTAATCGTACTGTGCTCAGCTCAAAAACGCATATATATATATATAAAATAATAATATCTTTAGATAATATCTTTTTAGGTGGTTTATTGCACTGTGTCCTTCAAAACTTTTGATATCCAATTAAATTTTACCATATCCTTCGACATGCGATCAAATTCACGTCGCAAAAAACGCTTCCTCTAATCTGCGCAGCTGGCCAAGAATCCCCACGCAGTAATTTCGTTCTGCCGCGCACTGCATAAGTATTGACAATTATGTGTTCGTTCAAAATGTTGTGTTCTTTTCTATTTTTTCTAATTTTCCGCGCAGACCGTATTTTTTGGAGCTCAGATGGCTTTCTATTCCGCGCTACTAAACAAGCTCTCAGAGTTAACGTTGGTCGCAAAGTGAATTGATCTGTGATTGATCATCCTATCTTAACTTCCTGCAATGTACATATCGATAAGCTACACTACTTGCTTGCACCTTGCCACTCGCGTGAATTTATGGACGCATATCTTTCTGTATTCAATTATGAAGTATATATTTAGTGTACGGAATTTCAGCGCACCGAATTTCAGTGTATGGTAACAAGTATTTAAATTTCTCAACCGATGAAGTCTAGCAGAACATTAGTCAATACAAACAATTTGATAATCACACAGCTGATAAAAACTTGCAGTTTGTGGCTATTAACGATCAGAAGAACTGGTGTGAGACGATGTTACCGATTCTATTGTGTTCGGCAGTTCTCCATTCACATCTTTGACTTGCAACGAATTGAACACTCGACTCGAATACGTGTCGAAATAAGTTAACGTGTACTTTAGTATTGTTTTTCGTTTAGTTATAAATCCACAGCAAAACTCGGCGGTTCGCTTCCCGCGGGTGATAATTATATGCGAGAGAATTGCCGGACGCAGGGTTGTTCTCGTAACCGCTGATCTCTACCACCAAGGACATGCATCTAAAACAAACAACTAGCTAACTAATTCCATTCCCGACATAAACAGGTAACCGGACGAAAGACCGTGGTCCGCCATACAATTGAGCAGACTTATCGGCTTCATCATATGTAAATGCTATCTCATCCCATCTTTCGTTTACGCAGCTACGGCGACCGGTGTTACCGCGACGTTTAGGCTGGCAAATAAGACTTGAATAATCCACTACCGAGCAAAGATAGCATAATAATGTAGGAATTCAGTGATAGATAATATCGCCCAATTTGTTAGTCATGTATGCGGCTTTTCAATCTAATCGACATGAGTTTACACAGACAGCAATTCTATGCTAAACATAGATAGTGACAAAATACGAACAACGATGTAAATTGAGAAACAGTAATATCCCGACATTTTTGACCTTGGCGAAGCTCCTGGCAATTTTTAAGTGACCGGTAAGCTACGGATGCTTTTGCTTGGGAAATTGAACATACTATGAACTTTAAGGCGTAAATTAAAGTATAAAACAGCGTACAACCCCTTTTTCAAATATTTTAATTTAGAGATTACTTGAAACATTATCAAAGAACAAAACTGGCAAAGCAAAAATGGCAAAAACTTGATCATTGATTTAGATATTCCAATGGAATAAATTTGAGAAGGTATACAGATTTTCAATATGCATTAACAACGCGTGTACATGCATATTTTAAAAATATGTTTCATGCATACATGCCCTACAATTGTTTTGTATGTGTTTTACGATCGATATAACATTTGAATGGGAATAGATAGAGGCAATGAGATAATATTATGCTGATTAAAGGCTAAAAATTAGAATCTAAAAATTATCATCGAGTTATGTTCGATAATCGGATATAAATCGAAGATAAATTTTAATTGGGAGTAAAAGAGCACACAACAAAATAAAAGAATTCATACAATGTTGGAAATATTGATATTTTCCGAAAATAAAAAAAATATTTGCAAGTGTGGGATCGTGGATTATGAATTGGATAGTCAATTCCCACAAATCAAATTTAAAAATTCTACTAGCATCAATCAGAAAATCAATTGGATTGGATTATTCAATTGGATTTGTAAAGAAGTAAAATATAGAGGGGTGTCAGAGTGAATGAGATGACTAAACTACTAGATAATAAGTCTGTCGCAACGAGTGTATCAAACCAGAATCGAAAAAACACAACATTAGCATTTTTACAGCCAGTTACAACGAGGACTGCATACCAAAAAGAAAAGTAAAATGGGAATAAAGAAAGGACATTATTCATGATCAAACGAAAAGACACATTTGGCTATCATTATTACTAGTTATTTAATACTCATTTTTTGCAATGACAAAATTAACTCATTCAACATCATGATTTAATATAAGTAGTTTCAACACAATCAAGCATTCTATTATTAGATCAAGAACTGTGCAAATATGATAACAAAATTAAGAAAGCATGCTGTAAAATAGGATATATATTTACCTAAAATATATGTAATCGAAAGAACTTATTAAAACAAACAAACAAATAGTTATAAAAATAAGGATGGGTCTGGCAATAATAGCTCATGCGCAATGATTGAAATCGCTGCATTAGTTACAACTATGTAGGATGATAAAAGGATGTCATATAATGATGATATTGTGATGTCACAAAACACTATAAGGCCAACTTATCTATATCTTTAACTTTGAGGTATTGTTATACTACAGCTTAGGCAAAATAGTTACAATGTACAAAAAGGCACTTGAGGAACCAAAGACCAATTTGAAATTACCCCAAAACTATATTAATTGAGATTCCATAATGTAGACATGATTAATATAATGTTAAGGCATATACTTTGGATGTAATCTGGTAAGAAAAACATTTGTTACAACCCAAGCAAATAATGAAAGCTCATAAAAAAAGAGTAAATTTATATGGATATCAATGCTTCTAAGAAGTTGTGGGCAATTACTACCGGGCAAGAATTAACAGAGGAAAACGAAATTGAAGGCCTGAGTACAATTGTTTTTTTATATATCAATGTAGCATAAGTGAGACAATGATGCTAACATCAGATATGGTTAGCCCTTACGAGGCCACATTTAAATCTGTGATACAAAATGTACTTGTTATGTGTTGTAATATTCAATGCTTAAACAGTTAATTAAAAATCATATCGATCAAAATCAGTGTTCTCTTTTACAGATGTCAAATTCAATCATCTTCAGTGTAAGCCAGCAGTCCTGTGTTTATCTGGACGACACTTCGAAATTCCCTTTACAGCTTTTCTACCCTCACCAGGCCCAAATTGCAAAGGTAACACTTCAGAATTGTCGAAATATGCCTCACCCAGTCGGTTTGATTTTTCTGCATCAAGTGATATGATCTTTACATCTTTTATGCAGCCTTTAAATCCTTGTCTGTATCGATCTCCAGTAGAAATTGGAACGTCATCCGTACCACCTGTCATTACAAAAAAGCATATAACAATATTTCCAATAAATGTGTATTTGTTGATAAATATAAAGTATTTACATATTTATCCTGGGGAGATGAAAGCCGATAAGTCACCTCAGTTATATGACGATCAACAGCCTCTTGTCCGGTTACCATTCTATCTTGGGTATGGGATTAGTTAGATAGTTATTTGTTTTTAGATGCATGGACTTGATGGTTGCGGAAGCCGTAACCGACCCGCAGTTACGTGCAGCACCCTAGGGTGGCAAAGAGTCCAGCAATCATCTCGCACATTATAGTCCCCCACGATATTCCTAACACTTACCATAATGCGCCACACCGCCGAGCTGGTATGCAGACGGTAAATATGCAATATCTTGTTATAGTAGAAGATATATACAATAACTGTGTCAGACTAATTTGGATCAGAACCGAAATAATATAAAAAAGAAATAGTGACTTAAATATCTCACCAATAACTGTTATTGTACTGAGTGCTAATAAATATATGGCCACTCTAGAATAAGCATGTAATGTTTTAAACAATTATAACTAACTATATCAGATCTGCATATTTCCTAAGTAGCTTTTCACATTTATATTTAAAATTTGCAACTCCACTATGCTCTCTGATTTCAACTTTGCCTTTTTATGGAACATGGTTAGAAAATGTTTTCGAGTCATGCTTTGTACATAACATGGTTTTCTCATGAATAAATACACTGGTCCACCTCCGTGATATTCAAAATGTATACATCATAAAAAAAGTGCATTTCAATCCAATAGTCCATTTGTTTAAATTAAAAAGGTTTTTAGTTTTCAAATCATTAACAGCAATCAATTGACAAAATAAGATATTGTAAAAACATCATACTCTCAGCATATAATGCCTTTCGCCGTCACCTAAATACCATGATAAACTATATTTACCTATATACAAATCCCCAAGGTCCATATTTTCAGAAAGGTCCCCTTCTGCTTGTACTGCAACTGGCCATTGTAAGTCATCTATCCACATTAAAGCCAAGGATGCTCTTCTGGTTACTGTAACATTGTGCCACTGACCATCTGCTAGTGGAAATGAGCCTTGGGCCTTGACTTGACTAGATCCAAGTTGAAACATATACTCTATACGAGCATCTCTTATTCCAAGTTGAATGAAATCTCCACCACTCTGAAAAACAATTTTTTTTTTGTAAGTATTTCAAACAGAATTTTTTCCCATGTAGTAATAAATAAGAGAATTGTTGAAACCCTAGTTATCACACTAGCAAAATTGTTCATTAAACTATAGACAGCTCGTTTTTCTTACTTTATAATATCTCTTTGGTCGTGTGTGGGTGAGTGTGTATGTGGATTAATTTAATTCTTTAAGGTGATTGAACACATACCACTTCTTTAGGTAAAACTTTCAAACTTGATTCGCTTGGTATGCTATAACAAACCTTATTTGAGGTTTTGCTTGTTTCCTTATTTGATAATAAATTTTTCTATTTTTATCAATTATTTTTTTGTCCTTTATGCTGATTATGGAGTCAAAATAAACTTATACTCACACTAAATACTTGCAATGAAATCCTGAAATATGGATAGTTTTTTATTTGAAAATGTCATTACTTTGGTCATTTCAAAATTTTCAAACTGATCAACTAAATATTATGAAGGTAATAGGGTATGCCACATTTTACCACACAATACTAAATAAAGTATATTAGAAGAAATATTTATGACATTTCTTCGCAATATTTTGGACAACTTGATATATGTACTTACCCTTCCTTGCAGCAATAATAAACCATCTGGATCTTTGGTTTTAAAATGAAGACTTATTTGTTCTGCAACTTCATCATGTGAGAATGTTTCTCCCGAGTAAGATATAAATGAATTTCCACTGAATTTTGCGGATGTACCAGAAACTACAAAAATAATTTTAACTTAATCGTTGAAAACGCAGAAACGTCAAAATTTGAAAATCTTAATACTATTAGGCGGGGTTTCTTAACTAGGAATGCATGCACAGCTGAGGTGCCTGTGAACCATTCCTGGAGGTAGAGGGAAAAGCCTAATCATGAAGTTTTGTAAAAATTCATGTTGACAGAGACATGGCATGGTGCAAGAACAACAAAAAAGTCGCAAAGTTTTACCTGTGTACTACTATAATTCAAATTTAGAATTGCGTTATTTTAGTGTCAGATACTCAGGAAGAATCAAAAATATTGCAATGGTTTTGTTATTTACATACAAAAACTTTACATACAATAAACTTACATACAAAATATTATTTTTCTGCAATGGGATGCAAGATTCATTTGATGATTACAAAAAAAGCAGATATGAGTAAAAAATTCTATGAACTTATCAACATACATCCTGTTGGAATTCCAGAGTCAATGAATAAAGGGCCTAAGACATCTTCTTCTTCCTCTACGTGTGTAGTGGAAGTAGATATTGCAGTGGTCGGAGATTCTGTAACCTCTTCTGTAGTAGTAGCAGGTTCTTCACAACTTTCTACATTCTTAGAACTGACTGCAGCATGAAGGCTGGTATGTTTCCCATCTATTATGACCTGTTAGTAAGCAGATACTAAAATTGTTGACACATAGTCGAATATATATTATGCTAAAGATTAAAGACATAATAAAAATATTTTACATAATTTTATGATTTACCATAAATGAATTAAAATTAAACAGAAATTTCATTGTCATCGCATAGGGATTGCTGGTTTATAGTTCATCATTAGCCCAGCCAGGGTTGGACAATTGAAAGCCATGCCATATTATATATGATTGTTTCCAGTTCTTCAAACATGATAGCTAAATGGAGACTTTTTTCAGAATTTTTGGAGAAAAAAAGGTGAAGTACGTCATGTGGACCCCGAATGAAAAATACACTCACCCGTTCAATGCATCCTTCAAGACCCTCAGTGACTCCAACTTGTTCTGGAATTCGGTCCCAAAAATTAACTCCTCCGATGAATAGCGGACCAGTTAGTTCAGCTCTGCGTCCCCCTTTGGGTGATTGACCTTCTGCTACTACAACATCATCTACTTTCAAAATACCTTTGCGATTTGCTCGATTCGCATGAATTTTATGCCATTGGCCAACACTAAGCCCTGTTCCAGGAGAGCTTAATGTTGCAAGACCTACAATTTGAAATTGAAAATAAACATTTCACATTATATAATTTACTAATTTGAAATATTTGATAACAATGCAATTTGGTTCAAAATTCAATTATTTTAAAATATTATGGCTAAACATTTAGACAATCAAAATTACTGGTGAGTGGTGATTTACAGAAACTGATTTTCTGTTACAACAATTTATAAACATTTCCTCATAAAAATAATATAATGTATTCAACAGAATATTTCAAAAAAAATGAGCTCATTATTAAATTCAGATTCAGATATTTTATTTCTATCATGCAAGAATCACTTTAAAAATTAAAGCACGAAAAACTGTCAAAAGTTTATAATGCCAAAAAAATGCAATTTAATATACTAGTGAGATTTTCATAGCAATCGATAAGGGGTCGCAAAAGACTGCGACAGCCATTGGGCCAGCGACACCTGTTGGCTGGAGTTTTAGAGGGAATGAGGTAAAAATTATAGAATTGAATCACTAAAAATTAACAGTAAAACAAAAAAACAAATCATCAAAGATGCATGAAAGACATCAGAAACACCAAAGACCAAATCTATGCAACATTCACATGGCATGACTTTAAGATTTTGAAACTAATAATATTTATATAACCAATTAAATTGAATAAAATACAGTAACAACAGTAAACATACAAAACAAACCTGAACCACAATTATATCTGAATTCGAGAGATCCATTTCTCATTGCCAGAGAAACAAAAATATCGCTGTCTGAAATGTCCCTTTTTCTGTCATTCAATGCTCCACCGTTGTACAAAATAAGCCCATCATCAAGAGTTCGAACTTTGACTCTGAGCATGACGTCAAACTGTTTTAGGTTATCATGGGTGGCACCAAGTTCCATGTATGATCCCTGGTAAATAAAATGATAATAAGAGAGGTAAAAAGAAGATCATGAAAGGTTAAAGATCTTTGGCATTTTTTTCAATAAGGCAATTCTCGCAAAAAAATCTTGGTGGCTTAATCTAAGGTACGCTACATATAAAGAAAAGTCTATTGGACTTGTTAATATTTTGTTTACAAGAACACACATTTTCTGATACAAAGTTTTCTCTATGATCAAAATGAAAAAAAAAGTTTTGAAAAAAAATTTGAGTTTATGATACAAGTTATCTTGAAGCTAGCTCAAATAAATATCATTTCAGAATGGTTTTATGTGATAGTAACTGTTATTGTAAAATAGTCATCATAATGTTTACCTTGGAAAATGAAGTAGCTTCCGGAATGACATTTCCACCATTTAATGTATCATCTGGCAAGTCATCTAAAATGTAATATACATAGCAATATGGTCATGGACGATATGCGAAATATTATTAGAGCATGTAACATAGCATATATAAGCACTGAGTTAAAATATATTGTTAGATAGAAAGAATAAAATCAATATGCGTTATTGGTGATACTTTTCGTGTAATAGGATAGGATTTAAATAATTATTCCAGGGGAGATGGGAACCAAAAAAGCAGCCTAATCATATGACGAACCACAGCCTCTCATCCGGTTTCCAGTCTATGCCGGGTATGGGATTAGTTAGACAGTTATTTGTTTCGAATGCATGGACTTGATGGTGAGGGAAGCCGTAACCGATCAGCGGTTACGTAAACCATCATAAGGTGGCGAGGAGTCCAACAATCATCTCGCACATAATCATCCCCAAGGAATTTGAACCTCCGAGCCCAAGCAAGGTAACCAGAGGTGTGATGGCGAGCGAATTCCTAACACTTAGCACGATGCGCCACACCTCCATAATGAGATAGGGATCAACAGACTAATATTTTTATTATATAGTATGAAAGTAGTGACATGATTGTCAGACAAAGTACTTATTTGAATATTTGCTTAAAGCTTTTTTTGAAATTAATTTTTATTTACTCTACTCTCTATATATAGACTGTTGTAAACTTCAATATTTTTCTCATTTTGGACAGATGTAACTAAATGAAGCTATATTTATATACCACAAGTTACAATTTAAGTTTAATAACATACTGTAGACATTACATACATATAATATTTTAGGTAATCACGCAATGATATTCATATAGTGGACGATTCAGATAGGCTCTCACGATTCACAAATGATTCCATAAATGATGAGATTATCAATGTACCTGGCGCAGGTGCATCGCTTGGACTCTCATTTTCATTATTCAACGGTTCTAAAACTTCATTTTGGCATTTTGGTCCCCCATATCCAGGTAGGCATTCACACCTGTATCCCAGTTCTCGCTCATAGTCAGGTGTACAAGATCCATAGGCTCCACATGCATCTATGTAGAGAAAATAATATTTCGATGCAATTATGAACACATAAACCACTGATAAAATAGGCTTGAAAAGATTTCTTGTGAATAACACAGGATTTGACAGTTCATCCAATCCTAAACAATTATGTATTGAAATGTATAACAAACTAAACAGATCCTATTTATATTCAAATAGTATGTTCAATGCTACAATTTATTCAGACTAATTGTTTGCAAAATTTCATGCAAAACACTTCGACTTTCAATGCTGAATAAAAAGAAATTTAATGCAAATATGACTATACCTATATCGCCACAAATTTCTTCCTTTCTAAACTGGCATTCTGGCCCAACAAAATCTTTAGAACAAGCGCATGCATATCCTTTGATAGTAGAGTGAGTTTCTGTGCAGACAGAATCATACTGACAAGGAGATTCTTCAGGTCCAGCACCACATGTCTTACAACGTAGAATGCCAACTTGCTCTTCAATGAGTTCTGATGCTCCCATATCAACATTATTATCTCCAATAATCAATTGACTTATGCAGCCTATAATAAATAAGTTTTTGAATAAGGTAGGGCTTTTAATTCTAACCTGAACAAAATTAAAATTGAAATATCGCCATGAATATCTATCTGGTTAAGTAAGAAGTTGAAGATAGAACAGGATTCTATATTTATTTTTAAGAAAGGCTAATGTAGGAAATTTATTTTGATCGGCACGATTGCTTGGCGGTTAAATCGTTTGATCCAACTGAGTTGGCATCGCAGATACACATTTCAGGTTAAAATCCCATGTCCTCACAACCCCCAGGGTGTAATAAATTGGATAAACAATGGCAAACTGGTTAGATTCCGGTCTGTCAAATGAATAGTAACTCGCTACATATCATTACATGTTAGTGTCTGCTTGAATAGGGTCTGTTGAGGAGAAAAAGACGTAAACAACTGTGGTATAAAAATATATAGTGAATACATGCCATCTAACCATTTAGTAACACATATAGGGTCTACAGCTGAAATAATGTTGAACATAACTTAACATTTTAAACATTACATAACATACATTTTCAATAGAGAAAATCATCAAGGTGTTTTAAAAACATTATTAAAAAGCAATCATTGAGTTAGAAAGTTTATGAAACAGTCAAAATGCAAAGAAAGTTACCATAAAATCCAACATCGACTCCCAAAAATTGAAGATGATCAGGAAGAGTTTGACCATCTCTTGGATAACCACCAACATAGAGAGGTTGATCAAGATCTAAAGCTTGGAAGCTTCCTTCAGAAGTTCCATATACAGGTTCATCCTTGTCTAAGATGAGTTGTCCTTCATTACCATGTCTAGATATAGTGACGGTGTGCCATTCGGACATTTGTACCACATCTCGACTGACAATGACAGCATCACCAGAGCCAACATTGTAACGGAATTCAACCTTTTTAAATGTATCAAAATATATCTTTTAAACATTCAATATTTTAAAATATTTAAAATAATGAACTACTACTGCTGGATGTAATACAATATGTATAGTACACACAAAATGAGAAAAAAAATTCAATATTCTTAGGATATTGGTTCTGGGCTATGCTGCTTATAAAAGTATGTTCTTGGTAGAGGAAATCAATCAAACCTTGGTTATTGATCTAGTCTAATGCTTAGATTTAAGCTAAAATGACATAGAAATTGTAAAAGTATATTTTAAAAGAAAAAAAAACATGGAAGCCCACTTAAAATGCGTGTAACAGATGAAAAGTCAACTTGCACTGATGTGCAAAATAACCAATTATCCTATATGCACAATATCATACTCCTAACCATGCACTCAATTCACAAAATTAACTAAAATTAACCAACTAAAATTTAAATACCGGAGTTTGATTTACCTTTCCTTTAATCAAAACTAAACTCATATAATCTCCTCCAGAACCGAATGAATAAAGAAGTAATCCATCTCCCGAGTTAGGCCGGAAAGAAATTGTTATTCTCAAAATTTGATAAAACTCTTCATTTCCAGTGAGACTCAGATATGAGGTTGGTGATTGTGTGAAGTAAGGTATGTATGCTGGAAATAGGAATATACAAAATATGCTGTAATATTCATAAGTTACAACTGAATTATTTTGTAATAAATACATTGATTACTTAATTTAATTTCGTTGAAACTTTTTGTGAGGGTTACGCAAAAATCAAGTAACACAAGCGTGACATAACACTGAAGAATTGTAAACAAGGGAAAGGCGAATATTGCTATAGAAAGGGTGATAATATTTCCCGAATAGCAGTGTGTATTGTAGGCAGATAAGTACAATGAGGTGCTATCAATTTTGCATATCAGTGATTGAGAATAAAGTAAAAAAATGGGTCCAGCAAAGAGCAGTTAATCATGAAGAAGCTAGCTAATTCCACTGAGAACAAGTTGTAAAGCAAAGTTTACCAAGTTTCAAAATATTATAAACAATTTGAATATACAATGAAATCAAATAAAAAAAAATTAATTCACCAAGCAAGTATTTCCACTTCATCAACGAATAACAAAACGTCTTACCATGTACTTTTACTTCAATAGATTTTTCTAGAGTATTTCCCTCAGGATCGGATGAGCAAATGTATGTTCCACCGTCGGTTGAAGATACTTTATCAATCTGTATGACATTACCAGCCACAACAGCAGATTTAGGAAGTTCTCTACCCTGAAATTTAGTAAGTAGAATTAAAAATATAAAATTCCTTTCATATACTAAAATTGTATAACAACAAAGATTTCCTAATAATAACTAATTGATCTGGCAATGATATTAAGAGACTTCAATATTATGAGACATTGATATTTTCAGGATATGTATTGTAAGAAACGGATGGTAATGTTATTTCCTTTTTCACTTACCTGTCTCGTCCATGTTACTGGCAGATCAGTGCCGGTAACAACACATGATATAGCAAGTGCTTCACCAGATCTTGTTTCAAAAACTTCAATCTCAGGGATAATACTCAAAGACAGCGGTTCTAAAGGAGAAATAGTAAGAAGAAATTTCACAAAACAGAATATTACATGTGTAAAAAAATACGAATATATATTAAAACTACCCCACTTCAGCTACAATGCTTGAAATAATAATTTGGGGAATTATTTAAGGTGACCTGGGTTAGTAGATATAGCCAGTAGTGGGATTCAGCTGGTTCGCACCAGTTCTATAGAACCATCTCACAGAATTTTATGAGATCAGCGAACCGGTTAGCATTACTGAAAAAAAACATGACTTTTTGTGACAGAACCGGCTGAAAATATGACATTTGTGTGATGGAACCGGCTGACAAAAATTTTGAATCCCACCACTGGATATAGCCACATGTTTGCAATGATGGAGTGTTGGACAAGATGATGAGAATTCCAGCAATCCCATCGCACATAATTTTCCCCTATAAAGTAGGGGTCGGCAACCTGTGGCCCAAGGAGTATATTAATCTGGCCCGCAGCGCTTCACTGAATTATAGCGACAAAACGGCGGTTTTGATGATGAATTTGTTTTATAATCCAAGCTCAAGGAGTTGATTATATTCTTTTCATAACAGTATTGATATACCCTAACAATTTAATGAACAGCCTACAATTTGATTATAATTAGACAAATGGCAAAACACGGAAAATGCTGAGTGCAGAGCGTTCAATGGTGCAGAAAATACTCGAATAAAGCTTTTTAAGATGCAATGCAATGAGAAAATAAAATCCATATTCTATTCGAGAGATGTATCACTGCTTGATTTTTATAAAAGTATCTTCTTGGAGGTAATCTTTATTCAAATTTTAAAATCCTAAGAAAAAATTCACTTCGATGCCTGAAAGTATGTATGTGTGCAAACAGTTATTTTTAAAAATGAACATCACAAAGAACAAGCTGAGAATTCGTATTAGTGATGCCCATTGTATAAAAAATATTTCAATCCTGGCTTCATCCGGGGTGTCTCCTGGTGTCGCTATCAAGCGTGATGCAACAACAACTGTCACTCACATTAAATGTCATTTGTAATTTTTTTCTGTTGATTATGACGACTGACTTGAGTTCACGAGCGCTGTTTAAAATCTGAAATTTCAACTTCTGATTTGTGTGAGAAAATTGTGATTTATCAGCCATCCGTTCGGTTTTTAACTTTCTAAAAATATGTGCTTCTTCTCGCCAAGAAGTGCAAAAAGTTTGCCGACCCTCGCCCCAAAGGATTCAAATCTGTGAACACACGCTGGGTACAATGCCAAGCATATTTATAATGCATAATACGCTGACTGCCGTAGTTCAAAAAGTATGATGTGACACATAGGAAAAATAGTTTCAACTGAAAAATTCACAAAACAAAAATATTTCAAACCTTGTACAACAATATTTATATCATCCGTTGAAGTACCAGCTACATTTGATGCAATGCATGAATATTTTCCTGCATCAAACGATGTTGCGGAATCAATGGAATACATGCCATCAACAACAGTCAAAAGCTCTAACCCATCCTGTAAATTCATTATTAAAGTATTTTTTTGATCATTGTCAAAATATGGTCAATAATTTAGATTGAATATATTCTTTTTTCCAGCAATAATGCAACAATAGTTAGGTAATGATTAATCCACTCAACCAGCAAAGTTATTTAAAAATGTAGTTATTGTACCTTTGTTATTGTGACTTCAGGCTTGGGACTACCAAGAGCATCACATGATAAATAAAAAGTATCTCCAACTCTGATTTCATCTGGATTTTTTGATACTGTTAGAATTGCTGTTGGATACTCTGAATATATACAAAACAGAATTTGTCAGAATGTTAGTGAAGCCATTTTTATCAGTGAGTATAGAAAATAAAATATACGGCTAAAAATATAAACAAGAATAAAATAATATCTATCCACAAATTACTGAGTATATTAGTTAACTTTTTGTTAGATGACAGTCTACTTCTTCAGACAAAATAAAATATAACTTGATTTAACAGCTGTTTGGAAAGAGATCACTTTTTTTTTTATTCATCACTTTAAAACTATTCTGTTGATGCATCTTTGTGACAACGGCCACATACAGATCAAAATAAGGAAGTAGACAAGGAGATAGGGTCCGCAGTCAATACACAATATTGTTATACCCCCTAGATAAATATGGCTATGAAAAATAATACTTAACAATGTAGTATAAGAAAGTATTGTTATTTGTTCCTCATAGCCAATGTTCCCTCTAATTTTTTGTAGTTTTTTTGTAGTTGTTGTAGTGCGCAGAAATTTTGGTGTGTGCGCACTTTTTTGGAAATGACTAATATTTGTGCAAAAACCAATGAAGAAATTTTGGCGTTCTAACCGGGTAATAAGTGGGCCAACAACAAACTTTCTCAACCTGCCAACCGAGCACATTGTTACATTACATCGAAATACGTCTGTGCGCAGTAAATCTATGCGTATGCGCAGCCTCTGAAAGCTGTGTGCGCGCGCACACCTTATAGGGGAAAACTGCTCATAGCTGTATTTTTTCAGAGGGTACGAGGATATTGTGTATTGAACTGCAGAACCTTCTTGTATTTTCTATCTTAGATATTTTTATAGACAGATATTTAAATATTTTTATCTAGTATTAAGACTTCCATATTCTCACTCAAATAAGTATCATTTTCTGACCATAATTTTAAGCGAATAGGATTTACATATTTATCCCGGGGAGAGGAAAGTCGATAAGACAGCTTGATCGTATAGCGGAGCACGACCTTTCAACCGGTTACCAGTCCATGTTGGGTCTGGGGTTAGCCAGTTATTTGTTTCAGATGCATGGACTTGGTGGTGCAGGAAGCCAAAACCAACCAGCGGTCATGTGAACCACCCTGCGGCGCGATGAGTCCAGCAATCCTCTCGCACATAATAATCCCCTACAGGATTCGAGCCTGTCGAGAATAATAGAACCCAAAAAATGTCTATAGGAATATACAATAAAATAGTTTTACAACTAAAACAAATAATTTATTCATCAAAATACCTTGCACAACTACAGTAACTGATTTAGTTGAAGTTCCAGCTGCGTTCGAAGCAGTACAAACATATTTTCCAGCATCTGTTACATGAGCATTAACAATTCGAAGTAAACCATTGGCTTGAGAACCCTGAAATCACATATTTAGGCATAATAAAATTGGAGATTTACATTTGTGTACTGCTATTCAAATGTTCATAACCATCACCACACCTAATTGTGAGACGAAGTCTTATAATATCAATGTTTCCTTTTAATATAATTTGGATATGAATAATAGCCTACTCCCCCACTTTTCTTCACTGAAAAGTAAAATATGTAACTAAATATTATTAATCAATTGTTTAGGATTACAATAAAACACAATTTTAGGATCTTGTATTTGCTTCTTTTTTTACAACAGCTTAAAGTAAGGAAAATTTAAGTATATACCCGTGTTGTATTAACTGTTCCATCTGATTTTGACCAAGTCAAATCATCAAGCTTGTTGCCAGATACACAATCAAGTTTAATAAGATCACCAGTGTTTACAGTTATTTTGGGTGATTCCACATCCACCATCGGAGATTCTAGTAAAGTATATAATTGTTTTAATTGTCATTTAGTAAACCAATTAATGCACAGAGGCTAGAGAGGATGATAATACCCATTTTTGTAAGAATTTGTACTTCTCATGAATTGCATACCATATGCATGGTGCATAAGTCATTCTTTGCTAAAAAAAACTGTCACAGGATCGCAAAGTACACATTGTAATAATGGGTTTATGTAAGGCACAAAACAGGTTATTGAAAATAATTTTGATATGCTTCGTGAGTGAATAAATATTAAACCAACTATAACCTAATATGTTGGTTTTAAAATAAAAGTCCATTTCTTTGAATAACATTATACAAAAATATACTATTCCCAATATTCCATCAAGATAGTGTCAATATAACAGGGTTTTATGACTGTTACTCAAGTGTTACTGTTACTAAACAATCTATGATTAAGTCTCTTTCATCTAAAAACCTAAAGAATTTCTGAAATATTCCTTCATTTTATCAAATCAACTCACCTAAAGGTAAAAGAGTAACTTCAGCAGTACCAGTTCCTGCAGCATTGGACCCAGTACAAGTATAAGCACCAGAATCTGTGTTTGGATCAAAAGATATAACGTGAAGAACATCTCCCGAAGCGACTATATTTTCAGATATTTGACCCGTAACCTGGAAAAATAAAAATATTGGATAAAGAAAGTGTTTTGATGATTGTGGCACCTTTTCCTTTTAAAGAGCGACATATAAAATATTGCCCAATGCACGCACTGCCTCCAATAACATTTTTAAAGAATATTCTAAATCCACTTTTTAACTATCCCTGACACACGCTTCAAAACCATATAATATTCACATAAACAAGAATTAGCTAGCTATTCTGTTGATTACCTTGCTAAATTTATACGAGATAGGATGGCTTCCTTCATAACCAGAACATGTAATAACTTGAGATTGTCCTGTTGCCACATAAATTACAGCTCCTGGTGGTGATATCTCCAACTTAGGGGCAACTTAAGAGAAAAATCAGCCGGTTAAGTCACACAGTCTATTTATCGAATACCATTACTAAATTTAAAAATCCTATTCTATAAATACTGATAGAAGCAAATCAACAAGTATGCAGTCGATCCATCACTTTACACAAAAATTTAAACACATTGATGTATATGAATCTTATAAAATTATGAGGCAAAATTAAAATTACAAAAATGAAACTGTTTCTTGGATTTGTCATATGAAAAAAAAAATCATAAATAAACAAATACCCAGGATTTCTAAAGTCGACTCAGCGGTACTAATTCCACCATCATTTGAAGCAGTACAGACATAGAGACCAGCACTATCTTCTGTTGTTTTTGCTATAGTTAAAACTCCATTTTCTTGTGTGCTTCCTGTAAATGCAAACATTTCAGTTTGCTCTAGTTTTAGTAAATAAATTAAAAAAAAACTCACATTTATGCCACAGTTGATAAATTAACTACAAACTCTATTTTTTGTGCTGAGAAACTATGATTAAAACTTCCAATGAACAAATGTACACAAAAAAAATCATTTTTTCTCAACATGCTATATATTGACCACACACATGTCAGAAGAAATTCAATACACAAACGCTCTAATTATTAGACAGTTTTAAAATTAACATTGACATGATAGGGCACAGATACAAGTCCATGCTTCCGAAAAACAGTCAACTGGCTAACTAATCCCATACACAACACACAACATGATCTGGTAATCAAACAAAAATGCTGTGGTTCACCATATGATTAAGCCATCTGATCAACTTATGTAAATCATATCATATCCTATACAGTAAGAGACAAAATAAATGTCACAAAACCTGATGGAAGTTGACCATCTTTTTTAGTCCATTCCAATTGGGGTGTTGGGTGACCACTTGCTCCACATCTTAATTGTACTTTTGTTGATAATTTACCAGAAACAATTGTTTTTTCCACAGATGCAAATGGAGTGATGACAGTTTCCTTTTCGCCAACTAAAATTTGATTAAGACTCTTAGTATTCTTGTTTTTATTTATGATATTTCACTAGCATTGAAATATTTTCAGTTATATTAATACCTTTTTGATATAAAAAATTTTAACAAATAAATAATCATCAAAAAGGTTTTTAATTTGTCAGGAAACAAGATGACCAAGAAGAAACAAGGGTAATAAATTTACATGCATTTATGAAATCAACCAAATAATTACTCCGGTATATATTGGACTAAAATACAAACCCTGTGTGTTTATAAAGTCCCATTGTAGTTGATATGAAGTCAGTACTCAATTATATCTCAACCAGTTTTTCGTTTTTGTTTTTTATCAGTTTATATTTACATTATTGTTATCATACATATTTACATACTTGTTTAAATACATCTATAGAGGCCAACATACTCTACATGGGGTCAATTAATTCCTTTTGCAAAAATTCCTAGACTATATGAACAACTTGTATTACTAATTACAAAACTAAATTCAGTTTGAATAAAGAAGTTCAAAATGATGTTTCAGCCTCCTATCAACAACAACATTAATCAAAATTATGATATGTAATCAAAAGTAAAAATTGAAACATATAGATTTGAATGACTAACCTGTTACTGTTACTTTTTGTTGAGCATCTCCTGCAGCACTTGCAGCAATACACATATAAGTTGCAGAATCAGTAATATCATTTGCACGAACACGAATTTCATTTGAATGTCGCTTGTAGTGAGTGAGAATGATTTGTTGACCTGTTTTGGTTACAAAAGTGTTATTGTGTTAAAAATTAAGAACCAAATTAATTGTGTGTGTGGTGTTTCAACAACCTCAAGAAGATTCTTGCTATATTATATTTTATCTCATTGAATAACAAAACTTCATCAAAAAATTATTTTAGCTATGTAGTAGGAATTTATACATTAGTTTAATTGACAGTGAAATAGAAATTGATCAAAGAAATGTTCTAATAGATCAAAATTATCCTGCATAATTAAATCTTACCAAACAGATAGACTTTCTTCCATGCAACATTTGGTACCGGTATGCCATCAGCATTACATCTTAATAATACTGAACTTTCTCTCCTTAAATATACATTCGATGTTGGTTCAATAGAAATTGTTGGTTTTTCTGAATAAAATTTGAACTATAAAATGTTTTGCTGTTTCATTTACTTCAAACATGCATCTAGGCATACAGTAAGGTATAAAAAGATACTGTAGTTAAAATTATTTTTTCTTTTCTAAAAACCAGACCTAATTATTGAAAAATGTTGTTTGTGCATAAAACATAATTGTATTACCGGTAATTAATTGAAAACATTGAAAGATTGTTGTTAATAATTATTTCAATAAGAAATAATTTTTAGTCCATCAATTATGTTCATTTTTAAGTCTAGATCTATAACAGTGTGCTAATATAAATAGGAATTTATCTTTTTTAAATGTTAATAAAAGTTTTGTCCCTGTTGTGTTATCAAAATTATGCATCTTGGAGTCATTTCTTTTCTGAACTAAAAAAAACATATACATGAAGTATCTTGTCAGCATTAGTGATAAAATTGTGTTCTAGTCACTGGAATTAAAAAAAAAAAAACCTCAATTATTTTGATGAGAAATCAGTAAATGCAAATAAAAATTTCAATGCGAATTTGAACAAAGATACTTTGAGAAACACAGCAGCAAAAAAGTTTAATACAATATACAATCGAAAAAATTCAAAAGTGTGCCAATTGTAATACAGGCTTCTTGACTATTTCACATTTAATTGGAGCCATGTTAATAAAACCAATAAACATCTTTAACAAATTTGCTAATGAATTTCTGTTATAATGTAGTACTCACGAATAACACTAAGTAAAGTTGCAACTTCTCTAAATCCGACAACATTTCTAGCAATACAGACATAACTTCCTCCATCTTCTTGAGTAACATTAGTGAATGTTATGACTCCACCATCACCCAGACTGGTGCGTTCTATAAACAAAAGAGTATATAAACTGAATAATCTCAAAGGTATAAGAGATAAAATTACCTACACAAAGTCATAGTATTTTATATTCTAATTTAAGTACAAGTATATTAGGTGTATTTATTTGTATGGTTGCTTTATTTTTATCAGCTTTATGTATATTCCAAATATACAAATGCCAATGAGAAAACCAAAGCAACAACATAAAATATTTCAGTCTGGGGCATGCCTTGCTGAACAGCAAATCTTATAAGATGTTTTGTGTAGTTCCAGCTCTCATTTAATATCAGCATCTTTTTTTATCGTGCGGGTGTTTTCTTAGTTTGCACATAAGTTTGAAAGAATAAGAAATTACATGGTTGAAAAAGAATAAAATAAAAATCAGCGAAGGGGATTTCACAGACTAATTTGTAGAAAAAATAATTCTGTGAATTATTTGAAATTTACTTGTAAATGGTTTTCTGTCAGTTCTACTCCAGGTCACTTCCACTGGATGTCCAGCTGTGGGTCTGCATGTAAAACTGGCTGACTGACCAATCTCCACTCGTTGCTGATTTCTTGGTAAAATCTCAACCTATGAAAAAATGAAAATTTTTGTTCACACAGCTAATGATACGAATTATATAATTTGAATGTACAGGGTGTTCATGAAGTATCATTACAATTTCAATTTAGTTATGAAGTCAGTTCTCAATATATCTTAAGCAGACTTGTTTATTTCATTCCAGGGTTTTTAAGTTTTTTTCTTTATTTAATACACCTGTAGGGGTCGACAATTTATATATTGATAAATTCCCTTTGCAATGACTTCATAACATAATTCATTTCATAACCGTTTATAGTGTGTTATGTACACTTACATGAAAAAACATACATAAAAAATTACAACAAAATATTTTACTTGTTCTGTCATAGATTTAGATTAGGATATTTTATTTCCATCATGCAAGAATCAATGCACGAAGAACTGTCAAAAGTGTCGATGGCATTAAAATAAAATATGTAATTATACACATAATGAATAATGTAACAAATTCATAGCAATTAATAAGGGGACTGTGGGACTGTGACAGTCATCGGGTCAGCAACACTTGTTGGCTGATTTTTGAGGGAGAAAGGACCAAAAATTTATACGAATTTAATCATTCAAAAATAACAGAGAAATATAATGAAAAAATATCATTTGAGTAATAAATGACGCAGCAGCGCCACAGAGGTTTAACTGGGCCTTCAAGAACAAAAAAAATTGCTTATTAATATGAAAAAGGAGAATAAGAATATGGTTGGAGGTTATAACTGTGGTACATTGGATGCAGATTATAAAGGACTCATTTATATGACTCCACATGATGATAAATCATATACATGTGCTTGATAATTCACAATTACTACTTTAATGTTAAAGCTACATTACCTTTGGAAGACTTTTGTCTTCTACTGTAATCGACATCTCACTCCTTGTTGTGCCTCCAGAATTTGTCGCAATGCACATGTATTTTCCAGCATTAGAAATTGTAACATTGCGGAAATATAGTTTGTTACCAATGACCTAAATATTAAAATGATGATAATTAGACGAGAGGGATAAAATGAGCCAGTTACACACAAATAAGACATTCATCTTTTTTTATATTACAACTCATTGGAATTAACATGGGCAGTTAAGATGCACCATGTCTCAACTCATTTTGACCAATTTTGAAAATGTTGTGTGATATAGTGTTCTAATTTCATGACATCAGCTCGGCGGTTGGCCGATTTCTTGCCATCGAAGTGAGATTCATGTAACTGCTGGTTGATTACAGCTTCCTCTGCCATCAAGCTCATGCATCTAATAACTGGTAAACTTCCCCCATTTTCCAATCATGTACTATAACGGTCGTTTGCCATATGAATAGGCTGTCTTATAGAGTTTCTTTTCCGACAGGACAAATATGAAAATCTTATTCCATATTTACTCAATTGACTTCTTAAATAGGATAGCAACTTTGAATCAGCAAAAAGTTTAAAGTTGAATTGTAGCAGCATTATGTTCTTCCCAAAATGTGAAAACAAACAAAAAAGACTAGTTAAATTAATGGTATTACATACTTTGTACTAATACAAATTGTTATAATCATCCTACACAAAATCCAACTTACTCTGGCATTAGGTGGAAGTCTTCGACCATCTGATCTGGCCCATGTTACAGTAGGTACAGGATCACCTTTTGGTACACATGTAACTGATGTATCTGCTCCAACATAGACTGTCAATGATTCTGGGTCAGTTTTGCAGATGGGTTTCTCTACAATAGCTGAACAAAATATGTAACAAGAAAATTATACATAAATCAGTTCATAGTTTGAATTTGTCTTGTCATCGAAAATAACAATCAAAACCTGTAAATGCATAAAAACAATGTCAACTTGTACTGCTTATTGCTAAAATGACGAATATAAAATACAAATACAATAATATCTATTTATTGAACAACAAGCGGTGGTTAGGATCCCATTTAATTAATCTGTCAATTGAATTTTGTGCAAAATTGGTAACAAAATATTAATATAAAGTTAAGTGCAATTTTATGCTATTCGTATCATTGCCCCCCAGTCATGTACCAAAAGCATCTGTTATTCGATAATCATATAGGTCTGCATATATTGTTTTCTTGGTTTGACAAAATGAAACACTCTCTATTCATGTTTCAAAATTGTCATGACCTAGCAATCTGAATTAGTTCCATATCAATGTTCTGTGTAATAATACTTTGTAACAGTGATTCAATACTTACTTGAAGAAGTAACATTAACTGTAATTGTGCCAAAATCTTCTCCAAATACATTTCTTGCAGTACAAACATAGGTGTCACGATTGCTTACTTGAACATTGATGATCTGAAGTGATCCTCCTCTGGGTTCAGCCTAGATTTGAAAATGTAATATTTATCAGGGAACTTGTACAAGTGCATCACAATTCAGTGTTTTTGAATCAATCATAAATTAAAAACCCAACCCAAGGTTTATGATTCAACTGATTTTTGTGAGTTAGTATATATAGTAACTGATGGGTTAGGCCATAATTTTATTCTGATTTTCCTCTTTTTAGTTCTAGTACGAATTCAGGGACTGTCTGTGTTAGCCGAGTGAATATACCCCCTGCCCATAATCTTTTCTACACAAATTGATGTAATTTACTTTTTTATGAAATATGGCAGCATTTCATTGCGTCATGCTTGTCTGCTGATTTATTTTGCAAGACTGTTGCTCAGCTAAGACCTTGTCATACAAATGAACATTTATTTGAGCATTGTATGGGAAATTCTTTAATTTTTACGGTACTCACATTTCCTGGTAGTCCAGGCCTACCCAATCTTCTCCAAGAAAACAATGGTCTAGGACGACCAGTAGCTGTGCATCTCATGTCAATGTTTTCTCCTTCTTTTGCATACACTTGTTCAGGTGTAATCACTGTGACCACTGGTGGCCCTCCAACAGCTATAAGGGAGTTAAAAAAATTACTCACATTTCCCAAATTCGAAATTTATTATGGTCAAATAAAATTTGGTTTTATCCTATAATATTGCATCTACTATCTGGAATCAGTACCTGTAACATCCAATAATGCTGTTGCTTCAGCAAATCCTTGTGGGTTTGATGCTCTGCAATAGAATACTGCTGAATTGTCCATAGATACAGATGGTATGTATAATTCTCCATTGACCACTTCAGCCTTTTCAGGCATTTTCTCGCCAGCAGCTGAATTGATAATGTAAAAATGGTAGAATATTCAATTCTGTGATAAGGAATGTTTAGTTACTTCTCTATTACATGAATTTTCCTTATTTCAGTTAAATATACCAATGGAAAATATATTCTGTTACCTAAGTAATGTACCAGGAAAAGTATCTATAAACAAACAGGCCACAAAAAAATCTACATAAAATTGCAGCTGTTGAACCAATTTATTTTGAATAAAAATATTGCATTTTAGAGGAGTATAATATGGTCATATGCATTTTGACAGATAAATATTATTAAAAAAGAATATCTAAGTAATGCATCAGAAAAAGTATCTATAAACAAACAGACCACAACAAATATCTTTATAAAATTGCAGCTGTTGAACCAATTTTAAAGGAGTATATATATGGTCATAAGCATTTTAACAGAGAAATATTAATAAAAAAGGATACCTAAGTAATGTACCGAAAAAAAGTATCTTTAAAAAACAGGCCACAACAAATACATATATAAAATTGCATCTGTTAAACCAATTTATATTAAATAAAAATATAGCATTTTAAAGGAGCATCTATATGGTCATATGCATTTTGACAGAAATATATCAAAATAAAAAGCTATTCTTTGCACAACAACACCTTTATACAGTAATAAAAATATAAAATTAAAATATTACACTACTATGGCAATATACTGGAAAAGGAGAGCCTAAAAATAAAATTACTCACATGGCCTCCATTCAATGCTAATTGGTGGCGTTCCATCAGCAGTGCATCTAAAGTGAGCTTCATCTCCTTCTCGTATAACTTGTCTTGCTGGCTCAATTGTAACAGAGGGCCGGACTGCACTTGAATCTAATTTAATATCATGGAACGATATTGATTTGGTTCATTAATAAGTTGGTTTAATTATATAAATAAAAGATTGAAACATGATGTCATCTGAACACACATGCAATTGAAGAGTCATGCACTACCATTTTTCAGAAATAGTTTATTCTGTTTGGTTTCTAATCACTAATGGAAAATCTTATCTATTCCAGCATAATCTGAATAAAGTTTATAAGGTGATTCTCAAACACCTATCCCTCTTGTTAAATTTTACATAAAACTGTTGTTTTGTAATTCCGATCACTTCTGTACTAAAATATATAGATTGCAAAATCCCAATGTTGTTTCAAATTCAGGTAACTATAAATAATATTTCTCAACATCTCAGCAATAGATCTAAAATATCTATCCATTACACTGCCAACTCACATCTACCTACATCTGTATATTTTTTTGCACTTTTTCAAAATTCTGACTGAATTCTCTGAATGCCATCATATCCTAGTATCTAGGTAGTGTTGCTGTGAACAATTTGTCAGAAATAATAAAACTGGTGGATGTTCATTAATAGTCTAATTACTTCAAATTTTCTAAAATCATAAAAAACACTCAAGGTATTCAAAATATTCAATCAACATATAGCTAAACTGTAATAAAAATAGTATCTGGTGTAAGCTCGGTGTATTGCAACCCACTAAGCAAAAGAAAAAACAAGTTAAGTTTTGTCAAACTTTATTTCTTGAATAATACATAAAGTGAGTTGCATATGCAACAGTTGAATAATCATTTATCATTTGTAATCGAAAAATTGTTACATATAATAGTGTGTTATGAATATCTATATTTACCGGTAATAAAAACATCAACTTCAATCTAAGTATTGCAAAAATCTCAAAGTTAAATGCTTGTTTAATAATTCCGCGACATTACATTCAATTACAAATGAGCAACTTATTTATGAAATAAAATACTTTTTTTAATTCTAACTTTTGTAATGTTTTTACGCCTCTAATGAATTTGCACTTAAATTATTATGTTTTGTATAAATGAATGTGTAAATAAAATAAAAAGCCAAAAAAAAATTCAAAACTATAAAGCGAAATGAGGATAAGCGAAAATAAAGAAATAAAATACAATTGGTATTGCATGGCAGTGATTAATTAGCAATAATTGAAGCGCTATTATTATATAAAAAATATTGAATTAATCCGCAGTAGCATTTCTTTCATAATGTGAGCGCAGACAAATTAATTTTTATAAGCGAGCAAGCATAAGCTTATTTTATTGCTATGAAATTATAATTTTCTCTCACCATTTTGTTTCACTAAATCTTGCCCACAATTTAGTGAATCTATTTTTATTATAATGAATCATTTATATCGTTTCAAATTGAAAAAATCATAAAATGAATCAAGGTACATCAATCCAGCAACAAAACAAAGAAAATATCTGAGTTTTTGAATCATATTCTCTTATACAAAATAAGAATCAAACAAAGAAAAATGAATATTTTTTCTGAAATTTCAAATTCAGATTTGAAGGAATTTTTTCAATAATTGATTATCTAAAACTTTCAGCCAGATTTGGTTATAAATATTTTATAGCATTTACAATCAAAAATGGACATTAATTTGAATAAGTGTTCTTGTTTGTCTTAGTTAACCTATAAAATGAATATACAAGTATAGATTTGAAATTAATTTATCTTGGTTTCGTATTTGTTTCACAAAAATTGATCGCAGTAAGTGATTGCTTAGGATGAAAATCCAGTATGTAAATTGAATATTAAGCTACTGTGCTAATACGTTTGAGGCAATTTTGTAGTGAACTAATTATGTGTTCATATAAATGTTCTGTGTGCAGAATATCATAAATGTAAACAAATGTGTGAATGAACTGTAGCGCATTTTAGTTTTACAAGTGTGACACAGAATTTGTAACTTTTGCTGTTATTTTTTTAGCAATTTAGAACAAAATCGAAATTATTTTGTATAATGTTCATAACATTTGTAAATTAGGACACCGAGCAAAACACCAGATGAAGGCCAACACAGCATATTCAGAACTATATCTGATTTGTTTTATTATTATAGATTGCCTAAAGCTTGTTTAAATCACAACTTGTTACCACCATTAATTCGTAAAACAAAGCACTGATCTTATACCAGAGTCAACTAATCAATAACCTGATCTCTCAAATGAAAAGCCAAATTGAAAGTAAAATTTACATAATGATCTGGAAACTCTAATCTCAAATACTCCAGCAATATGCACATGCATTCATGCAAATATCAAAATGTTATGAATGTAAAACTATCATTAACAAAAAAACTTGAAAATTATTTTTTGAACTGGTGTAGATATTTGATAGATACAGATTTGTAGGTAAATGTGTGAATGATCTATTCACAGATTTATGCTGTTATTATTTATTATTATCGTATATATAAAATATGGTTCCTGAAAATGCTAACCATAAGGTTTAATTTCTTATTGAAATAAAATTGCATTTGAGTAGTCTGTGTTTTTCTACAATTCAGTGTGGCATGAATTACATATTTTAATTTAATTTTTATAAATTGCATGCAGAAAAGAGATTGGCAGAAAATAATTAGTACATGCTGCAAAGATTAATTGAAATTGTGAAAAGATTAATTAATTGTGTGGGCACCAAGCTGCGTGCAAAATTTTGTTAGTACGCAAATATTCAAAAAAAGAAAACAGGAAACGATAATATGCTGAAAATACACAAAATTAATGTCCAAAACAGCTTTTAGACTGCCTATTTTAAAAGAAAATCATCCTCATGTATGTACATTCCTGGTTTTTGGAGGTTAGGATATTGAAATGCACATATTTTTTAATGAAAAATGCATTATCACAGAAAAATTTGTAAACAAACTGAAATATTCAAGCACTAGATTTTGGACTATACATTTATCATTTATCGGAGACACCTTTATACAAAATATATTTCAGTCAAGTATATTATACATAAACTTGAATAGCATTTTTGGCAATCAAGAATGTTTAGATTGAAAATCTAGTAAGATAATGACAAAAAGTATTAAAATATTCCATCCCATTTTTTTACCACTTTATTCAACAGAGCATTTAATGAAATAATGTGTAATTAGCAATTTGCCATTTTATCACACATTGTTAATAAAAACATGGTGCAAATGTGACATTCCAATTATCATGTGTTATGGCACATGCAATAGGCTACATTAAAAAATTTAATGAAATGGTGTAATGCAGTTAAATATACAATCGGTTTTCATAACTAGTTCAGCAGTCTATAAAATGAGCCACTTTTGAAAGTCATTTTGTCAAAGTCAAATATTTTACAATAAACTGGAAAAGTGCACATTGAAATTGATTTCACTGGAAACTGAAAATTTATTGGTAGTGCATAACTTGAATATTTTTATTATTAAAGTAGATATTGAAATCAAGGTGAACCAATCAAAAAGTTTCTTCACCGATGCAAAACTATCTAAAGTGAATGTAGCATAAAAAATGAGGACATGATATTGGATAACACCAAAGGTCCTAAAACATACAAAAGACAAGAAGAACTTGGCACAAGAAGTGAACAGATTGTGTAAGCAAATGAATATGCATTTGAGTCTTTCGTCCTACATACTTTGGTCACAGATGAAAAACAATTCTTTAGAGCTTATCAAGGATTACCATAAAAGAAAATAGATGAAAAAACAAAAACTTCCAGGACATAAAATTGAGCTTCGAGACTCGACATACAATTTTCAAATAAAAAAGGAAAATTGAAAAGCCTCTTAATTAAATGTTATATTTTAAAATGTTGTTATTTGTTAATCTCTGACTCAAATGTATAAACATTTGCCAATGAAAACATAAAGAAAATTTTCTATCCAAGAAGACAAAAACAAGTTCAAGTTCAGAGATATGATGTAAACCCACACATAAGTGATCACATTCCACATTCTGAACTAACCTCGCTCTACAAACAATGTTGCTTTTTTATCATCGATCTCATACATGTTTGAACCGGTACATACATATGTACCAGTGTCTTCTTCTGTAAGATCTGTGATGTGTAATATGCCATTGAAATCAGTTGCCCTGTCTGGCAGTCTTCCACCTTGTTTTGACCAGTAAACAATATAGGCATTCATCTGAAAAAAAATTGTTCAAATCAAGCACTTAAAATGCAGACTATTTATTTAAACTTTAACTTAATGATGGGATTTAAAATTTTAAGAAAGGGTTTTCTTTTGTATCTACCTCACTAACAACAGTTTCCCTTATTTCACAAAATTCTGTCAAAGTGATGGCTTTAATAAAACAAGATTCACGGATTAGCTGATTATCATGAAATTCCATAAATCTGCTATCAGGATCACATGAAAACCTCCTAAATCTCACCACCTGTTGTGACTAATTCTGTATGACTCTCGATCAATATAATCTGATTTATGACATTACAAAAGTTGAGTCTTCATGTGATATACCTTCATGGAAAAATAGGTACGCAAATTTCGCTTTATTTTACGTTACATTGAAATTTAACAAAAATCCACATTCAAAATAACTGCCTAATTGAAATAGAATAGTCCTATAATTTGAATCTTTCAGTATAATTTTAAAAACAACAATGCAAGATGAATAGTAAAAAAAGTAAAAAATGAAAGTAAAAAAAGTACCTCGCTTTGTGCTGTGCACACAAAAGTGACTTGGCTACCAGTAGGAAGGCTACGTCTTGTTGGTTCCTCAACTTTGACTTCCATCTTGGGTCGTTTCCCTGCAAAAACATACATTGCTTTTATTATAGGAAGGTATTGTTCAAAGTGATGTAGCAAAACTGAACTTCTAAATTAAAGGTCAATCCCAACCCACCCTAAGGATTCAGGGTTCACATATTCATCTTGTGATTTCATACATAGACTTGATGGTGGAGGAACTCGTTCGACCAGTTGCTATGTGAACCACCCTGCGACAGCGAGTAGTCCAGCCCTCCTCTTGCACATAATTTATCCCACATGGTATTCAAACCTGCAAATCCCCACATGGTAATCAGAGGTGTGGTGGCGAGTGACTTCTTAATGCCTAATATGATGCGTCACATACTTACTGGCAATGGTAAGAACAGCAGAGTCCACTCCAACACCGACTTGATTCTGTGCAATACATTCATAAGTACCGGCATCGTTTCTTGCAATGTTTGGTATTGTCAGAGTATAGTCTCTGTTATCAACAACTGCAGAATTAGGAATTGGACGTCCTGCAGCTGTCCCTGTACGATGCCATGTTACATTATAGATGGTGGTTGATTTCACATCACACCTGTAAAGCACATAATATTGACTCGGTTTAATTCCCATTGTGGAGTCAAATGTTACTTATCAACACAGACGATATTTTAACAAATATGTTGCTCAAGACTCGGTACAAGAAGTCAATAAGACTTTGAGAGCAGGGACACTTAAATAACTTTGATGGTGAAATAACAAAATATGATGATATAAAAGGAAGGAAGGGGATGACAAAATGCCCATAATTTTTTAATAAACAAATGCAGGGAAGCTGCAAGTACGATACGCAAACCACTAAACTATTACATACACTACACAAATGCATATCTATGCAGATAACATCTCCTCTTCTTAACTAATTTTTTTCAAATTACCTTAAAGTGGCAGATTTTCCTTCACCAACATTTAACGTAGATGGTGTCACAGTAACAATCGGTGGAGACTGAATGATTCCTCCAGTTGAACCTATGATGCAATACATATATAAAGTTGAAAAATTTGGAAAAAATTCTCGTGAAATAGAGGATAAGATTGCTCTTAATCTCAATACTATTTAATGATGATTAAAATACAGCCCTTGTAAAATACAACCGTAACGCTACACAACATGAGAAAGAGAAGAAAATTGAAAAACTTAGTTCCAAATCTTCAAATATTTAGTACCAGTCATGAATTTGTTAAGTTTTGGTGCTAGCTAGCAGTTATCCAATTTCATACTAAATAAAAATAGCATATGAATGGCAGGAAATTTTTACACATGTACAGGTGTTTTAAAGTATAGAGCAAATAAGCTTGTACCTCCAGTTTTCTTTGTACATTTTCCCCCTGGATTTCTAGGGTTTCCTTCATACCCTTCAGCGCAATTTTCACACCTTGTACCCTCATAACCTTTCTCACATGCAGTACATAAGAGATTTCTGGTCTCTGGGACATATTCACAGGTCCTAGAAAAGCTGAAATTAAACAACAATTTTATAGATTGAACTTTCGAGAAAAATAATGAAAATATGCATTCTAAAATAGAATAAATACTATTCTGATTTAAGAATTTTCCACTCAAATTTCAATTGCATGAAATAGGCTTTTGATTTTTCACATTGCTTGCGTGGATAGAAAATCAAGCATATCTCATAAAAACATAAAAAAGAGAGCAATGATCTAATACATGGACAGGAAGTAGTATCAAATCTTTTACAGTACCGGTAGTCTGACCACCAGATCAATGATATGTGATCATGGAACCACGGCACACATTTTTTAATTTAATTGACGTCAACGCCTGCAACTTTGAAGTAAAAAATAAATCCCAGATACTTTTGAACAATAAGCTTCAACCACTGGAAATGTCAAAGCATTTGGTCCAGAAGTTGAAGAGAAAAGTGTTTTTTATTGCAACAATAACATACTAACAAAACGACCCATTTTGTGTCCAATTATTTTACTCAGATTGTAATCTTAATAGTGAATAACAAATAATGTGCCATATTGGAGTACATTTGGCATACATCATTTAGACATTACTCGTGATGAAGGTAAAATAGCCAATATGACGCACCTGTTTTCTTCTGTATTAGGACATGCACAAGGTGAACAATACATATCAATTGGATTATCTGACATTGTGAAGAAACCAGGTGCGCATGAATCACAACTTGGTCCAACAGTGTTGTCTTGGCATTCCTGTACAAATGAAACAAAGTGATTTAATAATAAAACTTTAAATTCAAATAAATTTTTTTCCATAGTATTGGTAATAACTCAAAAGAAAAAGACCATTAATTATTGTATTTTCCTAATCACCCAAGAAAGGTAAGCAATGTATATCCAGAAGTATACTTACCAAACAGTCTCCTGTTTCCGAGTCACATTTATCTGAATGTCCATTGCATTGACATGGTTTGCATAAACCAAGGTAATATCCACCAGCAGATCGAGTGTACCCTTCAGAACAGTCCTGAAAATATAAGTTGAAGAATTAAATGAATTGGTCAGCCAAATGTTGCTAAGTCTACAAGATTTTAAACATTTTACAATGCTCAAACTTGGTTCAAATAATGTGGCTAATGCATAATCACTAGGATATTTGAAGAGATGTGTTCGGAAAAGACTCAAATTATAATTATTAAAACTGGTTAACATTCGTTCTTTCAAATTAAGGACATGAGCAAAATAGAATACCATTAGCTATATAAGTTCGATTTTTATTATTCATAAAGAACTCACTTCACATGACAATCCTCCATATCCATCAGGGCAAGTACAATGTTCGACTTCATATGCAAAGTCAGTTCCATCTAATTCTTCACCAGAAGCAGTTTCCATGAAAATATAACTGATAGTGGATTCTGATATTGATGTAGAATAACTGGCTCTTATTAGTAAATATTCTAAATCAGCCAAAGCCATGAGCAAATGTTCTCTTGTTGCTGGTTGTCCATCAGCCCTTCGCCAGTTTTGCTGAACAATATTAAGATAATGTTATATATGGAAGTGGGAGAAAACATACTTGACATCTGATAAATAACGTATTCTTGTCTGGGTCAATATTGCCACACCAGGATAACAAGCTGGCTCAGTGGGCGTGGCGCATTGTGCCAAGCGAGATAAATATTTAAATCTCATCATAAGCTAAAGATAAGTGATTTGCAATCCCAAGATGTTGATTACAATATGATTTTTGAGTAGCTACAGAATATACTTGCAATTATTTTTAAAATTATTATTACACATTCTTTCAAAATAAAGATACTTTGAGATATTCTGATTGAATGTAACAAAAGGTTATCAATGCAAGTAGAATTGATGGGAAATGATATATCCCTAGAACATAATCAAATTGTAATATAATTGGCTCAACATGATGAAGCTCGTATCTCAACAGTAATATGATATGTGTTTGAGTGAAATAGATTTGAAGTAAATTTTTGCATATGCGTTATTACCTTAAAATCCCATCTGCGCAGTGTTATAATGAAAACTTATAAATACAACTAACAATAAGTGAAATTTATATATAAATGTTGTTTTGCAAACCTCTCTAAACTTAACAGTTCTTCGAGTCATTTGTCGAGGTTCGACTTCACCACCAGATGTTGCAACAAGCATAATGTCGTTTCCAACAATAATGACATCAGCTTCTGATGTTGGTGCTCCGGAAGAAAGAGGAGTATATGAAACCGTGTAATTAAGTTCTCCGCCATAAGAAACAACCTGAAATGAATATATTCACTAACAGAATAAACTAATGTGGGGCAAAACTTGTAAAAACTAAAGGAAAGTTATGCTGTGAGTAAATGTTAGAGGCAAATTATGATATATTCCAATAGTAATATAAACATTTAATTCAATCACAAATATCTTGAAATTTCTTCAAATTTATTTTTGAATAACGATACCCTATATCAGTGGTACCCAACCCTTTTGTAAGTGACCCAAACTTGAAAAAAAAATAAAGTTTTAAAATATTGTGACCCAAGGATATGCTCAAATACTACAACATGTAGTGCTTTCATGTGTGCAAAATTGAATTGCTTATATAAAACTATGATTTTTATCTAATCATCTATCTTTTATCAGTAATTACTTCAAAGTGAGAAAACTGCACTTGTTGTTTGACATCAGCGACTTTTTGAAATCAAGGCATGGCTTTACTTGAGCAAAATAGATGCTGACAAATTTTTACACTGTGATAGTTCCTAAGTATACAATTAATTGCATAACACTTCAATACCAATAATAAAAAAAAAAATTTATTTTTTCAATTTTTTTTTAGTTTTCTGTTAACAAGCAAGCAACCTAAGATGACTTTCAAGTGACTTTCAACTTTTGTTCATGACGCATCAGTTGGGAAGCAATGCTCTATATCATAAATATTTTCTCGCAATAGCAAATATAAATAAACCTTATTTCCCAAGAATTGAGAAGGCAATTCCCAATAGTAAGTATCAGAAGGAAGATTGTTCATTCTTTGTCTTGTAAGAACCTCTCCTCTAGATCGGACTTGAATATTTTCTGTAAATCGTTGACTCCTTCTTGCATTAGTTAGTGCAAAATTATCAGTATTGAAGTCTGCAGTAACCTAAAACAAAAAAATGTTAAATGTATTAATAATTTTTTTTAAATCAATGAAATATTTGTTTGTAAGTACTCATTATTTGTTTTGTTTTTATATGATATCATCACAGAAATTAGAAAAATTAAAAGGTACAATGAGCCCCAGTTTCTTATGGATAAATATTATAGATCTTATACTGAAGTTCATAACAAGTCTTCATCATGAATTAGTTTCTAACATTTCTGCTAGAGCAAATGATATATGTCAAAACTTGCATAAAAACTATACACAAGGATTAATCCGAAATAATCCAAAAACGACATCATTCTTAATCTGTGTTAGTCAAAATTGACATTTGCATGACCCAAACATTAACAGAGCTATAGTCCACACGATAACTAAAAGAAAAAATTTCTCAAAGCAAAATGATAGTTGTACAAAGACTGATAACTTGAAATGATCAAAGTGTCACCATCTTTACACTGAATTGTATTAAAAAAATAGGAAGAGTATTTTTGAGTTAGAACTAAGAATTGACAACTTAAAACACTTACCACATCTCTGATATAACGAGCAGATTCACATTGTTTAGTGACTCCCATACAGAAACAAGGAAGGCATCCTCCGTTAGTGTTTTCAACACTGAAGTAAAAATAACTAGGCTTGCAGACATCACATTTCAGACCTGATACACTGACCTGTTGTATAATATATTAATATGATGTTTTGAAGGATTATTTAGCACAAAGCACAGGAAGCGAATACAAAAAATTAAAAGGTATAATGTACCAGTTAGTAATTTTTAACTGACCATGCATAGATTGTAGATGGCAGAAATTTTAAAAATCACAATATTTTGAGTGGAAAACTATTTAATTAAAATAATAAAATACGGTAGTATGGAGTTCCAAAATTATGCTGAAAGTGAGAGAATTGTAATATAAATTCACTAGCTTCCTGATATTGGATCTACACTAATTGCAAAAGGCCTACCTACCTTATGCTAAGCACAATGGATAAGATGGACAATGAAAGAATTAGCCTATCCAGTCCCTAAACTCGAGACTGAAACCATAACCAGGCTTTAGTGATAGTTAATAATCACACATGCATAAAACAAACAGATATGACTTGAATATCCAAAAAAATACATAAAATCACATAAAAAGAAAAAGAATTTTATCATTATATTCTACAATCATCATATTATCACAAATTCATGCTAGCTGTAATGACCAACTACTTTTATTACTTTGCAATCGCATTGTCCATCAGAATCACATGTACCATCAACAGAACCATTCGGATCACATTGGCATGAAGTTCCTGTTTTCTTGCATCCTCGAAGTTCATCAATTTCAAATCCACTTGAGCATCTGAAATCAAATCACAGTATAGGATTTAGAGTTTGCATATTTATCATCAAAAAGAGTGAACCATATATTGCTTAATCATATGGCGAACCAAATCCTCTCATTCTTTAACATATTCCTAATTTCATAGCATGACATACTGAGCTGAGCCTTAACTAATCTAAATATAAACTACGGTAATCTTTTAAGCTAGATGATTTGACTCAATATTACTAATGAATTGATTATAAAATATTCTTGAAATGTTTAACTATATAAAAACATTCACCTCCCCAATTTGATACAGACATTTCTTACTGTTAAAAAATAACTTCTTCAAAGATTGCAAAGGAGAAAAGTGATCCAAAAATGACCAAATTCATCATACTTATCACAGTTTCGACCCTCATATCCTGGTGGACATTCATCACAAGTTGGCAATCCATCAATATCTAGAATGCATGATGCCACTCTGATTCTGTCTGAGCGAGAAGGCAACATGGGGCAAGGACAAGGCCTACAAGCACCAACTCTGGGATCACCATAAAATCCTTCCACACATCGATCACATTGGTCACCTGCTGTATTGTCTCTGCAATCCTAAAATAAAAATGATCAGCAAAATAAAGCATTTGATTGATCATCATCAAGTTTTTTATCTTCAATTATTGTGTATGAAAATATGTCAGCTTACAAGGCATTGTCCTGTTTTTGTATCGCATCTGTCACTATGTCCATTACATGAACATCTAACACAAGTTCCAAGGTAAGGTCCATCACTTGATCTGTAGTATCCTGGTGCGCAATCCTGAAAGTGCAATTATTGTCAGATTAATTTACTCTTTATAATAAAACAAGTTTTTGTATTTAAATGAGTGCAGCCTGATGATGATTGCTCGACAACATTTGCAGTATATATATATTTACCTGACTAATAAAAATATAAAATTACTGTGTAGAAAACTGCCTATCCAAATATGTCTAATCATGATTATATAAAACATCATAGAAGTAATCTTGTGAAAGTGTGACTAAACAATGAAGCAGATTCTATACACTACTAAAAAGATGCAATACCCGGGATCCACATTTTCCAAACGGGCAAGAATTCTTTTCTATTTGCTGTAGTATTATGACTATTCTATAGTTCTTTATTATTAATATAAAGCAGGTGGGTGAGTTGCAGATAACACTAGCCAAGGATTCAACAGAGATTGAATGGGAAGTATCAAATAAGAAGGAATAAAGAGTTCCAAAATAGGAGAAGGGATGAGTTTAATGAAAACGGTTGGGAACCACTGACCTAGACAATAAGGTTGTATGTTGGATATAAGCCCTATCCATTATGTTGGATATAAGTTCTATCCAGTTAAATAGAACCACCATCAAACTCTTTCTTTATTGGTTTCATTTTTTGCCCATGTATGTTGGAGTATACTAATTTTGAGATTTGACTAATTTTGAGAAATAATAGTACAAAAGTAAAATATTTATTAGGAATATGTAACAAAATTTCAGTAAATTTATTACCTCACAGGATAAACCTTCATACCCAGGAGGACAAGAACAATATTCAACTTCAACTGCTCTGCGACCTCCTGTGTTTCTGTCGGCTGAGGCTTCGAGTGAAATGTCATAAACACTAAATAAACCAATCAAATAAATGAAAATTAAATACATTATTAAGTATTTTAATTTGGTTAACTTTATTTTGAGAAATTTCTCCATTTCCCAAAATGTCATTTTAGGTTTAAAGGCACATTTAAATCATTAAAAATATGAAAAATTAATTAAAAATTTAAAGTTCATGTCATAACGTTTTTTAGTATAACCAATTCCATGTCTTAAATATGATCGTATATTGGGTTTATCAAAATTAAAATTAGTTTTACAAAAGAATTATATTTGTCGAAGTACAATAATTACCTCCACATCTTCTTGATTTTAACACTCAATTACCCAGTAATATTGTATATATGTCAAAAACAACCAAAATTTATCAATAGTCAAAAAAATCATAAGTTTTCCATTTCATATTCAAACTTACGATGTATATAGCATATCTGTAGAATATGTTGCACGAACAAGAATGCTCTCAATATCAGCTAATGCCATCATTAAATGTTCACGAGTAGCAGGAGTGTTGTCAGTATTCACCCAATAATCCTTGGAAACGGAATTTATTTTATAAAATAAATACTGCTAAATATTGAAAGTGTTTTAAATAATGAACCAATGCTTAACAGCTTACATATTACAACCGTCAAATAAGATATTATTTTGAAAATTTTTATTAATCTTATACGGGCCTGATACTGAACCAATAAAACTCGATGAAAATAAAATGGCAGCGTCCATTTATATGCATATAAAATAATCAAAACACCATTCATTATACAAATAAGATTTTTGTTTAAAACAATTTTTCTATACAAAAGAGACAGCCTGAAATATTCTAAAGTACCAATGGAAAGATTCTAACGCAATAGTACATTCATTGATGTATTTAATAAACTAATATAATATCCCAGTAAATACCTCTGTTAGCTTGACATCATATGAAGCCGGTCGTCCTGGTGATGGATGTACATTGCTTCTATATTCTAAAGTGAAGTCGTTCCCAATGATTTTCACATCTCCAATTCTAGTAATAGGTCTTGCACCCTCATTTTGATCATACTCAATTGTGTACCGAAAGTGGCCTCCATAGGCTGAAATTTTGTTTCCGGAAAACACTGCAGGAAGTACCCAGTAGTAAACATCTCGTGGTTGTAGACTTAAATTTGCCCGAACAGAACCTCTGCCTAAAGATCGTCTCATTTCCACTATATCTTGAAGTCTACGTGTGGAACCAGCATTGGTCAAAAGAAAGCGGTCATTCTCCCCATACTCGGGTACGACCTAAAAAAATGGAATTTAATCAAATATTTTATCATTTCATAAATTTGGATAGGCCAAACTTGTATGATTTCCAAAGCCATTTTCTTTCAAGCCATATCTGTATGGCTGCCTTGCTAAGTAGCCATTTCAGAGCAGAAGTATGAGGAAAAGAGGGAAAAGCCCAAATATCATTTATATTTTCTGATAAAGCTGAATAAAGACAATGTTTCGCTAAAATCTCTATGTGTACTGTATAGCATTTCTCTATACTATATTCAAATATAGTATAATATAATACCACTTTCTACATTGTTGATACTAGTTTAAAAAGAGAAAAATTACCTTATATCTGTACCAGTTTGAACCAGTACATTGTCGAGTGATGCCCATACAGAAGCATTCTGTACATCCATATGGATTACTCTGTTCAAGATGAAAAGTTCCTGGTTTACATGTACCGCATCTTTCCCCTTCAACATTTCTTTTGCACTCACACTCTGTGCCTAATGTGAGTCCAGCTGTTCCTGCTGAATCACATCTTAAAGAGCCAATTAGAAGACAAACGCCATCGTAAGCCTCATAACCAGGTGCACACTCGGAACAATCATCCCCTGTGTATCCTACATCACATGGCACTTTTTCATCAGTTATAATTTTTTCACATTTTCCAACAAATGGACCGACAGTGATTCTTTCATATCCAGCGGCACAATACTGCATGGTAAAGAAATTTGAAACATGATTAAAAAATAAACATAGCTGTATTATTCAAATTTATCTAAGCACAGCTAAATGAACCCACTCAGGTTCCTAAACGGTAACAACAACATGAAAAAAATAGATTTCAAGTCTTGTTATGCGAAGTAGAATGCAATGAATAAATCTGATTTGGCGTAAACAATCCATTCTCAGTGACCATACTAGTGGCTTCAAAAAAAATGAAATCGAAAAATACAACCAACCTGGCAAGATAATCCCTCATAACCTTCTGGGCAAATGCATTTTTCAACATCATAAGCCATCACGCCTGTAGAACTCCCACCTGGTGTTGCAGACTGTTGAGCAACACGCAGGCGGACATCACCAATCCTGTGATAAGAGTGAGAAATTACAATATTATAATTGCACTGCTAGTTACCATGGACTTGTAGGTTTATTTCCCATAGGTGGTTCGAATTCCAAGGCTGTCACGGGCACAGGTTCTTTAGCAAAATTGCTATAGCTATTGACTTTGAAAGTCATTTTCTGAAAGAGTATAATGTAATTGCCTATTTTGCCTTTCTTGATGTTAAAAGTAAAACAATATCATCATTCACATTACCTTATTAAATTTGTTTTATAGCCAGTATTAAATGTTTATTTTTTGGTTTGCATGTGTATGTTTTTTTATTATGAAATATGAAAAACCATAAATTTTACTATGAAGAGTAGGTAGGGGCCCCGCCATCAGATTTCTAATTGGGAGCACCGTTTCTTTCACCGGCCCTGTAACCTGTACTTACCGTATTACTTTTACTGGTAACAAGATAAGTCCATGTGACTAAATTCAGTCTCCTTGATCTCAATGAAAATAAAATGAATCTTACCAAAGAGTTACCAAAAAGCCAAATTAACATACCCTGTGCTAAGCATACTGTTGTCATAAACAGTTCTTAACAGAAGTTTATCAACATTGTTCAAAACTCCTAACATGTCTTCACGATTTGCAACATCACCACCTGGTGTTGTCCAACCATCCTAAAATGCAAAAACATTGAGTAACATTATAATATTGTAAAGTAAGGAATAGCTATTGCCATTTCTGACTCAAACAGTAAAATGGAAGATATGTCAAATGATGAAACTGCCATATAAAAGCTCGGAAATTCCCCATAATGGGATTCTTGCATTTTTTTAAACATACCTCTGTTAGGCTGACATTCCTTGTATGCTTGGATTTTGGTTCTGGGTGTGTTCCTTTGTCGTGATAGACCAGAGTTTTACCATTGGCACCCTCAATGATAACATCACTATAATTTGTTGGCTTCGGTTCAAAGTTATAACTGTTATTGTAGCTGAACGAAAATGTCAGTGTTCCACCATAACTGTTGATCTGTTAGAAAGTTGATACCCAATATTACATGAAAGAAAAACATTAACAAGAGTGGTGTTGGTCTCAATAGGTACATGGGTTAACATATCCAAAAAGAATATCATTAAAACATATTAAAACTATATATAGTGATCTATATATATCTGAAAAATAAATATACAGGTAAAATAAATTTCCAATATCTCAACTATACAATTTTCAACCTATTATTTGTGGCTGTGTTATCTACATTTAATTTATTTTGTCAACCAATTAGATCTTTCAGATTCGATCCCCATGAACACCACCTTCAGATGTTATGAAATTTCTTTCAAAACTCTTTCAAAAAATAGTGTCCCTTCTTTTATAAGTGGTTGATTGTTGGGTCTTGTTCAGAGAGACCTTTATGCACCAAAATATGTCTCAAACGCATTAAAATATAGTAAAATTAGAATAAAATATCCATTCTGAGAGAATCTACATTAATAGCATGATAACTTAGTCAGACAAATTTGCATACAGCTGAACAGAAAAGCTGTTTGCATCATCTAAACTAAATAAACTGATTTACCTTTGCTCCCAAAAATTGAGCTGGTAAGCTCCAATAATGAGCTGCAGCGAGAAATCTTTTTGACAGGTCGATAAGTTGAAGCTCTCTAGCAGCTGGTTTGACAACAATTTGATTTCTATTAATTGGTTCAGAAGCTGGTGTTGGATCAGCCCCCTCCGACTCAGCAGGTTTGATTTCAATGTATCCGACGTCTTCTGGAGATTCGAATGTTATACCGATCTAAGTAAAAAATAAAAATTATTTGATTTTGACGCAAAAATTTAACTTTTCATGATTCACTGTCAAGAAAAATGTGTTGAAATTAAGCAACCTAGCTGTAGTTCAAAAATGCTTGCTCTTTAATGAAGCCCATATTAGTGATATTTGTCACATGAAAAATGTTCATCTTATTTTCTTGAAAAACTTGTGACATTTAATACTGCAGATCTAAACGCAAAAACTATACTTTTGTTTGGCTTGCCACGAAACTTGCCAACAATTCTGAATCCACAAGTTTACAAATAGTATCTCCAATTATGCAACCATCTCATACTCGCTTTTTATTTTGTGTTAGTAAAAACGTTTTTCACTACCAGTACCTCGTCATATTCCCTTTTCAGTGGTTCACATTCATTGGTTACTCCGAAACAATAACAAGGTCTGCATGAATCTTCTTCCATCCCATATTGTCCAGGTGGACAAGGTGGTTGGTCATCAGGTTCTCCAGCATCTTGAAATGAGAAAAATGAACTCAACATTTAGCATAGCATTTTTACATGGCAGAAAACAGATTGATTTGAATTTTCATATGTTTGATAAGAGAATTTTGTCTATCCATAAATATATATTGCATTTATATTAGATTTGTTACTCACCAATAACTGTTAATACAGCATCTGGTACAGCAAATATACTTCCTTTTGAATTTATGGCTTCACATGTGTAAGCACCTTGATCGATTCGCCAAGCTTGCCTAAAAACAAGTCATAAAAATCAGTCAGACTAAAAATAAAAAGCTGAAAAATCAAAAGCAAACTAATTTTTACATTTTAAATCAAAAGCAAATAAAAAACAATCATTTTCAATGCAATTATAACAATTCTATATAAAAACAATATTAGAATAGTCAAATCATTTAGGGCTTCCTCACTTGATAGTTAATTCACCCTTTCCATTCACTGAAGTCATGCTGATCCGGGGTGGAGTCCCCACATTACCCCAGTTTAACCTCCAAGACACAATAGGGGTTGGTATCCCATAGGCTTCACATTCCAGAATAACCAAATCGCCCTCTTTAACAGTAACGTTTTTTCGTGGACCAGTAATAATAATAGGAGCCGCTGGAAAAGAAAAATAGAAAATATTTATAACTTCTATTTTTCTATATCAGTTGCAAAGTTGCTTGTTTCAAAAGGAGTGCTTCTATTTATATTTAGTCCTTCACGCGATACGACAACCATACCAATTCCGAATTCGAATGCCATTCATTCACTGACTAATTTAAACAATATGTATTACTTCATCCTATCATCAATTATAAGTGCCTTACCGCATCCATCTTCGTCGGAACCGTCTCGGCAATCGGTTTCTCCATCGCATTGATAACTTGCCGGAACGCACATAGAATCAGAAGAACATTCGAATTCAATTCCACGGCAGTTCGAACCAGGTGCAGCAGTGGCTAAAAATGTATGCATTTAATTTAGGTATATATGTGATCGCACAGCAGAAAATCTTTTTAATTCAAGACTTTATTATAATGTATTCCAAAAATAAGTTGTTAAATCAACTTACGACAACCCAATTCGTCATACCCGTCACCGCAATCATCGTCACCGTCACATCTCCACATCTTTTGGGCACATATGCCGGTGCCGACACAGAGAAATTCAGTTGGATCGCATTTGCCTGAATCGGCTGTAAAAATAGTGATTTATTATAAATATTTATGAACGAAGTATTTACATGTATAATTTTTATAAAAAGTTACTGCCAATTGCTGAATTTAACAATGAAGAATGATTCATATTTTAATTGAAAAGGTACTAACATTCCAAGGTTACATGTTATTTTCGAAATTAGTTATAAAATGGCTTGCAACTCTTCAGAAGAAAACAAGAATGTATTTCAAGAATGTACGATAGAGCTAATCTTAGAGATCCATCTTTCTGCCTTCGCATAGCTTATTTGTCACTCGTTACAATGGTTACCTATGTGCTACTTTTGGTTTGAGATAAAATCTCTAATTCTGTTCCTGACAGTCAGGTTATCAAAGTATTACCGTTGCCGCAACTAGGTGGTTCGTCGCTTCCATCTGTGCAATCATTTGTGCCATCGCAAATTCGTCTTCGATCGATACACTGGCCGTTACGGCAAGTTGCTTCTGTGCCGCGACAATTGAATGGGCGACTGGTCGGACGAACAACAACAGTACCGTCTCCATCTATCCCGTCGCCATGGTCAGGGGGCGTAGGTTCCGTTCTCTGTATTTAAAAAAGATTTCAATATTTTTGAGCAATTGCCACTAACTCCCCGCACACAATCATATGTCTAATTGCCTCCTCCAGATACACGGTATAAAATACCAAGCAGGTATCAATTTGAAAATATGTATTCCGTTTTTTAATTTAATAAGTCATTTACATTTGCTGAGGTGCATTAGACAAAGTTTGAAATCGAATAAAAGTGAGCAGATTGAACGATAATTATAACATGCATTACCGGTTGTGTCGTTGTTGGGGCCTTAGACGTTGTTGTTGCCGTGGTTTCAACTTGACTAGCGGGTCCTGTAAAAATTGAAAGTTTGGCGTCACGTATATTTTACACAACTGCATTAACTTGGATGTTCGAAATCTGAAAAAATCTAATGTAAAAATAACATACTGCATTCCGCTCTTGTCCGATCTCTTCCAACTTCCCTGATTGTAAAATCCTCTTCAGTGACAGCTAAGTCTCCAATTTGTCCGGATTTTAGTAAGTCCCGCATTGCCTTTTCTAAGCTTTCAGGTGAATTGGAAGAGCAAGCTCCAACGTCAATTAAGACATCGACGAAGCCGTTTGGACGTTGCCTAGACAAAGTAACATGTTCAGGAATTTCTTCCATTATGACCTAATCACAATATTCAACAGTATTTGATGGATATTATACCAATAGACAATCACAACAACCTCTTTCTGCGCATGTGCAATCGACTGACATAAGCCCAATTGTGTCACAGGTAATGACGAGTAAATAAATAAGCCGAAAACTGTTCAAATTAGAACAAGCTGATGTGACTATGCATGGAAATGTGTATGAAATGTTTTCACTCACGTGAACATAAGCGGAGTAGCTTCATGGTATCCTGGTAATACACTGGATAGATATTCTTCAACCTGAAAAAAAATAAACAAAGTTATTTTGTGTTATTACCACCTTTATTTTTCATTCCAAGCTTCCTATCGGTTTTAATTTGGCCACCGCATAAATTTAATGACTTTGTCGATTACGAGAACAACAGGTGAAGCGGATGTCTAAACTCTGTTGACTATTTGCTCAAGTCTCGAAAACAATGGAAGAGGAGGGATCATCTTTCGCGATTAGGGGGCTTAATTCAGTGGAAAATTGTTGCCATCGTTAATGTGGGTCGGTCATCAGACGGATAGAAGGTAAATCAAAAGCTTTTTTCAGTAGGGAGAAATATAGCTAAGAAAACAAAAAAATAATCGTACAATTGCAAATATATTATTTTGAGTTGTATTATCATGGGTTGTAGATTGGCCTACATACCGCGTAGGTCGAATATCTATAAGTGTACACAATTAAAATAACAGTAATACATTAATTTAGGCAGGAGAAGTGACAATTTGATGATCGTATACGAAAAAGTATATACTTGCATGGTGATGACAGGATCGAACAGGAACGTTTTTACAAGACAGCAATATATTTGTTAAACACTTGAACCATGTAACCGGTAAATATTGTTTTATTATTTAAGTGATGGTGTGTGTTCTAGCTTTTTACTCAGGAAAGGGGAACATTTGACTCTGATTACGATGGGAGTGACAGTTCCTAAAAGCATGTTAATTTGTCGCTCATCTTTGAGATTTGGTATGTCGTCTAGCAATGAAAAAATTTCAGGCATATAATTGTCATAAACCAAAAATAAGGGTTGAAATCACAACTTATTTTAACAGTGTTCGTGGGTGTTGAGGGTTTTCTGTTTTTTATTTGTTGTCATCCACGCGCGGTTATTCATGTAAAGATAGTTTGATCGGATGTATTGGTAAAATATCTCTTTAATCTGAAAACCCAAACAAACATTGTCTTTTCACTAAAAAACAAATCTTGGATTACCGAAGGCTATTTTCTCAACCACGTCAACTATTTGCTATTGTCTGTAAGAATCTTCTGTGAACAAACTCGCAATGTCTGATACATTCTTTAGATTCAATTATCGAATGATAATTTTCAGAGACTCAAATTTTATGTGGAATACAAAAACCAAATTTACTATGCTGCAACACCATGCTGGGCTTATTTTATCTTTTAAACGCTTATTCTTTCAAGTTGTTTCATTAGTTGGCATTCTACACCCTGCCCTCAATCAGGGGGAGTGGAAAAACAATACATAAAATGCCTTTCAAATATTTATCTATAATGCGGGAAAATTGAATAATTTTTGTAGTTGATAATATACCGTAACAAATAGGTTTTATCGGGTGTATTGACCTAACTTATCTATAAATATTGATAAAAATGAGTAGAAAATAATATTCCTGAAAAAGATATCCTGCACTCAGCATGATGATAAAAAAATCTGAAAATGATTGCCCAACAAATGGCAAACGCGAGTAATATTTACCGGCGACAGCTGACCAAACATTTGGGACACTATAAAGTTGATAATCTGGAAATAAAGGGGTTTGTCTTGGCTCGCTACCCCAAATAAAGTGTTTACCAAGTACCGTAATTATAGATATTAGTAAGGCACACTTAAATATTTTTTGCAATATATTTAACTTTGATGACGTGTTCACCTAAACCATTGTGTGGGTTCAAATATGGGCTTAGAGCCAAGTTTTTAGTGAAACACGGTGACTTGACTTTAATAATTGTATATCACAAAACATTTACCGACTTTTCCACAAATTAGTGAAAAGGCTCTTTATATTTGCATAAAGCTATAAATCGTCTGCGACAAAATGTGAAAACAGACACTATATATTTAGGCATCAATGAAGATATGCTTAATCATCTTAGCAATAACAAGTAAAAGTATATCCAGCAACACACAAATAGCATTTTTGCTATTTGTAACTTAAAACCTCATAGCAATTACGAATCCAACGCAAAACTAAATTACTTTAGCCCGGGGCGGGTATACGGAAACATATAAGATTTTACAATTTGATAGGCTACTACTACTATGCTACTTCGTTATTAAACCGTAAATTCAGTTCATTTGCTGGGTAATTCATGATTTGTTAGGTAAACATGCCTTTCAGGCCGAAGCTTGATCATACTTGATTCACCCTTCAAAATCTATCACATGTGTGGCCCATGGTTAAGACCAGTTTTATTTGATATTTTATCGCTGAGATTTATTATGCTACTATAGCCACAGCGGTCAGTTACCGTTGAAAAATTTGAACTTTAGAAAATTTTGATAAAGTATTTTAACCATCGTAACAATTTCGGTGGAATGCCGGCTCAAGGGAAAATTGATTCTCATTGAGTGATCGTGCAGCTTTTATCGCGGTTAAAACGCAAATCCGATCCCAGTTTGCGCAAAATTCTCTCTCGAAATACTCTCGATATTTACCTTTTAACAATTTGAGTTTGCTTCATCGCATATTTTCACAGTGCTAAATATTTTTCGTAAAATGAAAAATTACACTCACCCCGAACATAATTTTGTCGGATAAGGAATGAAAAGTCTCTGTTGTGTAGTCTTGAAGTTCAATGGTGTACTCAATGGAATCGAGAAAATTTACCTTCGACCTGTACCACACTGTAAAAGAAAATGCAAATAGTAAAAAAACTTTTCAATATAATAGTATTTATTCAACGGAATCCTCCGGCGCGTGACAAAGTAAAAGGCATTAAGCACAAATTTTGGGCAAATTATAAAATTTCTCCTATATTTGCGAATTTACCAAATATCAACGAGGCACGCGAATTACACCGGTATTCTGATAGGCATTCTGATGAATTAGAATAAATGCGATCTGTGGGATTATAAGTATTTTCTGCGGCTGAACATTGCACAAGACAATACAGCATTGAGGAAAGTGAGAATAATACTCTGTAAAAACAAAGTCTGTACTCTCATAATACACCATAAAGAACGTTCCAGTATAACCAACGCCTATATAATTGTTACTTTTATGGCCCCAAGTTAAACACATGTGTGGGCGGATTTTATATGCTCGAAAAAGACCCAATTCCTAAATACTTTGCACGAAACGAGAAACCCAGAATAAAGCTTAACAGCCGTAAGCGGGCCACTCAATTAATCGAATATGGGTAATGTTATTGGACGTTGTCGCTTTTTAGACAGTGACACAATAAAACCCCAAACCAGACGAATTCAACCGGAAGACATACAACACGGAAATGAGGAGTTACAAAATTATATTATTCCCTGTTTCCCCCTAAATTAAACAAGGCCTAACGGGATGTCGAAATACAAATAAAACTTTACAAATCGTTCGTTTAAAATCAACATTCAAAAATGCTGAAACTTCAAACGCTTCTAATAACTTAATAATCGATTACTCAATTATTAGTCTTTGTAGTTGTTGAAAATGCCTTCACTCAAGCATACTCACTCACTCAACGCACGTATTTATTTATATTCAATGATTAAGAATTTCAGTGGTTATCAATGTTTCACTGGGTGAGTATCTTTCACTTCTGATTGAGTGGACCTTGCTTTGATCAACATTCATTCACAAAAAATGATTCTTCGTAGCGCTCGTGGTAGCGCTCCTTCCCAAATCAGATCAGTCTTTACTTCCCGTCTCGTGAGACAGTCGACTGAATAACTCATGACTTTTGAACTTCTTGCTTGAAGACAATGGTCGCTCTTATGTCAACAGCCAATAGGACAAATTCATTAATGACTCAAATTTTTTTTCGCTAGGACAAGTATGATACAATCTTTTATATACGTTTTGTATTTGTTTCGTGTCTATCTTGAACAAAGTATAAACTATCTTAAACAAAGTGTATAAAATAGTGTGTCATGGCGTCTTGAGTTTTTAAGGACTCGGTCACAAAACGCTTCTACTCTCATTAAAAATCTTGACCGAACATTGAGATTTATCATGATTACATCATCGTTTGAAAATTTAGTTTGCCTACACGACACAGATAGAAAATTATTAGTCTATTTATCATAACGAATAAATACAAGCAGGCGCGATTACAGAGTATGGAAGAGACCATTTTCAAACAAATTCTATATCTTAAATATGGCCCATGGATGAAACAAACTTATGGATCTTGATTAATGGACTAGGTTTGTAGGTCGAAAGGTTTTGATATAGTTTGATAACAAAAATTTCATAATAACGAGCAGCAATTCGTAACGTTTATCAACAATTTCGAGTAAATGTTTCACAGATTGTGTCGTTGTTTTCGGAGTGGCAATGCGTGCAAAATTTGAATCACATTCCCAATTTCACTGTCGATATTGTGTAATAGAACATTTGGTTTTAAAAATCTGAAACAAGGAGTTTCCTATAGACTGTATTGAGGGTGACTTTTCCACGACGGGACTTGTTCGATTGACATGGTTTTCAAGATAGTTATATATTGATTTAGTTTTTTTCTTGTGCTTTGTGATATCTAGACAGCAAAAGTCTCAATAACATGTTTATTGAAATACGTCTTTGGTGGCTTCTATACAGTAATCTGGCCTATTTATAGTTTTAAATACTGGACCAATAACAATCAAATGATCTCAAAATAAGACCTAATAAATTTATCCTCCCTTGGGAATGACCTCGTATTAATTTCGTCGCCTGAAGACGCGACAGATTTTTGTTCCCATGGTCAATCATGCGTGAGACAATGACAAATAAGACTGCGTGATTACGTTCATGATTTTCATGCTAATCCGAGCGTAAATGACACTGTAGAGTAGCTTATTTATGACGTCATGAGTTCACATGATATCAAAGAAGTACGCCTTAAAAACGCGTCAAGCCGAAGGATAGACGTAACATTCGGTTAGTTGTGAAGGAAACCAAAGTACAAGAGATTTCTAGAAATACCACCTCAATGTAAAAAACGTAAAATAAAATTCCATTCTTTGTAATTGTACTTGATCTGACTATTGACTTACTGAGTATGGACACAAGATGGATAGCATGGTGAAGTAACTTCCATATTTGCCCATAATAAGTCGATGGTTCAAATAAAATTCTATTAGCACAATCTTTCAAAACGCCAGTAAACACGTCGGTAACATCCTGTAGCCCTATAAAATTTATGGCAGCTCTCAATTTATATTTAGATGATGTTCAATTAATGATGAGTCTGAATATGCCTTTTGAAATGTACTATAAAATGTAATCACCAGAATTAAAATGCGAAAAAGGAGTTGTTGCGCAAATAGACTCATCATAAGGAAAGAAGGCTTTAACCGCAGATTTTTCTCTTTATGTGAAGATATAAGATGTTAGGACAACCACCTATTGATGATTAAGAACCCAAAGGTAATATAAAACAGTCTCCATTGTATAAATGGTGAAGTTTATTCCCAATTAGTAATTAAAATTAAATTAATTTGGTATAATTAATTCCTCCTAATACTCAAACCTAAGCAAATCGGTAGGGAACCAAAAACCTACGAAGGCAACAAGGTTGGAATAATAAGAACCTTCCAGTCCGTGGTTTGAGTTAGGTGGTTGAAAAATTTGGCCTTGAAAAGAGTGCAATCTAGCCATACCAAAAAGATCATAAAACTCAATTTTACTGCAACCAACAACACGATCTAATAGCTCACAGGCTCTCCCTAAAACCTAAATAATGAATAGTACGGATCCATCGTATTCTGCCCAGAATCAAACAAACATGAAATTCGTCATTACAAATTAAAGATAACTAATCCCTACATAACTTCCCAATTAGACGCGGGGATTACACGGTTTAATATTAGTCTTGTTTTCTTCGACTTAGGTTGTGGCGGCTTTTGTCATATTAAATTATAAAAAATTGTAAGTTGTATTTCCAAAACAGCCGAAGCGCAAGATTTGGGCGCTTATCTTATCTGTGATCAAATATCATAGTTGATAATCAGGATTATAATACTATTGAATGCGATTTCAGAGATATTATAATTAAATGGCAAAACTCTGAATAAAACCTATTGCCGCAAGCAGAATGAGAATATACTAAATGAAGCCAAAAGTTACAGGTGACAAGTAAGGACGAGTTTCTCAATCAAATGTGCTTCCAACTGTATTTGTGTATTTGTAAATTGCAAATAAAATCTTATTGTTGGAAATTACACCAATCTTATCCATGTATTTCTGTATCTAATTTCTAAGTCTTTTTGGCACTTATTTGAATGAATCCAATTCTGAATTTCCATATTTCGTGAAATAAAACAGTGGAGGTAGCTCTAACGATTTTCTTGAATAATATAAAGCACTTCAATGACAATATCCATGTTCCCAATATCCGATCATTTCCAGAAAACTTTTCTCAATTATGTCGTCATCGGTTATAAAACAACATTAACCAGGTGCAAAAATAAATTGGTGATGTGCTTCTTTGAATACGAAAAGTGTACACTTCACCCCTACAACCCCAAAAGATTATTGTAACGATACGATGTAATTTGGGGTCTAAATACTTTTGTGGTTCAATTGAATTGAAAAGTTAAATGAAATAGATACTTTATATATAAACTTGTGTGTGTATAATCCCCAACCAGTACTACTGAAACCGTATTACACTGGAAATTGGCGTCAGAATATACCAGCCTTGATTATTTACTGTGAATCACTCGGAAGCGAATTGAGTACTAGGTTGCGACCTCTTTACAAGTCCTTACTTGGACATATTTTTCAAATTGGGTCGGTTTTTCATCTCTAGATCAAAACATAACCCGTATTGTACGCGATTGCAGGTATTTGAATGAGAGATCTTCCAAATACCGAAACATTCGATCAGACTAAAAATTTATCGTGGAAATGTGAAACAGCCCAGTCAGCAAACTCAAACAAATCTTGAATATAAACGCAAACCCCAAATATGACATAAACACAATGGTCTGTGTTGTATAACTATAACCGTCCAAAGTTCTAAAGTGTCGTCTTCGTAAGTCGACGATTGACGCATCCTCAAATCTTCAAATAAGGAAATCGGCGATTTGTAAGCTACTGTGATAAAATGAGGTATACTTGAGCCACTATTAACTGGCGTAATATGGGTAGCGGTTCATGTGAGATCGCGACAATGGCAAACTTTGGGGGAGGAAATGATAGCGTGTTTATAGAACCTATTACAACAATGGATTTGGTCACACGGTGTCGCAGATTCAAGATTTGAAATTTAGAAAACTAGGCGAAAAGTACAACAGTTATGTCACATTGACTCATTGAAAATGCAACATTTGTACACATTACGTCACATTAATTGATAGCGACGTTTCTTTTAAAATTGCGAGTTAAATATTTCTTCTATTTTAAACATACATTACAGCTACTGGTGAAGAAATTGGCCGGGTTTGTGTATTTGCGGACATTTTCGGTGTCAAGTAATCCCACTTCGTGGGTTGACACAAAATTTAAATTTGTATCCTAGTTTTCTGAAGAACCGTGCTTCGGATCAGTATGTAGTACAAATTGGTTTTCGTACAGTGATTTTTTAACAGAACGTATTATCCTCGTCGAATATTTAGGTGGGAAATAATCAGTGTTTAGCAGAATCATTGTATGTCCATTTCAACTTGTCAAGATTCAGAATACGGGCTGGTTACTACGGTGGAAGTTTGAGTTCACTAAGTACCGTTTCTTGTGTAGTAATATCTTATGATATGCCTCAGTAAATATTGTTTGAGTATATACCGAAATCCTTTTTGTGTCATGTTTACATAAAACAAGTTGATTTGTTCAGTTACAAGTGATGTCATTAGAGCGTTTATTTAGTTTATAAAATTATTCATATCAATGTTTATCCTTTCCGTCGCGGTTGAAACATCATCTCACAAGGACTCACGTTGTTTTAGCGGATCCAATTTTGTAAGACTTTTTTACCCTACATGTTCAATAACGACGGCCTTATGCGGAAGTCTGCTTCACTATTTACTGTCCCAGAATTGACTAATGACACGAAGCACTTTTGAGTACGAGAAACCTGCTGAGGTTTCATTGGCTTACTTAATACCACCAATGCGTATGTGTATGCATGGGATATTATTTGGGATCCATGTAATGATTGTAATTTATAATTGTGTATATTACCTTCATTGATGTAAAATGCATTAGGCATTCCAAACTAAGCTTGGATTGCGGATGAAATTTGGTTGAGAGACAGATTAGAATTCACAGCTGGAAAGTGGGTAAATGCAAGTTCTTTCTGTTTTCATTTACTTTAACAAGATACGATAGTATTTCAATAATAATAATATTCTCGTATTCGTATAATGTGATAAATTACGCCCAAAAATAATTGGAGAATACAGTTAATTTTTTGGTTACCAATTGTATTTTTCTGTCACTCAAGAATTAAAATAAATACAGAAATAAAAAACCAAGAAAGAATGTAACATCCCTTTGGAAGGGATGCATTTGTTAATGTTTCCGTCATTTAAAAGCAATTTCAAAATCGCAATATCCCCCAGTTTCGAAGAGGTAATCAGGTTTATGGGATTTAATTTTAGCACAAAGCGCAGGCCTATTTAACATATAATTTTGAACAATTAAGTTCTCGTGGTAAATTGATTTTAGTGGCTTTCTCAGATGTCGCGAAAATTATCCGATTATTCATCCTACTTATGAACAAGTAATTATAGAGTTGATCTTTAATATATCCTGTATTTTTTATTTTCAAGTATGAAGACTATTCTCCCAAATCAGCATATAGATTGGAGTTGTCAAGTTACAGGTTCAACTAATACGTGATCGATGTACTACTATGGTTTTTATTTTGTTTAATTTAGTTATGTATTCCCATTCCGCTGAATTTGTGATGACAGGGAGAGAAGACAGGGCGGCCTCTTTATTTTAGAGTTGTCACAATAATCATTTAATGCTATTTTGAACACTAAATATTGAAGAAGTAGCAGAAATCCCGAAATTGACCTGCTTGAATTCCATTTTTGTAATAGTTTCACGTGCTTTGAAATTTTTATAATCTTTTCTGAAGGCGTCTATCAAAATGTATGTATTCCTACAACAAAAGTTTACGATTTTGCATATATATGTAAGCTGAACTTCTCTTCTGTGTTGTCTTCATTTTCATTATAACTACGTAACTACTATGTTTGTTCAAGTGTGTGGTAATGTAGTACTTTGCATTTATTGACAGAGAAGCACGAAATACGGATCAGAGCTTTACTGAAATTTTATATTTATTCAGCATCATTTCGAAAGTTACAGGATTGTACTGTAAGCAAGCTCACAAGACTGTAGGGCGTAGGCCATTATGGCAAAGTCCAAATCATTGTCCTTTTTAGTTGGCGGTGTGGTTTGTCTTCCATTTTTATATAAGCACATTTTAGGATTTTATTTTTAAATTCTTTCTGCTTTATATTTAGGACTAAAATTTTTCCACTGTTGATTGACATTTGGTTATGGGTGAGAAAACTGCAATTTGTAAACATTTGCGAAACATCAATAGTCTTTTATAAAAGCTTAGTAATTTGGCACCAATCTTACAAAGTACATATTTCGACCCCAAGTACATAAATGAAAACACAAAACAAGAAGTAATTATAGAGTTGTAGCTGCAAAGAGTGTAGGTATACCACATTATCGCATATTTCCCAAACAATGATTCGTTGTGCTTTGTATGTTATATTGATAAAATTGTTTGCGCTTGAACATTGTTGAATCTTAAATAAATTTCTTTCAAGTTCGTTTTGAAAATTAAATTATGGGAATTTTTTTAAAATGGGTTTATATGATGCAAGATCTACGAAAACGTTAACGGATTGCATATAGATTATCAGTTGACATAATGGGAAACTGGCATCGAATAAATAAAGAAAACACACACACACAAATGTTGAAAACACAGAAATCACGAAACAAATATAAAAATATTTTTAATGCGCAATATTTGTAAGCGGTATCGCTATCTCGAGAAGAAACAGATAACTCTAAAGACGACATAAATTCTCAATAGTTGCTAATTAATTTAGGCTGACTCACTTTCAAACTCATATTCAGTTTTATGTTTGCCTACATCAAATCGTGAAACCGTATAGCCTACCAACTAAGGTAAATTTACACGATATTTTTGAAGATGTTATTCCCGCATTTCAATTGAATAATCAGGGTAATAAATCAGTTAAATAATTGTTTGATAACTCAAATGTTTGATTTAGGAATCCACACTAGCTTTTACCCACAAAGGCATATAGAGAAAACGTATCTTGAATTTATTCTCAAATTCTACCGCTGCATTCCGACGACGGATTTCCGAGAAGGGAGTTAAAGTTACAGAAACCATGTCGGCGTAAAATGGGTGTGGTGGAATGCAGACGGACATGGGAAAATGAAAGCATGCGCATAACCATTTTTTATAACGCTAACTGCCTTTGGTACCGGTAGATTTACAGCTTAATGAGAATTATCGGCATTTACAAATACCTAAGCGAAACAGTGCCGCATCAAGTATGTGCCCTCGTAGGGCCACCCAGAGACCGTGTGTTTGTTTTATGGCACATGCTTGATTTTGTGTAAGTATACGATATTTTTCGACTGAGTGAAAGTTGTAACCATAATACGCTCAATTAAACATTTTGATCTTTACAACGCTCTCCGGTAAATCTTCAATTGAGCGTAAAGTTTTGCGTAAATCAATTATTTCTACCAACGTGAAAAGTCTTGGACATATATGTGATAATACCAAATATTTACTACGGTTTTCTATATATTGAACACGGTAAAATTCAGGTAAAACTACAAAATTTTGTTCAAGTCAAATGCAACACTCATTTTTCTAAATAGCAACAAAATTTCATATATGGTACACGCTTGATCGGTAATTATGACTAATAAACTCATATTTAGGTTAAACTAACCATAAAAAACAATCTCTTTTGTCAGACAATATCATTAGCGTTCGTAGTTAGCAATAAAATCTAGAATGAATAAAATCCTATTCAAAGCTTAGCTTTCATCTTGCGATTTATTACTGTACAATCTTACTGTGAATTTAAGTTTGCACCAAAATAGTGTGGTATTAACGTAATTTCAACCATTCATTTTGTTCAACAATAGAATTAGCGGAAACGGTCAAAAATACAAAACAAAACTTATGAAATGGCAAAGTTATTTCACTTTTCACCTTCAAAGTAACTACAAAAATATTCCGGAAATATTCTTATTTAAAAACCCTAAAATCTTCAGTCTTGCAACGTAGTTAGTTACTTTTAATCTATTTTTTAATTTGACAATATGTAACTGACTTACCCCATTCAATTATTTTCACAATGGGAACATCTGGCCCAGTTTCATCAGGTGGTGTAGGTTCTATACCTAAAATATATATTATATTTGTAAATGCCCTCTTACGCGAACTGGCGATGGGGGGGGGGAGGGGGGAGTTTATTTTATTAAAAAATATGGCGAAAATGTTCGAAACACTGCCAGGAATGTCATTGCCATTTTGCAGCAAGGTTAGTTTTGAATAGTCTATTCACATTTGACCTCAGACGATAGGATTTGTAATAAAATCACATCTGTTAGACGTTGCAAATTTCCTGTAAAGCTATTTTTATTTAGAAGATTTATATATGCAATCTAAATACTCAATTTGTAACCACGTGTTGATGGACTATTCAATGCAGATGAATTAAAAATGTGAACTAAAACTAGTCAGGCAATGGATTGTGAATGCATATGGAGCTACAAAAGAAAATACTACAATGCTACCAATTAACATTAGCACTACGCTTTCTGATCCATATGGAAGCAGGGCAAGCAAGCAGCAAGCAGTAACATAAAAAATTATTGAAATCGCAATGGTTCCTCCAGGCTGGGCCTAGACCAAAATCTACATTTAGATGTGACAAGATTATTGAAATAAAAAATAAAGCTGAATTATATGAGTGACGTGTTAAAAACTAATCACAAATTAAATTACATGCATGTAGTGCTTTGTGCATATTGTCTGAATGAGCTTATTTGCAAAATTTACAGCACCTGACTCTTCGTTGATCAAGCATGTTCATCCGCTTTATATAGGATGCCACTCATACGCGGGAAAAACTTGTAACAGGCGACAAACCTTTTGTATAACCTTCGCTATCCAAATGGTTAATATTGGGAGAATATAAGGCCAACCGCCATTCAACAAGGAAAATGGGAAGTGTGTGTGTTGGTTGGGGTCAGTTGAGTACCTATAGCCAAGTCTTATAAGGCATTTATCGGTGGAAAATTGAACATTAGAACCATTTACTGCCTAAGGAGGAGTGCTTTCGTGATAAAAATACGAATACATACGTCTAGTTGATACCTTTGTCGAACATTTGGTTTTGTAATAATAACGTTATACTGGGGTTGAGAAGACTTGGCCACGGCCAGTTGAGGTATTTTCGTCTTCTTTTCCGACGGAAAGAATTCGATATAATATCGTTTATTGTCTTCGTAATTTTAACATTTATGGTCGCTAACACATCAAAATTTTCAAATTGATTATAAATTAAAAGCCATGCACATGAGCATGCGTGCTACCTTCGCCATTCCCGCTTGCCATCTCACCGTCAAAAACGTCTTCACCACTGCCATCAAAATCTTCGTCGTCGGTAGGAAAATTCAATTGCCTACGAACTCTTTTCATTCTTGGAGAAAAGTCGAGATCGTACAGATTCCAAATACTTCTTTTTGAACGATATGATAAAATTGATTGCCTGATCACTTCCCGATCCTAAAAATGAATATCATGCATTATGTCTACAATATTATATATAGATGGCACAAACACAATCTCCTAATAGAAGAAAATTTATTTGTAACAAATAACTTTATATCGCATTAATTAACATTTTTTATTTTAAATTCTGCGATTCGTACATTATATTTAGAGCATAACAACTTCCAAAACATTTGACGATTGCCAGTGGTCAACCACATGTGCCGTCCGTTTATCGACATCTCATATCATGGCACCAGTTTGGTGATTGGGGTTCTTGAATAGGCATATTTATGAGAACGGTTGCCAAACTGTACCGTAAGCAAATTCCCTAAAATTAGCTTTTATTAAGGAAATTTCCTTCGCGTTAGGTCACATGCACTCACTACTTGGTGACTTTGTTATTGGCATAAATGAACCCTAATATCCAGAATCATCGAGTAAAGGCGCGTTTAAAGAGTAAAGTTTAAATATAAAATATGATTAAATAATATCTGTCATTGGAGGCAATAGGCCAACCAAGCTGCCAAAGTAGCGACCTTAGTTTTATTTATACCCATTTGAACCTAATTGCAAACAGATCAAAATGCAGTTCACCCTACATATCACAATAAACAAAAACGAAAATTTTATTGCTTCCATCGTGTAAATCTTACGAGAAACTATCAAGGGATGTGTTGAAATGGCATGGCATCTAAGGTTATGAATCATGAGATTTGCATGATGTGAAGGCCAGGGATATCAAATAGAAGAACGTAAAATCATTGTTAAATATCATACAATTTTATTTGTTTTTCGAAAAGGGTTACTTGTACGACTTTTAGTAAATGACTCATTGTCTAGCCACAAACAGATTGATATGTCTTGATCTCAACTGGGCTTCTAATCGTCTGAATGAATCACAATCTGTCCTTTCAACATAACTTTATTACCATGCCGAACAAAACTATATAGCAGGAATTGATAAAGCTCATGGATAATACAGCAAAGAGCTCAAAACACTGGAAATATTATTAATATACTTCCAAAAAAATAACTTTTATGTAGCGAAGGAACAAAATATTTACGAACGATATATATTAACACAATCTCGTTTAGTAAGTCGGTCCTTTACAAAGTGAAAACCAGGATCGAATTTCTGGAGAAATTTATGACTAAAAATTGGAAATAAAATGTCCCATTTGAAACGCCAGACATGAAAATTCAGTATAAGGGAGAGATTTGGATGCAACCCAGCGATGGAACCCAAAATAGGGGAATATCAGCAGATTTTGGACAGCAAAGCAACTTTCCCCATCTAATAAACTATGAATTGCGGAAATAATACTGTTTCGTAAGTACAATATTATTGGGAAATATAAACATAGGTTATCTGGGATCAATTATACGTGTTGATGATATCAATTTACAATTTTATTTGAAGTAGAAGTAATCCAAATGAGAGAGAGAACGAGCATTGCGACAGTTATCGACCTAATATGTCTATTTTCTTATATGGGTACATTTTAGATTTGTAATATCTCTGTGGACTAATGTACTTCCAAATGATGTCCCAACTACGAATTTTATTTAACCCAAAACCGGACAAAAATCTAAGTTCACTGTTTTGGGTCACAAACTTGACCAACAAATGCGGATTTTTCAATTAAAAGATAAAAATGATAGCCTTGATCCAATGTATTCAATACAGACATACAAATACGAAGTGAACACACCATATATCCGCAGAAACCTACATCCGAAATTGATGTTGTTCCCGAAAACATATCCCATTACACAAATTAGAACGAAGGGACAATTGAGTGTCATCCTCGACCTAATATAATTTGAGTCTTTATATTTGAGTTTTCGATCGATCCATTGGTATTGAAACAAGAAAATGATTAACAAAACAAATTGAAAATATTATAAAACGTACCTTAGGAGTATCAAATGTGCAAATAAACGTAAATAAAATATAGAGATTATTTGAAGAAAGATGGATCAAAGTTTAAAAAATGTTTTGCAATGAGAAGATTGTTCAACCTCTTTCTGTTACGCAAATTTTATGATGATTGTTAGGCAATTTTTGCATTTACTTTCACCTCTTAGAATAAAAATCGCCATTAATTTTAATCACTGTTAATCTAGAGTCTAGACTTTACCGAGGTGTGGGTACCACAAAGAAATTGAGAATTTCTCGTTCCACCTGCTGGCTATTTAGTGAAAACTTCGGCGAATCTTTCAAATTGTGAATTCTTCTTACGGGTTCAAGCGTCAAGATTGTCATTGTTATGGGCGAAGTACGATTCCGCGACAACATTTTATCTACCAATTTTAAATTTCACAATTTCGTTGGGTCAAGGTTGTAATATTCATAATTTAGCTTATATCTTAGATATATCTACTCATTATACTTGATGGTTCGGTGTTTCAACCAAACTTAACAAGACTATTATCACACCCAATCTCCGCAATTTTTTGATAAAAATCTAACATTAGTCCCGCTGTTTGTCCGTACAATGCATAAGCTGAACCGAACAAGATGAAAATATTGATTTTTTTTCTGATACAAATCGCCAGTCAAATCCTAATTCGTAAGGAGAAACATGTTAATCGACGCCGAAATAGAATTTTGCAAGTCGTTTGTACGACTCTGCGAACATATCTAAACAATACTAAAATGATTCATGACATTCCACTGTGATAATGTAATATTTGTTTTGGAAAATTGGTCATAGAAATTTACTTGGCTATGCTAATATGCCAGGGATTGTAATAATGTAGTGGTCGCAAAAGAATTCAAAATGTTTTTCAGATCCTTAACTCCCATCAAAATATCAAAACCGTCGACACAACGCGAAACATTCTCCATATCAGAAAATCACAAATATCCACATAGAGTGTAGACAAGGGATGTGCAACATTTTTGTCGGTGTGCCAAATAATCAATTTCAGATATCCAGCGGGGCCACAAAAAAAATTGGACCTCCAGAAGTATGTGCACCAAGATGGCGCACAACCTGAACATAGTATGTGTAGCAGGTTAGGGTTCAGGTTGTGCGCCATCTTGGTGCGCATACTTCGGGAGCGCAAAAACTTTAGTTTTTCCATGTATACACCGAATTACAGTGAAAAAGGCACCGGGCAAAACGGCAAAAGATTAAACGCAGCGATAAGAGCAAAAGCAAAAAAAACTTGTATTTTTACACATTTCACCCATTTTTTGCCTTTTTAATTGGACATAAACCGTCCGAATATGATTTTATGCTTGGTGGGGAAAAATAAGAGTGTCGGCAAGGGCCACAATAAATGGCTTGGTGGCCCGCGGGCCGCCTATGGCACACCCCCATTGTAGACAAATGTTAAGAATTTTCCATCGTCGAAAAATTAATATTCAGTATCATTATCTCCGATTGTCGATCTAACAAGTTCAATTTAACAAATTAATAATGAGCTAACCTCATCTGAGTATAGAGATCAACTGCGGAGTTAAATAATTACCTGGAAATTAATTAAAGTATCTAATTATTAGCTGACGACATCTATATTAACCACCGATTATAGGAGTGTTTGTACCTCGATGACACAGCCGTGATTCATTAGAGCTTAATGATAATAAGTGAATGGAAATGAATCGTCCATTACGGACAGATCTCGTTCGGATTGGTAAGGATGGTTCGAAAATTCATAATCTCTTTATGATTGAGGCGCATTATCAGATGGAAACCGACGATGTCAGCGTCGACTGAAGTGCATGCATTTAAGAAATGAAAAGTCGAGTTCTACAATTATAATTCTTAACCAGATGTATGACGAAAACAAATATAACACAGCCACTTAAATATTCAGAATCAAATTTATTGAGTACGGTATCAACCTTGGGTGATGTCATATTTTGACGTTATTGAAATTAGGCAAAAATTGTTGCTCAACGGCAAATCAAAAAAGTGGGAAAACTTTCGAAAATATGGACTGAAGTTTAAATTTCAGTTTTATAAACATAATAACGCAAGTATAAGGCTAGCGTTTGGCCTTCTTTGATCTAACTAAGGTCGTAGTCTTTTTCATAATGAAATTTCAATTTGAGCTTCATTCTAAAAAGATCTATATTAAAATAACATTCGTATACCACGAGGAGAGCCTATTACGCTATATTCTGCACTCGTATTTAGCCACAAAAAATAGGAGGCCGACGACGGATATGCTCATTGTAATCGTTCAAATAAAGATCAATAGGCGTAATCAATTGAATATGACTTTACTAGGTCAGTGCGAATAAATTAGCATTACTGAAGGACATAAATCCATAATATATGTTGAGTGATCGAAACTGTAAACGATATACTCAGTATAATGCAAAATTATGTAACCTTGTATCCCATTTTTAACAAATTTATTCAAATCATAATTTGTTGTCAATCTATATCAAGTCTGCAATAATATGATTTTTGTTAAGATATTTCGGTACCCAAATGGTATCACACCCTATTTTAGATAAATATCCTACGCGTCGCGATGTTAGCCTCATAAATATAACAATAGTGTCGCGGCATAGTTGAAACAAAATTTCACACCAGGCTGATTCTAAAAGACGTCACACTTGTGGACGACGTTTCCGATTATATTTGAAGAGGTAAACCTTTGATTATATGGTTCGCCAATGACAAGATGTTCATTTTGCTAACTGTCTGGAGACACGGGAGATAGATTCTTATTTTCACAAAGTTGGCTTCCAAATTAGTACCAACAATTTTGCGATTACTTGAGGCAGTTTGTTCAAGGTATACAGTATATCCATCTTGATTAGGAATACGTTGAAAGCAGTTTGTATTGTTAATTCCCCTTCCAGAAACTTCCGAAAGCGGCGTGTTCGGGAATGTGGGAAAACGGCAACATATCTGACCAGCCTCCGAACCTCCAAAATAAACATGCAAGCCTGCAAGCCAAATATTGAGTTTCTGACAAAAAGTTTTGATTCTTTAATCTTTATCATGTATAATTATAATGAATGTACTCATTTCATCATGTATTTTATATATCTACATCGAATGCTTGTATTTTCGTTATCTTTTGTGGAGTACTGCATGATATTTTGTTTCGGAGTTTTTTGAATTTGGGGATGGTCATTGCTCTGCTGAGACTCGTATCAGCAGCGAGTGGAAGCTAGTGATAATTGTTCAACAAATGTTCTCGATACATAATTATATTAGAACGAATGAATCACTAATTTTAAGCAATATTTCGAAGCAAAACTTAGTGTTTTGTTGGTAACGCGTTGGCATTGCAATCAACTTTTTTTAATAAAATAAAATTTCACCTGTATTTATTGGTACTTGAAAAAGAGTTTTTCATTTTTATTTATTAACATATGCAGCAGAAAATGCAACCTCTTGTGTTTCTGTATTACGGTGTATTACAAAATCTGATTCAACAATCATGATTAAATGAATAAATATATAAAATTTTATTGAATATAAAAGTAGCGGATGGTTTGCATCAATAAATCGACAGAGTTGCAAGATGTAAATGTAAGCATTCCTATGCGCAACGTTGCATGGATTAGACTCAGATAAGCATGTTGATAAGGGATATAAGCCTATTAGTTACAGCAAGATGGGTTCAAAAAGTTAGTATATTTTAAACTGTGAACTCATGCAGGCTAATTAAAGAATTTCTGCTTCGTGAAATACGCCCAAAGTGAGCTGTGAATGGAAGAGGCATACACGAACAGATCATTCGAAAAATGTCTTTTGTCGACATGTGTGGTCAAATATATCCGGTAGTGCAAGCGTTCCTAGCATCCTACATTGATACCGTTTCCAATTTAGACTCATCGTTTTAATGGCTGTAATGAAAAATTTGAAAGCGCAATTTTGCGGAAATATTCGCACGAAATGTGACATGGTTATTTTATATTGTAAGTAAACCACATTGGTTTCGCACATTCTTTGTACATAAGCAGATCCATAAAAATAATCCAAATTAGAGCCTAGAAAGGAAAAGTACTAGATTATATATCATACAATAATAGCATGCTTCTGCTTCAGATCTTCAATGACCTACATATAAAATCCCACAGGACCCGGCATTTAAACGCGCAAATACAGTTACTGATGGTGATTTAAAACCAGAGGCGTTGTGAGATGGCATTATAATTATCACTAACTGCATCATGCCATATTGTATTTTTATATTGCAATTCCATATTTTGCATTACGTAGATACAAAATATCTGAAACTAACAGTGGATAATTAATTTCATAGTTGGTCAATTTAAATTACCTTGCGCCATCCATAACGACGCATGAAACCAAGTAGACAAACTATGAAATATTTGAATAAAACGAAGCGTAATCACGAAAAGAGATCTAAATAACGATTTTGTTCAAATCAAAACATAACTGAATCCTATTTCCCAACACACCCCATGGTGCCATACTGTCGGTGATCATTTTTTGTAAATCCATTCGAAAGCGCAAGCTGATTTTCACATTTATGGAGAACGTTACAGAATGATTTCAGTATACCCTGTGTGATGGTTTTCATTTGCCAAGTGTGAGTTAGTGGATGGCCGATCAAATTCTTTTTTGTTCGGCAGTTCCGGTTCATGTCCTGGTCGGTTTGCATTGTTACATATGCTAGAGCAAGACTATAAAAATGAAATTCTAACATTTTCTATTTCAAACATCAAACTGTCACCGTATTTGTGTTATGCGAAGCGTGAGTCGGGTTTGAAGTATATAATCGAAATTATTTGCCGTATCGACCGGGAAGTCAAAGATAAACTCCTGAAAAAAACTCCTTCCACGAAGCTAAAACCGTGAGAAAATGCCATTACGTCCATTTGTTGTTAAATTTGCATTTACTTCCTGGAATTTATTACTGCAATCGCTAATGATTTAGAAACTAAGATTGAAAAAGAATCCACCGACTATAGAATAGATGGCTGTTTTACAAGACAAACCGTATAAATTAAATTTAAAAATGCCAATCATATTTCAACATATGTGACTATTTTGATACAACTTTGATGTAGATAGGCCGTTCAAAATGAAAAAAAATTCATAAAACATAAGAGCCGAATATTTACATGACGTTTGCTTTTAACTTACGACTTCAAGCGTTACCGAAACACGAATCTCAATCCCGCACAAAGTTCGCGTGGTCGGTCACTCGCACAAAATGTAACCCCGTGACCGGTCATAGGTAACATTTTACAACTGTTTGAACAACAGCTTTGATCATATACACACATTAAACAAGGTCGTCGTCCGAGACTAAAGACTTTATGTCCAGGGTCATGTCATGTATTTTGTTTGTTTATATACGTAATGCTAGAAATCGACAAAGTTTAAAAATAAAACATACGAGCGACGAAATTCTTGGTTGCACTGTTCAATGAACGGACAACTAGGTAAAGCTGAAATCCAACATGATTTGATTTGTATTCCTTAATAGACACAATACATCAGAGGCCATTGCCCATAGAGTACGAGATCCAAAGGCATTTGAAATCGGCTAACATTTGTTATCGCAAATGCAATTTAGGAACCTGAATCCAAATGTGTTGAAAGGGTTCTTATATGGGAAGTCAAAGTCCAGTCTTTTGTAATAGAGATTGCAGCCGATTAAATTAAATTACTCAGAACAGTCTACTCACCAAATTCAAGTCTTGTGTGGCGAGGCATGTGGCAATTGTCAATGTGGCAAAAACGCCAAGCCATAACATATCCATTTCGGATAAATCCTCTTGGTAATTGCTTCTTAGATTTCTCTTATATCCTTATTGTTGATTATAAAAAGGTCTATCGTTAGCAGATTTCTCTTAATCACAAAACATACAAGCGAACTTTATATTTTGAGTCCCACTTGGCGATACTCCTAACTTAATTACGTTATCTGGTTATTTAAAACTAAATATATAATATAAAATTCAAGCTGGAAAAATTGAGTCTTCGACTAGCGTTTATATCGTGTTTTACTCCCGAGAACGCCCGGAGAATTATCTTCCATTCGCCGGGATTTATGGTAGTGTGCTGGCTGCGATGTAACCAACACAGGACTGTGTAAATCAAATTATAGATAACATCGTTAAGCGATCTTAATTAAGCCTTAACCGTTGAGGAACTCGCCAATTAATTTCGGAAAATGTCTGGGAATTAGTGCCGATGGCTTTATAAAACACTACGCTACTTTTAGCCTCAAACTACGAAACCTATCCCAACTGAAAATTCACTAAAGCAGAACTCTAGCTTATTTGTAGTGAAATGAATAGCTTGGAAGAAGAATATTTTTGTACGGCGTTACAACGGGAATTGTACTTTGCAACTTGGTCGACTATGCTAAAGTTACAGCTGACGAGATAATAGCGAAGGCTATTTTGGAGCGCTGACTCATCCTCTACGAATTTAGTCTGTCGTGTTGCACAAGAGCTACATTTCTACTGAACTGGCTTCGAGAATTGCCACAAAAGCACCATGTTGGCGACCGTATTACTAGCTTTATACAATAGAGGTCAACAACGTACTAATCCTGCTTTAACAATGTCGTAAACGGCCACCGTCGACGACAACTCACGAAGTGTGACCAAATATACGGTGCCAAGCATTTTCTTCGTCGCGTCGCCGTTTTTTCTTCTTCGAGGCGCGGCTACGTTAACCTGGTTTATTTAGTCGCGTTTGCCCCGTCGTTTATATTTGCAATGTAAACGTCCGATGAGAACGTACTTTATCGTCCGCCGGTAACAGATCAGACGGTACGTTTCCGTTCCGCAACTCCGTCGCCGCCGTCTTATGAATAGGCTGAGATTTAGCTCCCTGATGGGCGATGGCGTGTACTGGGTCAATATAAATCCCATTTCGTCCGACCTTGAAATATCTAGTATATTGCGATTATACTACTGTTATTTAAAGAAGAATTTATGAGAAATTCTATACTTTATGAATTAATAGCGCCATCACCATTGAATTTCCGGGATGAACCACAAATAAGTAAGAGTTTTCAAACAAAATTTGAAAATATTTGAATGTGATAACTGTCAAAATTGCTTCGTTAATTATTTAAAAAAAAAATGTCCATTCGTAGAGTCGTTACCCACATCTGGACAAAGATAGTTCAAGACTGATTATTCTTAAATTAGCTGGTAAATATCAGAGGTAGTTACCAATTCTCCACGCAGATCAAAATACAAATAATTGATTCTTTCAGGCGATAAGCTATATTCATTCACCACATTATTCGAATGCATTAATTTTCATAAAATTAACCAAGAACGAGATTTTACAAACCATGACACTTGGTATTTTTGCTAGCTTAATCAGTACATCGAGTATGATAGAAAAATCCACATAATTTGGTACTGATGTACGATTGAGGCAGTCAATTGTCGGTAAAAATGAATTGAAAGTTTCAGTATATATATAAATATATATTCTTGAAGCAGATCTATAAGGAAGCGTAAAGTGACCTAAAACGAAATATAGTTAGGACAATCGCTTGTATTACTGCTTTAGTTATAACAATTGTTGTTGAGTCTAATGCAATTATTTGTGTAAAAGTTCGTCTCAAATGTATCTGAATCTGAACTTTGAAACCGAAATGAATCATCGCAGTATCCCATCATATCTTGCTCGCCTATTTTATGCTCAGTTGTCTCGAATGTAAGTGTATCTTTGCTCTAAATGAATCATCATAGTTTACCATCATATATAAAACCTTGTGTGTATAAGATGATATGGCTAACATGATATGGCGGGTCTTTCTATGACATTTGGCTGACGTTAGGCTGTCGTATTGAAGCTCTGAGGATAAAAAATAACTTAGATATTGTACACCAGTGGTTCTCAAACTTCTTTGTACTGTGACGCCCTCCGAAAAATATACTTATGTTGCGACTCCCCATGAAAAACGTCATATGACCTTCCAATAAAAGAACTTTTTTGCAATGAGTTTCATTTAAACGGACAAACAAAACTTGACGAAAGTCAGTAAAATCCCATTTAATGTGCATGTACTTGCGTCTTTTTACAATTGTTATATGTTATTGAACCTTGGGGTGGATTGTGAAAGCTGCACACATTTTCCCAAAATTTACTCAAAATCGATATTTTTTCTTTATTACGCCATGGTAGAAAAGCTTTTTTCACATAAATACGAAGAAGGGGTGAGAGTACGCAACCAAGGAAAGATAATCTTTATCCAAAAAATTCCAAAAACTCGGTAAATTTTAGGAAATATAATTATTTTTTATATCGCTTCCGTTTAACAAAATGGCAACGAAAAGCCGGAATGTGTTGTTTGTAGCAAGGATTTGGCCAGTGAAACCATGTTACCTAACGAAAACGACAGAGCCTTTTTACTCGGAACTTCAACGATACTAAGTACAAGTAGCTTCCATCATACTTGCGCAATTCTCGACTTTTCTCGTGCAGTATCATTTTTACGCTTGTACATTTATTTCTGCAGTGCAATTTTATAATTAGACTTTTGCTACGCACCGCAAAACAGGTATAATTCCGCAAGAGAAGAAAGTTTTACGACCGCCGAGCAAAATTGTAACGACGCACTTTGAAAACCACGGTTGTACACAGTCACGAACCTATGTCAGAACTAGTATCGTTTGAAATGATATGACAGCGGGATCTTTCGCTACTGGATCGTGTCATCGTGACTTATTTGCATTCTCACGCGATCGGAGTTTATTTTCTATCTTTGCATGTGTATGATACTGAGCTTACATGAAATACAAACATGAATATTTGCCAGTTAGTACTCCAGCTGAGTCAATCATCAATATTTTAGGTTTTCCAAACAGAAGACTTTAACTAGGCCTTCGACACTAAATTGTGATGCACAACTACAAATTATAAATCTTACGAAATCAAACTAATAGAAATATATATTTTGTAACCCGAAAATGATTCATTGGATTACTAAAGATGCCGAGTTCTTTCTCACAACACAAATACGAACAATCTAGCTACGCTTGCTGCTTTATGGCAATATTGGGAACGGAAATACTGTAATCGAAAGGTCTGCACTCAACGTACTTAATATTTATAGATGATTGCAAATTTACCCCTATCCTAAAAAATACAGTAGTTTTTCTTTGATCAACAATGGCGATAATACTAACACCACCTAATGCATATTCACATTAGACTTTATGGTGCTATACAGTAGCTCAGCATTCCAGCCTAAAATCTGTACGCCGAAGCATTGGTATTAACTATTAAGTCCCTACGAAGTGTGTGACTAGTCCTTAGATGATTTGGCTCATTGACTATAGATGCAAGCATTTCAGATTTTCTGCAGACTAGTCAAAAGTACGGGGATTACAAAAGAAATAGGATGCATTTAGTTTTGCCTAACCTCAACTAATAGACTTAACTTCATTTATGCAGTGATCCACCTTATCCAAGAGGGATGGGCATTTCGAATCGAATAGTGAATTATTCGAATCGGTTCAGAGCAAAATTCCGAATCGCCGCCATCTTATTTTTTCCTTACCGCCAATGGTCGACGTGAATTCCTTGATTTTTTCTTATTGTAGCCATATTTTTTCAATGTAATTCTGACATACGACTATTTTTTGTAGTGAGTAATTGATTAAACGTGTTTTATATTGTGTATGAACGCTCAGCAATCTGTCTGAGTGGTGTATTCTACGTTTTCAGTAATTCATTCGTTGAAAGGGCCAATTACAACAATAAAAAAACGCATACAATTCTATATATATCTCTCAAGTATTCGAGATTCGATTCGAAAAAACTATTCGATTCTGAAATCATCAGGTATTCGAAAATGCCAGCTCTATCGATTACACACTAGAAACCGAACGTTACTCCAAACCAGCAGATACTCAACCGCCACTTGCATTCATCTTTTTCTGGATCCATATTTCCCGGTACATCGGGCTCGCGGAACTAGCAAGAAGAGTTATGCGAATATGCTCAACTGCGGACTTGTTCAGCCGGCAGCAAAAAAAATGAAAAGATGAAACACCTAGCCAATGATAGCCAAGTACCACTCACTTCTACTGTTGATTATCCCTGTATCTCGTATATCCCGCAACGAGACATCAGACAGGGGAAATTTTCCGATTCGCTGTTCATAGGTTATATAATACGTCCATGTCTTAGAAAAGTGCTACTAAGAGCAGAACTGAAACCGAAATTAAAAGCAACCAACCAAATGATATTTGAAAAATGTAACATAAAAACAAGTGGGACAAGAAATTCCTGAGACATCGCATAAAAATCTGCAAGCCTGCTGGGATTCATCCCAATCTCTAAAAGTCAAAAGTGCATCAACCGGTAAACTATTTTCTTTCAAACTTTTCGAGGGCATCATATGAAACGCGACAAATATATATATCTGATAACCTGCAAAAATATTAATCGCAGTAGGCTACTTTGAAGAAAAATAATTGAGGTTCCTTAGAACATGCATGTCCAACCTTTTTGGTGTCGCGGGCCACTTTGTCATGGGGAAATTTATTGCGGGCCGCAAACGTTTTCACCAACTTAAATACCAACTCAATTCTAATTTACGTTAGAATTTGAGGGCCGCTAAATCAAACGCCTGGATTGCACAACAATTTTGCGGATTTCTGAACACAAGATGCACACAAAGACCATGGAATTCAACTCAACTTTTGTGCAAAATGCACATACATTGGCGTAAAAAATCGAAAAAAAAAAAAAATTTGGCAATTTTTTTTTCAACTAATGCGAAACTTGCTTTTGATTGTCCTTGCTCAATTGTTTAATATCAACGGGTAGTTTTGATACCGCACAATGTAACTAACTGGCTTGTCAAAAACTCATTGTGTCGCCACAGATGTTGCACGCTTGAGTGGCCCTTCGTAAAGTCATGTTCTGTGGTGCTTAACAACGCTTTTCTTATGGCGAAGTCGCGTGAAATTATAGCCTAAATTCTAGTCCGTATCCATATGAAAACTCCAAGTGGGCCGCACAAATTATTCCTGTGAGCCGCATGACCCGCGGGTCGGACATCCCTGCCTGTGCCTTAGACCAATTTAATTGACGGCACAGACTTTCTTCGATAAATCCAACAAAAATATTTACTATTTCTGGTATATGTTATATGAAATATACCAACTGTATTGCAATTCGAGAACACGAGAACCAAAGGTACAGTAACGTCTATGCAATTTGTTTGGCGAACTTGGCAGCTTAATCATTGGACATATATTCAAATTGAATTTCTTCGAAATCATGGTAGATTTTAGAGAAGAAACGAAATATCTATAAGACGATTGCAACAACACACCTTCTTAACATATCATTCTCCGAAGCATCTCGACTTTAGAATATGAAGAATTAGAATTATGAACCTCCTGACACGACTTGATAATAAATGAAAAAAATAATATATTTTGTGCCTTCTGATTATTGTCAAAGCGGGTTCCTAATGTTTCGACGTAATGAACCTGGTGAGGCATAACGCAAGAAAAGTATGACAACTAGCCAAGCATTTTTTAGTCTTTTTGTTAACCTGGCATTTTGTTTAGGTATATACAAGGAAAGTTCATCTAGTGTTGCTTAATTCGTTGTGTGAGGTACATACTTATTTTTATTAGCAGGCCACAACTCTCGGGAAGTTGATATTATAATTTTGCTTTGTAGTACGATAGTTTTGATATCCACTTTTTCAATCATCGTCGCGATCTTCACTGTTTGACCTACTCGCATAAGTGTTGAAGATGAATGCATCTCTATCAGTCATTCTCGCAGACTGTACGTTCTCATAACTTGGAGTTGCTGGAGAAACCGGGGAGAGTGAACTTTGAGCGCCGTGCGATGAAATATCTTTCAACTCCAGACTCATACGAGGATCAAATGTTAAGGGAACATTGTAGTAATGCCGTTTCTGACGTTTACTTCTCAAAGATTTTGCAGCTTCGTTTATCCCGCTGTCACTAGATACAGAGGTGTAACAAGCTCTATCAAAAACTGGCGTTGCTGATGACTCTGTGCTAATTGTCGAGAAGTCACCATCACTTGAAGTATTATATAATCGAGTTTGTGATGTTGACACACCGATCCCAACGTCATTTCCGAGTCCACAAGTCTGTTTTGAAGTTGACGACTCTTGACCCGTTAATCCAGAATCATTTGCACACCAGTCAGGTGCAGTCGAGTCGTGGAAGACAGCATCATCCATGGTGCTGGCTACATGGCTCAATTTGTGCGCCATAATGGAGGAATGATGTGGGTGAGAGTTTGTGTAGCTTTTTGGTTCAAACAATTCAGACGACGACTGTGTTTCCAACTGTCTTTCAGATTTTCTTTTGATTCCTTCTTTAGATCGCCGTACTACTGAATATCCAGATAGGCTCCTTTCAGTTTGTTTTGGCCTACAAGAAGCTACAATCATTTTGTTTGTTGTTTTGTCAGCAGATGACTGGTCGTCAATGGCATACATTGGTTCATTACTGTTGTTAACATTACTTTCTGGACCTAGTCTGTGTCCACCTGATTGAAGACTAGATAATGACATGCTGATGGAACTTGTGTCAGACTGTTTCGATATATCACAGCCTTCCTGCAGTGATTCTTTTGCTTTTGTAGTGCCATCTTGAATATCCACATGGGTTGATGGTAATACATCACTGGGGACACTTCCTCTGTTTGGTTCCATTTCTAATGTTTCCATAGATCTGTTGAGAGCTTGAACATACCGATCGTGATTTGCAATAACAAATGTTGGCATTTCAATTCTATTTCTTCTCTCCAAAGTATGGGTTCTCCCAACTCTAGACGTAACTCTAGATCTACCATAAGCCGTGGGAATCAAAACATAGTGATTCTGAGCCCTCAACATCGGTCGCCTACGCATCCTATTCCTACTTTGTTGGTGATATCCGGGATACAAAAAGTTTCTATCTCGCGTCGCCTGTCCGCTTCTTCGAGTGCGAGAATTGTTTCTAGTTGGTAGATTAGTCCTAGTAGAAATATTCCCTGTTGTCGCGGTTCTCTGGTCAGTTCCTTGGCTTATAAACGTGGTTTCAGCTGTTCTAGTTTGTTGCCCATTTCTTTGCGTCCCCGACGGGATAGTTTCACCGCGACGTGATTGTCTTCTGTTCGATTCACGATGCCCTCGACCACTTTCTAGAAAAATTAGCAAAAAAATCGACATTTTATGTAGTTTCCAACTTCGATTTGTTCTGCTTCAAAATAAAGTATTCATAACTCACCAATTAAAGTCGAGTTATCGCCATGCCCAGATGTTGCTCTCTGATGCCACTGGTGGAAAGAAATGGATAAGAATTTTTAAAGCTTTTGCGTGCTGCGTGTCTGAGTTTCAATGATTGAGACTAAGGAGAATTTAATGATGGAGACTATTGTATTGAAAGTGGTGCAGCAAGACATAATGTAATATACAACGTCATATAATAGATATAAGGCACGGACCAACTCTAAATGTCCGTCAAGTAAATAAGAAAAAAAAAAAGATATATTATAAACGTTAGTAAAATATATTGACCTCACCAATGAGCATATATACATATATATGCTCATTGATCTCACTAATCAAATAATATCAATTCATAATTATGCTTGCAATTACCGGCGTATGTGAATGTAGTTGCAACTCTTAGGTATTTTTGCCATACCCCTTATTACCAGCGACAGTTAACTCTCGCATTTTTAGAGGGCATAGTAAGACATGTAATATAATTGAAACATACGTTCATTAGTAATATTGTCGAGAGATCCAATAAATATATGAAACAAAAGTGGGAAACGTCTCTTACGCGACTGAATCTTGAATTGGATGAATAGAATTTACTGCTAACAACGTAAAGATCCATGATGCAAAAAATAATCTCCAAAATGGTCGCTGTGAGTAGTGCACAAACACAAATGAATAGATTCTAGAAAACAACGACAAATATTGTAAGTAAATTAACAGGGAATTATACGCTTATTATGTATTCAAAATTCGGTCATTTATTACAATATATATAGATCAAGCTTTTCAGTTATCGACCAATGCATTTTTTCTGATAGTTATTATAATGTAAATAAAGTTGAACTCTTACTATGTTCAAACTATATACCGTTTTCATTCCCATAATACAACCAGCCGAGAGAGTAATGGAGCACAATACTGATAGCGATACCCATACTAGATGGCAACACACCTGAAAATTTTGTGAATGAATAGGGTTAAGTAAAAATGAATACAGCCTTTTTATATAACCAATTTGCTGTATGTACATTGGTCTATATCTTTTACTTCATGTTTTATCGATAGCAAAACGCAATATGTTATAGCTAAATGAATCTTTGTCGTAGTTCGTAAATTATTTACTTGTCATATTTGGTTGATTTATTTTAGTTGACTTAATAACAGGCGTAAAGGTATATTTTTTTCAAATGGAAATATGGCTAAATGCTTCTGTAAACTGAATTTTCAAACAAAACTAAACGATAGCAGGAAATACACAAAATAAGATTTTTTTCATCCAGCATCTCATGTCAAATGATAATATGTAACTGTGAATATGATCACAAATCTTCAGCAATCCTGATATAAGTCAAGATGTCCATGATTGTAATATTTAGGGGTGGCAATATGCTTACGTATTCTTTCATTCTGTGTAACATCATAAATCCTCCAGAAAATCCACAGATCAAAAACTAAAAATAACATGACATGGTAAAACATTTTACATACCTTGCTCTTGAACCACGACTATAAGTAATCATGTAAAGTGAGAACATTTCGATTATTTAACTTATGGGAATGTCATTGGAATAATGACCAGTAATCGTTGGATAAAAGAAGCAACAAATCTCGGAATTAGAGCGAGAGATTTATTAGATATTAATCTTCTGCATCTTTTTTATTATATCAAGTAATTAATTATGAGTGATCATTCGGACTACTATCTCAACAGATCTATATTAGTCCAGGCTATTTTGTTAAATTTGATTTACTTAATAAAACACTTTGCTGAATTGGTCTGATATCTGTATTCTGGTTGAATCTATATTCTGGATTAAATTAGGTGAAATTGTTGAGATTGCATACGAAAATTGAGCTTAGTTATGTTGATATATGCAACATTATCAAGCGAGAATAAAACATACGTCTGAATACTACAGAGAAAGAGTTTGAACGTCTGTTTTCTGTCAAAATAGAATTTTTCTAGAAAATTTCTAGACACACAACTTCTAAGAATATAAATACCACGCATCCGATGGAAATGCATATGAGAGGTAGATATGGATGGCAAGTCAAAACGTGACAAGAATCTTCCAATGAAGCAGGGTAATTAACGAATGCAGATGGAGATTGAAGCGGACCTCTTCCTTTCCATATCATTTGGTTATCTTTTACCGACGGAAATGTCACTTGAGGTACACTTTCTAAAACCTGGAACAACTGGACACAGATATTGTTACTAGTACTCCAGTCACAATATTTAAAGCGTCACCCAAGATAAACGTTCAACGACTGGAGCTTTTTAACAGTATTGAAGTTACGGTAAAATGTTATTTAAAACATTTAACGACTGACGCATTTTAACTGTAATGAGGTACTGTTATAAATCGTTGACCAGTCGTTGAACAGCATTTTACCGTGACTTCAATACTGTTAAAAAGCGTCAGTCGTTAAACGTTTAAATAAAATTTCTCTGTAGCTTCAATACTGTTGATACACGACTTTACTGAAGGTATTAGTTTGGTTACAACACAAGTTTAATTCCATTTAGTCTTGCTCTATTTTACTGCAAATATTAATGCAATGTTGCTGTAGTCAGGAAATTTAGTCACGAAATTTTCCTTGCCGAGTTGCCAATAGTGCCTCAGTATTTAATAAAATGATTGGTCAGATGATTCAGACCTTAATATTGGCCTGATTGAAATAATTTTTGCTTGTTAATTTTTCTCCCGTATCATGACAACTATTTTAAAAAAATATGTTAATTTAGATATTTTAGCCTTTGGTCCGTAATGGATACTGAAACCTATTTATTCAATTTCAGATAACATGGGTTACATTCAAGCACCAAAGCTAGAACACAGATACGTTCTGTTGTAAACATATAAGTCAATGTTTTTTTTGTAATAACGAACCTTGTCTTCTGCTCTGAATACGGATGGCAAATATTGCGCCTTCGGCTTTAAAACAACGAACGTTTTTACAACGCATGCTATTGCAATGATAACCACTCCCATTGCTAAATGAACAAACTGAAAAACAAATTCAATTTTGTTTTTGTAATCTTTGTTGGTATGTAGCTTAGTGTAACCAAATTGTACAATTCCATACACTTTACATAAAAGCGTACATCCCACATATACAATATATACATTTAGGTATTTCTCACCGATACTGAAACCCCTCGACTGGTAAGTACCGGCGAAAGCCATTTTGATCTTCTTCTACGCTGTCTAAAATGAAAATAATATTTAAGATGGGATATTGCATATTTTGTCAGCGATTTATTAAAAAATATTAAACTTAATTCGTCTTCTTGATTAATATTTTAGTCAGTGTTAAAACATAATTTCTTGGAAAGATATAATAACATAATAAATGTGTGATCAATTTATAATCGTAATTACCTTCATGAAAAGCTATTGCTCTACTAAAGTATACTATAAGAACAGATGGATAAATATTTAGTCAATTCCAGTTAAATTGGAGTTCGCCGGGTTTCTAATGTAGAACTATATTTTTCCAGATGCTCAAACGATCGTAGTATACACAAGATGAATCTCGGAATAAAGAATACCAACTGAGGCAAAAAGTCGTCTTTGATTTCTCATGAGATAAAATTATAATTGTTATTTTTAGGCCATTTTAAAATTGAAAATAATGCATATCCCGAGTTGATTTAGCCCACTATCGTATACAAATAAGTACTGTGCGAAAGTACGCCCTTACTGTGCGAAGCTATTTATAGTTCCTTACGTAATTTAGTAGTTATTTCAAAATTTCAATAAAGACACAAATAAAGTATTATCATTTATTCGAAATGTAACAAAAATTATTTTAAAAATAATATTGATTTACTTACCGATCGGTAGAAACTGGCTCTTCAACGTTTTCCAGTATTTCATCATTATCAGGAGTTATCTCAATACTAGGAGGCTCAATATGCTGATTCGGAAGCCTTTGTTCAGCGTTCACGGAGGTATTCATAACACGAATTTGTACAAAACATTAACAAAAAATCTAGAAAGTTAGTCGGATTTTTTTTATCCCTTCTGTAGTACCTTTGCATTGAGTCAAGAAGAAGGGTTGACTACACAGTACCCTGCCGGCAAGAACACTCAAAGGTATGGAACGAGGTTACACAGTGCGACCATAAAACTATAAATTTATGTTTCTGTATTGCTCATCAACAGATTATTTTAAGAATTCTCAACATCTAGTTCAAATTCTAATTTAAAATACCTGCTTTCTTATTTAATGATATGGATCATTGGCGACTCAAATTATCCTATTCGGCCAAGCAGCACAATTGAAATCACCATTTAACTTGCGAATCTCTCATCGGGCAATTTTCTCCAATGGGACAGGAAGTAATTTGACGTCATTGACTGCAAGAATTTTTCGTCAATCTCAAATAAAGTGTAATTGTAGAAACGTTGATGAAGTACTTCGGTATGTTTGCGATTCAACAAATCACAATACACACACAGTGCTAAGGCATTTCCTGATATTTGTATATCAACATATCGATCTTTAAGAACTTGTCTCTACAACCAAAGTTCTGATTCATGTTTTCATTGATCAAATTCTGTTCATTTTGATTTTGGATTTAAGAAGTGAGATCGCCTATACATATGTTGCGTTAGCATAGTTTTTGTGATTCATATTTAACGATGTTTACAGCATAGCAGCCACATATGCCGAACAACAATACGCGACTTCCAATACAGTATTGTAACCATCTTTCGCAGCTTCTATGCTATGCGATGGGTCTAATTAACTTACCAGTTATTGAGCTTTTATGAAACGTTTTTTTTTCGATAGAATCATTTGTCATATTTGATCCTTAAAACGCTCGATAACAAAACAAAGATTTTTTTAACATTACTATGGCTTGATATCGAAATATTCAGACTCCATGGCCAGAATATATAGTTTTATAACGTTCCACAAGACTGGTTTGGTCTGGTCTATAAATATTTCGGAATGGAGACAAATCATGCAGCACAGCGGAATGCGAACATACTTTTTCCTAATAATGTATTGTTTTTCCAGTACAAAATCTGCTTTGTCAGTCCTAACAATACTAACGATTAATGGCACCAGAGAACCAACAATATCAGCATTTCAAAACGTACAAAATTCGATGGATGTTTCTCGTGGTAATTCTTTGTGTTTGTTTGCCAACCTTTTTGATATCTATTCGTTCACATCCGTAAATGATGTATTCGCTGATTTTTTCAAGTGGAACCATACAAGATTGACACTTTGACATTTGGAACGTTTTTAACTGGAGGAATATGTCTGTTGATAATGTCGTTAGGTAATGAATGTATCGATGTCCGTTGTCAGTGCATTACAATGAGCACAACATCTGCTATCGGAATTGGATTAGTGGGTTTGGCATTCGTCGATAAGTAAATTTTTTATTTTTCTACATTGCATGTCCGATATGGCATAACTAGGGCTGGGAAATTTGAATCAAATATTCGAGTCGAATCGAATGGTAATTAATTCAAATCGGTTCAGACAAAAGTTTCGAATCACCGCCATCATGTTTTTTTGGTCCTCCAAAGGTCGAGGTGAATCCCCCTATTATTTTTATTGTAGCCATATTTTTGGAATGAAATTTTGACATACGACTTCTTCCTTCCTAGTAAGTTCTTGATGAAATATGTTTCTTATTGTGTGTGAACACACACGAACTGTTTAAGTAACTTATGTGCATGAAGGATACATTACAATAAATAAATCGCATACAATTACATATCTTCCAAGTATTCGAGATTCGATAAGTTTCTGAAATGATCAAGTATTCGAAAATGCCAAGCAAGCCCCATTGGTATAACATTATGTTGACAACGAAGGCTCGTATTGATAAAATGTACTGTAGTTTAAATACTTGTTTGCATTTGAGCAAATACGTTTAAAACTTTGAAATGCCGAACTCCTAATACTGCTTTAATCTAAGCTTATAACTTTTTTTTTGTAGCGTCACTATGTTATATTTACAGATGCCCTCAAGGTATTATGTAGCTATCTACATTTGGTACAAACACTACTTTTTATTTTACAGAAGTTTCTACTTTCTTGCTTTACTAGGACAAATTATTTGTGGTATTGCATCGGCTTTGAACTTTATTCTTCCTCCTATGCTCGCCGCGAATTGGTTTTCTGCCGATGAAACCGCAACAGTGATTGGAATATCCTGGGGTGCGATGGCATTTGGAGAAGCAATAGCAGCCATTTTGTATCCGTTAACTTTGCAAAAATCGAATATTACTCACATAAACACAACCTTCACCCAAGTTCATCTTATTCCACTTACCACATATTGCTCACTATCGGTACTGCTACTTGGTTCCTCTTTATTGTTCTGTATTTATTTGAGAGAGAGACCACCATCTCCACCAAGCGCAGAACAGGACAATATTCTTAGAGTCAACGAAAAAGAAACCACTGGAAAAAACTGTGTGTTGACCTTGACTACAATACGGAAATTATTCACTTCTCGTGAATTTATTATACTGACCGGAGCAAATGCTTTGAGTGGTTGCACGTTAGTATATGCTAAAGCAATTACTCCATCTCTGATTTTAAACACGTTTCCAATGACGAAAAAATCAGATATAGGATGGATACGACTGGCGGGTACATTTTTGACAATTTGTGCTGGGATAATTGCGGGATATTGCGTAGATAAATTCAAGAAATTCAAAGAAATTTCAAATTTAGGTAATAGATGAGCTGTAAAATTTCAAATTTTTAATATTACATTTATATATCATCTTTACGTTCTAGGACTCAAATTTTCAGGCGCTAACCAGATTCGGTGATAAAAACCATTATTCAGCGCTCGTTTGAAAATTATACTTTATTTATTTATAATTTATTCAATTTTTTACAGCAAGCGTTGGCATGATTTCAAGTGCGGTTGCTATATACTTGGGACACAGTTTTAAAAGTTTTGCAACATTGATCGTATTCTATCCAATGGCATCTTCATTTCGAGTTTGTTCTGCAATCGTACTTATTGAATTTCTATCCGAAGTGTCATATCCATGCGACAAAGTTGTTCTTATATCGTCCTACAGTTTCATAGAGGAAGTTTCAACGTTTGGATTTTCTTGTGCTATAAGAGCAACTGTAGAAAAGAGCGACGCAACGACAGCTATTTTGTGGCCAATTGGTGCAAGTCTTCTGCAGCTTTGCTTGGTATCCATTACGAAGCCAGATTATAAACGTATGTCCGTTCAAGAAATGAAAGTTAATAAAAATATATATGACGAAAACATTAATCTACTTGATAGCTTAGTCAAACAGTAATCAAAAACTAATTGAAGAGTGAATAGTGCTGATAGAAAAGTGTTAGCAATTTGAAATACCAGTTTTAGAATCAAGGAATGTTCTCTTGATTGCTTGTCTAGATCTATGAGTTTGAACAAACTTTATTTGAAATTGTTTGTCGTTAATTAAAGTAAGTTTCACAATGAAAGAAAATATAAAAGTAATTAAATTCATAACATAAGAACATTTGATTTGGTGAGCTTGTTGATAGGGTGCGAGGAGCCCACAGTCAGCCATCGCCCATTCGTTGGAGTTTAGGGAAGCATATTTAATGACACCTTTTGAATCTACGAAGATAAAAAAAAAACGTCCTATTCAAAACTTACATTTATATCTAGCTAAATTATGTTTGTAGTATACAATTGCATAGGTATAATCAACCAACTAAAATCGAATGAACCCAGCATATGTATTATATTTGGCAGATAAAACCATTAATAATTCTAAGTTGACACATGACATAACGACATGTATCCGGAATTTGAGTTTCCGCTCCAAACGACGACAATTATAAACGCATGTTGAATATATGATGAAATTGAAGCTGCTGAAGATATTACGCACATCATATACACACATATAATTTGGTGGTTGTTCCAAACTCGCTGCCAAAATAAAGCGGAGATGTGTATGTATGTATGTATATTTGTAGAGGCGTGTTAATCAATGCTCATGGAATTTCGGTAGTTAAAAATTAGAGGTGTTCTTAAGTTCATAGAACAACTATCATATATATATGTATAACGCAGGTATTCAGCTTACAGCTTTATACAGCTGATAATTTTGTGTATTCAAATCTACCAACAGGTTATAGAGTTGTTTTCAACTGCTGGCGTGTCTCGTTTAAACAAGGAGTACCTGAGGTATAAGACGTCTTCAATCTAATTAGTTCGTTGTATTTGATTCCCTGAACTTGTGAAACCTTCGGCGAGGTGGTAGTCTTGGATGAGTTTTAACCGGCATACTACCTAGTTAATTAACCAAATTAGATAGACGCCCTAAACATCAAGTGCAATTTATTATACCTGAATGCCTTTAAACCGATGTTATATATTACAGGATATAACATACACAATATAAATGATTTCAGAAGACTCGCAGATGCATTATGAAACATATAAAATTAGATGGATATTTCTCTGCATTTACTGTTCATGTTTGTTTATCAATCAATTACAGTTGCATTCGTTCAGCTCGAATACTGAAATATTTGCGGAGATTTTCGATCTTGATTTAGATTTTGCCAATGCGCTGGTATTTGGTCCATTTTTCATAAGTTCGGTTTGCCTTCTAGTAGTGTCGTCTTTGAATGGAGTAATTGGGGTTCGTGTTCTTTCTATAACTATGAGTTTTTCTTCAGCAGTGATATTTGTAATCGCGGCATTCGGCTTTATAAAGAGGTAAGATGGTAATTTTTTGATTTCCTTTTAAGGGTTATTATTTATTCTCTGAAGTTTGTGCATTTACCTCAACACGGTCTGTTTATTATATATTAAATTGCATTGGAATAAATTAATTTGACAAAATAAACATACAGGCATAAGATGACACAGATATTCCACCAATTAGCAATTTAAAAATATATTTTCCGTACTTAAATTTTTATCTATTTCAGAATTTTGTATCCGGTGGTATTGTTTGGTCATCTTTTGTGTGGTATTGCATTGGGTGTTAATTTTGTTTTTCCAACCGTATTTGCTGCGAGTTGGTTTTCATCAAATGAAGCAGCAACTGTTATCGGAACATCCTGGAGTATGAAGTCTCTCGGCAAAGCAGCGGCCGCAGCGTTTCATCCCTTAATTGAACAATTATCGAACGTGACTGAAGATAGCTCTAAACTACAGCAAACTCAGTCCATATTTTGCATTACAGGCAGCGTGTTGGCACTGTTGCTACTTACATTTTCTTTATGTTTTTTTGTGTTCATGAAAGACAATCCTCCTTCACCACCTAGTGCTGCACAAGCAATCGTCATCGCACTTCGAAATAGTAAAGTAAGGGAAAAGGAAGGCTACACGCTGTCTATTACAAACATACTAATGTTGTTCAAAAATTTTGACTTTCTGCTACTGGCAGGGGCGAATACGTTGAATGGATGCGTGATGATATTAGTGGAAACTCTCGCATCGTCAATGATATTAAATACTTTTCCGAACAAGAATGATACTGATGTCGTACTAATAACAGCATTAAGCAGTATTTTTTCTATGATTGCTGCATTGCTCACAGGATTATTTTTAGACAAATATAAACAATTCAAAGGAATGACACAGAAAGGTAAATACGAAGGTGACTGTTCGAACATCTTCCCATCGTATTAATTCCACAGTCTACTCGATACTACATATTATCTATCGTTAGTTAGTGCCTCATGTTGAAATATATATTGACGACCACCTAAAAGTAGGGTATAAGTAATTGAATTTTTTACGAGAATGGCTTATAAATTTCCACCTTCAACTCGTAGTAATTGGCCATTTTGTAATTCAAAAATAATTTTGCTTACGTATAGATTATACAGAACATAACTGTCTCTAAGTACAGAAATGGCTTATACGACTTTTCAATCAGCATTAGTTCCTCATACAACGTTACAACAGTCGCCAAAAATATACGGTAATAATCAATATAAATCATCAAGTTTCTTTACTTTTATATTTCAGCGAGCCTCCTCGCAACGCTGAGTGCAGGCGGAATCGGTTTGGGACATTTGTTCAGAAGCTACACAACACTGACGATATTCTACCCAGTCGCATCTGCTTTTCACATGGGATCTTGCGTCTCTCTTGTAGAAATATTAACTGAGATAACATATCCTTGCAATAAAATTGCACTGATTTCAACATACTACTTTGTCAGTGAGATTGTTACGTTCGGATTTTCATTTGCAATAAGAAGAACGATGAAAACTCACGGCCCCAACGTCGCCATTTTGTGGGCAATTTTCTCAGGGATTGTACAATACTGTTTAATAGGTTGCGTGAAGCCAAACTACAGACGACTTTCTGCGGATGAGAATGATGAAATAAAAAAAAATTTAGATGATGAGAAAAAGTCTCTAAAATAAGAAGAAATACAACGATTATTATCGATTATAAAAATAGTTAATGTAGCAACACATTGATTTAAAACTCAATTTACCACATTGAATTTTACTCGCTGAATTATTGGATATATGTCGGCCTTATAAAACACGATTATTTTCTGCGTTTACTACCTTTTATTACGTTTCAAATTTTATTTCCAACTCTGGTGTACTCTAGTTATGGCAATAAAATTCAAACGCATGACTCTTGACTGATTTCAAACGTCTAGAACTACTCACTCGCAGGACCATCTTACCGATCGTGCTCTTTCAGCTAAATCTTTCTCTGATCAAGAATCTGCCTAATTCACAGACAGTGTTTTAGTGCCTTATGTATATAGAAGCACTGTAATGATGTTTCATTAAAATGTACAAAGTGTGTTTTTACATTCACATCATAGATCATTTGTTATTCCGCCAAAATTAGGGCAAAATAGTATTTACGAGTTGATCAATGACTGACTAACTATACTGGAGATAGGTAACTCAAATACAATATATTAGAATATCGAAGAAACTGAAATCATGGTGAATGTAATCTGCAGTTTGCAATGTACGCAATTTATATTTATAATTGCAATTTTAGAATAAATGAAAAGATTTCCCTTAATTTTGGTATTTGGAAGCAAATTCAAATCCTTTCACAATTCCGAAAATTGGCTACAGCACATTTAAACCTGTAAACTGCACACAGAACATTTGTACCGGCATACTTTTGTACTCACCGACATTTGCACATTTAAACTGCGACCAGGACATTTTCTACCTGCATACTTTTGCACCCACCAACATTTTCACTCATACATTTTCGACCGCAGATATTATCTCCCATATATAATTTACACTCATGTACATTTGCACCCACATAATGTGCGACTACGTACATTTGTACCCAAAGAGATTTTCCTCGCGGACATTTGCAACCACGTAGAATTAAATCCACGGACATTTACACCCATTGCATTTGCTTCCATTACCCTTCGCAACAATGAACATTTGCACTCATTGATATTTGTACCCACGGGCATTTGCATCCACGGATGGATATTTTCATGAATTGAAGTTTGCACACATGTATATTTGCACCTGCGTGTATTTGCACTTATGGACGTTTGCACCCCCGGACATTCGAACCCACGTATAATTTCACTCACATACGGACAGTTGCACTCACGGACTTTTTCTTCCAAAATCATTCTAAGCATTTGCAACCATGGAAATTTGCACTCACAAACTTTTTTACCCAGGGACAGTTGCTTCCATGGGCATTTAAACCCACGAATGAATATTTTGACGAATAGAAGGTAGCACGCATGCATATCCACACCTGCGTACATTTCATCCATGAACATTTGCATCCACTGTCATTTTTACTCGTGACGTATTGTGTAATTGGTTCATTTATTTATCAATAGAATATATATTAGAAATAAAGATATTGGTATTACAAACTGTAAGTGTAGCCTTTTTAGATTTATTACAAGTAATAATTCTATCATACTTTTGCACTCTGTCGGTAAAGTAGTACAATCATAAATTAAATTTACGGTGGCGTTTGGTTAGTTGCAACACTGGAATTTACATGGTATTGAAACAGAGTTAGCAATGTGCACAAGAGAATCTTGGTTCAATAAGAGATAATGATTCAAGAATAAAACAGACATGGCAAAAGAAAGATATACATCGAAATAGCTTACATCCCTCAATTTCTGGGTTATATACAGAATTTGTTGATGTATTATTGCAGAATTTGTTTATGTCACGCAAATTTTCCTACAACAAAACTGGCAAAGCGTTGAGTCGAGAAGTTGAAACATTGAAAAAAAAAAAAATTATCCACTACATCCATCCAATTGTTATAGCGTGTACAAGCGAATCCATAAAAAATATCTAACCTTGTCTGCGATGAACAAGATAATCGCAAATCGATCGTATGAACTATTGGGGACGTATTTAAATGCTTAAATTAATTACGCGTTGTTATATTATGACATTTGAATTGCGTCAACGTTATGTTTCCGCTGTTTCCTTGCGCGTTATATTCTCATGTTTCCATTATAACGCATTAATTTCAATCAGGATTGTACTGTTTCACCAGTTGAAGGTATTTCTCCCAATTAGTCATTGTCTAATATGGCCTAATAATGTACACAGTCAATTTTATTCAGTAAACTATGCATTTTACTTTAAGTTCAAAATGGTCTTCAATCAAAAATGAAAAAAATTACTGTATATTTCTTGACGTTGAAATTGTGTTCGGTTATTTTCAGAAATTTATATCCGGTGGTATTGTTTGGCCAACTTTTAAGTGTAACAGCGTCAGAAATAAATTATGTGCTTCCATCCGCTCTTGCGGCTAGTTGGTTTGCCTCACATGGCACTGCGACAATCATTAGGACCACTTGAAGTGCGATGTCACTCGTTGAATCAGCTGCTGCAATATTTTATCCTCTATTCATTCAAGCAACAAATGCAACACAAAGTGATATGTTTAAACAGACACACGTGTTATTAATAGTAACTAGTAGCTTGTTGTCGTTAATATTGCTTATATTTGCCATATTTTTCTGCGTCTATTTTAAAGACGATCCACACACACCGCCAAGTGGTGCACAAGAGCATTTTCTTTCATTGGAAGTCAACTCTGATGGAATAATGTTCCGTCGTCTGTCGAAAACTTGCTGGTGTTTTTTAATCGCCGTGAATTTTTGTTGCTTACTGTTGCAAATGCACTAGGTAATTGTACATTGGTTTACGCTTCGACGAAAAAGATGATGCTGACATTGTTCACATCAGATTAATGAGCATCTTCGCTTGTATGTCTGCTGGATTCATTGCTGAGAATGGTTAAACAAATACAAAAAACTTAAAGAAATGTCATTTTCAGGTGAGTTCGTGATTTGGATGCACAAAAATTATCATTTTTATCAAGGACAAGACTCGAGTTGGAATGTTGTAAAAGAAGGACTCATAGGTATATAACTAACTTTAAATCGGGGCTCCCGAAGTATGCGAACCAAGATGCCGGACATCGGAATGTAATATGTGTACTAGGTTAGGGTTAGGCCATAATTTTAGGTATAAATACTACGGGAGGCTCTTGGCTAGTCTTCGAACTGATAATAGGACTAAAATAAGGAAAATTAGAAAAAAATTATCGCCTAACCCTAACCTGTTACCCATGTTACGTTCCGATGTCCGCCATCTTGGTTCGCATACTTCGGGAGCACCTTTAAATCAATTAATAATGAATCATATTAAAGAAATAATAGACATTGCAAAGTTTTACATTGCTGAATTAAAATGCTTCATATATTCCATCAAGTGCTATTATGACTCTAACTGCTGAAGGAATCGCAATGGAACATATGTTGAGAAACTTCATTACATTGACAATATGGTACCATTTGGCATCGAGCTGTTTTGTTGCTTCCAACGTCATTCTGCTAGAATTTATGTTAGAGGTAACTTACCTCTGCAACAAAGTGGCGCTAGTTGCGACTCACTATTTTCTAGGAGATGTGGCAACATTTGGATTTTCTCGTGCAATAAGAATAACAATAGAATACTACAATACACAAGTAGTTGCAATATTGTGGCCCATTTTCTCCGGAATTATTCAGTGCTGTTTGATATTGTGCGGTAAACCCGACTACAGACAACTAACTAGCTTTAGATAAAAAAAAGAAGCAGTTGGAAGCAGAGCAAAGTGTAGCACAAATACCTCTAGATGTGAAAAACAGAATCTATTAACTACTCCGTATCGAAATTTGGAACCGATATGAAGTTGATATAGCCAACGACTTATAAGTAAATAATAGATAGGACTGAATATGGGAAAGCCTGCATGTTTGAAGTCGTTTATCTCTTAAAATGTATCCCTAGATAGATTGCTAATGAATATTATCACTAAATCTATAGCTATAATTGTGTTTTGAATTGTGCATGAATTATTTTAAAAGGCGAGCTTGCTATGAATATGATGTTATGTTTTATGCTCTCTAAAATTCCACTAAGCTATGTCACTCTTGCATAATTCAAACGTCGATGTGAAATCACTGCTTTTAAAACATGTATCACTTGTGGACCAGATATTCCAGAAAGTTTAGCGATAAAACGATACCCTGATCTAACTTCATACCGTAACACAGCGCCTCAAGTCATCACGAAGTATCATTTCCCATAATTCTTTCAAGGAATCAACCAGTGAACCGCAAATATTCATCTCTTTAACTGGAATAAGAAATCCAGTCTAGTCGATGTATGGGCGCGGCTTGAGAATTTTTGAGCATACGAATAGTGATGGATTCCCACCCCATAAGTAACATCACCATGAGATTCATGTGTGCCTTTTTTGATCACGCTATAATTATCCATCTGATGACAAACAGTTGGAAAAAGGAAATTGTAGTGTTTATTTATTATTCATAAGCAACACAAGCATACAAACTACACAAGGTCATTGAAACGTCTATCAGAGTATATCCAGTGAGAAACATGCTAGCGTGACCAGCTTCACCATGCGAATGTCCATCAAGAATGTTCGCAACGCAACGTGGTTAATAATGACGTCATGGATCTTGATCAACATCTAGCGGTATTTCATCAAAACAATAGAGGTTTCACCAGTAATTCACTTTGAGTAGAGTTTTATCCATATGGTATTATTCTCCCGGTGACCTACTTCAAGCGTCGCTTTATACTCCAAAAGTTTCAATGGAGTGGTAACGGAGGTAAAAGTACGCAGTCTACAATAAGGTATTCCGCGTTCAACCATGGTAGCAGTTCACATCGGTACCGTTGAGGCTCTACTCAATGACAATATATACATTGCTTTACCTAAGCACGCATTTTCCGAAATCATCGACCCATCAACTTATTCGGCGCGATGAGGCGGGGTTGCGATTTAGCCTACGGAAGCAATGTAATATTGACATAAAATATTTGGTCCCTTCGGATACGCAGGAAATTTTTAGAAAAACAAAAGAGTAATGCTCAAATATAAACCCACGAAGGCCAAAAAATGTTTTTTCCCCAAATTCTCTCCAAAATCATTTTCTGTACGAAGCTGAAACTGTGGAATGCAGCTATACGGTAACTGCTGTTCTAACTTTCCCAGGTCCTGTGACGATGATGATTCATGCATCCAATCCCACTTCGCTGAGCACTAGATCGCTTAATGCAATCTCGAAACTGGCTCACCATTACATTTTGATGACGTCATCACAAAAAACTTAAAAGTTAAAAACGAATTCCAAAGAACCCACAAATAATTCTGAAAAAAATAAAAGTAATATCCTTCTAGCGACAACAAATCTTTAGTCACTGTGTATTTCAGAGCAATTGGTACAGTAATTAAAGAGAAGGGCGATTATTTCACAACATCAACAACGACAAACTTACTAACAACAACAACAACAACAACAACAACAAAATAATAATATTAATATTGCGATCCAAATGTCCATTTCATGCTCAATAATCTCCGAGTACTTACAATTTTAAATTGACTGGTCCGATAGTCACGATGGAAAAAAAAATTCACAACAAGGCAAAGATTTTGCAAACAATTCATAGAACCACTTCATGTCTAATAATAACTACACATTTTTAGAAAGGAAATGGTTAACAAGCTTATTTTTGCGTATCTTTCTTCAACATAAAATATTATCTCATTTGAAGTCATCATTGAATTCACTACTTCAGCATATTGCATGACGGCGATGGGAATTAGATTTCTTCGCAATTATCATATACCAATATTATATGTGATTCCATGTCCTACCTGATATTAGTTTTCACGAAAATCAATGTAACTCTGTATCAGGAAATATGCAATCGCAGTCGGAAATCAATGACCTCGAGTTACCTCCATGAAATAAATTTGTCCGGTTGTAACCTTTGGTATCGACCTTTGTTCCGAAGAGAGAGATGCCGGCGCGACCACTACACGCACTTCAATTGCGTCGTGTTTCCTCCTTATCTGGTTAAATAGAAATAATGTAATATTTTAGGGTTGTTCTATGGACTAGCAATAGAAATACTTCAGGTTATGTGTGCCCGTTTCTGCTTTGACTATTAAGCTTATTCACCTAATTTTGTCGTTACCTGAAAAAAAATTACCATTCAAATAATTGAATTGCTCCAATATTAATATTCTTATATGTTCAACGTTTTCAAATTTGCAGGCATAACGAGTTGACGATAACGCGATGGAACAGCATCTCGACTTTTTCAAGGGTGTCGAAATTTAGTTTTGCAGAAACATAAATTCTGTAATTTTCTAAAAGCACAGTCCCAGTTCACTCGTATTGACGTATGGGTTGTTTAAAGACTTTTTAGGAGTGAAGGTTTAGAACATCTCACCAAAAAGAAAATGTGTTGCTAAATTTGAATATACTTTTAAGGATTTTAGTACTGTTTTTATGATACGTCTTTCTAATCGGTTTAGTGAATGTAACAGTGTACGAATAAATTTTTCTTGTGAAGATCGTACAGAGAATTATGCTGCAGTTGGTATAACTAAAGCGATTGCATTATTCATGAAGAAGACGTTGTTCGGGCACGACGGATTCAAGTAGGTTTGGACTAGAGTATAACAACATAACGAATGCATATTGAAACAGAAATTTATTGTAATAGATCACTTACTGTCAAGCTTTGGGGAAGACACCATGTGTATGCAATTTGTATTTGCAGTATTGTCTTGAATTCCGAATGGCGGTCAGGTTTTATTGTTTGGGCCGGTACTAGTAACTTAGTCGCAGGCAAGCGTACGGCAAGCGTGCGTGTTCTTTAATTAGATTTAGATTAATGTTCAGTCTGAGTCGTAATTTTGGTATTTTACTGCAAGATGTTATCATGTATGTCGTATATCAGATAGATTTAACTAATACAGAGATCAACTTTAAAATTATTAAGTTCTCACGTAACAAACGCATAGACAAGAAAATAAAGTTTCCTCCCCTACGCCGGAAGATCTAGACAGGCTAACCGCCAAACCATTGCATTGATTAACTACGCGGCATTCCAGAAGTAAAACAAAAGCGTTTATTTAAAACCCATTGCAATATCAATAACGCAAACCTGATCATTGTTTGCGTTGATATGGGTTTCACAACCATCAATTTTGAAGTCCGAATTGTATCATTCGTTATTCTTTTGTAGATATTCTTTTTAAATGCCCAATTATAGATATCAAGCAAAAATATTGAATTATTACAGACTTTTGACATTAATCACGAATAAAGTATACCACTACAGCATGTATAAATGTTTGGAATTAATATTACTAGTTGGTATTTAATGTTTATTGAATGAGATCACTACAGAGCACATCAAGTGTCGATGTGCTGAAAATCTATCAATTATTTATTTTTGCTTTAATAGAATAATGGTTCATAGGAATTCCATTTGCTTTTCCTAAACTCGAAGAGTTCAACAGTGAATTATTTGCCATCATGTGTTTTTTGAAGCAAAATATCCTTTACCAATTAGTGTCTTGCCTATTTCTGGATAGAAATGGAAAACTAAGTAAGACGACCTCTTGGCGTTACTTGCAATTTTTAGTAACTCTTTCAACTTATTTCCAATTACATTGTATCAAGTTCATCGAATATAAAATGTGTTTTATAAATGTAACGGAGGGTTGATATTTTGAAATCTATTAAAAAATATTTAGCCTCAGGCTTGAAGTGGTGGAATCAATAAGCTAACAAACAAAATGAAATTGTTTGTATCGCAATAAATAGCTGTAGCGATAACTAGAATCTAACTAAAATTACATTTTGAAAATGATGCTTTTAATATTATGTAAGAATATTCGATATTATACACTAAAATCGCATTCAAAATAATACCGAGTTGCTGTTAAAAATGCAAGGGTTTCTGCTTTACGCAACTCAACTAACGGTCTATGGATGATGTGTCAATTTATTTACAATATATATTCAAATTGTGGTTTAAAGTTTGTTTAAAACAGTACTAATACCTCATTATTATTGTGTTATTTTGTTTTATCAGATTTCCAGATGAAATTAGATACTGTTAACGGATATTATACCTGTGTTTTCACCGACAACATATATAATTTCCTGTTCCATTGAAAAACACGGTTATCGAAAAATAAACAAGATTGCATTTTCCGGTCCAAAATTATAGTAAGATCTTTCGCTTTGTCCGAAATCGATCCGCGGTTTCATTGTTTTCAGATCTACACGATGTTATGTTAGAGGGAGCTTCCTTGCTTAAATTTACGTCGAGATTTGTAAATCAGACACTGCAAACAGAGATCATAAAAATTAACTTCAATTTTGAAGATACTCCAAAGAGCCTAACATCAAAACTGCTATTAAAATCAAAATTATTGTATAATTTGGTACTGATACGAACACTTCACATAGTAGTTTTGTCATATATTATGATTTTTCTGTCTAATATTGATCAATATTCAGAAGATTTGAAAAAAAATGAAATTGCGTTGTAGGTGTAACAAAGCAAAAGAGGACTTTGCAATACCATTTTTGGTAAGAATAGTGCTTTGATTGCGTATTCATATTGGGAGACTGGTGATTTCTATATGTTGACTCGCAACCAAGCAGATAATTCAAAACAACTTTTTTGTGTCATTTCTAGGTGCAAAAATACAGGTATGTTATGCAATTAGATAGTATAAAGATTTCCAAGTAATAAGAAGTGATGTCACACGTATTACAGTCAAATGAAAAGATTGCCAGCGAAGGTCATGAAAGTCCGAAACATGAGCTGAGTCTAGGCTCTGGCGTTGTTTCTCTGTCTTCTCTCAACGACGTTACTGGCGTCACATTCCATGTGCAAAGAAATACGTCCGAAAATTATGGACGACCACTTTTGGAACCAAGACAAACTAATCCTGCTAAACTAAACAGACATCTGATTAAAAAGGTATGAATGACAAGCAGATAATGTCAATTGTATAGATACTAGATTGTTTCGTTGTTTGAGATTTTATTTAGAATTACTTTTTTAAAATTCAAACCAGAAAACATTTTTTTTATTTAATCAGTTGAAGTCCAAAATATCAAAGTTGGTAATTAACAGAAATGGCGTTGTTAGCAGAGTATACTTCCTGGCATAATTTTTTAAACTAGATTCGAGTGTTCTGTTTTTAAACTACATGCCCTGTGTCCTTCCGCATTCCAATTTTGATCTCATCATCTTTCTATTTCAAATGTTGAGCATAAATATTGAAATAAAACGACCTATTTATCGTCAATAATTTTTTAACGGAGTATGTATATTTGTTCAATTTTAAAATTTCACGCGTGGGATGACGTTTATGAAGTAATATCTGGCAAGTTTTCGAGTAAAATTCCTCAAATTATCCACAGTAGAAAATTATGATATAATGCTGATAGAAGTTACGATTGTATGTTATAAAAATTTATAAAAACGGGAGAAAAAGTTTTTGAACAATACATATTATTTCAGATTGAAAACAAGATATCAGATACACAAAAATTTTGCAATCTACCCAAACTGAAATCGGTTGAGATCAAATTTTCCAATCTCAGCTATTCCGTCAGAGAAGGATCCATTTTCAGAAATAGAGGTTGGTAAACATATAATATTGTTTTTATTTCCTGGATATTAAAGTAATCATCAGTAATATTGGTAAACATATAATATTGTTTCTATTTCCTGGATATTAAAGTAATCAAAATATCAATATTTAGGAGCTCATTAAAAAACTTATTGGATATCATAGTGGTTATCGTTGTATAGGTCGCAGCACATCCTTCATCTTATTTATGAAGTACTAGAAATCCAACTGATTGAATTTTTAATATCAAACTTCAGAAGAACCTTTTAAAAACTCAAACATTAGTAAGATAAGATGTTGTTCAAATTTTATTTATTGTGCGAGGTTACGGTGGGGATATTTCCAGCATTACCTGATCTAGATTCTAGATTACGACTTTCAGTACGACGGTGCAGTTGAATCGATTTCTTATTATCACCCTCTACTGTCATTGCCGGTGTCATTCTGAAATTCCTCCATCGCTTACCGCAGAATCTTTCCTGAAAAATATCGCTGTTTTTGTAGCTTCAGTGGGTGTGTTTTTCCAACCCCTGCTGGCAAAATCAGGAGCCGCAAATCATAATTATCGAATCATCTAATTATATATGAAAGGAAATGACAAAATATTTCGAGTCAATTCCATTAATTCGGAAGAAATCGATTAAAAGGTTGCAAATACGTAATACCAAGATTGTGAATGTATTTTATATCACAGACAGAAAAATTGAGCGCCAAACGTAAATTTATTTGGCCTGTTAAAAATTTGTAAATGCCACTAATACATACTATAATGTCAAATAAATTGTGTCTATAACATCAATATTTGACAAACACCAGATCACATAATTGTGTAAAGGTTTATAGTATTAACAGCGGTTTCTGTACAAAAGAATGTAGAAAATTAAATCAGGAAAAGGTGGCACAAAACATATACTGTGGGCGTTTTATATTTACTTCGTGGCTCACGGAAACTTGAAGATGAATTAATCCATTATTACTTTGTGCCCAGTTGGATATCTTGCGTGTGGTCTTAGACGAAGGTGACACAGAAATAGCACGCTTCTATCAAAACATGTAAAAATTGTCAGTAAGTATATTCAAGCATCTTCCAAGGTACCCAACAGTGGCAATGATTGTGCTTTCCTAATAACTTATCACAGATGCAATTAGTATGTTACCGAGGATTATAAATCACTATTTGTCGTACCGTTATTAATATTATAATAATTAATAATATAACAAAAGCTTTGGAATGTCAGCAAAATTGCAACATAGCATATGTACAGATTGGGAACTTTTTATAAAAATGAAGAATCACATGTTATATCAATCGAAATAAATATTTGAATCGTAGTTTTATTTCATAAATTAAAGTCTGTTTTGTGACAATTTCTAACATTGAAGCAATTTCATATCGATCTACAAGTGAACCTTGGCGCCCTGTAAACTACCTACATTATTCATTTCGGTGTGGCTATCAACGCCAACGCCGGAAGGTTTTAGGATGAGTAGAGCAAAGACCAAGAAACTTATCCACATGAACCCGTAGTGAATGCCGGACGATAAGCAGAAAATAATTCGGGTTTGTTAGGCACAAAGGGGATTGTTTCGCTACATCATTGTTATTGATGATGTGAAAAATAGGCTGTGCTAAGAAAGTCGTCGTTAGAAGGCTATTATTTTTAGGTATTTCAATTTTATCCTACCGGCCCGATATCCCCCCCCCCAAAAAAAAAAAAATTACTGCTTTTTTTAATTAATAGTCTCATTATGACCTTTAACCTTGGTATCATTATAATTGGACATTATTGTCTCGTTCGTACTTCTGACGGTGACAAAGTAAATGTCACATCAACGTTAGATTAGTTTTCTACAAATTCCATCATTTGTGTTTTACTGCAACTATAAATTTAAGGTTTAGTGAATTTTGAGTGATTGTCATGCCGATATAGCAAGTGTCGTACGCCTTTTGTATATATACACTTTCCTTGATGGTATTCGAGTCACTAAAATAAAAGTATTCTTGTTGAAAAATTAGAATAATAGATGAGAAAGACTTCATCTCAGACGGTGGGGTACTCTCGTTCACTGTATGAAAGTAACCTTTCTACTCTATGGCATTCCCACATTGCCTTATTACAAATATTTTTATCGATAATGCAATTCGATTAAACGTGCGGGATAAATTTAATGCGTTTTTTTATCGATTTTGATATGAGTTTTAATTTTGATTCCTGATTCGAATACACTCTCACACTGTTGAATTTATATATCCTATTTCAATATAAGTAATATTTTTTGTATCAATTTGTTAAAGCGTTTCCGTGTTACCCTTCAGATTTTTTCAAATTATTGTAGTAAATTGATGAAATGCGTATATTTTGTGTTTAATGGTTCAACCGAATTGAATTTCGCATGGTCCCATTCATCTAATTTCTTCAAAAGGTTTTATACATATTTAAAAGATTTTTGTAAATTTTTATTCTATCGGAATTTAAAGCACCATTCAAGAATATTTTAAAACGCTGTTATCTCTCATGGGTAATTTGAAAATTGCTGTTATATTCCCATGTGACTCGAGGTTACTACGAGGCAACGAACGTTAGTAACCTCTGATATTCAAAATCAATATCGTAATCTTGTATATTTATATCCAGTTTCAACAAAGACGCCGTTTTGAGGTATAATAATAAACAAAGTACAAAAATTACTGAAAAATTTCATTTAGAGAATGAGGCATATCTAATTTGACGTCTAATTTATTGTCGATTTTTCAGGTATATATTTGTGGATCACCATCATACCATCGCCATAAATATGAGCGTCCGCTGATTATGAATATACGATTTCGGTTGACTCATACAAATGGACATGAATCAAAAAAAAAATGATAGTGCAAATAATGTTCCAATTTTTCACTACTTCTGATATTTTCAACGATGTCATATCCTTAATGTTTCTTTCGTGATGTTGGGGTATACATGGCCTTCAACTCATTCAAACCTACGATCGAATTTAATATATTATTCTTATATGAATATTTATGGCCACAAAACGAGAAAAATAATTTCCAAATTTAATCAGCACTTTGTATAGTTTGCCTATTTTTGCGCAAAAGCAATTTTAGAATCATTGTGTTTGAGTAACTATTAATCTTAAATAAATTCCTTATGTCATAATTTGTTTATCGCTGGTTTGTGTGCGATTAATCTATAAAACAAGTTCGTTTGATTTGATGGAAATCAGTACACGGTAGAATGAAAGAATAACTTTCAAAATGTTTCCTGATTGTGATGAGTAACTTCCGATATTGTTGTACATATGCAGAAATGTATTTCCACGGCGAGTATTTGCTTCACTATGAGTCCAATAATTGCTTGATTCGAAATTTACAAAATCTGACATATTATGCGCGAGTAATAATCTTAGCATGCGGCTCTGTACGTATTGCTATTCGTAATTGCTTATAGCGGTAAGCTCGGCTTCTGCAACCAAAATTTTACTAATGGTGCTTAACTATTGAACTTAATGCTGAATACATTTTCCACATTTCATCTGCTAAGTTAAACAACATCGAATGTGCACTTATTTCTATGCTAACAATTTTAAACTCCTTTCAGGTAACAAGACAATACTAAAATGTCTACATGGTAACTTCAAGTCAAAAGAATTCATTGGTATTTTGGGACCTTCTGGGGCTGGAAAATCATCTCTGATGCATATATTGGCCGGATACAGGTAGGCTACGATTTGTCATGATTTAGTTCTATATATAACTTCACTCATTTGCAATGAAAATGTATTTCATTTACTTATATATAGACATTTTAATGGCATTATGACCATTAAATTTAGGTTTTGTTTTTCCATGAAACGTAAAATAATTTTTTGGATCACACAACAATTTTTCATGACTTTTAAAGCCATTTTTTACTTCCTCAAAATTATTTTCTCAAACACACTATTTTATCATCCCAGAGAACGAGGTATGAAGGGTGAAGTATCGGTTAATGGGAAACCACGCGACTCCAGATCGTTTCGCAAGATGTCGTGCTACATCATGCAAGACGATAAGTTGCTGCCTCACCTCACGGTTATAGAAGCAATGATGGTGAGCTCTAAGATTGCTAGCAGAAAACGCAGTATAATAAAATATAATGCATGCATGGGATTATCTTGGTAGACTGATGCACTTGATAGAGCGACCAGCTGCTAAAATGTGAACGGCTGCTTTATATTGGAAGGTGTAATCACCCAAGCAATTGTCACTTGGGTGTAGCAGTATCTATGAAGCATGTGCTAGAGATTTATTACCTGGCACGGTTTACATGGTTACAAAATATTTTTATTTATCACAATAACAAATTTGATAATTCAATAAAAATTACATTGCAGTATGCCTCTATACATTTCGTGTTAAGATCGCTTGTAGATTTTTTTAATAAGCATTGTTTGCCATTCTTGCTGACATGTATAAAATATGAATTTAGAGTTGGTTATTCATAGCATCACACAAAAGTTATCGTTTCATTAATATACTCCCTATTTCATCTTATTTATTTCCAAGTATTATTTTATTCAAGGTGTCAGCAAATTTAAAACTTGATCGTTCAGCGAGTGCTGAAACAAGGAAAAGTTTGGTTATCGAAATACTGACCACGCTCGGTCTAATGCTGTGCAAAAAAACAAGAACTTCAGATTTATCAGGAGGACAAAGAAAAAGACTGGCAATCGCTCTTGAACTTGTCAACAACCCGCCGATTATGTTCTTTGATGAACCAACGAGGTATTTTTACTTAATATTTTTAAGTATAGCAAAGTTACACTGATATTTTAGGCTTTTATTATGAGCTGTTGTGTTGTTGGTAGGCCCATTAAATTATCTCAAAAACCAATTTCCTAATCGGTAAATATATTTTACTTTCTCAATACCGATAAATGGGAGCATTTAGAAAATAACCCAATTGAATTCAAATAAATTTTAGTTGAAATTTATAATGGGTAGAATTTTTTTCATTAATTTATTAAGTGCTTGTTGCCCTACCAAAAATGTTTTAAATAATGGGTAAAATTTATTAAGCCAAGATCGGTTCAAATTAATAAATTTATTCTCAATATCAAAATCATCAAATATATATCACAGGATGTGTTTTCTTGTCATTCGAAAAAAAAATTGTGATTTTTATATAGCTAGATAATATTTTATTTTCCATTTTCTCATTCAAATCACATTTTGGTCATAATTACCGTTTTTATTGAATAATTCTATTCAATTTGAATTGATTTTTTAGCGGACTTGATAGCGTTTCTAGCTACCAGGTGCTGTCACTTTTGAAATCACTTGCCATGGGTGGAAGAACTGTCTTATGCACAATTCACCAACCTAGTGCAAAATTATTCGAAATGTTTGACAAGGTAGGTGTTTATCAATTTTTCATTGGATCGTCATTTTAAGTCATTCATGAACAGTACACACAGAGGGGGTGTAGAATGCAGAAATCGTCCGTCTACTTCGTTACGATTACGTATAGTGTAGGCGGGGTGATAGAGTTGAAGTCTGAAATTTCCTCGCTAATTGGTAATTTAATATAATATATCTCATTTGAAATTGCAACGTACTTACGCGGCAATGCGATGATCAAATTTCCCACCTACATATACCTCTCAGCCAAATTACTTACCAAAATGTAGTAAAAAGAATTAAATTAATTTTTATTGCTAACTGGAGTATATGAAGGCACGAATAGACAATACTCGTTACGTGAATCCTATTTCTTGTTTATCCGGACGTATATTCTGTCTTTTCAAATACCTCATTTCAATGTTAGTTGTATTACCTCAGCGCTTAATAACCGCGAAACAACATGTGAAAAATCAAAGAAATAGATTTATACCTTTATTTCCCAATCCTACTTTGTCGAACAAACAAGAAGACTTTATGGCTAGTGCCAAACAATTTACTGGTATATTGCTTGAATACAGATAAATGAAGAAAAAAAATTCAAACTTGAAGAAAAATGAATTTAAACTATAATTATTTTTATTTTTAGCTTTACATTCTTGGAGCAGGTCAATGTATTTATCAAGGAACTGTTCCCGGACTCCTACCCTTTCTACGCGATCACGGTCTGAAGTGTCCTAAATACCACAACCCAGCTGATTATGGTAATAAATAATTCAACAATAAGATTGCCAAACTCGAATATTATTATTTTCGTCTGTCTGAGCCAGCGCTCTCAATTTCTTAAAACATGAACAAAAGTGCATAATGGTACATTGTGACATCAGTAAAATTGTATGTTCTTTCCAAAATAAAAATTGATGAATAAAATCAATTATTCAATTGGAAGGTAATATTAGGTTTAAAGTTTCTTTGTTTAGAGTACGCTAAGTTCAAAATTGTCCACAAAATAAAATTAGAACGTTTTGGGCTGGTCCCCGAATACTTAACCTTTTGAAATTCTAATTCATATTTCTTGAACCTATAAGCCGGCGACATTTTGTCACGCAGGGAGAATTTATTATTTTTTAACAAATTTTGGTATTCATGTACACGCTCGATTATAAAATAAATAAACAAATTCACTGACTCAATAAAGGAGAGAAGGTGACAAGTCAATTCGACATGAACACAATGTTAGTTAGATTTATTATCTAATTCTCGAGTTGTGTAGATCCCAAATATTCGTTTATATACTCATAGATATGAACTATTTCAATGTCTATACTTTAGATGGGTATAGAATGCATTTGTTATACTAAATAGAGAACGAAAGATGATCATTTTTTCGCATCTTTATATTAGATAAAACACATACTGCAAGCCATAATACAATACATCTAATTCTCGAGTTGTGTAGATCCCAAATATTCATTTATATACTCATAGATATGAACTCTTTCAATGTCTATACTTTAGTTTAGATGGGTATAGAATGCATTTGTTATACTAAATAGAGAACGAAAGATGATCATTTTTTCGCATCTTTATAATAGATAAAACACATACTGCAAGCCATAATACAATGTGAATACATTATACATATAAATATATATCTAATTATTATTGTTGGTGATAAAATCATGTTGTTGCTTCCACGAGAATATAATATATAATTGTTTCTGTTAAACTAAACAGTGATTGAAGTCGCATCAGGAGAATACGGCGAAGTTAACCCACTTCTTGTAAAATCGGTAGCAGCTGGAAAATGCGATTGTTACAGCGACGTTTGTTATGATGAGGTGAGTATAGCATTTTTTTCGCAAGCTGTGTTGAAAATTGGGCTAGGGCAGACATGGGCAAAGTACGGCCCGCGGGCCAAATTCAGCCCGCTTAGTGATTCAATCTGGCCCGCCTGATGCTGCCACAACCAAACTGAATTTTTTTTTTCGATGTTTTAAATAAAAATAGCTCAGGGAATTTGTTGAAAATGCGGTTAAATTCAGTTTTGGCACGAGGTTTATTGTTTTCCACGGTTGCGTTTGTAACACTGTAAACACTGCTCATAAAATGTAACTCTTTACGTCATACTTTCATGGTCAGCCAGTCTAGGTGGGCAAAATTTTTGACCCCTTATCCAAAAACCGTGCCCATCCCTGCATGGGCTAGGCAAATTAAACAGTCCATTTCGTTTTTATACAAAAATATTTGACCAATTTTCACGAGCGGCATCGGAAAACATGAAAATTGACACTGATGCTATATTGAAACCAAGGCACACGCAGGAAACGTAGTCACCCAATAACGCTGTAAAACCAAGTGTGTGTATTCAACCCGAATTCAACGAATGTATTCAACCCGTTGCTATATTCTAAATACTAGCCATAACTTTATTAGATAAATATTTTATGTGTGACAAATCGATTCCAGCTAAATTTGGGTATTCGCGGTAGGCACATGACTATCCCCGCTCTTGGTAGCCTACACAGTTTTTGTAAGTTTTGTTCCACGATGCTGTTGTTTTTATGTATTTGTTTGCGAAATTTTTGTACGTATTTATACAAATAAGATCCCAGGTCCGGGATAGTGCAAACGATTGTCTTTTTCCCATTTTATATTTAAAGATATTTTCTTGTGTCACACGTATGATCTTATACAATCATCTTATCGTAGAAATCAACAAAAGACAATCTCAGTGTATCCCTTTCAAAAGAAGATGACGAAGACGTCTGGGTGAAAAGAAACAGTTCTACATCATACACTGAGAAAGCCCGGGAATCTCCTCAGTTTCTACTAGATGCAGCAAGACAAATGAACAATAATACAGTATGTTGTAACGCATAGTTTGTTTTGTGAAGGTTGGAGCGCGTACTAACAATTTTTGTTTAATACCCACGTGTGAAAGTTTTCATTTTTTATTTTTTATCCTAAAGCAGTTAATGAGTGGGTGTATATTGATATTGTATGCCTCACCTATCATAGTATATTATACGCTTAAATATAACAGATTGATATGCAGTTTTCATCGAATATTTCTCAAAATAGCTACTTAAAACTGCATTACTTTTGCAGGAAATTGATATTGACTTGAATCGATGTCAATTATTCTATACTACTTGTTGGACTCAGTTTTCTGTTTTATTCAAGAGAACATTTCTGTCTATAATTCGGGACCAGGTAAGGTTAATTTTCTATTAAATTCGATAAAAAATCTGCTGACGCAAGTTTTAAATTGAGTATTTAGTTTCACTGCATCTACACTCTAAAATTTATTATATATACACGAAGTTGATCTATGGTTCGTTTTGTTATTGTGTTGTTGATATGTGAAAAACACTTTAATAAACTCTTCAATCGCCGTTTTTTTTTGTATTACTTATTTCTTGATAAATAAAATAAAACAAATCAATTTCAAACTAAATTTGTGTATTAGGTGTTAACTCATCTGAGATTGATGAGCCATGTTGTCATCGGAGTGATGATTGGACTTCTGTACTTGGATATCGGAGAAGATGCCGGCAAAGTTCTTAATAATTCTGGATTCTTGTTCTTTTCTGTACTTTTTGTCATGTTTGCTTCTCTCATGCCTACTGTGTTAACTTGTAAGTAAACTTTATATAAAAATATATTAAAATTAAATCGTTGCTCCATTAGGTATTACCACACCTATACAAGTCTGTACCTTATAGCGCAATTAAACCTAACTCCCTTACGCCATCGTCTGGTTAAAGTTGAAACTGAATTATTACTTGAGCATTTTGTATTGGTCAATTTAATTCTTCGTCATTCATTAGTGTATTTGTTCAATGTTCTGGCTGTTTTGTTATTTAAAACTCTTTAAAATCTACAGCACGTATAAGGTAAAAATAGATTTCTTATCGGTCGTTTGCATTACGTGGTAAACAAAAATATTTTAATTTTTAATGTATGGTGGTTTTTTGATTTGAAGATGCTAAAAGCTTTTATTTCGCTTAGTATTCAATATCAGATCATTTAAACTACATTAAACACTTTTTCAATCTATAGTTTGTCGCCATAAATATAGAGAAATAATATTCTACCGTTATATACACAACTGAATCGTTTTTTCTAATTGTCTCATCTAATTTTTTTTGCAGTCCCGTTAGAGATGTCTGTATTTATACGAGAACACATGAATTACTGGTATAGTTTGAAATCGTACTATATTGCAAAAACTCTTGCCGATGTTCCATTTCAGGTCAGCTATCGTATTTTTTTATTCAAAATTTATTATTATTATTTTCGAATTGCTTTCACCAGCGGCGTATTTACGTAAAATGGCGCCCATGACGAAGCTTGAATATGCGCCCCTAGATCGTTGGTTGACTGAGTGAGATTTTTTTACGTTATTATTTAAGTAAAAGTATGAGTTTTATTTATTTTCAAATTTAAATTAGTTTGTTAAGATTTTTAACGATTGGAACTTTTCGCTCTTTTTCGCCCCTTTTCGGGCACGAGCCATGGCTGCCATACCCTAGATACGTCTTAGCAGAATTGAATATTTTTTAACGAATCTAACATGATTCATGTCATTATCAAGATCAGAAATCAAAGTTCTTTTCGATAATAGTATGACGAGAGGAACTTTACATGTTAAACTAATCCAAAGTCAAGTCAAGTCAGGGCGGCGCACTAATATATTACTCCAATCGTTCCAATTGTGATTAGTACTTTTCAATGCCTTTTATATAGATGCTTTTTCCTATTGCCTACTGTACTATCGTTTATTGGATGACGTCACAACCTAAGGAAGCCGACAGATTTCTTTTATTTGTGGCTTTATTTATAATGACGTCAATTGTTGCACAGTCGTGTGGACTTCTCATTGGTGCTGCTTCAACCTCTCTTCAGGTATAAGAATTTTTATATTGTATATATTGTTATATCAATAACTATATATCTTAAATTTATGCTATTGATAGATACGCTTTTGTTTAAAATTTAAAAGCAAATTCAACATCATAAGGCTTAAATCTTAACAAAGTTCGGTTCAAGGTGTAATAACAGGATTTGTCCAATTTGGCTTGGTGAATTCGATTAAGCAAACACTTTTAGTCAAACATTAGTTCGGAATCTAGATCTCTAGCTCGTCATGTTATATTAATAAAGCAAACTACCAACAAATTAATATATAATAAAAACTAATAATACAAAAATTGTAATTTCAAGTATTTAATCTCATATATTTAGGTTGCGACTTTCGTTGGACCAATTACTACCATTCCGGTGTTACTGTTTTCTGGATTTTTTGTTCGATTTGAAACCATTCCTTGGTACCTGAAATGGCTTTCCTACAGTTCGTACGTTCGATATAGCTTCGAAGGAATTTTGATTTCTATATATGGATTAAATCGTACTCAATTACAGTGCAATGATGAATCAGGTAGGATACCAGCATATTGATTTTGTTAGACTTACGACAACCACAATCCATTGATTGTACAATTTAGAATTTCGTTGCGTCCTCAAAATGAACGAGGACGAATGTTCCGCTCAATTGCCCTCGTATATTAAAATCTTTTACACACTGTATCACATCGAGTAAGGTTTGTACTTGCACGAAGATACAAATGCATATCAAACAAAGTTACAGTTAATATAACATTTTTACTCGGAAGGAATTCAAAACTGTGGTCGCTGTTCATGCGTATCGTACGCAAAGTTTCCACTCGAAATACTTTATCTCGCCTCATAACCAAATTTGGGAATTACATTACAGAAAATATTGCAACACTGTGTTGTTAAGTCGTATACAAATTTGGAATTGAAACTAAACAAATCTTACAACCATAGCAGGAAATATGATATTTCTTTGAATTTGTTTTTTGCTTGTCTGTTTGTGGAACGTTTCAAAGTCAAATATAACGTAACTCAATTTTTGCATTTTCCTCATATATATATATAACATATATAACGTTTTATCCAATTACCAAACACAATAGCGCAATACATTTTTACTGTGTAGTACTGATCACTAGACGGGCTGTTTAATCGAAACTATTTCGATATTATTCTATTCGTACAAAATATTCACCATGTTCTGGTTCGTTACACTCGCATGGCACCCTGTAGTTTGTGTATGGCGCGCATCCAAGTCGACCGTTAAAAAACAAAGTCCGACTAAAGTTAAACCAACAGGAGAACAGATAGATTAGATTACAGATCACAAAAATGATGTACCATGCTTGAAAACTTCTATTTTACATGATTTCGTAACTATAGCAAGTACAATAGCGCAACATTCGAGTAGGGCTTTTCCCATTTTGTTTGTTCACTATGTTTACTTCCCTAATTTTTGAAAAGGTGGTATTCAGCGTAACACTGTGTATAGGCCAAAACGACCGAGATCAGCTATTGCTTGTATATTTTACGCCGGGCCTAACTTAGTCAACAGACTCACAGCTTGAGTACGATGGTATATTGAACCTAGAAAGCTATTCCATTTGCATATAACTCAAGGAATTCCCATAACCTCTTTATTTGTCTCATGACATCTGTTTACTGAATAAATTTCATTATAATATGCAAATCGTCAAATGGAATAAACATTACAATGATGTAATTTTATGTAACAAAAAAATGCAACTTCTGTATGTGTACAACAAATTTAATATTTTTACAGAGCTGATCATAGAGTCATAATATATCAAAATACCATGCTCGACAGTTCCTTAAATAGTCGATGTTTTGCTTCCTTTTTCGTTACATTTAATTTTAACTACTGATCATTGCAACACAATATACCTATTAATATTTTACCGATGTAATTTCATATTTAGTTTGACAAGGTGGCCCAAAGAGAATTTTCAAATTAAACACTTGTATGCGTAAGTCCCAGTTATCAATGCACAATACAAAAAAAAAAGTTGCAGTTCAAATATATTTCAGATTTGTCAAACCCACCTGACGCAGATTTGTTTTTGAGCTCAAAAAGTGGTTAAGACGTTGAAATTAATAAATAATAAATTTTATGACATGTCATTTTCCGTTCACGATGTATCTGAGAGAACTTAATAATACAACTAGAGCACAATCGGAAAATCCAGTACCAATTTTACTTTGGTGAAATCCAGCTGTATTTAAATATAAATTGTACACTTTAATATCTTTTTAAGGAGTTGGATGTCAATTCCAGGATCCAACTCGTGTACTTCAAGAGATGGATGTAGACGAAGATGATCTCTGGCTGGATTTTGTGATTCTAGCAATCTTTTTTGTTGTGCTGAGACTCGCAGCATATTTTGTTTTAAGATTGCGAGTACGTATGGAAAAGTGAAGTAATATTATTGTTTATTATGTTCATTAAAGTTAATGCTTTCCGTCATTCTGAATCTTTTAGCATTAGATTTGAACAATATTGGTTATCTGGATAATGTCAATGTTATTTCTATGATTGTGAAGTAATTTTTGTTCATTTTTTCAATAATTTTCGAGTTTAGATTAGTGAAGAAGCTCTTGTTCTGGCAACCTTCAATTAGTATCGAACTTCAATGACGTTTTTCATATTTTCACTTCAAACTACACTCTTTACAAATAGTCACAAATAGTCTTCTAGTGGAAAATGTCTTATGGAGGTCCGAAGAATAAGTTGTGCCTTGAACATATTCTAGAGTAGAGAACTGTAAGCTGTCATGCCAAAATAGTCAGACCAACTTGCACTAAGCCCTCGTGCCCATACACAAATTATCTGGCAATATCTCAATGAATATTCATATTTTTAATAGCATCCTCAAAACCAAAATACTATTCAGGTATTTCATCTCTAACATTCAAATAACAAAAACAATTGGTCCTAGGTAAAATATTGAATTATGGAATAAACGGTGAAGTAACCAATGTCTGTTTAGAAAGGAAGGAATTTAAAGGGGAGAGGTCAAAATGAAATTTCATTCCCTCCTTAATCTTTTAAATTATACAAAATTTGAAATTCTAAATTTCAGCAAAAATCCTTATTGGCAACATGTATTGAGCATATATGGGTTATTAAAAATGCATTCTTATTATTTATCTGTCGAATTTCAAATAGTTTTTGCTATTTTAATATATATGTTTTGCAGCTTATTATATATATGTTATATTGCATCATTTTTCTGCAATTCAATGCATTATGTAAAACCCAATCGTAATATATTATTTAGCGCACGATGTTGTTGTTATCAAATATGAATTAATTCGGGTAAAGGATACCAGTGCTGTTTTGGAGCTAACTATGAGTACTCCCGAAGTATGTGAACCAAGATGGCGGACACCGGAACGTAGTATGTGTACCAGGTTGGGGTTAGGCCATAATTTTATTCTAATTTCCCCTATTTTATTTCTATTACGAGTTCGGGGACTGGCCAAGTGACTCCCGTAGTATTTGCACATAAAATTATGGCCCAACCCTAACCTGGTACACATACTACGTTCTGGTGTCCGCCATCGTGGTTTACATACCCCGTAATATCATACTCATGTTTTATTATAAATGTTATTGACATTAGATCGGCTTGAGAAAAAGTTAAAAATTAACCTAATACTTTATATATTAAAAATCGGAAATACAACTACGTGACCGAAACCAATATCAAGCACATTTACAGAAGTCAACAGACGAGTGAAACTACGGGGCACTAAATAAGCGGAAATAACCGCCTGACGGGATTTCGTAACCGCTAAAAGTTATTTAAACAATTCCTTTAATTCCAGCTTTTCGAGAATCAATATTTTATAAATTTCATAGTTTTAATTTCTCGGATTTAGGGTGTTTTGAAGTAGGGGTGCACAACTCAAATGAGGACGCGTGCCAAATTTGTCAAAATAATCTTGTCGCGTGCCACGCACAGTCGTTGGTATTGTAAATTAACTACCGTACAACACACATCAATCAAATTTCAATAATAATACATAATAACGAATATCTATCTATTCATTGAAACAATTCAATGTTCTGAAAAACTGCTGATTTGAATTCGTTTTTGATGGACCAATTTGAAATGTTGGGCTTCAAGGGAGAAATATCGATGGGCATCACTGAATCTAGTAAACGGGATTTGTTTATTTTCATGATTGATGCCTGTTTACAACTGTACGTGCTTGCAAATTGACAAATCCAGATTTTTGCATTTTTCAACAAAACTGAATATTTCTCTTCCTCGAGGCGACAGTAGAACTCAAGTAATTTTGTCGGAAAACTTGGTTTGGCCCTTTTTTCAGCAACTACCTTCTGTAAACATGGCCACGAGCTAGCAATGTGTGAACAAACATGATCATTCAGGTTTCTTTTGATATAAACATGATATTTTATTGTATAACATGAATAAAATTTTTTTTTACAAAGCCGTTCGCGTGCCGCGTCTGGTGTGCCAAATTTGGCACGCGTGCCCCGTGTTGTGCACCCCTGTTTCAAAGAGCATTTTTGGTTGTCGTTTCAGATAAGATATGCAACCGTAATTTTGACACCTCATCTAATCTAGTAGTACTTTTGTCTGCTAAAACAAGAAATCGGTATTCAAATCTGTCAAATCAAAGATAAAACAAAGTAGTATAAGTATTTGTGACAGTAGGCTAGCGACACTGACTGAACACTAGATCGCGACGGCGGAACCACCACAAGGTGTGCAATTTTCAATTTTGATGACGTCATCGCACACAAAAAAACGAATCCCTTGTGGTCCACAGATGTTTTTTTTTTTTGAGTGAATAAAGGTAATAGCCTCCGAGCGAAACATCAATCAAAATTTCAAAGCAATTTGGCCAGTAGACATTCTTTCACGACGTGTTCTAACAACAACATAACAGTAATAAAATGATCTGCATGTCCAGCTCCTGCCTAAAAAAACATTCCGTTAGAGTAAATCAATTTGGCATTCCCATGTTGTTGATATCAGCATTTCTATATATATATCTATTTTTTTTAGTAAACAAAGGTATGGTAAACATCAATCAAATCGTTTATTAAGTTTGAAAATTAAGTCAAGTTTATTAAAGTTTATTAAGTTCGTTTATTATGTGTGAAAAAATACTCGCGTGATGACTAGTCTCGATTGTCCAGTGGATCTGAGGCGATAGCAACAGCAATTACACAAATAAACAAATTCAAATCCTAATAGACCGAATTATCAAGTTTACTACTATTCAGGTATTTGTTTTTCATTTTCTGCATCGTTAAACCCGAAAACAATGGCTGCAAAGCGAACTTAGTTTGAAAACGCGTGGGTGTGTTAAGGGAGTGTGAATTTTGAGAAACAATACTTTGAAAAATATTTACATTGACAACACATACCAAAATGGGGCTTTTTAACATTGCGTCACGCTAAAAACCGAATTGCGTAGGTCATTTTTAGCAGTTTTGAGAAAAACGTAAAAAACTTCCTAATGATATTGCTATGCCATTGAGAATCAATAATTTTTCATAGTTCAATTTTTTGATCGTAGCCGGATTTAAGTTAATTTGTATGACGCAGTCATGTGACGTCATAATGGCGCACTGTGACTTAGGCAGAAATGTGTCTATGACTTGGGGGACATACGCAATTTTGCAACTTGACTAATGACTATATGCACCAGTCCTGAAAACCAAACAATCCGAAAACGAATGGAATTCTTAGTATCTACGATGCCTAACCCCAAAATAGCTAATCTGTTTCAATTACAATATTTTTTATGTTTAAAAATATATATTTCATCAATATAACACGCTCTGCACATCCACCGAAATAGGACTAAAGTTAAATATAAAGATAAAACAGCAATGTACTCTTATAAAGCCAACCAAGGTGAATTGGACTCAGACAGTGAATATCACAAGTGAACGCCTTCCTACAATATTGCATAAATTCAAATTTATGAGCGCTAAGCTAGAATCTGAGATGTAAAAACTCGAAAATCCTTCGCAGAGGGTACTTTGCCTTTGTGACGTCACAATAGTCTGCGTTGACAATGATAATTCATTATGACGAAACAATTGAACAAATTTGCATGTCATACAAAATCTACATTTTTATGGGTTTCGGAATTCTTAAAATAAAATCTTAAATACTTTAGTCTGCTAAAACAAGAAATCGGTATTCAAATCTGTCAAATCAAAGTAGTATAAGTATAAGTATCTATGACAGTAGGCTAGCGACACTGACTGATCACCAGATTGCGACGGTGGAACCACCACAAGGTGTGCAATTTTCAATTTTGATGACGTCATCGCACACAAAAAAACGAATCCCTTGTGGTCCACAGATTTTTTTTTTTTTTTTTGAGTGAATAAAGGTAATAGCCTCCGAGCGAAACATCAATCAAAATTTCAAAGCAATTTGGCCAGTAGACATTCTTTCACGACGTGTTCTAACAACAACATAACAGTAATAAAATGATCTGCATGTCCAGCTCCTGCCTAAAAAAGCATTCCGTTAGAGTAAATTAATTTGGCATTCACATGTTGTTGATACCAGCATTTCTATATATATATCTATTTTTTTTTACTAAACAAAGGTATGGTAAACATCAATCAAATCGTTTATTAAGTGTGAAAATTAAGTCAAGTTTATTAAAGTTTATTAAGTTCGTTTATTATGTGTGAAAAAATACTCGCGTGATGACTAGTCTCGATTGTCCAGTGGATCTGAGGCGATAGCAACAGCAATTACACAAATAAACAAATTCAAATCCTAATAGACCGAATTATCAAGTTTACTACTATTCAGGTATTTGTTTTTCATTTTCTGCATCGTTAAACCCGAAACAATGGCTGCAAGCGAACTTAGTTTGAAAACGCGTGGGTGTGTTAAGGTAGTGTGAATTTTGAGGAACAATACCTTGAAAAATATTTACATTGACAACATATACCGAAATGGGGCTAACATTGCGTCACGCTAATAACCGATTTGCGTAAGTCATTTTTAGCAGTTTTGAGAAAAACGTAAAAAACTTTCATAGTTCAATTTTTTGATCGTAGCCAGATTTAAGTGAATTTGTATGACGCAGTCATGTGAAGTCATAATGGCGCACTGTGACTTAGGCAAAATTCAAAAACTTAAAAAAAACTCAAAACCGCCAAAAATGACTTACGCAATTCGGTTATTGTTGCAAGTTTATGGCAAGCAAGAGAACAAACTTTGATCGATAACATAATGGTGTGTTAGGGGCGTGAATAAAAAAGGGGAAGTAAGCTTTATTGAAAAATATTTACATAGATATCAATTACTGAGAAATGACACCTGTGCACTGAAAGAGTGTTAACAGTGTTTGCGTTGCATTTCGCTCGTCGACACGTATATTGGGTACATGCTTCAAAAATTATTTAAGTCACTTAACACTACCTCATTTAATTTAAACCGATCAACTTTTGTATCACATATTCTCATTTGACAAACATTAAAATATCTAATTATTTAAATATTTTATAGCAATACCCAGAAATGTTGTTCCTTGCAAACTGCTTTTTATATTTTCAGAGTAAAAACAAAACTTGTAACCATATTTTTTGACTGGTGAATGGTTTGTAAATATACAAAATCAATAATGCCTCAAATGCAGCTATTGATCCTAATTGACAGCTTTGCTGGGGCTTTTGGCAGAATTATTATATGATTTTTGTTTTGAAAACATTCAAATGTGATTATTTTTGAAATTGCACATCATCTGTTGCTTTGTTTATACCAAAATCAGAAATAGATATAGAGTATTGTAAATTGAAATATATTAAAATGACGAATGCAATCTTTGTTTCGACATAAATATCTATACGGTACCGAAATTTAGCTCGCGTTGTATCGGTCGTGACCACAATTGCAGAAATTATATCTGATTACCGTATAATAAATCACATTAATCGCAACCAAAAACACATATCTCTTTGTATATCGTATTATTCGTTCCCCATCACCCGCTATCATTCGAAATACTGACGTATTCGACCATTTCGTTTACTCTCAGATTTATCCTTTGTTGTTCGACGTACATATTTCATCCAGATATTTGTCATAAAGATGTATTTAAATCAACAATGACATCAAATTTGCGCTTTTTCATTTATATCGCGATTAAAAATTCACGAACAGAATTACCTTTTGGACATTTTCGATACTCCATTGGTTTATTGCGTGTTAATAACATTGACAAATTTACGCGATGCTGTCCTAATACCCGAGTTATATTCGTGATAGCAATCCAGCAGGCAAACATTTTAGGTATATTAGAGGGGGAATAGCCAAAACAGTGTATTGCAAGTAGATTATTGTGCTCTCTTTTATATTTTTTGCCAATTGCGAAGCTCTCAATCAAAGACCGTGAGGTCCGTCACATTTCGAACAGACACCCTAATGAATATCGAAGGGGTTAAATCGACTGTTCTAACTTGCGACAAAATGTTGAAATTGAAAGTAAGGCAAAAATCCAATTTTTTCATACATTTTCAAGTATTTTAAATTATTCTTGAGCGTTCACAGCAGAAGCAATAGTGACCCCGAATACTTAGGCCATGGCGACTGAGCTTCAATATGACTTATATTTCATTTCTATCGCGTTCAAACAACGTTCGGCTTCCGTAATTAATTTAGTGATGAATGAAATCCTCGAACCAATCATGTTCCGCTTTGCTTCATAAATCAAAACTATTCGGAAGCAAAACATGTTGGGTATGTAATAAAGGGCATTGCTTTCAGGCAGGATTAGGAACTGAAATGAATATGGGAAACAAATACAACATAATAATAATGAAGATGTGGATGTTGTTCGTATAACTACGAAATACGATAGTCCATTATTCGAATAGGGGTTTCCCATTCTGTTTGTTCATTCCTATTTTTACTTTTTTAATGTTAGAAAAGGTGTATAGACCAACGGAGTCAACGGACTCACATCCTAAGGAAGCACCTAACTTAGGAAGTTAGGAAGCACTTTCATTTTGCATATAACTTAGGAATTCCCATAACTCTTTATTTGTCCCATGACATTATAATATTTCATTATAATATGCAAATCGTCGAATAGGGTAAACATTACAATGATGTAATTTTATGTAACAAAAAACGGAACTTCTGTATGTGTACAACAAATTCAATCTTTTCACAGAGCTGATCATAGAGTCATAAAATATCAAAATACCATGCTCGACAGTTCCTTAATAGTCGATGTTTTGCTTCCTTTTTCGTTACATCGAATCTTAACTACTGGTCATTGCACGTACAATATACGTATCAATATTTTACCGTTGTAAACTTGTAATTTACACTCACGAATTTCATATTAAGTTTGACAAGGTGGCCCAAAAATCCAGCTTTATTTAAATATAAATATTACATTTTAATATCTTTTCAAGGAGTCGGATGTCAATTCCAGGATCCAACTCGTGTACTTCAAGAGATGGATGTGGACGAAGATGATCTCTGGCTGGATTTTGTGATTCTAGCAATCTTTTTTGTTGTGCTGAGACTCGCAGCATATTTTGTTTTAAGATTACGAGTACGTATGGAAAAGTAAAGTAATATTATTGTTTATTGTGTTCATTAAAATTAATGCTTTCCGGCATTCTGAATCTCTCATCATTAGATTTGAACAATATTGGTTATCTGGATAATGTCAATGGTATTTCTATGATTGTGAAGTAATTTTTGTTCATTTTTTCAACAATTTTCGAGTTTAGATTAGTGCTCATTCATGAAGAAGCTCTTGTTCTGGCAACTATGAATTAGTATCGAACTTCAATGACGTTTTTTGGACACGTTTAGTGGCCATAACGATCGTTTCAATATTATGTTGTTGTTGTTGTTGTTGTTGTTGTTCTTGTTCTTGTTCTTTGACACGTTTTTAAAAAACCGCTTTTCTCTTCGAATACTGGACCAATTGCTTTGAAATTTTCAGTGGTTTAAGATTAATTTCTTCGCTAGAAGGCTATTACTTTTATTTATTTCAAAATTTTCCGTGAATTCTATGAAATTTGATATTTCGTCTAAAATGTTGCTGTATTATTTTTTATCCATGGGAAGAAGGATTTTAGTCAGTGTCATGACTGGCTGTACGTTTTGATTCTGCAAAATTCTTGCTACTGGAAATTCAGAACTTTTTTGAGGGTACCGGTAGCGTCAAAGGTACCGGTAAAGACTGATTCGCTCTGATCTAACGTGTCCATATATTTGTGCGTAGCTCTCTTGTTATATTTTTACTTTAAACTACACTCTTTACAAATATTCACAAATAGTCTTCTAATGGAAAATGTCTTACGAAGGTCCGTAGAATAGGTTGCGTCTTGAACATGTTCTAGAGTAAAGAACTGTGAGCTGTCATGCCAAAATAGTCAGACCAAATTTGCACTAAGTCATCGTGCCCGTAAACAATTTATCTGGCAATATCACAATGAATATTCCTATTTTTTCCCTTAATATAGGGGAATTAATAAATAACATTCTCAAAATTAAAATACTATTCATTTATTTGACCTCTGACATCAACTTATTTCCTGATTTTATTTTAAAAAACAAAAACAATGAGTCCTAAGTAATATATTGAATTAGGGAATAAACGGTGAAGTGACCAAGTGAAAATGTTGTTTAAAAAGTACGGGTTCAAAGGTCTGAGAACAAAATGAAAATTTTATTTATTTTTTAAATATTTCAATAAATGAAATTTTATATTCCAAATTTCAGCAAAAATGCTTATAGGCAACATGAATCGGGCATATATAGATTATTACAAATGTATAATTATTTATTATCTGTCGAATTCAAAAAGTTCTTGCTATTTTAATATATACGTCTTGCAGCTTGCATACGTCAGTACCTACATTTTTCTGCGATTTATTGCATTATGTAAAATCTATTCGTAATATATTGTATAGCGCACGATGTTTGTTGTTGGTAAATATGAATTAATTCGGGTAAAGGTAGGTAGTACGGGTATGCAGTATGCAACTGGGTAATTAAACGATCTGCATGTCCACTTCGTGTCAAAAAATAACTACAAACAATTCGATTAGACAGAGTAACTCAATTTAGCATTTACATGTTGGTTATACCATCATTTCTATTAATATTTTTTAGGAAAAGATATAGGAAAAATTAACCAAAATAATCCGTTTTTTTATTGAGTGAATAAAAGACATGGGTGATGAACGTGGAAGCATTTCATGTTGATCTAACTTCACTTAAAACTTTCGTTCTAAATTGTCAATAGAATTTGGGAAGAACTCTAACAATTACATCAACCGTCGTGAAAAACAAAATCTATTTGAATAGATCTAATTTACCAGAATTCGTATATTTTATTTCATATTTTCTCACCACATAACCCTTATGCCAAATATCTAACCGCATCGCTGAACAAGAGAGCAACCTTTGTGTTGGGGGTGTGTTAGGGGTGTGAATAAAGATAAATAAAGCTTGGTTGAAAAATATTTACATAGCCATCAGATACTGGGAAAGGGAACCTGGGCAATTAAACAGTTTTTGATAGTGTTTGCATTGCGCTTGACTTGTCCTCAAATTGGTTACAGGCTTCAAGAGTAAGCGAAATTACTAAACAGTAACTATTTTAATTTCAACCGATCAACATTTGAATCATTTATTCTCAATTACAAAAACTAAAATATCCACCTATTGCTTTTCATATTTTCAGAGAAAAAACAAAACTTGTAACCAATTTCTTAACTGGTAAATGGTTTGTAACTGACAAAATAATGCATCACCTGCTGTTGATCGTGATCCCAATTGGTAACTGCGCTCGGGTTTTTTGGCGGAAATAGAATTTTAGTTAGAATTCGTTTAGAATACATTTAAATCTGATTATTTTTGAAATTGTACGTCGTCTGTTGCTTTGTTTATACGAAAATCAGAAATAGATACCGAGTATATATTGTAAATTGAAAAGGTATTAAAATGATGTATGTAATCTTGGTTTCGATATAAATATTTTCTACAGGCGACACCGATATTAGGCCCGTGTTGTATCGACTGTAATCAAAATTGCCTCAATTATAACAAATTTTCGTATAATAAATTACATCACTCGCCATCATCACTTCCTTGTATATCGTATTCCTCGTCACCAGATGTTTTTCGAAATACAAGCTTACTCAACCATTTCGTTTACTCTCACATTTATCCGTGTTATTCAGCGTATATATTCAGTCTAAATAATTGTCGTAAATACGACATAAATAGAATCATGAAGATGTTGATTTTGGACTGTAACTTTCAAATACCTTCAATCAGACAAAGCCTACATGTTTTTGTTATCCCGATATAGCTGTTGGAAGTTACAGAATATTCCAGGTAACAATATCTTCTGATACACCCCCTAAAAAGGATGGCGTTGTTTTTTATTCTGTCTGACACTAATAAACTATATGGACGCTAGGGCACAAAGCAGTGCGAACAATCGCTCGTTCGAAGTTGTAACTTGACACAAAAGAATGCATTTCACAAAGAATTATTTGGAAAATCCCTTCAGTTCAACGGAGGTATCGGTAAAAACGACTGAAATTTATATTCTGAATACTTCAATAACGTAAATATAGGTAGATCTTATTTTATAAAAATATTACAACCACGACTGAAGAGAAAAAAGAAAATTACAATCAATTCGAAACGATTTCATTATCCTGTTTGTTTTTAGATCTTGCAATGAAAGAGGGGTCATATTCAAACACAAAAGATTTATTTTTACAAAAAAAATTAATTAAAAGCATAGTTCATTATTATTTACATCTCAATCTAGTCAAATGAAAAAAGTATAAAAAGATGCATGCACATAAAAAAAATTTGGATGAGATGTAAATTGGGAGTTAGTTTTAGTGAACCATAATGTAAAAAGTTCAACTTCGGAACCATAATGTAACAAAATTCAACTTCGGCCAACCCACGAAACTCCAATATTGTTTTTGAACCAAGAGTCTTCATCCGATAATTTGACATTCTCTGGGAATTTGACTCTGATGTAGATAAGATTTCCCTTTGCCAGTCTCAACAAGCCTTGCTGAAACATTGTTAGAAGATCACCGGGAATCCTACAAACTCCTGTTCGTGTTTCACTCAGAAGGGTTTTCTCGCTGTTGTCGTATATCCTCATTCGAATTTCAAAATGAATCCTGTCAGTGGATTGTGAAAAGCTTAATTAAACATGTCTGGTTATACCTGTTTCCAGTGTTTTAGCCAGAACCTCGCATTGTCAAATATTTAATGGATAGATTCCCCATGTTGAAATATAACTGGGTTGTGCTGCTATATGCTACGTTGAATACCGGGAACGTAGGTGTTTAGGACTCTTAAGGGTTTAAAAGCGTTTCAAGCTACAAAAAACTTGCTATGCGTGATATAGAATTATTTATATTTTCAAGAGGGGGACCGACCCTGACTCCCTACTCTGGCTGAGAAATCCTGAGATTGAAATTGCAGAAACTGTTTGTGAATGTCCGAAATACTGATAAGCAGAACCAAGTAAATATTCAGAGTCTAATCAATGAAATCATAACTTATGTGGTAAAACACTTGGCCTTTGCAATATTCTCCAAACATAACGTAACCTCTTGAAAATATAATCACGCACTGGTGTTCAGTAATCCGCATACCGTATAAAATAACAAATAGTTAAAACCGCAATTCACATTCTCTACGTCACTTTTTTCAGTGGCCGCTAAGCTAGAAGTAAAGAATGAACAAATAATATAGTAAAATAATAATAAAATTTTGACCTTTTTAGTTTTTCATCGGAATCTTCACATTTTGCAGTTATTTTACCATAAATCATATAAAGACCATTTTTCGGTATTTTCACAGCTCCGTTCACAAATGAATCTTCGTATCCAGGAGATACAGTGTATATTGATCTGTCGTTTGATAACTCCGTTACTGGGAACCAAGTATGAGCTAAACAATTAAATTCATTTGAATATTTACTATAGTTTAATTTCATATGAAGCAAATTAAAATGTAATACTACCTTCAATTCCGACACTTGCATTGTCACGTGCAATCCAGTGAACAACAAATCTTTTGTCATCACCATAGCAACGTTCAACTATTTTATCGAGCTTTTTCTTCCCAATTTCTCCAACTATAAAATTATCATGATGGTAAAAAGAAAAGTAAAATAGATTTGAAAGCAGATGTTATTGACTCCTACCATCATTTTCTAGGTGTTTCTTTTCGCTTTCGAGACTTCTGTCTATATTCTGCAAAATGAAAATGAGTTTATGTTTCATTTAAATATAGTGGTTTTTGTACATGAACTTTTATCATATGCTCCATGAGTTTACTATGTTATAAAATAAAAATAATAATTTCGTATATGTATTATGTCATGGAAATTGTGAAAAAATTATATATATACATAGATATACGAGCTAGGCAACTAACCTTATTTATAAAACTTCTTATTTGTTCATCATGTAAGCACTCAGATGTCAAGTTATTTTGTTTTTGAACGGATGACTTTATTTGATATCTACAAAAATTTCAGACAGATCTTCAAAGACAGCAAAAAACAATCTTTTGTTCACATATCGTGCAGTTCGCATGCATTGATAATCTAGTGAAGACTCTCATTTCTGATTTTTGTTAAAGGACACAAAGTGGCCATATCAATTATTTTGCTATGTCCTTTTGTTGTTGTTGTTGTCGGGACGACGTTTTGGTGAAAGAAAATCGCTATTCTACGTAACTTATGAGACAATCGATTTGGCATGAAGCTACTACTTTTATCAAATTTTTTTCCATTCTCTTGCTGAAATATTGTTTATTGGTTTACTTTGAATCACGTAAACACTAATTTCCTTCCGTCAGGCCTGGCTGTCCAACTCCCGCCTGTCCTCTATTTTGCGAACTTGGAGTTCGGACAAGTCCAGTGTATAGGTCGGTTGGTTTTTCGACCTCGTGACCATATACTTTTGCATTATTCTCTAGTTTTCATTCAAAAGAAAACGAGAGCAAAAAATACATTTGGACATTTATTTAAAATATATTAATTGATACCATGACTAGGGCTTCAGTTGAGTGACGGATATTATAACTCTTGATATTCTTTATACAAATAGTATTAACTCACTTTTTCCAACAGTCATGTCTCGTTTCAGGCTCAGGTCCATTCAAGCATTCCATTTGAAAGCGTAAACTTTTGGACTGTTGCAGTAAGTGATTCATGTATTCAGAGCGAATAAAGTATTGACATATTGAAAAAGACGAGGCACAAATTGACACCGAAATTACAACTACTACACGTCGAATAGTTATAGTTGACGAGCATGATTCCAAGATAGCCATCACTTGCTCGTTGGGTCTGTGCGACCGCTTACTCTGCGCATTCCCCTAAGTGATGGTATCGTTCCGCATACAAATATTTATGGGTGTAACACGTAACGAATTTTGCGACTTGTTTATCTCTCGTTTTGGGGGTGGTGCCGGGGTTTGTATTTAACTTGTTATCAAAAGGTTCCTCTTTTCAGGAGTTCGTGTCGAGTTTATATCGCTACAACTGTATATCATATTTACTAGTATGTGACTATACATACCCTTCATTAACATTACGTGCTTTTCATGAACTAATAGGTATAACTTTCGAAACGCCAAATTAACGCGAGTGGTCAGCTGCAGTGAACATTACTCATCCGCTGCGATCGTCTAACATTTAGAATAAATTGAACTTGAACGGGTTCATGACCACCCGTGCAAGTTCCTGAAATGAATCACAGAAATTTAGCACAACTACTCAATTTTTTGTCTGGGTCAAAAGTGGGACACATTTACAATTTGTACCGAGACATATATATATATATATATCTTTCCTCCAAATGTTAATGTAACAACAACAACAAGTAATACTTGAGTGTAACTGCTATATATATTTGCATTTTATTATTTATGATGAATGTAAATAATGACCAACAAATAATAATTATGTCTAAGTATAACTAATTGCAGGTTACCATCATGAAATTATTCCCGGTTTGATAAAAATCAATTTTTGTTTTGTATTGGTCAATGCATAGTTTGTGTCATTACTACCTGGTTACATGTACTACCTGTAAAAATTATACCTCCTTGAACCAACGTGTACAGAACCTGTTCTTACCCAGATCACCGATCATAACACGACTAACTCGTGCCAATCAACATAAAGTATCGTGTTGTAAATGTGGTCTGTGGGCAACCTGTACCATTTTAAACCAATATAAAACAATTGAATGAAGATAGAGGATTGTGCATGCCAACTTATCTCAACATGTCCCAGATTCAAATAAACTGCGTCAACTTGAACTACTGTGAATCACCAACGAATACCAACTTTTGGCGACACTTTTCGCCGAATTGTGTTTTCGGCCTGTACTAGCCTGGACCAACCACGGTAACGCATTTAAAAGGTGCAAACAAGTACTTCATATTCATCAGACGTTTAGTTCAAATTTTGGGGCTCCCGAAGTATGCGAACCAAGATGGCGGACATCGGAATGTAATATGTGTACTAGGGTAGGGTTAGGCCATAATTTTAGGTATAAATACTACGGGAGGCTCTTGGCTAGTCTTCGAACTGATAATAGGACTAAAATAAGGGAAATTGGAAAAAAATTATCGCCTAACCCTAACCTGTTACCCATGTTACGATCCGATGTCCGCCATCTTGGTTCGCATACTTCGGGAGCACCCAAATTTTTTTATTATATTATTCAACAGATGTCTTAGTCAAATGTTATAATATTCAGGGTACGCATGTAGTATGTGAACCAAGATGGCGGACACCGAAAGGTAGTATGTGTACCAGGTTAGGATTGGGCCATAATTTCAGGTACCAATAGTACGGGAGTCCCTTGACTAGTACCCGAACTCGTAATGGAACTAAAATGAGGGAAAATTAGAATAAAGCTTTGTCCTAACCCTAACCTGATGCACATACTACGTTCCGGTGTCAGCCATCTTGGTGCACATACTACGAGAGCGCCATATTCAGCAGATGCGTTGTCATCTTTCCATTTGTCCGGTCATATCTTATTTATCTGATGCTGAGTCTAAGTGGATACGTCTTATCAATGTACGTACCGTTTTGTCTACAAACAACTTATTTATCGGATATTTTATACGTAAGCATTTACTCATCTATCACCAAACTCCGATATTTAAGCTTTTCCATCTATATACATGAATACGTTTCATTGCCTGGTGTTTTATTTATATGTTGTTTTTATAGGTATGTCTTTCGTCTGGAATTATAATGATCGACTTTCGAAAAGATGAAGTTGTAATCTTGTTAAATAAGATAAATTTTCAATGTTTTGTTTTGGAAAACCAACCTTAATTTTATCTTTATATTAAACTATGCATCTTTTTTGTTTGCTGTTGTCCGAATTCATGGTATATTCGAATGATGAAGTCACATGTACATCAAGAGATAAAACTCGAATTCATTTTATGCTGTACAAATAGTTTTTCATTAATTATTACATCAATAATTTCGACTGCTGAATAAAGGAAAAACATTGAGTACCTTTTCAGAAGACGCTGAGATTAATTAGTCATTGTTTTGAAAGATGTAAAAATGGACTCGTTTTTAGAAGACATAGAAGCCATAGAAATTTGGCAACATAGCAATAAAGTAAAAATACAACATCGTTATTACAAACTTCTAAATTAGGTATGCACCAAAAAATGCTTTGTGATCTTCATAATGATGATGTACTTTTGTTGCATCTGGTTTTTCAATTTTGACAGAAAGATAATTTCGTTTGGTCAGATGGAAGATTCCGCCCTGATAAGACACTTTCAATTTTCCCTGCTCTCCATATCCGCATAGCTGATAGACACTGACTATCAATGTTTGTGGCTTACGTTCCAGTAACTCTACCGTGTGAGTGTGAATTTGTGCGGCGCCTGAAAGGTCATTTGGTTTGTTTAAATTTATGAGGACATATTCTTACTTAGAATAAAGGTCATGTTTATGTCTTTTTCACAATTCAATTTATAACATGAAGGGTGTTAGGGAGCGATTTAATTGCGTTGAAGATCACAAAACAATTGTTTGTGTAAATCTATATTGTTTATAAATAAATCCGGCAACCCATAAAATTGCTATGCCTGAAAGACTTCTTTTTATTTGGTTTAGCGTGACGACAGTAAAAATCGGTTGATAAGATAGGAGAAATTTTTAGGTAGAACTTAAAAATGCATTTTTGCTGTTTCGTGCTTGATACAAGTTTAACAACGACCTATGTTTAAAATGAGTATCATTTTTGTTGCTTAGAGTTATTGCAAGAAATTTACAATATAGATTATTTAACTAATTCCCAAGTTCTTTACACATGTGAATAACTCACCTGAATTATGTCTGGAACATTCAAACGTAACCTGACTGTAAACGTAGTAATAACCATCTTTTTTAATTTTTATTCTTTCCTTATGTACCAGATAAGGACTGGTATTCACACATATATCTGGTTGATTTGACTCCCACCCTCGTAAATAATATGGTGAATGTTCTGGCAGAGAAAAATAAAAAATAAAATACAAGAATTAATAAAATTTTCCTTTTCATTTATAAAATTTATAAAATCAAATACGCAGTATATTTTTCATATTTACGCTTTTTGTCCATTTTTTCTGCAGGAGAGTGATTTCCACCCAATTCGAGTTGTATAAATGGTCTCTGAATCGAATTCCAAATATCAAAAGTCTCTTCTTTCTCTTGTGTGATGCTTTTCACGACTGTAAAGTTTCATAGATGCCACTTTGACATTCGATCTCAGCGTCATACACTACATCGGTACATGCCCTCACTTGCTTTAACGTAATCTCGATCGTGGACCAAAGCAACAGCAATTAATTGTATGCGCTTAATCTCATAAAGACATTCTCACAGAATTCAGTTTCTATTCCTAACTCTGTAATATTTGGTTTGATACTGAAACACCTGAGATCACACAAACGCAAATGAGATCGCATACCAAAGTAACATCGTATATATAGTTTTTTATGACATAAAAAAATTGGGCATAATTGGAATGTTTTTTTACTTGTATCCTTAATGAGATATTGTCTCAAGAAAGCTGAGAGAGTTATTAAGACCACTGGTATTGGCGTAATATAGATTTGTTTATCGTACTCCAATCATATAAAATCAGCACCTGTCGAAAGACTTATGTATTTTAAATATATTAGTGATTTTGATTTAGGAATTTATATTCTGCGACGAAATATTCGTTAATTGCTTTTGTTTACCTTTCAGCGAAGACAGCTTCTCATCACAAGTTTCGAATCTTTTCTTTGCGTTTATAATTTGCTACAAAAGAAATAAATTCGTAAAATTCACATAAATATATATTGATATAAATAAATTAGATAATTCTGACACTTCTGACATACCCGATTTAAAGAACACAAGCTTCCTTCTTCATTACATGTCTGATAATTATGTGGAAATTTCAAATTAGGCAGCATTCGTCGAATGGCACCTACGGGAGATTAGTAAAGTAATTAAAATTTATTATGTTCTGAATATATTTTGTTGGTGACATGCAATTTTATACCTATTTCATTATCGAGTTTTTTCTGCTCCCACTGGTGATCCACCGTAAAGTATACCACTAGTAAAATATTTGCCAAAGTGAACATGCAGAATGCCTTGAAAAGTAGCGATACATTTGCACGTCTTTCACCGTTGCACAAGTCTCGAAATTGCAGCAAATTCTGTAAAGTTAAAACAAAAGTAAATTGGTTGATATGGTCACGATCATTGAACATTTAACAGTCAGTGATAACGTGCTGGCCTAAAACATTTATTAAACTGCGAGAAATTACTAATCAGTAATCACTGAGAATCTTCAAAGATTCAAAAATCAAATGAATTTATGAAATATACTGACCGTTTCAGTTTGAAGATGACTTGATTCCATTTTGTTCTCTTTTCATGTTAAGGCAATCATATAATCTTAAAATTCATTAACAACTATTAATTCATTTACCTGAAAAAATTTGTATCAATATTAATGTATCAACATATTTGCCAGAAAGTTTTAACATTTGTAAAAGATCAAGCAGACAAATTATCGAACAAACATTTAGAAATAATTGTTGTAGAATTGTATTATAATGCAGAAGCAAGTTAGAGTCCTAGAAAATTCCTTCACCAAAAAGTCAATCAAAACTACATAAACAATATAGTTCAAATTTGCGCCTGTTTAAAGCTACGGTCATCTGCGATGAGAAAAGTTCTGCAAATCAATGTAGCAGAACTGTTGATAGGATTCCTTTACTCTATTTCAATCGCTTACGTATTTGACTCTGAAGCGGAACACAATATGTTATATGTAAGCAATCTCATTTTGAGATAAGAATATAAAATTGTAATACTTCCTCCAAATAAAATTTGTTTATCATCCAAATATAAAAGAAACATAGTGGAAATTTCAGAAATTGAAGTAAATGATACAGGGATGACGCGCTTGTCTGCTTTGAATTTGCACACACTGAATAATGAGTGATAGGTGGTAAATTTTGCTGCAAAAGCAAGATGTTCGAATCCTAATCAAAATCACATTTTTAGCAAAAATACTTGAATATTATCAACGCAACGAGCTATTGGCATAAAACTGCTCAAATATGCAAATATAAATTCTAAGCAAAAATAAAAAGTAAAAACACTTGATACCAAAAATGGACATTAGCGTTTATGACAAAATCAGCTCAGTTCTAAACGCTCTGATGCATCAAATATCTACTATAAAACAAGTAATAAAATTACGTAAAACAAAATTGCGAGATTATTTAAGAAATTTTTTTTACATTCAAACGGCATAAGTAAAAGTTGTTGTAGTTGTAATGAAAAAATAAAACAAATAAGAGCTGTATGCATTAAATGTTACCATATAAGTAAATTAATATATATATATAATTATGGAGATACACCAAACCAACGTATTCTATGGAAAATAAATTTAGATAATGATGATTAAAAAGTTGCAACTAAGAGATAAATAGAATATTGTCCTCTTTTTTGCTTGGTTTCAGTAAAGTAGTCGAAAACAGGACAACCTATTCATAAAGACAATCTCGATCAAAATGTCGTCCGACAATACTTAACCGTCAAGCACTTGTTTCATAACAACACTCATATCACAGAGTTTTTCATATTTCCTCAGTCTTGTTTTACTCAATTTATGGCCTGTTTATTCGTTGTCATTCATTTAATATTCTTGCTCTTTATGTATTACGCATTCTATAATATAATCATTTCTATTGATAGAAACATAGTTTCACTCAAAGTAGATATAGTCCAAACTCCATCCTGTCACGGACTCCAAATTTCTCAATATGTTGGTTGAGTAAAGGACTGGTCATAGATACTTGTAGAATACTACCCGCATCCAAATAAAACACGCCTGCTTGATAGGATACTTCTACAGGTTTGCTCGAAAATTGGAATGAGTTAATCATAAGTTGAAAAACTTCTGAGTCTCCGTACTCTTTCATTTCCACAACGTGTCGATAAACTTCGGAATCTGAATGCAAATTACACGTCCGCAAAATTATCACATGATTTTTTTAATTCGTTTTTAGTATAATAATTCCAAATTGTTTACAAAAGTTACACAGTAATAAATAAAAATATTAAATAGATTATCTCAAAAAAACTTGTAATATAATTATGTTCATTTAAATGGAAATAGAAATACGTATTACTTTTAATTCCATCATGACGAAATAATGGCAATTGGCTGAAAACGTAGTAGTTTCCTGACATCATTATTTCGACCCTACTTCTGTTACGAAGGACTGGATGTATTCCTGAACAACATTGCTCTATTACAGGTCTCCACCCAGTGATTCTGCGACTCTCTTTTGATTCTAGCAAAAGTAAGGCACACTTATTAAACATAAAAAATGAACAAGAAAATGTGAGAATTATAGCATACGAATAATGACCAGGATCATTTATATTTCCACCTGAATTTTCATCCGAAGCTTCCATTTTCTCTGCATGCAACAATATGGATGGACGAGCAACTTCTTCCCAAATTTTTAACGGGTTTTTGATTTTCTTTTTCCGAATAGCTTGCCCCACTACGTACAAAGTGTGAGATTAAAAAACATAAAAATACAGTTAAATATTCCAATTATGACAGAAAAAGATAAATTGATTCTTCTCTTGATGTAAATAAAAAAATCATTGTGCTCACATCTCAATGAAGCTCTTTGCAAATCGCATCTTTTTGCCTCGTGAACCTGCTGTCCAAGTATCTGAGATTATAGGCAATAAATAATACTTGTGCAATTAGTTTTGACAAACAGAAGGCGTGGAATTTTGTAAAATGATTTTCGTACATTTATAATGGGTATTTCAAATACACTTACTTCAATCAAGTAATATATTTTAGTACAGTATTAGATTTGAAGTTAAGAATAAAAACAAATCATAATTTGAATTTCTAAAATGCGTGAAGATGTAAATGTTATTCAGAAAACCTACTTTATAAATGTCTTTATCATAATTAAAGCTGGCATCTCGTCTACGTGATAGTTTTTGTAGATGTAATCGCAACTCATCTGAAAGAATATAGTATGATTCAATTAATGATCCGATGGTCAAACTATAGATGAAAAGTTATATGTTTCAAAAAAAATTGAACTTGTTCGCAAAAACCCCACCCTCGAAATAAGTTCTCTTATAAGTTAACTTTCATCAGAAAAAGATCAAAATTGCCATATAAAAAAATTCCAAAGGCTTTCCAAACTTAAAACTGTGAGTCCCAAGCCTGATTCAAAATCACCTTTTAACTTTAAACATGCAAGAATTTATTAATTTCAATTTCATCTAGTCATTTATGATTGATATTTTTCAAGTCTTCCAGAATATTGAGCAACAAAAAAGTAACAACTTCAAATTTATTGAATAAGTATTATCATTTAGCGACCTCACATGTTAATCAAAAGCACGAAGAAAAACTCAATATACGACATTATTCTGAACTTGAGTTTGGTGACTATAGAACAGTTTTATTTCTGATCATTGCCACGAAACAACAAAGATATACGATTAATAGTCGCTCAGATATAAGATTTATTCTGAAAGTATTGGTGGAAAGATTGTCCAACTGCAATGTTTTCTAGTAGCAACATCTTTTATTTTAAAATAGTTTAAAAAAATATTTGAGTTTTACCGATAGTTTTCTCCATGGACTCCAATTCCCATTGGTAATCGAGTACAACATACATCATCAATAAAGCAAGAGCCACACTGTACAGAAAAAATGCTTTTTTCATAAGGCCCTGCCGTATATCCATCGTATCTTATGACATTAAATAATATGATTAACACAAATAGTCGAGAATTTACAAAAATACATTTCAATGCTACTGCTGGACCACTTCATGTGCAATCTGTTAAAACAAAAAGGCGATGACATTAGACAAAAAAATTTCCAAAGTCACATATGATCATCGCAGACAGTCGCACACAAACAAAGTTGATGAACACTATTTTTATAACTGGTATATTAAAATTTCAAATATATTGAGACATTCAAATAAAGTCCAAGTTTTGCATATAAATTATGTAATTGCCCAAAAAGTTGAACTTACAACAATATCGGTATTATCTAGCCCGATGGGCCAAAAATGCGGTCCACAAGAAAAAATTGTGCAGTCCGCGAAGAAGTGGCAATTTTAATTAGTGTGCAAAACATATTTTTAATTTAGTTTAATATGATACTTGCGAGTAATTCCACAACCCCTTTGCGATGCGATTATCTATACCCGAGTACAATTAATGTTCTTGCCTATGACGTCACAATGCCCTAACAGGTATCTTGTGCGAAGGAATAAGGCATGCTCAATAACGAAGATTTTTGCGCCTGCAACTACCAGAAAGTCTGTGTCAAATAAAAGAACGGCCTACGGTTGTTTGTATCTGACCCTTCTGTATTGAAGGTTGACACCCGTATGTCTGGCCTATCTGTAGAACGAGATATATCCAGTTGGTGTTAGGAGATGTTTCACGTTATCTATGTTAATTGCAAGGCAGACTTTCTACTTTAAGAGTTCTACTTCAAGCTTGTCAAATACGAATTGGATTCCTACGATAACCTACCGCTATGCCACAAATATATATTGAATCTATTGGAAATGCAATTTTATATCGTTACGCCGGTTCTTTTAAGAACTTCAAATATATCGTTTACCGATGTTCTTACTTCCATTTATACAAAACTGATTCAAGCGCTGAGGCTACATCTTCGTAAAAGTAATCCTGGAAATCAGTTCAAGCCCCCTAATACACTTATTGTTTTGAGTAAGCTTAAGTTCCGTTATTGCGTATTCATAATCTACTAGAGTTCCGCATTTTTCTTCGTGAATGGCAGGGGCCTTTATTTGTTCGCATCGTAGTAACAGAAACCCTAAATTAAATAACGCGTACGAAACTAATTGTACGAGAGATATTTTAGTATAAAATACAATACACTTATTATATAAAGTTGATGCTTAAAAAGCTTAAGATGTATGATTACCAGATCTGATCTTCCGTGACTACCTGTTAATTGCAATGAAATCTAGTTTCTAAATATGTAATGATTAATGTATTTATGATATTTCTCATGGCGAGATAGGGTTGTTTATTGTGTACTGTAATCAAACACCAGTCTTTGTTATTTGATCAGATAGTCAAGTGAAAAACAATATTAGTTCCTTAAATTTAACTACGCAATACGCACATATATACGTTAACAAATCGAGTGCTAGTACCTAATTTCCATCACCATAGGTAAAAACAATTGACCGTTTGTAAATGTACGAAAACCAGCCTTTCTAAGATGACAATCTGTCAAGTAAAGAAAATATCGAATTTTCGTAAAAACAGAAAAAACAGAAGATACAGAATATGACAACAACTCTAAACGCAACAGACCGAGGCACATACGATTAGCCTACTTCACTTAGACATATCGAATTTTAAATATCTCCAATTTTTCAATATCTCGCGTTTGAAAATTCTTGTTCATTGGGAACAATTTCTGTAGTGGAAGCAGAAATAAACGATCTTTAAATTTTTTAATTTCCTCTGATTTGGGGTTGTATGAGTTTTGGGGGTTCTTTAGGGTTTGGTGAGAGTTTCTACTTGATTGGACTGTGTCAATTGTGTTCCATTTTCCCAGTACCCTCATTGAATTTCTTGCATTTCATAATTACTTTTCTTTTATTGTTTTTTTTTCGCCGAACTGAACAATTTTGGGTACTCCCGTAGTATGTGAAAAAAAGATGGCGGACACCGGTTAGGGTTAGGCCATAATTTCAGGTACAAATATTACGTGAGTCACTTGGCTAGTTCCCGAACTCGTAGTAGAACTAAAATAAGGAAAATTGGAATAAAATTATGGCCTAACCCTAACCGGGTACACATACTGTGTTCAGGTGTTTGCCATCCTGGTGCACATCCTACGGGAGCGCCCAATTTTGGTATGAAGAACCAAAAAATGAATATGGTGTAGATTATAGCAACATCACATGAAATTGAAAACACAAAAATGAATGTTTCGAGGATTCTTAGGCGTATGTACGAGCTGAGGAGAGTCCACTAAGAACGTAGACGCCGGGGTCATTCGTATGCCTGGACAAGATGACTCCTTTCGAATTTTTGGCAAATATGCATCGACCGCCCATGAGGAGGTTTGTCTGAAGTGCTATGTACATAAATGAGATGTTTTCTGCTGTGCAGAGGTGATATGATTAAAATGTCTTTATAATGCGGCACCAATCGTGATTGGCAACTAACGTTCCTTAACGACAGTAAATAGGCATTTTATTTAACATATCAAATGCCAGGATGAAGTCGTAACCTCTGGAAAACAATTATTACAATTTTTTAACTGTCTATTTGTTAAATGTTTAATAGATTATGTAATTGTCGAATTAATTCAGTACCATCAACTTCTTATCATATTCCTATCGTATTGCAGTTCTTATTATTCAACTCAATATTTTACTGTACTTTCACCTGTATTTGAAGGTGAGAGAGTAAAATCCTCGTGACATAAAGATCCTTGCTCTTTTATTAATCATGACCAAAACCAAATAATCCGAACTTAGGAATGTTTAAACTTTCATAGTCGGATATGTGGTGGTATATCAGATTAAATCTGGGGACTATGACTGTTATTCTCTTGATTTCATTAATGTAAAGTTCAAGTTCATAAATTAATCCAATAGTTAAAAGTTAATAGTTCTAAATTATTGAGCATAACGAAGCATATTGTCACGCTAATAACCGAATTGCGTAAGTCATTTTTAGCAGTTTTGAGAAAAACGTAAAAAACTTCCTAATGATATTGTTATGCCATGGAGAGTCAATAATTTGCCATGGTTCAATTTTTTGATCGTGGCCGGATTTAAGTTAATTTGTATAACGCAGTTAAGTGACGTCATAATGGCGCACTGTGACTTAGGCAGAAATGTGTCTATGACTTGGGAACATGCGCAATTTTGCAACTTTACTATATGCACCAGTTCGAAAACTAAACATTCCAAAACCGAATGTAATTCTCATTATCTACAATGTCTAATCCGCAAAATATTACTTTATTTTTTATGTTTAAAAATATATATTTCATCAATATAACACGTTCTGCACACCCACCGAAATAAGACTAAGATTAAATATAAAGAATTAAACAGCAATGCACTCAATATAAAAGCCAACCAAGGTGAATTTGACTCGGACGATGAATATCGCAAGTGCACGTACTGTAGTAAAAATTCAAATCAATACGCGCTAAGCTAGAATCCGAGATGCAAAAACTCGAAAATACTTCGCCGAAGCTATTTTGCTTTTGTGACGACACAATAGTCCTGCTGTAACAATGATAATTCATTATGACGAAACAATTGCACAAATGTGCATGTCATACTAAATCTCCATTTTTATGGGTTTTGGAATTCTTAAAATAAAATCTGAGTTACCAGACAGGTGCGCAACGCAATTCGGTTATTAGCGTGACGATATAACAACTAAATCATATACGAAAATGCTGAAATAGATGTGAATCTGGAAAAAAAGTTTCACATACAAGTTGGCAACTCTGAAAGAGTTGACAGTATTCGATAACTTGAAAAATGGAATACGGAAGCGTGATCGTGGTTATCAGTAATGAGCTATTGTCACACTTCAGTTTGTGATGGATGTTTAGTAGTTACTTACGTCTTCATTGATAATTTTGACCCACATATAATTTTTATCTCGTATGGTTCCATCTTGTCCGGCAACCTCACGACCATGACCACCTACGTACATCTTTCCGTTTTTAACCGTCATTCATTCGCTTTTGAATCCTATAAACGAATTCATCTGATGAATATGTTGATGATGATGACAAACAACGAGAAAATAAAATAAAAAAGATAAAAAAATTTCAAATATATATTAATATGAAAAAAGAAGGGCAAAAGGATGAAAAAAGTATAGAAAAGAAATTTTGAGGTACTTAAAAAGTGCAAAATTGATTAATAGAGGCGGAATGCTTGGAATGCAATATTAAATTACCTAAAACAATGAATCCATGCACACACCTATCGATAAAGTGTTATGTTACCATTAACTTGATTCCCATCGCCATCTTATAAAATAGATCTGGGAATAGCTTTGCCTTCCTTTATTCCGAACGCTATTCCAGTTTTATCGTCAACAGAAAACATTTTATTATTGTAGTAGAGCAAAGCTGACAATTCCATTTCTCTGCCTCTGTGTGCATGGATATATACAAATGAATGCTATTTTTTCGCTTTCAGCGGTGTTACTTAATCTTTTTATTTTTTTTCAAAATTTTAATCCTACAAACTCCTGTTCGTGTTTCACTCAGAAGAGTTTTCTCGCTGTTGTGGTATATCCTCATTTGAATTTCAAAATAAATCCTGTCAGTGGATTTTAAAAAGCTTATACCTCTGTGGTTATACCTGTTCCCAGTGTATTTGACAGGACCGCTCATTGTCAAATATTAAATATCTAGATTCTTCATATGGAAATGTGAATATTCAAAACGTTTGTGCTTCTACAACATAGAATTTATATCTATATGCTAGGTTAGGTATCAAAATCCTGAGATTGAAATTGACGAAAATGTTTGTCCATTGTTCGAAATACCGATAAGCCAAACCACGTGAATATTCAGAGTCAAATCAATGAAATCATAACTTGCAATATTCCCCAAACGTAACGTAACCTCTTGATAATATAATCACGCCCAGGTGTCCGTAAGCCGCATATGCAAAGAATACCGATAATAAAATATTTAAAAAGCAATTTACATCTTCTACGTCATTTTTTTTGAGTGGCTGCCAAATAAGCTAGAAGTAAAGAATGAACAAATTACCTGGTTGAATAATATTTAAAATTTTGACCTTTCTTGTTTTTCATCTGAATCTTCACATTTTGCGGTTATTTCATAAATCATATAAAGACCGTTTTTTGGTATTTCTACAGCTCCGTTGACAAATGAATCTTCGTATCCGGGAGATACAGTGCATATTGATCTGTCGTTTGATAATTCCGTTACTGGGAACCAAGTAGGAGCTAAACCAGTGATTCTCAAACTAGGGTTTGAGAGCCGCATATAAACGATCAGCAGAAACAAACGATCTTTAAATTTTTTAATTTCCTCTGATTTGGGGTTGTATGAGTTTTGGGGGTTCTTTAGGATTTGGTGAGAGTTTCTACTTGATTGGACTGTGTCAATTGTGTTCCATTTTCCCAGTACCCTCATTGAATTTCTTGCATTTCATAATTACTTTTCTTTTATTGTTTTTTTTTCGCCGAACTGAACAATTTTGGGTACTCCCGTAGTATGTGAAAAAAAGATGGCGGACACCGGTTAGGGTTAGGCCATAATTTCAGGTACAAATATTACGTGAGTCACTTGGCTAGTTCCCGAACTCGTAGTAGAACTAAAATAAGGAAAATTGGAATAAAATTATGGCCTAACCCTAACCGGGTACACATACTGTGTTCAGGTGTTTGCCATCCTGGTGCACATCCTACGGGAGCGCCCAATTTTGGTATGAAGAACCAAAAAATGAATATGGTGTAGATTATAGCAACATCACATGAAATTGAAAACACAAAAATGAATGTTTCGAGGATTCTTAGGCGTATGTACGAGCTGAGGAGAGTCCACTAAGAACGTAGACGCCGGGGTCATTCGTATGCCTGGACAAGATGACTCCTTTCGAATTTTTGGCAAATATGCATCGACCGCCCATGAGGAGGTTTGTCTGAAGTGCTATGTACATAAATGAGATGTTTTCTGCTGTGCAGAGGTGATATGATTAAAATGTCTTTATAATGCGGCACCAATCGTGATTGGCAACTAACGTTCCTTAACGACAGTAAATAGGCATTTTATTTAACATATCAAATGCCAGGATGAAGTCGTAACCTCTGGAAAACAATTATTACAATTTTTTAACTGTCTATTTGTTAAATGTTTAATAGATTATGTAATTGTCGAATTAATTCAGTACCATCAACTTCTTATCATATTCCTATCGTATTGCAGTTCTTATTATTCAACTCAATATTTTACTGTACTTTCACCTGTATTTGAAGGTGAGAGAGTAAAATCCTCGTGACATAAAGATCCTTGCTCTTTTATTAATCATGACCAAAACCAAATAATCCGAACTTAGGAATGTTTAAACTTTCATAGTCGGATATGTGGTGGTATATCAGATTAAATCTGGGGACTATGACTGTTATTCTCTTGATTTCATTAATGTAAAGTTCAAGTTCATAAATTAATCCAATAGTTAAAAGTTAATAGTTCTAAATTATTGAGCATAACGAAGCATATTGTCACGCTAATAACCGAATTGCGTAAGTCATTTTTAGCAGTTTTGAGAAAAACGTAAAAAACTTCCTAATGATATTGTTATGCCATGGAGAGTCAATAATTTGCCATGGTTCAATTTTTTGATCGTAGCCGGATTTAAGTTAATTTGTATAACGCAGTTAAGTGACGTCATAATGGCGCACTGTGACTTAGGCAGAAATGTGTCTATGACTTGGTAACATGCGCAATTTTGCAACTTTACTATATGCACCAGTTCGAAAACTAAACATTCCAAAACCGAATGTAATTCTCATTATCTACAATGTCTAATCCGCAAAATATTACTTTATTTTTTATGTTTAAAAATATATATTTCATCAATATAACACGTTCTGCACACCCACCGAAATAAGACTAAGATTAAATATAAAGAATTAAACAGCAATGCACTCAATATAAAAGCCAACCAAGGTGAATTTGACTCGGACGATGAATATCGCAAGTGCACGTACTGTAGTAAAAATTCAAATCAATACGCGCTAAGCTAGAATCCGAGATGCAAAAACTCGAAAATACTTCGCCGAAGCTATTTTGCTTTTGTGACGACACAATAGTCCTGCTGTAACAATGATAATTCATTATGACGAAACAATTGCACAAATGTGCATGTCATACTAAATCTCCATTTTTATGGGTTTTGGAATTCTTAAAATAAAATCTGAGTTACCAGACAGGTGCGCAACGCAATTCGGTTATTAGCGTGACGATATAACAACTAAATCATATACGAAAATGCTGAAATAGATGTGAATCTGGAAAAAAAGTTTCACATACAAGTTGGCAACTCTGAAAGAGTTGACAGTATTCGATAACTTGAAAAATGGAATACGGAAGCGTGATCGTGGTTATCAGTAATGAGCTATTGTCACACTTCAGTTTGTGATGGATGTTTAGTAGTTACTTACGTCTTCATTGATAATTTTGACCCACATATAATTTTTATCTCGTATGGTTCCATCTTGTCCGGCAACCTCACGACCATGACCACCTACGTACATCTTTCCGTTTTTAACCGTCATTCATTCGCTTTTGAATCCTATAAACGAATTCATCTGATGAATATGTTGATGATGATGACAAACAACGAGAAAATAAAATAAAAAAGATAAAAAAATTTTCAAATATATATTAATATGAAAAAAGAAGGGCAAAAGGATGAAAAAAGTATAGAAAAGAAATTTTGAGGTACTTAAAAAGTGCCAAATTGATTAATAGAGGCGGAATGCTTGGAATGCAATATTAAATTACCTAAAACAATGAATCCATGCACACACCTAGGCTTGCACGTAATTTACGGATTTACGGAATTACGGAATTATTTCGAGTTACGGAAGCGAAGTTACGAATTACGTAAAGTCGTAATTATTGGTCGAGCGCTTTCGCGATTGAAACGAGCTCTCTACAGAGCAGTCAATTCCGTCGATTGTAAAAAATTAAAGTTTAAGTAAAAGAAGTTAGAGTTCCGGTATTCGCAGCCGTTTTTCTCTCTCTTGTTAGGCAGATGGGGAAGGCATAACGCGTCATTTACTAGCCTATTATCAACTTATCTAGGATGGCCAATGTACATAATAACCGTAGATAAGAAATAGAATTGTGTTGAGACCGATGGACGTCAACCTCAACACACCTGGTTTCAACTTCTTCGGGTGAAATGACTAAAGAATGTAAGAGATCAACTTATAAAACATGGTCTATTTGTAAATGCTGTGATAATTAATTAATGTCGCGCTTATCAAGCAGCAATATAAAGACTGAAGAGAAATTGCGTAATGAACCAACGCAACTTAGTCTCTTCGGCATCGGTAAAGCGATTGAGACGGCAGAGAAACAACAATACGACGGGGTTTCCCGTGTTTATTCTGCGCGAGATCCATTTTCTATTACAAAATCTTGATGTTCTGTTACCGATTTTATCGTTATATATCTGTCCGGACTTGGCATTGCTCAATATGTTTTTCACAATGCCTCGCAATATGTCGGCCAAATATGATTACCTGTCTTTACCAAATGCGGCAACTTATTTTGATTTATCGTCGACTCGAATACCACCGGCACTCGACCAAACTTGTGTCAATCGTGGCAAATAGGATTGTCGACTTGAGTTAGAAAAATAAATTAATATTTTCATGAGTGCAAAATAAATGTCAAAAAATGCATTGTTTTGCGATATAACTTTGTATTTTCGGAGAAGGCATGTCATATAAGTACGGTATTTTAAATAATGCGCAAATAATTAATATTTGATCTGAATTTATCGCAAATAATGTTATAAGTTTTAAATAACAAGTCTTCGTCGCGAGGCAAGCGAAAGTATAATCAAACGAGAGAATACGCTTGTAGTTGATTCATAAATTAGCAACCCGGAATTTTTATTTAATACGAAAGTCGTATTAATACATTAATACGATTTTAAAAAAGTGAACTATCGTTTCTTAAATATATTACCAGTGTTGGTAATGATAAAATTGATCGCATAAAATTTGGTGAAAAAGTGGATAAAAAAATCAAAGCTAATACAAAAGATAAAAATCAGAATAAAATTATTTTGAATTTACTCCTTGATATTTGTCTTTAACATCTGTCGCCGGCGTGTAGTACTGCCGGGAATATGAAAACCAAACTTCGATGTCCCATTCGGAATAGATGTGGATTAAATTGGTTGTTATGATAGGTTTAAATGTGTGAAAAAAATATCGCAATTACGGGGTCATTACGTAATCGATTTGGCCGTAATTACGGAATTGATTTTTGTCAATTACGTGCAAGCCTACACACACCTATCGATAAAGTGGTATGTTACCATTAACTTGATTCCCATCGCCATCTTATAAAATAGATCTGGGAATAGCTTTGCCTTCCTTTATTCCGAACGCTATTCCAGTTTTATCGTCAACAGAAAACATTTTATTATTGTAGTAGAGCAAAGCTGACAATTCCATTTCTCTGCCTCTGTGTGCATGGATATATACAAATGAATGCTATTTTTTCGCTTTCAGCGTTGTTACTTAATCTTTTTATTTTTTTCAAAATTTTAATCCTACAAACTCTTGTTCGTGTTTCACTCAGAAGAGTTTTCTCGCTGTTGTGGTATATCCTCATTTGAATTTCAAAATAAATCCTGTCAGTGGATTTTAAAAAGCTTATACCTCTGTGGTTATACCTGTTCCCAGTGTATTTGACAAGACCGCTCATTGTCAAATATTAAATATCTAGATTCTTCATATGGAAATGTGAATATTCAAAACGTTTGTGCTTCTACAAAATAGAATTCATATCTATATGCTAGGTTAGGTATCAAAATCCTGAGATTGAAATTGACGAAAATGTTTGTCCATTGTTCGAAATACCGATAAGCCAAACCACGTGAATATTCAGAGTCAAATCAATGAAATCATAACTTGCAATATTCCCCAAACGTAACGTAACCTCTTGATAATATAATCACGCCCAGGTGTCCGTAAGCCGCATATGCAAAGAATACCGATAATAAAATATTTAAAAAGCAATTTACATCTTCTACGTCATTTTTTTTGAGTGGCTGCCAAATAAGCTAGAAGTAAAGAATGAACAAATTACCTGGTTGAATAATATTTAAAATTTTGACCTTTCTTGTTTTTCATCTGAATCTTCACATTTTGCGGTTATTTCATAAATCATATAAAGACCGTTTTTTGGTATTTCTACAGCTCCGTTGACAAATGAATCTTCGTATCCGGGAGATACAGTGCATATTGATCTGTCGTTTGATAATTCCGTTACTGGGAACCAAGTAGGAGCTAAACCAGTGATTCTCAAACTAGGGTTTGAGAGCCGCATGCGGCTCTCAACAACCTTTCCTGCGGCTCTTGTTAATGCTTTAAAAATTAATTACTTTCAAAGAAAATTTTTCATTGAAAACTAGCCATCGACTTGAAATTAAAATGCAGAAGTCTATTAGTTAGTCGAATGGATTCCCCGTGTTTTTTTGCGTAGTGTTGACTAATCTACAATATGCAATAGTGACGCAACAGTAAGCGTTTTCCACCAATCGGACACTTTTCACTTGGAAAGATTTTAGACATGGCTGTAACCATTGGCTTTCTTTCGTGGATTTTCAGTTTTTGTCGCATTTCCGAATATTATGTATAAATCAAATAACTCAATGATTGTTATAGTATACCCTTTCGTTCACATCAGCGACCAGCTGTTGAATACATTAGGGGCTGATTTCAAAACCAAAATAATTTTATTCTGAGTTTTATCCTCTGCCTTGGATTTGACCTTCCTTCTTACCGCTTGTAGGTTAACCGTGCCTGTTTAAAGTGAACGGTAACCGAGATGCAGATATATATTGATATGATAATTGAGTTTCTCGTGCTTTTCCATGGTGTTCGTGTTATTTTATTATTAGATAGATAAACCTAGCAAATTTAGGATTGCGTGAATCCTGAATGTTGATTTAAAATAGCAAATAAATAAATTGGCAATAAAGGCCTTCGGGCCTAATAGAGGGTCGGACGCTTATTATGACTAATTCCTTCAAGTTTTAACTTTTTTCCCCAAAAACAACACCCCGATGGTTATTAAACTAGAATACTTACTGATTAATGCTCAATTTTATTTACGGAATTTACAAATTCAGCACTTCACTTAAGGGTTTTGATTATGTCATGCCTCAAGGCTTAATTATTACTACCGAAATGCTTCAAAATTCAACAATTGTAATCATTTTCGATGATAATAGACGCAACAATTCGTGAACGAGTCAGTGTGCATTGTTACAACGAAATGCACGATTGATTTTACGTTATACTGTTGGTTCAACGGCTATGCATGGTCGAGCTGATACAAAATGTTTTAAAGGGAGTAGCACATGACATTTCTTATATGGTTACTACAACTTTTAATAAGTGTTTTTCATACAAGTAACTCATACCAGCTTTTGAAAAAACTTTTGGTCATTTTTAAATCCATGCTATTTATATAACTAGAGTTTTCTAACGACCTAAAATTGCCCTTTTCACAATGAAACGCCGAAAAGTCATTTTAACAATTAATTTTAATCAACTTTATGTTCGGTAATGCAAGAAATGGCTAATGACATGTCACCAAGCATGCGGAGTTTAAAATCTGGGAAATTTATTTTAAATACCTAATTTGGTTTGACGTTTCTAAATTTACGAAACGGTTGGTACGTTTTTTTTTGCAAAATATAGAATTGAAACGATACGTTAAGTTAAAAGATAGCATATAACACCATAACCCAAAGACAACGACTTTTCAAATTTTTTATTTTTATTTTTTGATAGCGAGCGCCGTTGGGAAATCTCGCACAATTAACGATTGAGTTGGAGACGCGCGAATTTGGCGCAGGTCATGTGGTACCAGATATTCGAATAGTAAAATATCATTCGAATATTTGCCCAGCCGTAGTTGTTACGTGTGTTGTTGTTATTGTTACGATGACTTGATATTTTGAATACGCGCTTAAGGTTTGTTGCTATTTGACCTTGCGTTATTTGTGTGCGGCTCTTCATAACTTTGAGGTGTGAAATGCGGCTCTGGGACTAAAAAAGTTTGAGAACCACTGAGCTAAACAATTAAATTCATTTAAATATGCACTGAAGTTTAATTCCATATTAAGCAAACTAAAATTCAATACTACCTTTCATTCCGACACTTGCATTGTCACGTACAATCCAGTGAACAACGAATCTTTTGTCATCACCATAGCAACGTTCAACTATTTTATCGAGCTTTTTCTTCCCAATTTCCCCAACTATAAAATTATCAAGATGGTAAAAAGAAAAGTAAAATTGACTGAAAGTTGATGTTATTGACGCTTACCCTCATTTTCTAGGTGTTGCCTTTGGCTCTCGAGACTTTTGTCTATCTTCTGCAAAAGACAAATCGATTTATTTTTCATTTAAATAAAGTGGTTTCTGTACATGTTTTACTTTTATCGTTTGCTCCATAAATTTACTATGTTATAAAATAACAAAATATATCTGTGTTCGCAATGATTTTGTTTACAACCTATTATCATATATATTCCGTAAATGCAATATGTCATGGAAATGAAAAAGTTATATATATATATATATATTGGCGACTAACCTTATTAATAAAACTTCTTATTTTTTCATCCTGTAAGCACTCAGATGTCAAGTTATTTTGTTTTTGAACCGATGACTTTATTTGATATCTACAAAAATTTCAAACAAATATACAAAGACAGCTGAAAACATTGCATCTCTCGTTTATAGTAATGGTTCTAGCACGGGGTTGGTTGTGCACACATCGTGCAGTTCGCCTCCATCAATAATCTAGTGAAGATTCTCATTTCTGACTTTTGCAGTAGGACACAAAGTGGCCATATGAATCTTTTGTTGGGCTACTTTTTGGTGAAAGAAAAGTCGTAACTCGATTTCGATTTTTTCGATGGTCAATCGATTGCAAGTTTTTAGTGGACCGTTTGGAAGTAGTTACTACGAAGCTAATGATTTTTTTAATTCTTTAATGAGATTCAGTACTGTAGCCAAATTTTGTTGTTGTATTTTGAATCGTGTGAACACTATTTTTATTCCGACATGCCTGGCTGCCCAAGCCACGGTTAACCTTTACCTCTCGAACTCGACAAAATCAGTGTATAGACCGATTAGTTATCGGACCTCGTGATCATTTCTCTCTTAAAAAGAAAACGAAATAGAAAGTAAACATTGGTCAATTTATTTAAAATATCATAATAAATAATATTACTAGAACTTCCGTTGCGTAACGTATATAACTCACTTTTTCCAACAGCCATGTCTCGTTTCAGGCTCAGGTCCTTTCAAGCATTCCATTTGAAAGCGTAAACTTTTGGACTGTTGCAGTAAGTGATTCATATATTCGGAGCGAATGAAGTATTGACATATTAAAACAGACGATGCACAAATTGACACCGAAATCACAACTGCTACACGTCGAATGGTTACAGTTGACGAGCATGATGATTCTAAGATAGCCATAACTTGCTTTTTGAGTAAGTACGACCACTTACTCCGCGCATTCACCTATGTCCTTGTATTGCTGGGTGTAGAATATATTTACTTACTTGTGCACAACAGACCATAACGTGGGCGGCTTTTCTTACCTGTGTATCTCTCGTTTTATAGGTTTGGTGCGGGGATTTATCTGTGCGTTAAGATAGGGTTTTCTTTGTATCAAATTCGGTATCAGGTTCCGCATTTTGGAAGACCATGTCAAATTCCATATCTATATTTGTACAGTATATCCACTAGTATGTTACTACTCACGCAACATTATACGACATGCTTTACTTGACTTAATACTTAACTTATAGAGACAAATAATAAATTTGTCTAATTGCAGGATTTTCTCGGTTTGATTCCTCACAATTTTTGCTTTGTATTGGGTAATGCATAAATATGTTTTTACTATTATGTACTGCTACCTGCCTACACGTACAACCTGTAACAATTACCTTCTATTGAAACAACGTATACCAAATCTGTGCTGACCTAGATCACTGACCTTGGGCTTATCAACTTACAGTTTTACACTATCTTGTTGCAAATGTGATCTGTGAACAAGTACCACTTTGAGCCTTGATAAAACAATTTAAGGTTGTGCCTGACAACTTATCTCAACATGTCCCACATTCAAAGAAACTGCACCAACTTGAATGCTGCTATTGTTTTTATAAAATTAAAAATCGAATGCGAATTATATTAGCCTAGATTGGCTATATATTAAAACTAAATATTGATGTTATGGCCTAACAATATATTTCAATACGGGTGTTTCTTGGGTTTCATTATCTTTGTACCCACGTACATTTGCACTCGTAATTTGCATCCAGACAATTGCACTTGCACACTTATGCACCCATGGACATTTGAACCTATGAACAATTGCCCCCATACATTTGCACACGCAGATGTTTGCACCCACATTGAAATTGCACGACATTTGCACGCATGAACATTTGAACCCGTGTACATTTGCACCCACGGACATTTGTACCCATAGACATTTGAACCCACGGACATTTGCACCCGCGGACATTTTCACTCTTGAACATTGTGACCCGGGCACATTTGAACCCGTATACATTAGCTCCCGCGTATACTTGCACCCGCGTACTTTTGCACCCACCTACTTTTGCACCCGGGTACATTTACACTAATGTACAATTGCACCCGCTTACATTTGCACCCATGGACATTTGCACTCATGGATATTCGCATCTATGGACATCTGCAGCCATGGAATTTTGCACCCGTAAACATTTACACCCATGGATACCACTCTTTGAATTAAAAAAGGTTTTATTGCCATATTGCCAATCCTAATGTTATGAATAGTAATTAAGGCAAACTCAACGCAAACTCGAACGCGAATAATTTGGATTTTTATCCATTTAACACAGATCGAGGAAAACAACCCGCAACGCTTGCGTTATTTCATCAAAGAAAATGATCGATAAAAATTACGAAGAGTTTGAAATATTGAATGAAGATAGAAAGACTTTTGTGTGTTTTAGCTTGTTAAGTGAGATATACTTATAAATGTGTATGCACAATGAAAATCTTCATTTCTGCATTGCACTGTTTAACTATTCTTTGTATTATTGTGGCCCGCGAACAGGGCAAAAATAATTTTGTGGCCCCTTGAGACGACAACTTTGGACCACCCTGATCTAAACCAACGAATCAACTCAAACTAACGTAAAATATAAACAGCTTAAATAGCTATATGAATTAACTTTTGTCAACACATTTTGCCAGACGTATGATTTTGGTTCGCTCTTAAAAGTTACAAACAAGTACATAGTATTCATCGGATGTTTACTTCAAATTTTATCGTTACAATAAACAACATATTTATTGTTATAAAAATCGACATATACGTTGGCATCCTTTCATGTGTCTAGTCATATCTTGTTTACATGATGCTAAGTTTAAATGGTTCATATTTATTGTTGATATTGTCTAAGGAATCTTATATGTCATGTGTTCGGTACATCTTATCAATTTACTTTTTTGAAAATCTTATCAGATGTTTCATATCTAAGAATTTTATTTATCTATTCTATAACACGAAAACTCCGATAAGTCAGTTTTCCCAATGTTCTATTTATATACATAAGTACGTTTCATTTGCCTGATGTTTTTTCTTCATATTTTATTTATACGCTTTTTCATATACGTTAATGATCGAATTTTGAGAAAATGAAGTGGGAATAGTCCTCCGTAAGGAACTGTTCTTAAATAAGATGTATTTCCAATGTTTTTTTGTTAAAAAGCAACCTCATTTTCATCTTCATATTAAGCTATGTAGATATATAAGCATCACGTATTTGACACTATATAAATATCCAGTAACAGACGCAGAGAATAGCGCAAACTAAATGCAAATTCAATATCAGTTGAGTAGTATGTCGCGAGGTCGTCTTGCGAAATATCTATAAACGTTTTTTTGTTTTCTGTTGCTCTGGATTTGTGATATAGGTATTCAAATGAAGTCACGTGTACATCGAGAGATAAAAGTTGAGTTAATTTTATGTTGTACAAATTGTTTTCATTCATTCAACTGCTGAATAAAATATTAAGCATCTCTACAGAAGATGCTAGGACTAAATAGCCATTGTTTCGAAAATATGTACAAAACCATACGATGTGAAAATCGAAAAATTATTAAAATAATCCATAGAAATTTGTCATCAAAGCACTAATAGTGAAAATTTATAAAACATCGTTATCACAAAGTTCTAAATTAGGAATGCACCGAAAAATGCTTTGTGATATTCATAATGATGATGTACTTTTGTTGCATCTGGTTTTTCAATTTTGACAGAAAGATAATTTCGTTTGGTCAGATGGAAGATTCCGCCCTGATAGGACACTTTCGATTTTCCCTGCTCTCCATATCCACATAGCTGATAGACACTGACCATCAATATTTGTGGCTTACGTTCCAGTAACTCTACCGTGTGAGTGTGAATTTGTGCGACGCCTGAAAGGTCATTTGGTTTGTTTAAGTTTATGAGGACATATTCTTACTTAGAATAAAGGTCATGTTTATGTCTTTTTCGCAATTCAATTTATAACATGAAAAGTGTTCGGAAGCGATTTAATTGCGTTGAAGATCACAAAACAATTGTTTGTGTAAATCTATATTGTTTATAAATAAATATAGCAACCCATAAAATTGCTATGCGTGAAAGACTTCTTTTTATTTGGTTTAGCGTGACGACAGTAAATATCGGTTGAAAAGATACGAGAAATTTTTAGGTAGAACTTAAAAATGCATTTTTGCTGTTTCGTGCTTGATACAAGTTTAACAACGACCTATGTTTAAAATGAGTATCATTTTTGTTGCTTAGAGTTATTGCAAGAAATTTACAATAGAGATTATTTAACTAATTCCCAAGTTCTTTACACATGTGAATAACTCACCTGAATTATGTCTGGAACATTCAAACGTGACCTGACTGTAGACGTAGTAATAACCATCTTTTTTAATTTTTATTCTTTGCTCATGTACCAGATAAGGACTGGTATTCACACATATATCTGGTTGATTTGACTCCCACCCTCGTAAATAATATGGTGAATGTTCTGGCACAGAAAAATAAAACAATAAAAAATAAAATACAAGAATTAATAAAATTTTCATTTTCATTCATAAAATTTATAAAATCAAATACGCAGTATATTTTTCATATTTACGCTTTTTGTCCATTTTTCCTGCAGGAGAGTGATTTCCACCCAATTCGAGTTGTATAAATGGTCTTTGAATCGAATTCCAAATATCAAAACTCTCCTCTTTCTCTTGTGTGATGCTTTTCATGACTGTAAAGTTTCATAGATGCCACTTTGACATTCGATCTCGCGTCATACACTACTTAGGTACATGCCCTCATTTGCTTTAACGTAATATCGATCGTGGACCAAAGCAGCAGCAGATGTATGCGCTCAATCTCATAAAGACATTCTCACAGAATTCAGTTTCTATTCCTAACTCTGTAATATTTGGTTTGATACTGAACCACCTGAGATCACACTAACGCAAATGAGATCGCATACCAAAGTAACACCGTATATATAGTTTTTTATGACAAAAAAAAAATGGGCGTAATTGGAATGTTTTTTTTACCCGTATCCTTAATGAGATATTGTCTCAAGAAAGCTGAGAGAGTTATTAAGACCACTGGTATTGGCGTAATATAAATCTGTTTATTGTACTCCAATTATATAAAATCAGCACCTGTCGAAAGACTTGTGTATTTTAAATATATTAGTGATTTTGATTTAGGAATTTATATTCTGCGACGAAATATGCGTTAGTTGCTTTAGTTTACCTTTCAGCGAAGACAGCTTCTCATCACAAGTTTCGAATCTTTTCTTTGCGTTTATAATTTGCTACAAAAGAAATAAATTCGTAAAATTCATATAAATATATATTGATATAAATAAATTAGATAATTCTGACACTTCTGATATACCCGATTTAAAGAACACAAGCTTCCTTCTTCATTACATGTCTGATAATTATGTGGAAATTTCAAATCAGGCAGCATTCGTCGAATGGCACCTACGGGAGATTAGTAAAATAATTAAAATTTATTATGCTCTGAATATATTTTGTTGGTGACATGCAATTTTATACCTATTTCATTATCGAGTTTTTTCTGCTCCCACTGGTGATCCACCGTAAAGTATACCACTAGTAAAATATTTGCCAAAGTAAACATGCAGAATGACTTGAAAAGTAGCGATACATTTGCACGTCTTTCACCGTTGCACAAGTCTCGAAATTGCAGCAAGTTCTGTAAAGTTAAAACAAAAGTAAATTGGTTGATATGGTCACGATCATTGGACATTTAACAGTCAGTGATAACGTGCTGGCCTAAAACATTTATTTAACTGCGAGAAATTACTAATCAGTAGTCACTGAGAATCTTCAAAGATTCAAAAATCAAATGAATTTATGAAATATTCTAACCGTTTCAGTTTGAAGATGACTTGATTCCATTTTGTTCTCTTTTCATGTTAGGGCAATCATATACTCTTAAAATTCATTAACAACTAATAATTCATTTACCTGAAAAAAATTTGTATCAATGTTAATGTATCAACATATTTTCCAAAAAGTTTTAACAATCGTAAAAGATCAAGCAAATAAATTATTGAACCAACATTTAAAACAATTTTTGTAGAATTAGATTATAATGCAGAAGCAAGTACACATCTCAATCCTAGAAAATTCCTTCACCAAAAAGTCAATCAAAACTACATAAACAATATAGTTCGAATTTGTGCCTGTTTAAAGCTAAGGTCATTTGCGATGAAAAGTTCTGCAAATCAATGTAGCAGAACTGTTGATAGGATTCCTTTACTCTATTTCAATCGCTTACGTATTTGACTCTGAAGCGGAACACAATATGTTATATGTAAGCAATCTCATTTTGAGATAAGAATATAAAATTGTAATACTTCCTCCAAATAAATTTGTTTATCATCCAAATATAAAAGAAACATAGTGGAAATATCAGAAATCGAAGTAAATGATACATGGATGACGCGCTTCTCTGCTTTGAATTTGCACACACTGAATAATGAGTGATACGTGGTGAATGTTGTTGTAAAAGCAAAATGTTCGAATCCTAATCAAAATCACATTTTTAGCAAAAATACTTGAATATTATCAACGCAACGAGCTATTGGCATAAAACTGCTCAAATATGCAAATATAAATTCTAAGCAAAAATAAAAAGTAAAAACACTTGATACCAAAAATGGACATTGGCGTTATGACAAAATCAGCTCAGTTCTAAACGCTCTGATGCATCAAATATCTACTATAAAACAAGTAATAAAATTACGTAAAACAAAATTCCGAGATTATTCAAGAAATTTTTATTACATTCAAACGGCATAAGTAAAAGTTGTTGTAGTTGTTGTAGTTGTAATGAAAAATAAAACAAATAAGAGCTGTATGCAGTAAATGTTACCATATAAGTAAATTAATATATATATATAATTATGGAGATACACCAAACCAACGTATTCTATGGAAATTAAATATAGATAATGATGATTAAAAAGTTGCAACTAAGAGATAAATTGCTTGGTTTCAGTAAAGTAGTCGAAAACAGGACAACCTATTCATAAAGACAATCTCGATCAAAATGTCGTCCGACAATACTTAACCGTCAAGAACTTGTTTCATAACAACACTCATATCACAGTAACATGAGAGTTTTTCATATTTCCTCAGTCTTGTTTTACTCAATTTATGGCCTGTTTATTCGTTGTCATTCATTTAATATTCTTGCTCTTTATGTATTACGCATTCTATAATATAATCATTTCTATTGATAGAAACATAGTTTCACTCAAAGTAGATATAGTCCAAACTCCATCCTGTCACGGACTCCAAATTTCTCAATATGTTGGTTGAGTAAAGGACTGGTCATAGATACTTGTAGAATACTACCCGCATCCAAATAAAACACGCCTGCTTGATAGGATACTTCTACAGGTTTGCTCGAAAATTGGAATGAGTTAATCATAAGTTGAAAAACTTCTGAGTCTCCGTACTCTTTCATTTCCACAACGTGTCGATAAACTTCGGAATCTGAATGCAAATTACACGTCCGCAAAATTATCACATGATTTTTTTAATTCGTTTTTAGTATAATAATTCCAAATTGTTTACAAAAGTTACACAGTAATAAATAAAAATATTAAATAGATTATCTCAAAAAAACTTGTAAAGTAATTATGTTCATTTAAATGGAAATAGAAATACGTATTACTTTTAATTCCATCATGACGAAATAATGGCAATTGGCTAAAAACGTAGTAGTTTCCTGACATCATTATTTCGACCCTACTTCTGTTACGAAGGACTGGATGTATTCCTGAACAACATTGCTCTATTACAGGTCTCCACCCAGTGATTCTGCGATTCCCTTTTGATTCTAGCATAAGAAAGGCACATTTATTAAACATAAAAGATCAACAAGAAAATGTGAGAATTATAGCATACGAATAATGACCAGGATCATTTATATTTCCACCTGAATTTTTATTCGAAGCATCCATTTTCTCTGCATGCAACAATATGGATGGACGAGCAACTTCTTCCCAAATTTTTAACGGGTTTTTGATTTTCTTTTTCCGAATAGCTTGCCCCACTACGTACAAAGTGTGAAATTAAAGAACATAAAAATACAGTTAAATATCCAATTTATGACGGAAAAAGATAAATTGATTCTTCTCTTGATGTAAATAAAAAAATAATTGTGCTCACATCTCAATGAAGCTCTTTGCAAATCGCATCTTTTTGCCTTGTAAACTTGCTCTCCAAGCATCTGAGATTATAAGCAATAAATAATAATTGTGCAATTAGTTTTGACAAATAGAAGGCGTGGAATTTTGTAAAATATTTTTGTACATTCATAATGGTTATTTCAAATACACTTACAAACAAGTTCAAGTCTTTAATCCAGTAATATATTTTAGTACAGTATTAGATTTAAAGTTTAGAATAAGAACAAATCAGAATTTAGATTTCTAAAATGCATGCAGATGTAAATGTTATTCAGAACACCTACTTTATTAATGTCTTCATCATAATTAAAGCTGGCATCTCGTCTACGTGATAGTTTTTGTAGATGTAACTGCAACTCATCTGAAAGAATATAGTATATGATTCAATCAATGATCCGATGGTCAAACTATAGATGAAAATATGGTATTATACATTTCAAAATAAGTAAAACTTGGTAAAAACAGGACCGAAAAAAGTCCTCTTCTAAGTGAACTTCCATTAGAAAAAGATCATAATTGTCACGTGAAAACCGCAAGAAATTTCAATAGCGTTGCAAACTCCAAATTTCGAGTCCCTAGCCTGACGCAAAAGCCCCATCCGACTAAAGAACAAACAAGAATTTATTAACTTCAAATTCATGTAGTCATTTATGATTATTATTTTCTGAGGTCTGTCTACTGGAATATTTAAGCAACAAAAATCAAGAACTTCAAATTTATTGAATAAGTATTATAATTTAGCGACCTCACATGTTAATCAAAAGCACGAAGAAAAACTCAATATACGTCATTATTCTGAACTTGGGTTTGGTGACTAGAACAGTTTTATTTCTGATCATTGCCACGAAACAACAAAGATATACGATTAATAGTCGCTCAGATATAAGATTTATTCTGAAAGTATTGGTGGAAAGATTGTCCAACTGCAATTTTTTCTAGTAGCAACATTTTGTATTTAAAAATAGTTATAAAAAATATTTGAGTCTTACCGATAGTTTTCTCAATGGACTCCAATTCCCATTGGTAATCGAGTACAGCATACATCATCAGTAAAGCAAGAGCCACACTGTACAGAAAAAATGCTTTTTTCATAAGGCCCTGCCGTATATCCATGGTATCTTATGACATCAAATAAAATGATTAACATAAATAGTCGAGAATTTACACAAATACATTTTAATACTACTGCTGGACCACTTTCTACGCAATCTGTTAAAACAAAAACGTGATGACATCAGACAAAAAATTACTAAAGTCATATATAATCTTCGCAGACAGTCGCACGCAAACAAAGTTGATGAACACTATTAATATTACTGGTATATTAAAATTTCAAATATATTGAGACTTCCAAGTAAAGTTTAAGCTTGCATATAAGTTGTGTAATTGCTTAAAAAGTTGAACTTACAAACAATATCGGTATTATCTAGCCCAGGGGTGCGCAAACTGCGGCCCGCGGGCCAACAAATGCGGTCCACAAGAAAAATTGTGCAGTTTACGGAGAAGTGGCAATTTAAATTAGTGTGCAAAACACATTTTCAATTTAGTTTAGTATACGTGCGAGTAATTCCAACGCGTTGCGAAGCCTATACCTGAGTACAATTTATTTTTTGTCTATGACGTCACAACACCCTAATAGCTATCTTGTGCGAATTGAATAAAGCTTGCTCAATAAACAAGATTTTAGCGCCTGCAATTACCAGTAAATCTGTGTTAAATAAAGGAACGGCCTACGGTTGTTTGTATCTGACCCTTCTGTATTGAAGGTTGCACACCCGTGTGTCTGGCCTATCTGTAGAACGAGATACATCCAGTTGGTGCTAGAAGATGTTTCACGTTATCTATGTTAATCGCAAAGTAGACTTGAATTCTACTTCAAACTTGTCAAATACAAATTAGATCCATTTGATAACCTTCCACTATGCCACAAATATATAATTATTTGAATTGCTTTTTTAACCGCAGAACGTTAGGCAATACATTTACTACATGAAGCCAGTTCTTTTAGAAATTTCATCGGTTGTCTTAACCTCCGCTTATATAGAACTAATACCAGAGCTGGTTCTACATCTTCATAAAAGTAATCCGTAAAATCAGTTCAAGACCTTCAACACACTGATTGTTTTGAGAAAGCTTGAGTTCCGCTTTTGCGCATTGATAACCCACATATAGTTCCTCTTTTTGGTTCGCGTACAAAGACCGATGTAACAGGAACTTTTATTTAAAATGTACGAGAGGCTATTTCTGAATAAAATACAATACACTTACTATATATAGTTGATGCTGAAGACATATTATTACCAGCTCTGATTCTCCGCGACTGCCTGTCAATTGCAAGGAAATCTTGTTTTTGGATGTGTAAGGATTAATTTATGATTATTTATGATATTTCTCATGGCGAGATATGGTTATTTATTGTGTACTGTCTACAAATACAAGGACCGAGTATCGCGAACTCTGTTTACCCACAACTCTCTTCTGGTAAACACAGATATCCCGTCAGAAATAATGTATACCACACCCCCATGCAAAACCCAACACTAGTCTTTGTCATCTGAACAGATAGATCAGGTGAACAACAATATCAATTCCTTGAATTTAATTACGTAATATGCACAGATATACGTTAACAAATCAAGTTCTAGTACTCAATTTTCCTCACCTTTGGTAAAAACGATTGACCGTTTGTAAAATTACGAAAACCAGCCTTTTTTAAAATGACCCTCTGTCGAGTAAAGTAAATATCGAATTTTCGTAAAAAAAAGACGACATTGCAGTTTGTAATCTTATCAATTGACAAAGATATGTATATGACAGGGATGGCGAACCACTGACCCGCGGGTCACAAAGTGACCCATCGCGTTTTGTTCGTGACCCGCCAAGGCACGAATAAAATAAAAATAAATGCTAACATATCAGTGATAACACCGGCTATAAATTAATCTTACAATAACTAAACTAATATAATATATCGCCAGTTGGGAAGTCAGGGCTGCGATCGCTCATATGCAAATTGTAAATTTTCAGGCCGTTATGGTAATTTTCAAAACTCCTAATCTTGGACGCATGTCTGCACCGCTATGTACCGTTATTCAACTATTGGCTCTGACATCGTTTATGACATAACAATTCGATTGATCTGTTCCCTGCACCGCTATGTACCGTTATTCAACTATTGGCTCTAACATCGTTTATGACATAACAATTCGATTGATCTGTTCCCTTTTTCGCAACTACTTGACTCTTTCGGGGGTTAATCTGCAGACCGTTTTAGGGGTTATACGAGAACTAGATGCTACTTCCCATTTTATTAGTTTCTCGCCTACAATGCCGTTGGGAAAACAAAATCTTTTAGACTTGAAATAAAAACCTAGAAATCTGAAGTAACAACGGGGCAGTGTAAAAAGGCCCATATGTGGTTGAAAACTGATCGAAAAATATAAAACTCAGAGTGGAATTTCCTCCAACTCTTCGAAACCGTAAAATAATTTACTGCATCATCCTAAACGATTTTGGTGATTCGTATGCGTGTTATTGTACTCTAATTTCATAAAATCGAGTGCCATAAAAGTCCTGATAGAAGTGCTGCATAAGTAAAGCCCAAAACTACACCAACACCAACAGAAGCTTATAAGATTTGTTTCAGAAGTTTCTTATAGATGCAAACATTGATTAAATATCTGTGACCCACTCTCTTCGGTTCCGCGATAAAAATATCATTTTTGACTCATTCATTGAAAAAGGTTCGCCTTCCCTGGTATATGGCAACAACTGTAAACGCAACAGACCAAGGCACATAGGACTAGCCTACTTCACTTAGAAATATCGAATTTTGAATATCTCCAATTCTTCAATATTTCTCGTTTGAAAATTCTTGTTCATTGGGAACAATTTCTGCAGTGGAAGCAGAATCAAACGATTTTTAGATTATTCAATTTCCTCTGATTTGGGGTTGTATGAGTTTTGGGAGTTCTGTAGGGTTTGGTGAGAGTTTCTACTTAATTGGACTGTGTCAATTGTGTTTCCAGTACCCTCATTGAATTTTTTGCATTTCATACATACTTTTCTTTTATCGTTTTTGTTGCCGAACTGAACAAATTTGGGTACACCCGTAGTATGTGAACCAAGATGGCGGACCAGGTTAGGGCTAGGCCATAATTTCAGGTACAAATATTACGGGAGTCACTCGGCTAGGTCCCAAACACGTAATAGAACTAAAATAAGGAAAATTGGAATAAAATTATAGCCTAACCCTAACCGGGTACAAATACTGTGTTCAGGTGTTTGCCATCTTGGTGCACATCCTACGGGAGCGCCCAATTTTGGTATGAAGAACCAAAAAATGAATATATATGGTGTAGAATCTAGACTGCTAAGCACATTATCCAACTTTGCTATTTGCCTCGGCTATCCATAACACTAGTCAATTTAGTGACATTAGTGATGTTACAATATGTCAAAAGATTTTTCTGATTAATTTTGTTACGAAACAACACAAAATGCGATTTATTGATGACTCTCCGAATGTCACGCGGGCCACAGATAATGAAGCGGCGGCCCACATATGGCCCGCGGGCCTGGGTTTGAACCACCCTGATATAGACAGACACTGTTTTGGTAATTTCGTCGTATATCAATGATCCTGTAGCCAAGAAATTTTTTCAAACAGTTTCACCTCGGTCATTTTCACCTGAAATGCGCGAAAAAACTCAACAATCCGCCCGTGCAAACATAATATTCACACGGGAATCATACTTACACTGGACATTTTTTGTCTAACCAGAAGGATTTGCCCAAATGAGTCATTAGAATCGATACTTTGTGAAAATAATCGACACTGCCCTTCTTGCTTGAGTTAATTAAACGATACCACCAGGTATTGCTTGGCTTACATGACAACATTGCATGGGCTAATATTTGACTATTACTCTGCCCGTCTTGAGAATTTTCTTGGTACTCGCTTTTGATTCTTTTAAGAACTATTCTAAACTTTTGAGTGAATGCAGATGACTCCGCAATAGGACAATTACCTCATTTATAATCAAATATGTTGTGCTATCATTTTTCGTCCGTCACTGATTGATCACATTTGAAAATTATTAACGATGCACTTGATGCAATATTTTTATGCCCATTTTTAGGTGCCACACTAAATCTCACTTGTCGCAAATTTGTCCAGATCATCAATTGTTCCAATTTTGAATCCAGTCAATCTATCTCCTTTTTTAATCGGCTCGGTTGCTGGATACTTCTCCATCTTTTATCTGGACTTATGAGCAATACACTATACCTCTATGAACACATCCAAGATATTCTATGATAGGCTACTTTTATAGCAATTAAACAAAGCAAGCAGTTCCGGGCATCTCTATTGAGTACCCCAATTAATTAAACTGTTTACTACTATTCACTACTAAAACTATTCAATTTTTTTTTTTTTTTTGAGTCTGTGCGGTATATTTTTATCGGTGCTATATTTTATTAGCACCACTACTTTGCTGAACTTTAGGCGAGATTAGGGCATAAATAAAAATATTCAATATTCAAATGTTATAATTCACTTGACTGACTTACTTATTTCGGTCATCTATCAAAATATATACGATCTGTATTTCCGAGGGTTACGTTGGCATTTTAGTACGACATAATTGAACACAAAGTTCCAAAAGTCCTTAGTGCGTACACAAAAATATGATATAATATTAAAACTTGCAATCAAGCCCCTGTCCCCTTCATAACAAATAACAGACACGTGAATTCACTGCAAAGTGAATACGATGTTAATAATTTCAGGACAACGGATTACGCGAATTGCTCCTTTTTTGATATTCGATAGATCGACTCTCATCAATCTTACAAAGGAATGAAATCTTACACTGCGCTCAAAAACAACCATTCAAAAAATTACGACGTTTCTTTTATTTTTGGCAGAAACAGCAATGATCGCTGATTGTAAATAACTCGATTGCACAACCAAAACAAATCGATACTCCTGAAATATCCTTACCAAATCGCGGACACCGGAACGTAGTATGTGTACCAGGTTAGGGTTGGCTATAATTGTATTCCAATTTTCCATATTTTAGTTCTATTATAAGTTCGGGGACTAGCCAAGTGACTCCCGTAGTTGTACCTAAAATTATGGCCTAACCCCAACCTGGTACACATACTGAGTTCCGGTGTCCGCAATCTTGGTACGCATGCTTCAAGAGCGCCAACGGATCAATGGCGAATGAATTCTTATTGGCTCAATTCATTCAGATATGGCCATATTCGACCCTATTTCGAATACGATTTATTGCAAAGCTGTATATGAAAGCCCGATAAGTCCTCAATGCAAGGATGGTAATCAAACGACTATTGGAACTATATATAGGCTACATCCTGAATATCCTACTCCAAACTATCTTTCTTTAGTGTTCAGTGTGTAATTTATTCGATTCGCCAAGTTCCAGTCAATTTAGTGATTTTTGGGCGTCACCTCCAACGTTATGTAATATTGGTTCTTAAGTTCCGTTCCATTTTCATCCATTTAGGAGCCTGAAAACCGGAGCACAATGAACTGCTAAGGTAGAATTCAATGATTCTTAAATTTTTTAACGATGCACTTAAATTGATTTATAAACTCACATTTAATACAAAATAAAGTTTTTAGATTATTATTTCCAAATTAAGTTGCTGCGGACTAGATTTTGATCGTCTTTTACGACATAATTTGTTTATTAGGTTAGAGCCGTATTATGTTTTAAAAAAAAGTATAATTTAACGTCTGGACATGTTACTTACTGTTTTACTTATTGGACACGAAGTGGACATAACGATCGTTTCAATATTATGTTGGTCTTGTTGTTGTTGTTCTTTGACACTTTTTGTACACCTAGTGGAAATATTAAAAAACCGCTTTTCTCTTTGATCACTGGACCAATTTCTTTGAAATTTGTAGTGGTCAAAGATGAAATTTTTCTCCAAAAGGCTATTACTTTTATTTATTTCAAATATTCCTGTTAACTCTGTGAGATTTGTTCTTGTTTGCTATGACGTTACTGAACGTTCTGCGGACGCATATGCAGGCACTCCTCTTTTTGATCACGTGACATCGAACGTTGGCGTGACGGCGGATTCTGAAAGTCGTTACTCAAAAATCGCAAGTTTTTCGAGGTTACCGATGAATGTCGGTGATGCTAAAGGTACGGTAGACCGTACTGTACTGCTTCGCTTAGTGTGAATATATGTGTAGACAGTGGTCTAGAGCATAGGTTCTCAAAGTGCTCCGTACGGAGCCCCAGGGCTCCGCGAGAGAAACCTAGGGGCTCCGCAAGGTATTCGATTGCTTTTCAAAATACTGACTTGGCTAATTTAAAACTGTTCTAAGAAGCAATAACAGCTTTGATAAAATTTGACAAAAATAAAGCCTCAAAATATGGCAAAGTGGCGGAATTAAAAAATGACATTATTTATAAGCAGGAGCGCAGCCAGGATTCTTATACTTAAGCAAAATATCGCCGTTTGAAAAATCACAAGGACGATACGAACGAATACGAACGAATGAAATTTGATTTAGTGCATGCGGCCCCGTCGGTAGTTTCAGAATGAAAAAATGGTACATCGCGGGCATAATTGACTGTGTTTCAATTTCGCAGTTACTACGATGAATAACCAAAGAAAACCTAACATAACACCAAATTTTGTGATTTACAATGTCTATAAAAGCGTTTTTATTCTGCGTGAGTCTGCTGAAACAAAACTTATGGTGTTATCTTCTATTTTAAGTTTTAGTTCTAATATTTTAGAATGCCGCTTTTCAATCAAGCAATTTGAATTGCGGATTTACCTCTTTATTAACTATTATTTTTAGCATTTCGTCGCCGATGATTATAATATGGTAACATGTTTTTCACATTGAACTTATAATTTCCCACGAGAAAGAAAAAGCAATTATCCATCGTCATGTATATGCCGAAGGAAATCATTTATTTAGAGAGAATAAACACCGGCGTAAGGACGTTTGAGGTTGAAAAACACGCCACGCTGACGAAAACAATCGGCGATTGTAACAAAATGCAATCGCGCACGTTATAGGACGGCCTTTTAAGTCTTCCAAAAATGTCAAGCGGGGAAAAGATCCGACCCCTAATTTAATATGTCTGTCATGTGTCAAATTTACAGCTTTAGTATATACAATGTATCTTTGAAATGTAGATTTATTTATGACTTGTATTAACCTTATAAAGGTTTAGCATTTAAATTGAGTAAAGTACGTTTAACTTACTCAGGAATATTAATCGAAAAGAAACAATTTTAACATTTATTTTGGGGCTCCGTGAATAATAGTCAACCTTTTCAAGGGCTCCGCAACACAAAAAGTTTGAGAACCCCTGGTCTAGAGGTACGGTAAACCGTACTTCACTGCTTCGCTTAGTGTGAATATATTTGTAGACTGTGGTCTAAAGGTACGGTAAACCGTACCGGTACTGTACTGCTTCGCTTGGTGTGAATATATTTATAGACTGTGGTCGAAATGCTTCGCTTGGAGTGAATATATTTGTAGACTGTGGTATCTGCTGTTATAATACCGTGATAAAACAAATAAGTTGGTTTTGCAAAGAAGAAGCGTCCGGCATTACAGGTAGGAGGGGGAATAAGGGGGTGCGCATTTCCAATGCGTCGATATTATCTTTGTCAACCAATTTGCGACCATCGTGTTTTTGTCTGTTTGATTGCTGTGATGTGGTTCTAACTATTTTGCGACCACCGTGTTTTTGTCTGTTTGATTGCTGTGATGTGGTGCTTTGTTTATAATTTGACGAGTTTTGTTCGAAATAACCGTGTTCTTAAAATATATGACGGTCAGAAATCATGAAATGCAATTAGAAGCCCAGACAGAAAAGTTCTGGTACCGTAACACAGCGCGGTGACACTGAACTAACTCGTAGCTGCTTGCTTTGTTTATACAGGTACTGGTAAGTCACCGCATATGATTTTTGGGGAATTGTTCTGCGTGTCCATATATTTGAGCATTGCTCTCTTGTGTTCTATACGTATGACTTGTTATTTGAGTTTTTGTCAAAAACAGCCCATTTATCACTAAAACGAACAATAACTCTAGGCTAATAGAAGTAGTTGTATTTAGGCTACACTTTGTAGCTATTTTAAATTGAACTACACCTTATTTGATCATCAGTGGGACAATAAGTAGATCACATCTAGCGCGCACTGATTCTGCACAAATATCATCATCATCATTTTGTTTAACTCATTTTATTGTTTTTGTTTGATCGATGTTATTATTTATTCAATTTTTGATGAATTCAATACAAGTAACATAACTAACTCTTCAACTTTCAGTATGCACATAGCAATAAATGTTGTGGAAATTTGTATTCATTAGATCCATTGATGGCTTATTAGATCACTGATTTATAGGTGAAACTGACAGGCACACAAATACCACAAAAGGATATCATATAAACTCAATTCCCTCGTATTTCTTATCAGCAAATTCTTGATCTTCGAGCAGAATTTCTCCTTCAATAGTAAACGCAGAAATAAACGATTTTTGCTTGTTTCCAACTTCTTCTGACTTAACAGCAACAATCACTTTATCATCTGTTCCAGGTATGAACTTGAATGAAGAATATCCTCGAGTGCAGTTGACTTGTCCTACACATGCAAAAATGAAACGTACACCTAGATTAATGAAAATCTTCCAATTTTGATTTAGTGAATTTTATTTTCTCATAGAAACAACGTATATTGTAATTTCACACTCGTTTTGATATGGATAACCATGTGATATGTAATAATCTGTTACGAACCATCGAAATTTGATTACAAAGAAAAGAAAAAGAAAAATCAAAATCTTTCAACATTTAATATGAATGTCATGCGAAAATGACACTGCGGAGAGAACTTGGGCTAAGTCAAACCCGAATCTTACCAATCTGTACGACCTTAATATCATCAAATCTGTCTGTACAACTCAGAAGAATATTTCCGGCTCTTTGTTCGTCTAATTGATAATCGTAAGGATCCTTGCTAACCTTTCGAGGCAAGAAAAACCAGCTCTTATGCGTCGAACTCCATACTGCAGCTTCATGAATTAGATAGCCTAGAGAAAAGGGTCGATTTATATTTAAGCTGCCAATATATATTCATAATTGTTGGAGTGATTGACTGTACGTAATACTTGAATAAAGGGCGTGGCCTTCACGAAACAAAAATTGCACAATAATGGAATTATTGGATCGCCAATTAAACAATATTTGCTCAAATTTTTAATTTTTTGTCATTTACTCACTAGTATTGCGTAAATTGAAAGAAAAGCGAGCAAATATGTCGGGGCATTTTCTGTATGGATTTCACATAATGTTTTAATTAAATATTTGACGTAAAATTATTTCAAAGAACAATCTTAGTCCCAATTGGTTGCCTAAATTTAATTAAGTAATGATATTGGATTTGGAATGAGGAAATGGGACTACTGCATGTGGAAACGAGTCTCCCCCTCAAACATTAATTTACTAAAACGCAAAGTCTTAGAAAAACAGTAAATCATGATGCCACAATCCATATTACATAAGAGATTTATTTTTATGGTACGAACGGCAATCTAGGGTTGCGCCAGTGCAGTCCAGTTACCATTCAAATACGAGAGTCTATATTATTATATGTATATTGTTGAAATATAGCGAAGTATCTATTTGGTTCGCCACTGTTGTTAAACTTGCTACACTTTAAATATCATTTTATTTTGGCAGTATTAGATTAGCTCTTGTATGTTTTTTTATACTGTATACAATTTTCTCACAGCCTCGAAAGTTTCGACCAGTCTCTGGAATGTTCCATTGGGTTTCCGTTCCACCAATAAGGTTGAAAACTACTGGTATTGACCATTCTTTGTTTTGGATACATGATAATATTTTATTATAGCTTATGCGCTCAAATTTTTCGGTCAGTGTAATGATCAACCCCAAATCAAACTTGATTTCTATTACTTCTATGTTAGAGTATATTATACATACATAAAAATTTCTAGTAATACTCACCGGGGAACGGGCATCCAGCTGCTTGACGAAGAGCATTATAATTGTCACACCAGTTCACATGTTGAACTGCACCCTGAAACGTAACGCAAAACATGGTATTGCTCTCATTTGCAAATAAATGAATACATGGGTTTAGTTGTTACTCATTCATAATTTTTTTAGAAAAAAGGCATTAACACGTAAATGGAGAGTTAACCGGGAGTTAACATATTTTCAAATACAGACAATAAAGCATGATATGGAATATTATCGAATTGGGACTGCGGAAGACACGACATTACAATGAATTGAAGTGTGACCCAACTAGCAACTACAATCTCTTGTCGAATGATTCAGTTTACCTTTTTTTATATATAATGTAGATATATATTATAAGCACTTCGCAATGAATGCATTTCGTGCAGTACAAATATTGATCACACTTTATATAAATAAAAGGTATAAGATAGTACATTTAGTATCCGGCATGTAGTACGAATAATGATTGCAAAAAAATGAACCGCACAAGGGTTCCTCGTGCATTAGTGCAAGTGGTTACTATGGAGGCGACAAACGTCACAGAGGATAACTTTGGTCGGAAGGTAAGTAAGGCGGAGTGAAAGTAGTCTGGTACGTATTCTGAATTACCGGTACCATACAGATTAATATTTGTAAGTTGTAGTTAGTGTATCCATTAAATATGTACTCAATTGGAAAAAATACATATATATATATATATATACCGTACCGAGATAGGCTGTGTATAACTATTGGAATAGGGACACAAAGACTGGACTAATTCAAAAAGTCTGCCCGGCAGGTGAGGCTCGTAACAAAATCAAACAGCATTGACATAATACAATAAAACCTTCAATCAATAATGAGAGCACATAATATAAACACATCAATAATGAGAGCAAGCGAACATGGAACAATCTACAGTTCAAAATGTTGAAAAGGAGTACAGTGAAAATAAAACAAAATATGCAATCAACTTACTTTGTCGTCAACTATCTTAATCCACATATAATTTTTGTTAAGTATAGATCCATCATTACGGACAAATTCTCGACCATGACCGCCGACATAAAGCATTCCATCTTTAGTTGTTAACCATTCGCCTTTAAAACCTTAGAAATACATTAAGACACAAATGAACGAATGATAAAAAAGAATTTTAACTATTTAGTCATATGTTACCCTTGGCCTGATTTCCATCTCCATCAGAAAGAATGACTCTCGGAATCGCTTTCCCTTCTCCAATTTCAAATACAATTCCAGTTTTGTCGTCAACAGAGTACAATTTATCTTTGTAATAAATCAACGCCGATAATTCCATTCCTCTTCCACTGTGGAAATAAAGTGAGGAAAATAAAAAGAATGCTTTCTGGATTTCTTTCCAATCAGTTTTGTTAAGAATGTATATGTGTTTAGAGTTAAAATTTAGGTATTTAACTGATTCAAGCGTGAAGTTCTAGGAGCAGTTGTGTCTAACTTTGTCGTAGTTTTAAATACTTGCAGTTGTGTTGGCAATTTGCAATAAATTGCCTATTTGTTAAGATGACGATTATTCAATAGGTATTTAATTCAATAGTAATCAAAATTATTTATGTAGTATTGCTAACTTCTGGATTAAATGTCCCCAAGCATTATTTTCATGGAAAACCCTCTAACTAATACACTCGTCTTCTTTATCGTATTCAATCATCAATTTGCTTGTATCAGATTGATATAATCTATTCAGTACAAAACTGCAACTCAAAACTTCCTGTTTTACATAAAATTTTGTCAGTCAGGATAGACTGTAGTCATCACTTAGATTTGACGATAAAACGCCGATATATACAAAAAAACTTACTGGTAAAAATCTCACCCTCTTGAAAACTCTGATGTCACCGTAATGCCGGAATTTTCGGGCATATCTACCGATACTTTCCTGTTAATTTCATCGTAAATCAAGGATCCTTTCGCGAGAAAACTTTTCCACACAGTTTCACCTTCTTCATCCTTATCTAAAAATATGTACAGAGTTTATTTATTATTGAACAAAATATGCATATATATATATATGTATTTAATACGTTTCTTTTTGTTGTGTTGAAATTTTCTTCGTCGGATCCCACGATTTTGGATTGAACATAAAATTCTTTTTATCAACCCCCTATTTTAGACAAGTGAAACATGAAAACTTTATTGTTCAAACAATTCCACTTGGTGATACAAATTAATGTCTGTACAAATATGTATTTCACAAATGTGCGATGAGCATTTTTATAACTTTAAAGTTAGTGACTTCATTGACGTGAACGTAACTATATTGAGTGATGTCCCCGTACGTATTGTCGTAAAGAGATTAAGAATCGCTGAAATAGACGGAGGTTTACACTGGTCATCATCTCCAAACACTGTTATTTGGACTTTTCGTTTTTACTTCGTATATGTAATTAGATGTTACACATGACTGAATATGAATAAGCAGTGAACGTAGAGTCATGAAGTGGAACTGACACAAAGAAAAGTTTTTGTGAGATCGAATAAAAACATTGACTAAATGAAACGCCTCTGCTGTCGATATTTTCTCAAAATAAGTCGAATGAATATACACAATCTAGATGCCATTCTGATAAGCAGAATATACGCATAGATGATGAGCATATTTACAACCATGATATTCAGACATTTCATTTTTTTTAAAAAAAAATCAAATCAAATGAGCATAATATTAACTCAACAATAATATATAATATATAGACTATCGTGAAAGAGCAATCTTGATCAGCATTGGGTACATGCTCAAAACCGACTTGGTAATATTTGAGCGATTCTAACACTCAATGTCACGGAAGATTTTGTGACTGTTTAGACCAGTATACATAAGTATACATGAATGTCTATAAGGCTGCTTATGTGTATATATATAAACTTGCCTCTAGTAGCAGGAAATATTGCCCAAATCTAAAACCTCACCTGTTGCGAACTTGTCCAAATCGGCAACTGTTGCAATCTTGAATTCAGTCACCCCTCTTCCTCTTTTGATTGGTTCAGTTGCTGGATATTTCTCCATTTTAAGTCGTATAAATGTTCGCTACACTCTAAGAAATGTTCGGTAAATTTTACCGTCATTTTAGGGGTAAAAAATTAAAAAATGAGGTCGGTAAACTGATTCACCGACAAATGTCGGTAATAATCACCGACATTGGAGGCGTGGCGTTAGTCAATGTTGCGCGCGCACATTGGTTAAGGATAGCAGCCTATCAGAAGCTATATTTCAAACGCGTAATTAATCACGCGCGTTTTTTTTGTTGCTTCACTCCTTAATTTGTCCGTTTGATTTGACATTTGATGAATTCCAGACTTTTGGACTTCGATATTTGGTCGGCCGACAGTTATATCTTGGTCGCTTTTGTTATTACTGCAGTACTGCGTTGGCAGTATTTCTGTAAGGCAATGCATCTTAGATTCAATAATGTCAGTGTAGGTGTCGTGTTGTTTAATGCTGGTTATTAATGTATTGTTCAGTGTGATTATAGCAGTATGGGACAGTCGGGAAGTAGGGTAAGATCTACCGTACCAATAACTGAATTAATATATATATATATATTTGAATACATACTGGCTATAACAGTACAGCAGTATACGGTACTGGTATAAGGTTGGTTGGACTAGCTTACATCAGTAAATCCGCAGATCCATGTTACGCCTGGCGATATTTAACACAGCCAGAGCTTGATTCGTATTTCCGAATCTGAATTTTTATTGTCAGTAGACTGGCAAATGTTAAAATGGCAATACAATATCTGAATATGCCCTCTTCACAGCTCTAGACTTTGAAATGTTAGCATCTAATTACTGAATCAAGATAAACCGTCAAATTATCAACAGCTTTATGATGATCGCAAACTCGGACTACGTGCAGGCTGGACTACAGGAAACACATGAACAGGCAGACAGGGAGAGAGGTGACGTTGCTCTACACCCCAAAACCGTGGCTTGAAGAATATGGCATTAAAATAAACAGGTATCAATTAATTATATACTCATATAATTACATACTGATTCAGTGATTGAAAATCATCTACAGACAGACAGATTTGTATTTGATTATGATATTTTAAATTATTGATTCTAGGACTAATTCAGAACAGTTTCATTTTAAAAAGAGCAATTTTAGGCAATTCACATTTATCTGACATAAAAACACTAGATTTCCTTTTAACTTATGACACTATGAATAGAAAATTTATCAAAACAATATTTATCTATCTTATTCTGTATATTTACCAGAACCAATTCTGTAAATATAGTTGAATTTCTCTTTTGAATAAGACCGAATTTGAACATAGTCTATTACATATAATGAAGTTGGGGAATGAATACATTTCTTTTTAACAGTGTTTTCTCTTTAGAAACTGAAGAATCTGATTATGCAGGCATGAACAAATTGTCTGCCCCAACCCTGAACTGTGAAAAATTCAATGTCTAAGGCTTCATAATATTTGAGATTCTTACTAACATGTTATTTCAAGGAAGAAGTATTTGAGGTTAGTTATAATGTTAATTTTAAATTGTTAGAAGAGAACCTTTCTCATCTGCTCTGACAATAAAATATTAGGAGTGTAATTTTTATCATTTAGGGACTTTTAATTTTATTCCATTTAAATACTATTTCAGGTACCTCTTCCATCTGATCTACAAAGTTTGGTAATACTGGAAAAGTCTGTATCGATTGATTGCCCACAGATTTTTGTCCCTGAACTCCAAGAGGAAAAGAAAATATGAAAGTTTATAGAAAGGTGGGATAGGTGAAAGATGTAATGAATGCTAGTACATGCAATTAAATAATTTCAGATATTTCCAACTTGCAAAAGAATTTGATTGATTGATTGAATACTACAAAATGTTAAATCTTATTCGAAAATTAAGTAATATTTTAAATTTTGGAGTTGTTTGGGTAAAACTCTTTGTACATTCCATTTCAGATAACTTGAAGATATGGAGAATAAAATACCACGAGTTCGTAAAAGCAGATGGATAATGCAATACAATCAGCATGTGCAACACTAACCCGGAAAGACTCCCCCTCTGCCATAGAATATTCTCTCACAGAGGCTGTCTATAGAGACTTGTTTAAAGTGACTATGTGAACGGATACCCTGCGAGCATAAACTTCTTCAACGAGAAGTTTCTGTCTACCTCGCATTTCTAACTTTTCACTATACAATTTCTCATTTTTCCAAGTTTTATAATTCATTTCACGTTCACTTTTATTTTTTGAATAAACCTTGTTTCATACAATAATCTGTGATTTTTACTGATCATATCCTGTAAAATGTAATGCCAGGATATTTACGGTAATTTTTACCGGGTTCTGAATGTAAATTCACCTAATTTGTAATGTAAATTCACAGGCTAGCGTCGGTTAATATTACTACGCATTGCCGGTGAAAATTACCGGAAAGAAATTGTAAGGATTACTAGGGAAATCCTGTAATATTCGCAGGTGATCAACAGCAATTTTACCGAAAATTCTTGTGATATTTACCTTAAAATCGCATTAAAATTTCACAACTACATTCCAGTAATATGTAATGCCAGGCGATTGCCGGTAAATATTTCTTAGAGTGTACACTAACGGATAATGACTTCAGAAGGTCCTTTGCACTATGCACACTCCGAATAGTAATAAAAATATCAGAATTCGCTCGAGACCTATTGTTGACCCACCTATTCAGCTGTTGTTGACGATAGAGAGGTAAAAAGTGCAGTCGCGATACGAGTATTTTCAGTCAATGCGACATTTACAAATTTCATTCTAATGTCACATAAATCTATGGGATAACATAACAACATGGTCATACCTTGAATTTCGTTTAACAAATATATGCAAAGACAAGCGTGAGTTTTTGTTGTACCACACCAATGATTGAAAAATTGCATTATCCCAAATTTCGCCCCCATAAGTCGTAAACGGGAATTCAGAATAACTGATTGCATTTCTTACTGGTACATTCATGTACATGCGCTCAATTACCTCCGTTCAATAGGACTTGATCCAGCTATCCTACTCTTTTGTGGTAGATACGGATTAGAACTGCAGCAAAGTCAGCATGATTTTATATTAGAATTGCGCGACTGATGAATTTTGAAATATAGTGGGGCACAATTGGTGGCAAAAAATAGTCAGTAGCAATCGTACGCGGGGATTCTCGACCACCTGCGCGGCCGCGCATAGAGGGAACGTTGATCGGACCCACAATAATATTTTTATGTTTTTCGAAATATATCATACCAGCTCAGGTGTATACTTTATCTTTTTGTCCGAGAGATACCGAGACCGAAGTAATCTTTCACACAAAAGAGTGACTTGTCGAGTGAACCTGGTAACAGTTGATTCTGACTTGTTCCTATAGGTCGTACAATTCAGCAGCATTGTCGTTAGCCCTCTATATCTCATCCATTATATACACACTGCGCTTTGATAGTTTATTTAACGCAGAGCGCTATTATGGCTAATATCGTAATAAAAAGATATCATGAGATATTTGATGTTAGTAAATTGTTTGAAGTGCTGGAAATGTAACAGGAAATCAATAGTGATTCATCATCATTCACATAGATAACTTTATCCCCAAACCTAAGCACCATAACTCGAGCGCTACACCCCGTGATTTATAATAGGAACGAAGGATAAAAACTTGACCAACGGATGGGTATATAACTTTGGTAGAATTACGGACATTTCATACAACATTATTAAAGAGGCACTATTTAAGAATATAATATTGATGTTTAATATTTCAGTTTTTTATTATGATGGAATTGTGTAAATTGAAATCGCACACAATATTCACATGGCGCATTGCGAGAATTTTGTTTTAGCTATAAAATGAATGCGCATTTCGCATATATTCCCAGACGCGGAACATATCTTAGCAAAAAAAAACTTACACAAAGAAGCTATATATGGGGTATCGTTACATTCTTTTCTGAACTTGGGAAACTGAGAAATAAAACTTCAACATCAATAAATACTTTGTGCTCTGCATCTCATCTGATATCCGGTCACTCAATACTAAAGAGTTATTCACCCGTGAATACTATACGCAACAACGTTAAAATGTCGAAATGTTTTTATTGCAGCTACAAGTGTTAAAAGCAAAGAGTGGAAACCGCTAACAAAACTTTGTAGTATAGTTCTCTATTGACTGAACTCAAAACAATTCATTTTACATAGACTGTAATCTCATTGTATTTTTGATGAGTATATATGCCTGGTTTTCATCTCAGAACTTAACATAAATAGTGCGAAAACAAAAAGCAACATTACATTGGCAGGCACAGTGTGAACAGTACCATGACTGACCATTAACCAATTCAAGTTTTCAAGTTATTCGGATTTGTTGTACAAACTCCCCGCCAACGCTCAAAATAAGAAAATTAGTAATTATCCAGTTAGGCTTTGAATTAGGGTTAGGAATGCAGATTGCGCTGGAACTTCAAATTTTCAAATCATTTTTAACCTTAAGCCCAACCGGATAATTACGCGGCGAGATTGTTTTTCTCAAATCTCGCATTTTCCTTTGGGGGTGGGGGCTTTGTACAAAAGATTCAATTAATCTGTCCTTAATCTCGAACCAGATGTAGAATTTTACGTACTTCAAGCCGAATTTTAAACTAAAATTTGATTCTGTTGAGCCCCTATTATATACAGGAAAAAAATTGCATACTGTAATAAATTCCAAATCTAAAATATGGACCAATATGAGACAAAAAAGAAGGTAATTAGTTCACGAGGTGGATATCCGTGAATAAAAAGCTTAGTTTAACATATACTTGATAACAAGTTGATTTCAAATCAAACACCCCGTTAATAAACTATAAAAACACAAGTAAGTAGAAATAGGTTTACTTTCCTTACTTGCTGAATGCACGGCTAATAATCAACGATAACCATCACTACTAATATAAGTAGGTCGGGGTAAATCGGACACCCGGGGTATGATGGTCAGTCAAAATAAAATCCTCCTAATAGCGACACCTCGCGCTTTTTCGTCGCTCAAAACGCATCGCGTGAAAGAGCGACATCATACGAACAACACAGAACCAGATTTTACATTTCAGGCTCGACAACTTACAAGGTGGTGCTTTTTGGGGAAAGGGTGTTTCTGTTGGGACAGAAACACGTCAAATTATAGAGTCCCATGTTGACGAAGATTAATTTTAGCCGGAAAAGTCCGCGAACTCGGTTCTATTTTGTTTATTTGTTGAAAGTAGTTGCATTAGATCGAATAAATTCTTTATCAGACTGCCAGTACTCATTTTTGGGTTGGCAGGGTCACTTAAGAAGTAGGGTCGATTTTGAGTGGGGGAGGGGGAGGATTTTTTTCAATATAGTCTGTTGGGAATGTCAATGGGCCGTCGTCATCGAAACTTATATATAATTTTTTTTTGGTACCAAGTACTCTTTTACAACAAAAATCAAAAGCACACTCATCGCCATATTTATACTGGGTCTCTTAGAAGTTAGGCCCGGCGTAAAATTTCATCTTACCCCGTCCAATTTTTTTTTCCATATGCGTATGAAATACGCCCAAGGTTATGCCAAGAAATTACAAAATAAATACTTCTAAAAGTAGTCCGTGTAAAGAAGATATAATATTTGCAGTTGAAAAAGTGTAAACTAAATTTTAAATTTCTAGTTTTCCTAAAACTGTTCAAACTCTTTTGAAAATTGCCCTGTTATGTCCTTTATGGGGTAAGACGGACATACTTTTTAATATGCAAGAAAAGTGATCTGTTTAAAAAACAATTAAAGCCTTAATCCTGGGCCATCTAGGCGTTGACCGAAGTCTTATGACCGAAATCTTAGACACCATCAAGTTTATTTTGGTGTATGTCCGTCTTGCCCACAAAGTGTCTAACTTACCCCGATATTTTTTTAGCTGAAAATCGGGCGTAAATTCCGATTCGTTGCTATGGCAACAATGTACAAATGTGGCAAGATAGCTGTAGGGTGGGTGCATAAATCAAACGTAGAACGAATGCAGCTGCGATATTATTTGAAGAGTTATTCAAAATAACTTATTAGTGGGTCCGACTTCCCCCGACTTACTACGGACTTTATCTGAAACTTGGAAATTTAGGGGAATACGCTTATTTTATGAATTAGAAACAGTAATGCACACACGATTACGCCGATGAATGTTATGACATACGGTACGTCCATTGCATCCTCATAATTCTTTGCATATAATTATCGTAGAAAAAAGACAGTTTTAAGTCTCTAGACTGAGTGAACGTACACATGATAAACTCTGTTGATTGTTGATCCTGTTTCAAAGTTCTACTATCATGTCCTCGTGTTTTTGATCAGCTTTACAGTTTCTTGAAATATTGAAATAAAGACAAAATCAGCGCTAAATTTGTCTACGTTCTTCAGCTTCTAATAAGATGGTAATTTGTGCTTGATTGACCCAAATTTAATATTGTTCACTATTGCAAATGCCCAAAATTCAAATTCGTGTTTAATTTTTATTGACACCAGAACATACTTGCAAAAATGGAAATATAAATTCGGAAATGGCGAAAATGTGATTCGATTTATGCCCAGCAAGATTTGTATGTAAGCGTTTCAGAACTGCATGATGATAATCACATCAATATCGCAGAAAATATTTTCCCGGAAACCATACAAAAAGTAGCTTTACAAGTATGTTTAACTAGACCTAAAATCCAAAAGAATATTCACGTGAGAATATGGCGTTGACCGTTTCATTCAACGAAGAAATTTGCGTTTTAAGGTTGATAAGATGCAAGTTTACAGTGGTATTGATAGTATTTCCTTTTCTCCATCCATTCTCTTTTTCGCTGACCATATAGTCTGACAAAATAATATGTTTTAAGATAATAATTAGGTGGTAATAACTTCCACTCCATCAGCAGAAGATAGATATTTGGCGTTTCCATTTTATGATTACAAAGCGTCAGTTGATGCGTGCTATCATATAGTTGAAAATAAAATTTGAGCTCACTTTTTATTACTGCAGTAGACCAGTTACCCATCCGTCATTGCCTGACGGAGTTTCCGCTATATGATTACAACTTTACCAATGATACAAAGAATTGGATGAACTCATTCGCTTTATAATTTTAGTCACAAATGTTTCAAAATTTGTTCATATTGGTAAAATTCGTTTTTTTGTCGTCCAGTATCCGATATCTATTGTCACAAGTTTGGCGTTCTTAATAACAAATTTGATTCAGTTTTCTACGTCAACCCAAGTTAAACTATGATTAAACCGTGACTGTTTTAGTTGAGCGAGAACAATGAAAAGCATCAAAATAACTACCTCGTTTCATGACAACTTTACCAATGATACAGATAATTGAATATACTTATGTGAAATATAAAACAACAAAGAAATATATGAATGTTTGAGGACTTGTCCCCATAGAATCTTATTTCGAAAGATATTTACTTTTCACTACATACTCACTTAATAATAAACTGTTTACATTTTCATTCATCTGTGTGAAATAAAACAGCGTTATAGATGTATTTCAAAAAATCTGTATAAGTCTTTAAAAATGCTAAATAATTTATTATTGATAAATATTTCTAAAATAAACATAGTAATAATACAAATGGAGTAGTTTGTATATGAACCTACGATTATCCCATATAGTAGGCCTAATTAGATAATTAAGCTCGGTGGTTTACTATAATTCAAATTGTAGTGCTTAATCAAATATACTGTATATGATTTGCTTTCAAAGTATTTTTGAAATTATTAAATAAAAATTTGGCATTGATCTTATTAATTAAATTATATATACCTGAAATACAATGAATTCAAAATACGAGATTGCAGCCACACTTAGTAACAAAAGTACGAATAGAAAGACAAGCAGGCATATAACCCTTTTTCGTTTGCTGTATAGAGTACTTCGTTGCTGTGGTTCTTGCTGCTGGTTCTTCTTGCTGTGTCAGCTTCAATAGAGTGAATTTATGATTTAGCATTAAAGATGTGTTATCAATGAAGCATAGCTATCGATAATATTGATATTTTTCATTTTTTTTTTGACAGTGTTCATTTATTTTTTTATTCTCTATTAAATAAGATGAGCAGATTTTGCGTTTTCTTAGACTGTGGTACAACATCACGAAATTATGACAAGAACAGATATATATGCATTACAAGTGCACCCAAGCCATTCTACTTACAGCATGATAAGATGTTTTCGCGGTACAAATACTACGGGAGTCACTTGGCTAGTCCCTGAGCTCGTAATAGAACTAAAATGAGGAAAATTGAAATACTGGTACACATACTACGTTCCGGTATCCGCCATCTTGGTTCACATACTTCGGGAGTACCGTTTCCGCTGCTATTTTCTATATTAGTTAAGCTATTGTTGGGACACGATGTACATTTATACCTTATTCTTACAGAAGAACAAATTGGAACAATCAAATTGAATCAATAAATATAAATCCTGATGATGAAAATGATATTGCGTAATGTTTATCTTCTTATATTATGAACGTTGATACCTGTTGCAATATTCATTTCCATCTCCAAGTTCGGAGGTAGATCATAAAGAGGTTCCATTTTCAAATTTTCTGGGCATCGACGAGAAGACTTTAAATAATCTATATTTTGAGTTCCATTAATAACGAGGAATTATCAAAAGGAAATGGCGAATATCATCATTCTACATAAAAGTTAAATAAAATATTAGCCAATGCTGTCACAATAATTTAAAAAATTGTTGAAACGGCTGTTTTGTACAGAAAAAACATAATTTCCTGGCAAATATCATGCTTCCTGGCATATAAAAATGACATTGCTATTACATATCTCCATCTCAGCTTGTGCGTATTCATTTTGTGCATTTATTGTATATATAAATAAACACTCGCTCTCCCGATTTTAATTGCGTCAACTTTCCCGCCTTATAATTTTAGTCACAAATGTTTCAAAAATTAAAAAAATTGTTGTCGATCAGTATCCGATATCTATTGTCACAAGTTTGGCTTTTTTGGTAAAACATTTGATTCACTTTTTCATGACAACCCGATTAAACTATTATTAAACCGTGATCGTTTTTAGTTAAGTGAGAACAATGAAAAGCATAAAAATGACTACCTCGTTTCATGACGCAGATCCAATACGGGGTACCTACTAAAACTAGCCGATATAACTCACAATACCTAGGTTTCATCATACAGAATATTTTTATATTCAGATGTGCGCCAGTAAACGAAATTTCCGAGAACAGTTTGACGTATTGTATTGTTCCTAGTACGGAGGGAAACATCATATCAATGTTTTTCCTGAATTGTATGTCAAGACCAAACCAATCACGAATTGGAGGTTGCTTCAATTTCAACTTCCTCTCAAATTGAAATTTGAGCGTCAGTTTGTCACGTCTGCATAAACATAGGATTTGGCAGAAGATATGTTTTTCACATAAAAGACGAGTTGAATTTTTTTGTTCGCTTACATTTCATTGAATATTGAAAATTCTCCTGTTGAGTGAGCTGACTTTGTTTTTTTGAGCTTGATGAAATTTTGATGTGCAGGTTCTATAAATCTAATGTCCACAAATGAAGCATAACATACTTAATCTTATCTACCTCTAACTGTTGGAAAATATCTTCTCCAATCAGTTAAGTGGCAAATGCTTAAAACAGAATAAGAATAATGATATAACGCAGGGTGGTCCAAGATTTGCAGCTCCGCGGGCCACAAAATTACTTTTGCATTGTTCGCGGGTCACAATAGTGCCAAGAACTTTGCTCGTTTAACTTCGCTAGTTGCCTCAGCAAGCCATAACACTAGTCAATTCAGTGACATTAGTGATGCAACAATATGTCAAAATAGTTTTTGGTTAATTTTATGACGAAACAACACGAAATGCGATTTTTTGATTCCTCTCCGAATGCGACACGGGCCACAGATAAAGGAGTGGCACATGTGGCCCGCGGGCCTGGGTTTGGACCACCTTGGTATAACCCAATGCAGCTTATATTTATTTTTTGTTGTGGAAAACCTACATTCCACGGCCAGTAATCTTACTCCTAGAAGAACATTAGGACAATTGCATTGAAGGTAAACGCACGACAACGTTAGTTAATGACGCTTTTATCCACAATTCGGAAGAATACAATTCATTTAATAGGAAGAGAAAAAAATTTATTGAAGATAGATTAGATTTCATGAAACCCACTGTGTATAAAAGTTCACATTGCGCACGAAATTGTGTTTTCTATCTTCAATTTGTACAGATTCATATTTTTATTTCCATGATGCATCAATAAATATAGAGCAATAATACTTATAATATATAAAAAAAAATGAAAACAGTGACTAAAACACTGTGTGGTATTATTTCCGTTCGTAAAAAACCACAACGATTTCAATACAAAATTGCCCATGCCAGATATATAACAATTGTCACGGAGATTGAGACTCATTAAAATACCGCCTTGATAATATACGCTACCCATTCTGCAATACCTTCGCCGATTGCCTAACTATAAATTACAAAATACCGTTACCGTTCAGAAGATTGTAGTTATCTCCTAAGATATGAAACACGAACTGTTTTATTAAACATTTGATAATAATTTTACTTTGTAGAAAACTTCAATAGAAAAACCATAACACTGGTTCAATTAAAAAAGTAAGCGTTTTTTCAGATAATATGTTGCAATTATCACCTTCTGTGGAAAGGATTCATAGACGCCATAATATCACATAAAACACGCATCGGCCTTTTTTTGTATCTATTACAAAGACCGAATCACAAATATTTCAGAAACATCTCTGTCATATCGTTTCGCATGATCTTTATTATATCGACTGGTAATGGTTAGGTTTTTTTTTTTTTTGGCGCTTTTTATTTTATAAAGATTATCAAATTATAAAAATGACTGATATTTTTGTTGATATGATCTTGATATGAAATCTTGTGAACAAACAAACAGAAAATGTCTACTCGTCATTTTCGAGAAAAACATATGTTCTGCCAAGTCATATGTATAAGCAAACGTGACAAACTGCCGCTTGAATTTCAATTTGAGAGGAAGTTGGAATTTCAGCAACCTCCAATTCGTTATAAGTTTGGTCATGAAAAACATTGATAAAACGATTGCCGACACCAGGAACTAGGAACTATACAATACGTCAAATAATTCTCGGAAATTGCGTTTACTGGCACAAATCTAAATACAAAAATATTTTGTATGGTTAAACATAGATGGTACTTTACTACGAACTTTACTCACAAAATATTACGACAGTTATCCTTACTGAGTACACCGTATTGAATCACCGTCATTAAACGAGAGGAATAGGCATTCCTACATGCTATGCATTTTTTTCACTTGACTAAAACAGTCACGTTTTAAAATTAGTGCAACTCAAATTTGTCACTCTTTTGTCGGATTGCCATAGAAATACGATGCAGCTGCAAAATTCTACTTTAGGGAAAATAGCGAGAGCGAGCATTTGTATATATATTATATTGTGCAGAATGAATACGCAGCACAAGCTGATATGGAGATATGTAATAACGATGCCATTTTGAATTACCAGGAAGCATGATATTTGCCAGAAAATAATGTTTTTTGTGAGGTAGATTAATGGCCAAAACAGCCTTTTCAAAAATTCATTAAAATTTTGTGATAGCCATTGTTTGACATCTTATTTAAATTTCATGTACGAATAATGTTATTTGCCATTTTTTTCTTGGTAATTCCCCGTTATTAATGGAACTTCAAATATAGATTATTCAAAGTCTTCTCTTCGACAACCAGAAAATTTGAAAATGGAAAATATTTATGATCTACCTCCGAACTCAGAGATGGAAATGAAGGACAATAACGCCGATGGAAATATATATAATATTGCAGCAGGTATTGCCGTTCATACTATTAGAAAATAAACATTTTACAAATCATTTGCAAAACCAGAAATGATTCAAATTTTTTGGTAATTATTGTTTTTCAGTTAGAATAGACGACTTCAAAACGTTTCTCAGCAATCGTGTAACTAATAATAAGTGCAACTGAAACATCCTACTGCGGTGTTAGTAGGAGGGCTTGGATGCACTTGTAATGCATATCAATCCGTTCTTGAGATAATTTTGTGATATCATACTACAAGCTAGCTAAACACGAAATTTTGTTTTTCATCTGCATATCCTATAAAATGATGAATTAAAAATAAAACAATAAACTCTGTCAAAGATGAGAAAAACATCGGTATCACAGATAGCTATGTCTCGTTGACAACGCATCTTCGATGCTAAATCAATAAATTCACTCTCATTGAAGCTGACACTGCAAGAAGAACCAGCATCAATACCAACAAAGTATCCAATACAGCAACAGATAAAAGAGTAATATGCCTACTCGTCTTTCTATCCGTACTCGTGTTGTTATGTACAGGTGCACTCTCGTATTTCGGAGTCATTGTATTTCAGGTATATATAGCTCAATTAGTAATATTAATGTCTAATCTTTATTTAATAATTTTATAAATACTAGAATGCAAATCACATATATATATTTGATTTGGCTCCAAAATTTGAATTGTAGAGCAGGTGTGAGAAAATTATGGTCGCGGGCCGATCGGGCCCACCGAAGTGTTTTATCCGGTCCACTCGACCTGCTGAAATCACGTCTTTAGTTTTATAGATATGAATTTCCGTTGAAAATATCGATAAATATAACAAATATATGACAAAAAAAATACTATAAATCCTCACCTGAATATTATGTGCAAAACGAGTCAAATACATCTCGAACTCACCCACCCGAATTATTTATGTCATTCTAAAACTCCAGTGTCTCTGCCTAGATCAGCGCCTGATATAATCGCGTTTAGATCAGCAAATATCTGTTTTCCCGAACACCGATTTCCTTGTTTATTTCCCCAACCATGACCAATCAGCAGTAATCCAACAATAACGTAACAATTGCAGTTTGTGTTGGCGTTCAAATACTTCTTTTGCACAGACAGACATTAAATCACGAGTATAAACATTGCCTGATTTTCCATGTTATTTGTCAGTTTTCAGTTGCATTTCCAAAATCTAGTTAATCCTTGTGATACTTGGTTGGTACACTAGGTATTTGTTTACATTAGCTGTGACGCTAGGTATTTGTAAATAACTGCTTTTTATTCATATTGAATGTTGAGCCTCCGACCCATGCAGTAACCAAGTCTATTACCTGTTTCGGCCAAATCAGGAAAGTAATTGCCCACCCGTGTCGTAACCAGCAGTTTTTTTTTTAATTACTGTAGGAATAGTTATAGGTTAATATAGAAACTGCTCCATTTGCATTATTGATATGTTTATTTTTGAAATATTCATCACTATTTTTCATTGTTCATCAATTTTAGAATATACACCTATTTTTCTTAAATACTTCTCCAACGCTGTTTTATTTCTCACAGATGAATAAAGATGTAAACAGTTTATTATCAGGTGAGTATGAAGTAAAAAGTAAATATTTCTCGAAATAAGACTCTACAGAGATAACTTCTAAAACATTCAAATTGTATTTCAGTTTTCAAATAAGTTTATCCAATTATTTGTATCATTGGTAAAGTTGCAATCATAAGCAGAGGACACAAAAATTTCCGTCTTGCAATGGCTGCGGCGCAACTGCATTTATCAAGTGCGAACACATATTCATATATTCACTGTATGAAATACCATGCATCAAATGATGCTTCACAGCCATGAAATGATGACGCCAAATGTCTATCTATCTTCTGCTGATACGATGGAAGTTATTAAATTCTTATTTATTTGTTCAAAATATATTCTTCTGTCAGACTACCTGACCAATGGAAAAAATGAATGGAGATCAGGGAACACTTTCAATGAAACTTTAAACTCTCATCTCATCAACCTTAAAACTCATATTTCTTCGTTGAATGAAACGGTCAACACCATATTCGCACGTAAATAAATTTTTGGTTTTCAATTAAATTTAATTAAACATGTGAATCTACTTCTTTTATGGTTTATGACGTATATACTTAAAATGTGGGTATTTGCAATAGTGAACAAAATTGAATTTGAGTCAATCAACCAAAAGTTGTCATCTTCTCAAAAACTAAACGACGTAGACTGCAAATTTGTCGCTGATTTTGTCTTTATTTCATTATTTTAAGAAATTATAAAGCTGATCAATGACACGAGGTCATGATACTAAAACTCGGAAGCAAGATTAACAATCGACAGAGTTTATCATGCGTTCGTTCACTCTAGCCACTTAGAACTGTTTTTTTACGATAATTATATACACAGAATTATGAGGATACAATGAACGTATGTCATAACATTCATACGAAGATGAACAAAAGTCGTAATCTTGTGTGGCATAGCTGTTTCTATTCCTTGAAAAAGCGTATTTTCCCTTAATTTCTGAGTTTTAAATCAAATTCTGTATATTAATAGTGATACTTATCGTTGAATATTATCAGCGCAATAATTAGTAAAGACTGTAAAGCTATTTCTACTTATTTGTGTTTTTTAGTTCAACATATTTTTTAGTTTGAAATCAACATGTTATCAAGTTCATACTGACTTAAGCTTTTAGTTACGAATAACCACTTCGTGAACCATTTACTTGCTTTTTTGATTTGCTTGAATTGCTCACATACGCGTGTTACATACGCACAAAAATTATTGATCTCTACATTTTATAATATTGTGCGAATTTATCATTTAATACAGCTCAATAGAATCAAATTTAAATTTCAAAGCCGGCTCGTAAAATTCTACATCTGGGATAAATGATAAAAGAATTCCCCTCCAAAAATGTAATATTGAATCAAGTAATAGGAAGCCGCTGCAAAGTTCAGTTTTGGTACTGTGCGGCAATATCACACTAGTTAGTGTCTGTCAAGGTAATGTTGCTTTTTGTTTACATACTCATCAAAACTACAGTGAGATTGCAGACTTAAAAGAATTAGTTGTTTTGGGTTCAGTCAATACAGAAGCATAATACAACGTTTTGGTAGCGGTTTGCACGTTTTGCGGGTAACACTTAGAGCTACAATAAAAACAAATCGACATTTTCACGTTGTTACGTATTGTATTCACTGGTGAATAACTCTTTAGCATTGCGTGACATGATATCGAATGAGATGTGAGCCACAAAGTATATATTGATACTGAAATTTTATTTCTTAGTACCCCTATAGCTTCTTTATGTTGGTAATTTTTTTTGCTAAGATAGGTTCAGTGTCTAGAAATATATATGAAATGCGCATTTATTTGTATGGCTAAAACGAGATTCTCGCAATGCGCCACGTGAATATTGTGTGTGATTTAAATTTACACAATTCTATCATATTCAAAAACTGTCATATTAAACACCAATATTATATCCTTCTACAGTGTCTTTTTAATAATATGGTATGAAGTGTCCGTAAATCTACCATAGTTATATATCTATCCATTGGTCAAGTTTTTATTCTTTGTTCTTATAATATAATCATATCAAGAATAAAGAAAGTGGATATTTAATATTAGTGCGTGAGGGTACTGGGCTGTAGCGCTCGAGTCATGGTGCTTAGGCTTGCGGATAAAATGTATCCGTGTAAATGGCGATGAATCACTGCCAATTTCCTGTTACCATTCCAGCACTTTAAATAATTTACTAAAATCAAAATATCTCGTGATATCTTTTTATTACTCTAGCAAAATAGCGCACTGCGTTGAATAGACCTCTAAAGGTTGTAGCCTGTTTGTGATAAATGATTTGTAGAGACCTAACGTTCGTTCGATTGGTATAACCAATTTTATTCATCTTTTGATGTGTTAATACGCACCATTTATATGTCACCACGATATGAAATTGACTGTGCAACTGTCGCACATTTTTTAATTTGTCGACTTTAGCTCAGGGCGCCTCATGATAAGCTTATCTAAAAGATTTTGAGTTATGACAAAATTATTATATTTATTCCCAATACCCCGCCAATTTCCAGATTGAACAATGAACTGAGAATTGATGATTTTCATTGTTGTCTCAAAAATGAAGGAATAAAATCAGAACTAGAGTATTATTCACGATCAAATATCTGAACAAAAGGAGGCAATCGCTATAATCTCAAGGGACCACCAGAAGTATGTGTACCAAGATGGCGCACAACCTGAACATAGTATGTGTTCCAGGTTAGGGTTCAGGTTGTGCGCCATCTTGGTGCACATAGTTCAGGAGCGTCATCTCAAGCGTTGCATCCCCGGGCTAGTGTTTGGTGACATATTCCTACGAACTACGACCACGAACATTTTCACGCCCTAACTGAAGAATAGTGAACGAAATACCTTTCCACAGCATTTTGGTGAACGGCCCTGCATTAATCTGCCAAGACATAATCTATCAAAACCGCCTTAGACGAGAACGAGAAGAAGTATTATTATACTAATTTGTCCAGTTCATTATCAACAAATGAAAATGCCTGGCATACACGCATTCAGATACACATTCACTAATTCAGTCGCATTTTATTGCCGGAAGAATATGGGAGATGAACATCATTAAAATATTATTATTGCATCCGCACATAAAACAACGGAAAGAATAGTCAATTAATACGGGGAAAACATTCACAAAAATTCAAAAAATTACACTCATACTGTAAGTCATGCTGTGCAACCTTTTTCGTAGGCGGGCCAAATATCCATAACTGGGTAAAACCGCGGGCCGCACCTTCATTTAACATAGGCTTTTTGTAGGCACATAATAGTGTCTATATGTTATTGATGTCAAGTCGTCATCATTGGTGGTCTCCTTGCAGAAATGATAAGGTAAACGGTAGTGCAAATATATTGTTACATTCATTTTATACGAATTCGGTAAGAAATTTGCTGCTAGATTCTTTTCCCGACTACTTTTATCCAAATTTGCTTAAATGAAAGTGCTAGCAATTCGATATGGAGTCCCTTTTTGAAAAAAAGATGTAATCGAAAAGTGCCATATTTGAAGCCATGACCTTTTTCAAATGTGGGAAGTTATTTTGGTTGAAATGTTTTCGGTAAAATACGCCAAGATTAATTTCCGAAAAATTTGCTGTCAAATCTTATTCTACATTAGATTTGGACAAAATCAACTGATAGACTGAAACCAAAACTCAATTTAGTTTTTGTATCTCTTAATATTAAAATTTTAAACTGCTCTCCAGTTGCGTGATCTTCAATTGCCCAATCTTATAAGTTCATTAGCGTCTGCTCAGCATTTCCCTTTAAATTTTTTCGCAGTTCAGCAAGTGGCAGCTTTGTGAATCGCGTTGTTCGCTTTGCTGTTAAGACGTTGTAACGTCATAGGTACAGATAACAAATTGGACTCGGATATTAGCCTTGAAGCGCAAGGAGAACCAGATCAAAATAAATTAAAAACTAATTTAGTTAGTTTAGCGCACACCATTCAAAATTGGAAATTCGCTCCGGGCCGCATAATATTTCCTTGCGGGCCAAATTTGGCCCGCGGGACGCACTTTGCACATCCCTGCTGTAAGTAATTAGTATAGTTAGGTATAAAACCATGTTGATGTCACCTACCAATAAATTACAACAAAATTTTACCCAAAAGTATTATTAGTCCAACATAAACAGAATTTTGCTGTGCAAGTGACATGAGAAGGTAATAGTACCGGTGCCGGTTGAAAAAATTTTAAGAATTTATTCCATATTATCTTTACATATAAGTACTGAGAATAAAAAAAGTGGATATAAAATATTAGTGTGTGTGGGCACTGTGATGTAGTGCTCGAGTCATGGTGCTTAGGCTTACGGATAAAATTATCCGTGTGAATGGCGATGAGTCACTGATAATTTCCAGTTACATTTCCAAAACTTCAAATAATTTACTAAAATCAAAATATCTCATGATATCTTTTTATTACTCTAGCAAAATTGCACTCTGCGTTGAATGGACCTCTAAAGGATATAGCTCGTTCGTGATAGATGAGGTATAGAGAACTAACGTTTGTTCGATTGGTATGACCAATTTTATTCATCTTTTGATGTGTTATTGAGCATCACTTATATGTCACCACGATATGTAATTGTCTGTGCAACTGTCGCACATTTTTTGATTTGTCGACTTTAGCTCAGAGCGCCTCAAGATAAGCTCATCTAGAGGATATTGAGTTATGCTAAAATTATAATATTTATTATTAATATCCCGTCAATTTCAAGATTGAACCATGAATTGAAAATTGGTGATTTTCAATGTTATCTTCAAAAATGAAGAAATAAAATCACAACTAAAGTATTAATATTCACGATCAAATATCTAAACAAAAGGAGGCAATCGCTGTAATCTCAAGCGTTGCATGACAGGGTTAGTGTTTAGTGACATATTCCCAGGACTCCAAACATTTTCAGGTTCAAACTGAAGAATAGTGACCGGAATACCTTTCAACAGCATTCTGGTGAACGAACCTGCACTAATCTACGTAGACATAATCAATCAAAACCGCCTTAGACGAGAACGGGAAAAAGTATTATTATTGGTCAACACCAAGCTCATTTATGTTAATTTATTATTTTCAACAAATGAAAATGCCAGGCATACACGCGTTCAGTTACACATTCACTAATTCAGTAGCATTTTATTGCCGGAAGAATATGGGAGATGAACATCATTAAAATATTATTACTGCATCCGCACATAAAACAACGGAGTGAATAGTCAAAAAATTACGGGGAAAACATTCACAAAAATTCACAAAATTACACTCATACTGTAAGTAACTAGTATAGTTATGTTGATGTAACCTACCAATAAATCACAGTTTTTTTTAACCAAAAGTATTATTAGTCCAACATAACAAAAATTTTGCTGTACAGGTGCTATGGAAAGGTAATAGAACTAGGACTGGTTGAAAAAGTTTTAGGAATTCATCCCATTATATCTTTGCAAAAGTGCTCCCGTTGTTAAAAATTTTATATAAATTCGATTCCTTCGTATTTCATTGTAGTAGAAAATTCTTTGTCATCCATGAGTATTTCTCCGTCTACAGTGAACACAAAAAGAAAAGATCTTTGGGCATCGTCAACTTCTTCTGATTTGATCGCCAATATCACGGAATCTTCTGTTCCAGGGATGAACTTGAAGGTTGAAAATCCACGTGTGTTGTGTTTCAACTCTCCTAAATAAATTGTATAATTTGCTACGAACGGAGTTGAATAGTACGGCTGTTTACATTTTCACTATTGATCGTTGAATTATGATATAGAAGTTATAATTTTTGACTTCAAATAGTAAGTACCGGTATATATTTCGTGTTTTACTCAAAGATGTAAATTCAATTCATTCATGTTAGACTTATCTTAAAACAGTGTTCACAAACCTTGTTCAGGTTTGCCACTATTCGAACGGAGCAGTAAATACATATAGATGTTACGTTGGGGAGGGAGTAACAGAGACATCGCTCCCAATGTTAGTCGTTTATACTTGTACTTACCTATTTTTACTACTTGAATATCTGAAAAATCCGCAGAGCATCTCAGCATAATGTTGCCAGCTCTCTTTTCATCAAGTTTATAATGGTATGGTTCTTTACTGACTTTACGAGGCAGGAAAAACCATTGCTTGTGTTTCTCGCTCCAGACACCAGACTCGTGAACTAAATATCCTAGGAACATCAAAATAAAACATTTTAAGAACAAAACGAAAAACAAAATGGAAATGGTAAATTGAGTACCGTTTGACGCGATGACGTCTAACAGCAAACCAAGTTTTTTACTATTAATTTGTATAGATCCAAGCACATCCCACTATATAGTTCCTAAGCCGAGTAAACACATATTCTACACGTATATTTGTTCGGGCACTATATCATGTTATTAAAAATACTGAACCTTCTTCCATACGACAACTATTCTTGATATATAAATGGCACAAATTTTTCTCATAAAGAAACGAATTTCATCCGCACTTTCATCCGCACTTGATGATATGTTCTGGTTTATAAATACAAAATCCTAGAATCAGGCATACCCGGATATTCACAGCCTGCAGCGGCTCTCATTGCATCGTAATGTGAAGCCCAGTTTTCATGGACAACAGCACCCTGGGAAAAATTATATATATGTAAACAATTATATACAATAAAAAAATATTCACAAAAGTCAAAAAATTTCAATCACACCAATTTACAGATATAGTTGGTGATGTCCATTGTTCACAAATATCACAATTCTTTTTAATTTTTTTTTTACCATTTCAAAATCAAATATTTACGAAGCTACTTGTTCTTAAATTTTAAAACGACACAAACTTTTTGGTAGCGTAGTTAATTATTAATTGATGTGTACTTTTTAATATATATATATATTTAAGTCCAACAATCAAGAGCCATTTCGGACATGATAAATATTTGCTTACGTTGGAACACAAATATACGACAAATAATTTGAGGTGTACGTGACAATCAACATAGAAATAATACTGACTTTACTGGCTAATTGGTTTTCTTTTAACTGAATTATTTTGCTCAAATTCGCATATTAACCAAAAGCGTTGCAAACCACTTCAGAGATACGGGAAAAAAATCCAAGCACAAGCATCAGTACTCAAATACTGTTTCCAATCTAACTAAAGCTAGGTCTGATTTGTTCCTACCTCTTGATTCAAAATTTTAACCCATTGGTAGTTTTTATTAACAATCGATTTTCCGTCTCTGCTCATAAGTTCTCTTCCATGGCCACCAACGTACAATTTTTCATCTTTCATTGACATCCATTCTCCTTTGAATCCTGAACAATGAATGTTATTCATTTTAAAAACTGAACAATTTTATACACTGGCAATAACTTGAAATAGGTCAAAAACATACATTTAAAAGGCAATTTGACAACAGTTATTACCCAATCTAAGTAAATCTGTAATAAAACCATTAGACACATCTTCTTATACCTCCTCGCTCTTTTCCATTTCCATCTGACAATATCGCCCAAGGTACTGCCTTCCCATCTACAATATGGAACACGATGCCAGTCCGATCATCAACCGTGTAAAGTTCTCCGTTGTAGACAACCAGTTCCGAAAGTTCCATACCACGTCCACTAGAAAAGATTGACTTTTTTCAAATAATTAATTTTCACAGTGACGGCTCACTTGTTAAATTTTGATAAAAACTAGCTTTTACCAAAACCCGTTAGTTTGATATTTCCTGGGTGTGTTCTATTTCATTAGTGCTAAAGTGCCAAAAACATTTAAGTTTTATTCATGCTTTATTTTCGATCGGCGCCATATCTTATATTTTTATGGGAGTTTGGTTTGACGTATGCTTTCATTAAAAGGTGAGTCTAACTAGCGATTCCACTTTTACAATGGAGGGATCGATGGGCTGCTTTAAGCAAGTGAAGATAAAGCATATCACATACGTTTACTATTATTAACCCACTAAATCCATAGTAATATAAATCTTTCGAAAGCTCAGAATCTCGTAAAATTTTTCATCATTAACATATCCCTTACATAAAAATATAACGGTATCTACCCTCTAGAATATTCTGAAATTAAAGCAGTTGCTGCTTCAACATTCTGCAACTTAATGTCCACTTTTCTTGTCGCGTAATCATACACCAAAGTTCCTTTCCTTAAAAAACTTTTCCAAACTGTATTTCCATCTTGTACCACTGCAAACAACATTAACGCAATGTATTTCTACGGCAGCAAGTTATAAAACGATTCCATGGATTACATTTGTTTTTGGGTCAAAATTTTTAGTGAATGAAAAAGATTATGAAATGTAAATGTAAATTTCAAACATACTACCTTTTGCGTCTTTATCTAAATCTGTGATCAATCCAATTTCAAATATAGTTGAAGTTTTGCTTTTGGTTGGGTTGGTAAGTGGGTATTTCTTATTGTATTCCATTTTTCAATGTAGTTCCCTAAGTACTTATGGTTTGAAATTAAATATCTGCAAAAATAAATGCTTTGTTAAGTGAGACACAAAATCTAGTGACATATATGATTACTACTAAAAAGTATTAAAATAAAAAAGAAGAAGAATCATAATAATTTCAAAAGATTATAGATGGCTTTTGCAATCAAAGCCTAATTATTCATTTTTTCCTCCTCAATTTTTTTCAAATTTACATCGGATAGTGCATATTGAAATGATTTTTCTTGCTGTAGCCTGTAAGGGCTTTATTGAGTTAATACTCCAACACTAATTTATATGATGATGCTTCTACAATATTGACATTAACACATGCAAAAAGTTGTAAGCATTAACAATATACGTTCTTTTTCTATTAGGATTCTTATACTAAAAATAATTATTTGCCGAGTATACATTTCAGTACGAAACCCGTTTTATATGGATACTATAGCAAAATGAATGTGATGAGCAATGTTGGTAAATACGGCCCAGTTTTGTCGCAGCGTGGGTGTAGAAAACGGTAGAGTAAATATCAATATGTATAAAGTAATAAAAGTATCGTCATCCAGACAACTGTATAAACATATTGTAATATATTTACAGATTGGTATACTTACGACCAAACATTTTGCAAAATTAACTAGAATAGTACGATTGATATTTCTCTTACATTCTGATTAGTCATTGGAACTACAGACAGAACGCATCTCGGCGAGAGGTTCTGCGATTCGTTTATTTTAGTCCTGGATGATGCTATTTTGACACAAGTATCGAAGGGAATTACCATGATATAATTGTAAATTCAATGCACTTTTTAGCAGAGTATAGAAAACAAATGAAGCCGTGTCAGAAAATCTTTAAATTTTTTTTCCCTTTGAAGATGATTACAACATTCCAGCTAAAATTTCACTTTGAAAACGAGCGTCTTACCAAAATAATGTTACATATACCTTTAACGTGTTATTTGAAATCTGAGGTAAATAATAAAATCTGCCAACGATATCAGCATAAATGAGTTTTACCAGAGAGTGAATGAAATGAGAATTGAAATTAACGTCGCAGCAAAGTTTTTTGGCAAATGCAATTCTTTCTAATTTAATAACTAAAACAGTAGCAATGACTCTCCATCTAAGTGGTTTCTAGAAAAACAATTTTATTTTTATTTTTTTTGCCATCAAAGATATTTGATACCTTTCGGCTCACTCGTACACTCGAACTGAAAGTTTTGTCGCCAACCCAAACGCACTTCGGTTTTATAGGAGATTATTGTTTTCTACGTTTCTTTTTTCCCAATCTACGTAATTTGCGAAAATACATTTTGTTGAAATTTGATTTATCTTCGTCTATGGTCGTACACAATATAGTGCCGGGTTACTTTTATATTATTTGTTCGGTATCGAGACGTTGCACAATATAGCCGTTGCCGCTACATAGGAATGTTAAAGATTAACCTGATTTTTTGTGACAGTCCCCGTAAGGGAGCCGTTGATATTGGAAATGTAATGTGCGATATATTGAAGTATAATACAACAAGTCCGTTAACAACAAGTCCGCTACTTCAAGCAATTTTAACCTCATTAGCAAATAATTTCTTAGGAGATTAAATGATCGCTTCACATGTAAAAACAATGGAGAAACTCGGCATGTTCCCACGTTTTTCGTAAGCATCTTTTTCAACAGTCTATCTATAACAAGATTCAAGTATGGGACTTACCCAATAAAGGAATATAATCTATTAAAATAAATATTGAAGTGCTTTATCGATTTAGGACCTTGCAAAGCATACTCCGTTTCATTACCTAAAAATGTAAATATTGTTGGCAAAATTTATGTAAACAGTTGCAGTTCAAACTCATATTTCGTGTTTACGTGTTTTCCATGAGGGGGAATCAGCATTAATCACCCTGGAAGAAAATTCACGTTCTATAAAATTGTAAATTCTGTCTTGTTATTGTTCTAGCCCCCATGCACATACGTTGTTTTTCGACTGGCCTGAATACTTCTTCCTTGCTTTCTTTCTCGATATTGAAATCAGGTGTCACAGTATGACATCACAGTATGATTTATGCGAATAAAGGGGAACATTGTGCCATAGTGATGAATTCTGTAAAATAACCCATTTTCATTGTAAATTTAGTGTAACTCACACTCTGGAATACAAATCAGTACTTGCTAATGTAGTTTGTAAAATTTCGAATTTCTGGTTCGTTATTGCTCTAAAATCTCGCGACCCAAGGATATGCGCAACTACTTAACGGCATGTAGTGTTTCTATGCAGACTCGACTATGAGACATATTTTCGTCTCATTCCATCTCATAGCAATTAATGCCTGTCCCATCCAATCCTATTCTATGGTATATTCATTGGAAAACAACTCAAAATTATTAATTTATGAGAATTTAGGTTTAGTGTCTTCTGAATAGGACTACGTATACAAAGAGACATGCGAAGCGACAAAATTTATTATCTTTTTTAACTTCATTCAGACGTATTGTCTAACTACAACAATTCAATATCACTAACTACCTGAAAATATTTTCAGTGATTGGACAAACGCTTTCTCATCCCGGAAACGACACCAAACAGCCTCTGAACCACAAAATCATTTGAGTGTGACTTGATTGACAGGTAGCCGCCTCCAAATCACGAAACCCCCTTGGCCTTGGCCCGATAGTAATGAAAAGTTTCCCAGGTGACCATCCCTTACATACATGCCAAGTTTTGTCCAAATCGGCCCGCCAGTTTCCCGGGAACTGTGTTCGCGCTGTAGAATAAATCAATATTACATAACCTTTGTCTTACGCTATTCGCGCAATGATTTCTGACTCTGATTGTGTATACGCACCATTGTGCTACCACGTAACCTCACTAACCATGTTAAAATCACGACGGTAAGGACATAATGTTAAAAAAATAATGCACAAACGTAATCTTATATAAAATTGTCCCGATTGTCTTACGTGTCCCGCTTGTCCAAAGTGTCCACTTTTCCCACGTGTCCCATAGGAAATACAATTGTCTTCTGTCCCATCCCATCCCACGGGACGTTTCCCATGAACAAGCCTGCTTCTTGAGCCGCAAAATTAAATTCCAAATACAGAATGAGGCAATCGTTTTTACCTAACATTTACTTCCTTATTATTAATTTCAATATTTTAACAATATTTGTTTACCACCATCGATTTGTTAAAACTGTGGCGCGGCTTTATTAGATGCTTCCCAGATTTTACACTGTGATATTAACCATATATACTATTTCTATTGAGCAGCACTTCAATACCAAATAAACGAAAAATATTATTAAAAATGAAAATCATGAACTTTGGGTTTTTGTTAAAAAAAAACACCCAAAAGAAATTTCGGGCAACCCAGGTTTGGGTAGCGAACCATCGCTTGAAAAACACTGCTCTAACCTCCGTTCACACGCCTTGTTTTCCAACTGGTCTGAATACTCCTTCCTTGTCGATATTGAAATAATGGTGAGCACAGTATGATTCATGCGAATACAGCGCAACATGTGCCATCGTAAAATTTGTCAAATAACTTTTTCCATTGTGATTTTAGCGTATCTCACACGCTGGAATACGAAGCGCGACTTTCTAATGTAGTTGCAAATTTCTGTCTTGTTGGACACGAAATGAACCTATGTATCTTTTTGTCATTTTCATTTTGTATTCCTAATCTGTTTCTTGTTCCTACCGTACGAAAAATCGCTTGATTAATTGCTTTGAAATTTTCATCGGTTTAAAATTATATTTTTCCCAGAGGTCTATTACTTTTTTTATTTCAAAAGTTTCTGTGGGCTGTACAGGTTTTGTTTTTTGTATGCGATGACGTCATCAAAATTAAAAATTGCGCACCTTGTGGAGGTTTCGCGTTCGCGATCTTGGGATCAGAAGATGTCGTCAAAGCTGCTGTACCGGTAGTTTGCTGTGATAGATTGCCTATCTGCGCAACTTCGTTTTCGGTTTTGTGTCCATACATTTGAGCATTGCGCTCTTGTTATTGGCCTAACACCCGTGCGCACACTTTGTTAACCTATTGGTCTGCAATTCTTTCTTGTACTTGTAGAGAAAAATAAATCAATGGGTCATCTTGGCAGATTTAATATATAAGCCATGTGGAACAAAGTTACCGGCGCTTAGGTAATATTTATCAATTCATTATATGTATACTGGTTGTGTTTAGGTATGAGTTAGGTATAGAAAGTTAACTGTAACACGTTCCACCGCTGACTCATACTTCCTTAAAAACAATAGTAGTCACAATACGGGAACCACTCAGAAACAAATTCGACACACGAGATATACATGCTTTATCTCTATATCTTTAGGAAAATGGTATAAAATATTCCTCGTTATTACCTAAAATTCGCACAGACCAACACTGCCATTCAAATGAAGTAGAAAATATTCTCACAATTCCGTGGAGGACGTCATTTTGATATCGGTAAGATATCGCTGACAAGAACTTCCATTTTATATACGTATCTCAAAGATCTTTTTTTTCATCTGTAACTACAATTACTCTTTATCAATACAAAACTGAACTGTAGGCACTACAATGATGGCCATGCAGTGAAACCTTTTACAATTGAACAGTTGGCATACTGTTGATCGCTACAAACATTGGCATATTCAAATCAACAAATAAAATAATACTGCTTGTTTTGTTATTTTGTGATTTCAAACATTTAAAATTAATTGTTTTAGATGGGAATTACCGGCTTAATGTAGCACTTTGTTGTATACTCAACTATGCATGGCTCAGTATAAAACGAGTAATGCGAAAAGCAACCAAAAACTTCGAAATGTAAGAGTAAGTAGTTTCACTTTATCTCAAGTAACAAAATGACGATGTTCACAAGAGTTTCAAAAGAGCATTATAAGGTATTTTCATCAATTTACTTTGTAATAAACCTTTATGAAAAAGCCCATGACTCGTTGTAATATTTCGTTTCGTATATAATAATATTCAAATCTATGATTGTTTGTAATTTTGTTACCTTGTCTATTCGTATATACAACTCAGCTACAAAATCGTCGGGAGTTTCTGATTCGGACGATTGCTACGGCTTGTTCAATACACAACTCTCTTCTTATGGAAGCTGTTTTCATTTCAATTAAAATCCCGTAACCATGCTTCGGGGAAAACTACATAAACGTCAGTGCTTATATGTCCTATCTAATAACACTATTCTGTGTAATCTGACAACTATCTGACATAACTTTGTTTTTAGGTGATATAATTTGAAGTCAGAACCTCTCAATCTTGATTATCTGTATAAGGCAAGATCCTCGTTAATAGTTAAACAGGTAGAATATGTCACAAAGGGTGGGATGGCAAAATTGAGGATATTTTTCAGAAATTAATTCAACCACAATACTACCAGCAGCTTAAAAAAATGAGTCAACCCTACCGATCATACCTTTAGAGCTTCACCACAGAACCGTCGGTATATATTTCAAGGTTTTGTGGTCGCACAAATCGAAAGTACATGTACCGATATTGTTATGCAAAAAAACAAAATATTTTAAACGCCAATGTCGTGGATACGGACGTTGCGTTTTCACGTTGCATGTTTCAAATATGATTCCTTACAACATATTGCCTTATCAACTGCCAAGACTTAAAGTAACATTATCGACACATAGTAAGAATTAAGTATGAATATAAATGGTACGTCAAATATAGTTCAGTTCCAAAGTCTTCATGCTGGCTTCCTAAATGAAACACGATCTTTATTTGTACTGTTACCGTTTCTAATGTTCGATTACATTACTTTCGAATCCCTATAGCTTTAGGCTATATATTGGGGAACTATTGATTGCCTCCATACGATCAACTTACCGCATTAATTTGCGTATGCATTAAATGTTTATTATAATCAGGTCAGCAATTACTCAACCGGATTAACAGGAATTTGTACGTACGTGGCAATATGTTTTCTCTGTGAGTTGTTTTATCAACGGACTTTATACAGAGGATTTAGTGTTAAACTAAATTAGCTTAACCTACACTTTTATTTTCATTCGAAGCATTTGTCTAATTAATTCAACAGCTTTCAATAACAAAAACGTTCACGGATAAAAACACAAATTGATTCGCAATAAACCAATTTTACTCTGATTTCAAGTACTTAGGTATTAGGTATTTCTATAAGTTGCACTAAAGCCTGTACTAGTTGAAACTGGTTGGTAACCTGGACTAACCTTAACGTACATTTTTCTGTGCATTTGTAACACCCATCTGTTCAATCTTGCGTTGTATTATGTATTTACGACCTTTTTTAGAATGCAAAAACAAACCACGGGCAAAAAAGTCAAAGCTTTTTAGTAAACAATCAATGGGAATCTTGCGCTCGGGACTGTCTAACTAGGTTCCCGTATAGCCAAGCGATTTTCACTGTCAACATCCGAACGGTTCCTAGATTTTGCTTTATTGGTAACAAGATCAGAAAAAAATAGATTCGCACAGATAGGTTGTGGCAAATTGAACTAGCAATGAAGAAGCTTTCTTACTAAGAGGTAGGAAAGAATCGCAAAAAGATAACCAGAAACTCGAAAAGTCTTCTTGCTTGATTTCAAAGCAAACTTGTAGGCACACATAACCAGCCATATCGCCAATAAAGCCAACGTAACTGTCGTCCCATTTCAGTATTACGGGCATAGGGAATTTACATATAAACTTCTGCAGTAATATGATATCGACGGTTATCTCTAGCGAAACTGTCCGCCTGCAGGTTAGACGGCCTACCAACGAGCTATTCTGACTAGTAGATTCAAAATTCCATTATGATGATCAAACAATTCACACACACACACACACACACACACACACACAAGAAAGTGAATAGCCTACACCTCATGACCGGAAATAACCTATTCAGGTAATAAAACTGAGGTGAACGGGAAATTTTCTTTTTAAATGGAAATTATGCAAACGAAGTCGCTTTATAATCAATTTTTAGCCTTGTGTCCCCCCCCCCCACCTTGAACTGCTTCGTGGCCCCTTGGGGAACCACCGATCTAAAATAAGCGTGCGCCGTGAGTGACTGACACAAAATATTATATATATATATATATAAGAATACAAATGAGCTTTAAAACAAATATTAAAAAAACATCCAATCGAATTTATTTATGTGCCGTGCAAATGTACAAAATTATCTTGGTCTCAGGTAAAAATACGAACAGAGGAACAAACGAAATTTTTGAACTTGCATGTATGCATCATCTCAAGGGCTGAGGTAAAGTCCCTCAGTTGAGTAAAAATCAAGTAAAAACATCACTAAAGTCATTTTTTGTTATAAATGTAATTTTATTCTGGCTCGATCAATTACATTTTGACTGTTTGTTGTCTTTCATCTATTTAACATTTGTTCCAATAAAACAATAATGTCATATGAAGCACATTACGAGTTCATGTATTCTTTGTAAAATGGTCAAGGTAAGGGCACGAAAGTCCTTTGACCCATTTTGTCAATTACGAATATCGGAGTGCACAATGCTAGTTGCAACAAAAATATACGTATCCTGCGTGGTACTTCCATTGCTATCGCATTTTTTCAGTTCATGTCACTTTATATAGCTTATGTACATATAACAATGCAAACAATTCACGATGCAGCATCATCGGCTATTGCAACATGCAAGTAACGGGCATCGACGTTTAGACAAGCTTACATTTTGTTTATTTTGATTTCTTTGCAATATAATTAAATAACGATTTTGTCGTGTTAGTGATTAGCCAACCATTTAAACTGCCATATACTGCTGGAAAACTAGTTATTCACCCTCTCAGGCTAACTAAGTTAACGTGGTAAGCTAGACGTGGGCTGTAACAACCAGCATAACTTTTTATGTATCATTTGCTTTATAATGAGTGAAACGTATCGCCCTCTGAGGAAAACGGAGTTTAGATCCAAAAAGTAGTTGGCCAAGAAATTTGAATTCTGGTTCATTCCATATGTCGCTATAAGTAAGCTCCTGTCAGTGTCTTCAACATTTAAAAGTCTGGTAAATAAATACAGAAAGTAAAACCATATATGATGTCATACTTCTTTTGTTCTTGCACTTCATTTTCTTCAGCTTCGTTGTATTACCGGGGTAATTTGGTTCAGAAATTATATTTATAAATCCCAGGGAATTGTAGGAGTGTATGTTGGCGGTTTCTCGATGTAAATATTATACTTTGCTCAGATGTTTGCAATTCAATCTTGAGCCAGGTTTCTGCGATAAAACGATGTTTTACTTGTATGTAAATGCCATTCATTGTCAATACATTAACTAGCATTTTTGTATCAGATATTTTTCGTTTGTTTGCTATTGAAAAAAACGTCTATTTTTATTATCAGCAACACATCTGCAACACACATGTCACCCATGATATTAGAAACGAGGGTAAAGTATATTCATTCTCCCTATTGTAAATATAATGTTTGTTTTGAGACAAAACAATGTTCCCGGATTTTCCTTTGTTTGATTACGCATTATTGCGCAATACATGCAACTTGTCAGAAACAAAACCACCATTTATGCTGAATTACACAAAAGCAGTATAAATAACCTCAATCTATAAAATTAAACGAGACCAATTCATATAAATTAATATTGGCTGTAAAGTCATTACGTCAGATGCTATAAAAATATCCCATGCCCAAACTTCCGCTTTCTTCCAATTCACGTGACATAACCTATTGACGAAATCTGTTTGGAGACGAAAAGTTCAGAATAATATTTACACTTTTCTCTAGGGCTAGACCCTCTTTCATTGAGGGGTTTCACCTAGTCATAAAATTTACGTTGAAGTCTGTAATAAATTGGGAAAACTTTTTCAAAACATATTTAAAGGTACATTATTATCGAACCGTACGTTCAAATAATATTCAGTAATTGATATATATACTTATTATTCAAACTTTAATTCATTTAAAACAAACCTGATGTGTAAAAAAAATCTGTAGATTTGCATCTCAATTTTGCAGTGTTTCATTAGCAATACATAACAGCGTTACGTGAGTAAACTCTAATTTGCCCTGGATGAGCTAATATTTGATCTAAACTGCTTTTACTTCTGGGGATTTACCGTGGGCAGTTACAACACTTACCATGCGACTGAAAGTATATAAAACGCCTGGAGTTCCAATCCAAATACCATTGATATCTGTTCGATACTTGACAACGAAAGAGTTTATTCATAAATAAATTTTAACGCGAATTCTTTAAAAATGTTAAATTGCTGTTTTCAAACGAGCTTAATTGGTTGCCGAAAAGCATTCGTCAGACATATTGAGTTGAAAAGTGGATCAGGTAAGGAAGTGCCTACCATTGGATCAATTGTGCTCATGTTATTGTACATATTTAATAAATTTTTATCATAACTTTGGTTTGGATCAAATATAAAAATATTCAATATCTACAGTAAAACAAAATAAATGAATTTTTTCATGTTGTTCAAATAGATTCACGGAATACCAACAGAATACCTCACTGTGCAAACTTTTCTCATGCGCTTTGCCACGTATTTGCTGCAATGCATCCAAGACAAATTACAGGTGAGCAAGAGGCAAGACGTTTTTTGCAAGCTGCATCGTTCAGTTATTACTGAGTTTTTTTTAACTATATATTGTTCTTGTAATTGAGAATACCTAAATGTTTTTTTTTTCAGAAGTAGCTCATAGCTTAATGCATTTTTTATCTTTAGAAATTTCAATCTTCTTCACTGCTAACATCATCGTATTCACACGTTATAATACTATAGTTTCGTTAAATAATCATGATTTACATTTATTTACCAGTGGCGTGTTGCAGAAATGTTAATCACAAAACTTCACAAACCAGAACAAATATTGCAAAGACTGAACAGCTCTCTTCAAAATCACAAGGTAAATTGAAATTAATGATTTTACCGTAACGGCAGTTTGATGTTCAAGTTTAGAAGATACGCATATTTTATATTATGGTAAATAGCGGCAAGATGGAGCTATCTCGAATTTGTACCGAAAAAAAATAGCTGATATTTGTTACAAAATAATTCGGGTCAATGCATTTGAAATATTTCCAAAATATTATGGTTCACTATAATCATAATGAGAACTAAGAACTATTGTTATAAAATTAAAGAAAAAAAATAGATGGTGCACTGAGTTATACCTATTCGCAGATCTTCATATGAATCACATGACTTATTTCTTTGTTAGTGGAAAGCTTGTTTATTAAACATGATTTATTTGCACAAATGAGCAATTTTGTAAAAATAATGTTCATTTATTACATTACAGTTGTTCTTAAAATAAGTTTTGAAGAAATAGTCAGAGCTGAAATTGACACTATGAACAAGCGGAAATTTATCGGTAAGGATGAATACTGATATATATAGTATAATTATTATATTTAAAGGGATATTTAAATTTGATATATTTCCGGAACAAAACAACAACAGCCTCACCTCGATTAGAAAAATTGCAATTTGTATATCCTAATTCATTGAAGATTTCCAGATTTCCTGATGATGATTTTATTTTATTTTCAGAAATTTGAATCCGAAGCAACACGTAAAGTGACAATGGGCAATTGTGCAAAAACACGATATTTATGTGGGAATGTAAAATATTACTTTTTTATTATTTTACTACGTTCTTCTTCATTTATGTATATTTTAAACGTGTATATTTATCCTGGAACTACTTTAGATTATGTTAATAGTCCCGCCTATTTCTTTCGTTCTTATATTTTATTCCTTTAATTTTAATATTCTTTAGAAATATATTTTTAAGTTATTATTGTTAGTTGAAGCTTTTCAAAAATGATTTTTAATATAAACTATACTGAAAAAATCTTTGTAAGTATTTATTGATGTGAGCGAAGCCTTTTAATGTGCATTGTAAATGTACTCGTTAGTGGTATCAGGGCATACGTGGCAAAGACTCGTAAAAATAGCAAAATGATTCAAACAGGTCATAATCACTATTGTCATTAATCTACCTATCTAGTCAGCGAAAAAATATTTAATACAGATATATGTTGTAATATCTGTTTTCATAACAAAAGATATATAATTGGAAAACATAAATTATAGTATGATGTTATAAATTAGTTAGTTCAAAAACGAAGCGGTTTCATCAGGCTGTATATATGGATGTTCATATCACGAGGGTCTCCAAACTTTTCTATGAAGGACCAGATAAACAAAAGGCCGCGGGCCGGATCAGTGGCGCAGCCAGGGGAATTTTTGGGACACTGAAAATCTCGCTAACAACGTGTTTTCTCGTGGTTACAAATAAAGGTATTGACAGTGGGCTAATGATTCCTCAGTTTACGAAGTATCAAAGTAAAAGGCGGCTTTTTCAAAATAATATGTTCTGGGAAATTGAAGTTTCGACTATCCAGGCTAGATTGCCAAGCAGGAAATTTTTGCCTGGTTAGTTTGCGAACGCATTAAAGAAAGTGGGTGAATGTTAATTTCTTGAGAAAAAGTAAGAAGAAGAAGGTACTTTACGAGATGTCTGATTTAACGCAAAAAATTTTTTTGTGAAATATTTACGATATTAAATGAATAATAACTTTTCGTTTTACGAGAAAGTTGATGCTTTATTAACCCCCTAAATCAGGGGTGGGCAACTTCTCTAGTCGGCGGGCCAGATGTGGGAAAATGAACTCCACAGCGGGCCGATTTATTGCAAAAAATACTTCGGTATCCAATCTTTGTTAACTGCTCGACACTCTCTGTCAACTTTACGTTTCTTGGGATATTCCATGGTTAATAAAACTTGATATAAAATCTAATTTCTAAAATCTATTTATATTTAGAATCTGAATATTCACGATAACAGTAGTGGGGAGTGTTTACAACGCTCTCTGCTTTGGCCTTATATTGTTTGTTTAACAAGTGTGCTAACGCAATTGTCTGTTCACTAAGGCTTGTTCACTAAGTTCATTTCACCAGCTCGCACTGATAGTGCGGTGTGAGTAGAGCGATCGGCAACCTTAAAAAATGGGGCGTCCGACCACATTACCGAGTGTCGTTGGATACAGTCAGCGGGCCGGTCAAAATCCCTTCGCGGGCCGGACGCGGGCCGCGGGCCGTATGTTGCCCACCCCTGCCCTAAATGATAACGAAGTTTAGCGAATGCTTCTCCATAATTGAACAGCACGCTCAGACATTATTTCTGCTCAGGCAGATTGCATGGCTGTGAAAATTGACTATTTTCAGTAAAGCTCGGTATAGTAATTAGTGAAAAAATAGGGAGAATTTTTTTACTTTTTACAGTCAGAGGTCGAGTAAATATCCATTCGTGTGTAGACCTTGGCCGCCTATTAAATTTGATCACGTGCCATTAAAGTGTAGTGATACTTTTAGCTGATCGAAGTTTTTTTTTTAACAAGTTTTAGATTAGCGACTAGGTGAAAACTCTTTCTGAGAAAGTTAAATAGAGCCCAAATATGGCAATACTACTCCATACATGCACTTTCCAGTTAATTGTACAAGTGAATGATGCACTCGCGGGACAATTATCTGCGAGAAAGGTAAAGAGATCCAACTTTAATATGTTTCAAGTCACTGGCATTATATTTCTATTATTTCCAACTCAACTCAAATGAGACCATCCAAGCAAAATTGATGCATGTAGGATTTACTTCGACCTTGAAAGTCAAGCTGTTTCGGGATAAAAATCACGAAAAATTAACAAGATTCTTCTTGAATTCATGAAAACCTACAACTGATCTCGTATTGGGAAACCTAAAACAAGATCGTTTTCAAATCTTAAAGCAAGCTCCAAAAAGCGTTGTTCATTGCATTTCAATTCAAGACAATAACAAAAAATTGTGTGGGCCCAGCCGTTTAGACACCACAGCTAAATAGGCAGGCAGAAATAATGGCTAAGAATAAGGGTCTCCTAGAGCGAAGATCCAAGAGTTAACGAAAACATTTTAGGAACTAAGGCATCTATACTGTTATGGCCGGAAGCAGTCGAGTAGCTGAACTTTATAGACCAAATTTGCAAAACAACATGCCAGATACTTGACGAAACTTTCTTTAAACAAGAGAGCAATGCTCAAATATATGGACACGACAGTAAAAACAAATATTTTTGCAAACAATCCCCCCAATAATTATATCCTGAAGAGAGCTGGAACAGTTGCAGTAACTTGACGGGACCCGTTTATCCTGGCTTCCAGGCGTAACGTGAATGATATATCGAATGATCAGAGTCACAGCCATATTATCAAATATTTTGTAATACTAGCTAGTACTGCAAAATACAAAATAATCCCCCACTAGTCTACCATACTCCCGGAAAACTTTCGCTCAATGTTCCCTCTAATTTTTTGTAGTATGTGTGCGCAGAAATTTTGGTGTGTGCGCACTTTTTTTGTAATGACTAATATTTGTGCAAAAACCAATGAATAAATTTTGGCGTTCTAACCAGGTAATGGGTGGGCCAACAACAAACTTTGTCAACCTGCCAACCGAGAACATTGTAACATTACATCGAAATACGTCTGTGCGCAGTAAATCTATGCGTGTGCGCAGCCTCTGGAAGCTGTGTGCGCGCGCACACGCGCACACCATAGAGGGAACACTGCTTTCGCTAATCACTGATTCGCTGGCATGCGGTAGCGGTACCGCTACAAGTAATTACTTATCGATCTTAAGATCGGTAAGTGTGTTGATAGGTATTTGTCTTCTGTCTGTTTGTTTGTCTGTTAGATGGACGCCATATCTCACGAAGGCGAGGTTAAATCAGCTCCAAATTTTGCATGTGCATTTATCATATCTCGGACCAGAAGCCTATGAACTTATGAATATGAATGGATGAATTATGTCGTATAAATAGCGAGTTATTAATTAATTAGTGATGGAACACGCGGTGTCACTATAGAGTCATGAATCGAAACGCAGTTTCGATCGATAAGTCTTCGGTCTCCGACCGATATTCTCGTTTTAAATATTGTCATTTCAAATTTTGTAGACGTCACCACACAACAAGTAAAATAGAAATACCAATCTCTCAGATCCCCTAGAAGTTTTAAAATTAGCGGGATTAGCTTCCTAGCGACAACAATTTTCAACAACAAAATTCAGGTAATAAATAAGACAGCGATTTTTTTACAACAAGAAGGAAAATACAAAATAACAATACATAGATCCATTTTCTGTCCAATGAGTATTATTGGTACGTTTTTACAAAAGATTTTTTAAAAGTTTATATTTAGTGAATTATAAAACACTGGAGTCATTTGAAATTATTTGGCAAATAAGTCCGTTTTTCTGTATCATTTTGGGACCATTATTAAAAGTGGAAATGGAGATTCTGTCGTTGTGTATGATTACGGAAATTACGGAATCCAAATGCAGTAGTAATCAGCGTTTTCGTTGAATTTGCATTTTTTCTAACTCCAACAAGTATTTTTTTGCATTTCTTTCCAGATTTTAGAAATGATTATTTGCTTTTGATGGACACATCGCGTCGACAGTTGTTGAAAGATCAATCTTATTTCTCCAACTTCACAGCACATTCTGAACAATACCATGGTGCGGTATGGAGCTAAAAACATTTTGATATCTGTCTCGCAATATTTGTACAACATAAACTTGTACAACAATCTTTGATGCAATTCTGAGTTGGGATTTTTTCACCAGTATGTAAGTGTTTTGATATTTTTCGTCATACGTTACTCTGGAAGATTTAAACTCTTTTCTTACATCGCAAATGGACGTTATCTGTATATTGGTTTCTAGCTCGTCATGTTACTAACAATCTCAATGATATGCCGTTCAGTCGTATTGATATACCCGGTTTAAAACCAATTTTTATTTGTACACATATAATTCAAATACAGCTTTAAGTCATACAGATTATAGACTATCACAAATTAATTAAATATTTTCAAGCATCTAAAGATATACAAAATTGTTTACACGCAATAGGTTATATAATCATATTCTAAAATATGATATAAACTAAAAAGTCTCGTAATGAAAAAGTCATCGATGCCAATTACAAATTTGTTTAGAAATCATACATATTATTAACAAATAATATTGTTCTACTTCTGTAGAATAAATGCAGTATGTATTGTTTCAAATCGACAAATGAGACCTAGAAATTACATTAGAGATCTTAGATAAAATTGACTGTTAACATAAAATCTTTATATATTTTATAATGTTCTGACATAAACATGTGTCCAAGAAAATCATGAATTGATCAACAATTTACTGTACATATGCTTTCTCATTCTCATCTTCACGAATCTTTTTACTTGCTGGGCTGTATTGTCCCAGTTTACTATTAAAGGGATTGAGAATAACATCCAACGGAATTTTTTCGTCTGTAGAATGCTGTTCTGTTGGGAATTTTTCTTGCAGTTCTTTAACATCTTTTTCAACGTTGAATTTTGAAAGTTCCTTAAGATTTTTCCTGATCCAGCGTGCGTTTTCGGGGCGCTCACTTTCATCTTGTTTCCAACACTGTTTTGCCAGTCCAACTAAACTTTCAATCAGTCCACGTTTGTCTTCTTCAGCATGAACACGTTGAAATATGTCGGACACTTCTAATTCAGGCTTTGTGCCACTTATTATGGACTTTTTTATCTCCGCTTTATCATGCAACTTGAAAAATGGATGATTCTTCGTTAAAACAAAATATATCACCATTCCAAAGCTGTAAATATCCATTCCTCTTGTTCGACGGATTTTGTTAGAAGAATCCATTCTATATCGTCGGTCTTCGTCCAAAAATTCCGGGGCGGCATAACGAATGGTGTGCACAGTACTGTGACTTTCCTGAATACTCAAAGTATCTGACGTGTACTCGGCAATATTTGCTCCTCCAAGATCGCAAATTTTTGCATGAAAGTTATCATCAAGGAGTACGTTTGCAGGCTTCAAGTCATTATGCGTTATTCTTTTGTCAAAAGAGAGACTATGAAGATGGTCTAGACCTCTTGCGGTATCATGGAGGATTTGAAGTCTGATGGAAAGTGGAATAAAATGCTCTTTTTGTTGCATTAAGAAGTTAAGATCACCATGTGGCATATATTCTGTAACTATGCCTATAAAATACGTGTATTTTACGCATCTATATACGTTGATGACATTTCCAGACTTCTTCATCAGTTGGAGTAAATTAACCTCTTTATTAATCTCATTTTTTACTTTAGCTATATCACGATTGTCTCCTTGTAACTTGTACAGTTTGATGGCATATCGGTGGTTATTTTCATCGAAGCACTGGTAAACCTGTCCAAACGAACCCTTACCTAAAAATCCTTTTTCCAAATTTTTATACAAGTAAATGTTTTCACCCGTTGAAAGATCCGCCATTTATATGACTTAAAGTTTAATCCTCAAACAAACTGAAATTAGACCCAAAATTTATCGTAAATAGTCGTTACAATTTTCCAGTTTTTGGCATTTTTATTTCAAATCCACTTCAGCACTAATCTAATAATACTATACTTGATCCTAAACAAACTAATTTCATTTAGCCGTTGCCAGCTTTTTGTCGAGACTTGAAGCACAAAAACGCATACAAACTATAATTGGTGGAAACTATCGCGTTGCCAATGTTTTTCTTCAGTTCGGAAGTTAGTATAAATATTCGTAGATTCGTTAAATCTCGTAGATTCGAAAATGAACCAAATTTGTTTCATAAACACTTCCAGTTTTTTATGTTAGACAATAATTTATCACACGATGTCCAATTTTTTCATGTCTTTGTTTGAAAGGCTACGTCGTATAAACAACGCATATAAGATTGACAAAATTACGTGAAAATTATTCATGACTGAGTCTGGAACGGTACTTCGTTTGAAAGATGAGATTTGCTCAAACTGAATATATATCATACACGGACACAGCAGCAAAAGGATTCATTCTGAATTTGCTTTCTGATTAGGCTGTCCAAATATTTTTATATTGCTAGTCATATAGTCATCAGAAGATAAGTCATTAAATATATGTCCGTGAAAGATAAGAATAAATTAAATCAGGGATCTTATTAGTATTGAATGAACTTCTACTGCTGTTCCTGTATTAGTTTTTCTCGAAAGGAAATTTTTTCCGAATTAAATGCAAATGACTTTACAAAGTATGATTGTTCTAAATGTTTTACTTCACACAGTAATTACACAGGTAGCAAGAGCAAATTATCCTCGTTGCAGAAAAATCTGAGAATTATTGTTAGCTATCTTATGTGCATGAGACATGTTGAATATAGACACTGACTGTCAACTTCAAAAAATATTCCTTTTCCTTTTAAAAAATTTAAAATAGATCACTTCAATATCCTGGTTGAACTACAACAAAAAAATATCCGAATGATGAACTGTAATCTCTAGACACGCTTCGCTTCTCCACAATATTGTAATAACAAAGTAAATTCATACAACTCCGAATTGTGGCAAAATTGACTCTAATATTTATAATTTGAAAAATGTATCCTAAAAACAGCTTTTTTAAGAATATTTATAGTAAAGTATTGCATTGCATATTTGCTCATGAAATATGGTGTTATACGGGTTTAAAAAATTACCAGCATGGGTGGGTCAGTCTAAAAAGTTTGTCTAATATGGTACATCTATTTCAGCGAGAACTCCGATAAGTTAATATAACACTTTACCAAGTCCATGGTAAAATTATTTTAAATAGCTCGATGAAATAGCTTAAAAATGCATAGTAGCTTTTATAATGGAGTAAAACCTTTGTATCGGTCTATCGTTAAAACAAAGAAACACATGTATGCTTTCTCCAATACACATTAAACTTTTTCAAATAGAAACTGCCGTTTTCATATCATGTTTCACGATGGAATACGGAATCAAATTCAGGAACTGGTATCAATGTTACGCGATACAACCAATAAACTTTTGTAACAAAGTATTGACATAAATATATATATAATGAAAATAAGAAACTGAAATAGGATATCCGGTTTTAATCCATGCCACGTATGTTAAACGAATAAATTACCTACTGGCGTGGCCTCTCCTGCGCAAAAACAAAACAAGATTATATTTAGTAAATCGAATGTAATCTCACAATGCACACACAATAGTTACGTAAGTTGTTGTTTTCTCTCATGACACGTTTCAACAAACGTTGATGAAAAATGAAATAACCCACAGGATTAACCACGCCATCGCATAAAATTATTTTTGTGTGCCGAGAAGATGATGAACTATAGTCTGACGTAATACCCCAACAATTATTAAAACATTTAGCGGGTTCAGTCAGCTTTACGTAGTGAATATTTCAACATAATTAAACATTGAGTTTCGATTTTTCATACGTGAAAATTTTTTCGCATAACAACTATAATTTAGAAAAACGTTTCATATGTCATTTCGTGTCTAATAGTATCTCTTGGTAACTTGATAGTGTTGGCTATCGCTCGGTTATTTTGCTAACCACTATATTGAAAGATCGGTATCGACTTGTGTATATCACTAGCTAAGTATTCATTAAAGGTTGAATGAATAAAGTAGTTTATGCATAGTGAGAGAGGAATTTAACGACAAACTACTGGATTAGACCTTCAGAACGCTGATGTTGTGTTACTAAAGCGATATAACAGCATACTGTGCCAAATTAATTTGCTTTTGAAGGCTCTCTCGAGAGAATTTTAATTAAATTAAATTAAATTCACGTACATTGACCACGAGGAGCTAGTTCATTTTGATATTCTTTTCTATTCAAAGATCTTTTTCGAGCAGATCATAACCACACAAATTTACCGCCCACACGGAAGATACCGTTACCATATATGGAACATCGTGTCACAAAGAGGTAATGAGTATAACGTGAAACAAAATTATGCTATTGTTCATCCACAAATGCCTCTGAACTCTCTCCGTTTATCACAAGTTTTTGTAAGGTAACTAGCTTGAAGCAATGTCAAGCGCACCCACACAAAAGTAAAGGATATGCAATTATGAAGAAATTTACAGACGATCACTGAATCTTAGGGGCGCTCAAGCCTTATTGAATTACAGTGGTGCAATTAAGAAGGATTTCATAACATTACAATAAGAAAGCAGCTTTGTGATATCAAATAATATTTGATATTTTACCGAATAATTTACAATTATTCAACATAAAAAAGAATCTTTTTCAAAAAAAAAATAACAAAATCGATTCATTCGAATTTTGAACTGTAATCTCAACACACGCCTCCTTTCTGCACTATATTGTAAAAACTACTTAGATTTCTGCAACTCCACCCCCGTTATCAACTTTCATTCCAATACTGTATTTAATACTATTTTTCTCACATTGCGATTTAAAATAGCGAATATGAAAAAAAGAACACCTTTGTCGCTTCTCGCGCTTGGCAAATAAGCGATCAAAGATCTCTTCGAGCAAATGCCTGCTAACGACCACGCAGTGCCACCATATAAGGAAGATACCATATAAGGAAGATGACCTTCCCCTGTAAAGATGATGAACCACGAGGAAATACTTAATGTAAACTGGTTATATTATTCATGATGCTGCCTCTGAACTTTGTAAAAATCACTACTTGTCGCTTTTAGATAACTTGCTCAAAGCAAGGTTTACCACCCTGAAAATATGATAGAGATTCCTAATTTTATTTTTGAACACGTTTAGTGGCCATAACGATCGTTTTAAAATTTTGTTGTTGTTATTTTCTTTCGTCATTATTATCATTGAAAAATCGCTTTTCTCTTCGAATACTGGACCAATTGCTTTGGAATTTTCAGTGGTTCAAGATTGATTTTTTTGCCAGAAGGGTATTACTTTCATTTATTCCTGAAATTTCTATGAATCTTATAAGATCTAATATTTCATCCAAAATTGCGCTGTATTAATTTTTAATTATGGGAACACGGTTTTTAATCCGCCAAGTGTGACGGCTGACTGTAAAAATTCTTGCGACTAAAAACCCGTATCTTTTTGAGCGTACGGTACCGGTAACGTCAAAGGTAAACCCTGCTTCGCTCTAGTCCACGTGTCCATATATTTGAGCGTTGCTCTCTTGTTTGAATTTAGCATGGCATGTTCTGTACAGTAACAGATGCGCCCACCAGCCTATAATGACTCTAACTCTCTGTGCGACGACCTATCGGCAAATACAATAGAAATGTGCACCAATGGGACAAATATAGACACGCACGGTAAAAAAAAACTTTCACTGGAGCATGTAGTTCTGTTGTAGCATCAATTCTAATTCTTTCACAATGGTTCTGTGTCTTCGTGAATAAACTAATAATGCGTAAAAAATATCATTGGATCTTATCAGCCACGCCACAACCTTCACACAAAAAACTTCAACGCGAAGGTGAACAGGCAATCGATGTCGATCTTCCTCATCTTAGAAGTTACATTTTTTACAGTGTGAATCCAGTAGAAACCCAGTAGAAAATTATTCTGCAGTTTTCAGCTGATTTCCACCGGAATATAGTCTCCGAATTAATAATATTTCTCTCAGAGGGATCGATCTTCCGCAGATCTGAAATCCTTGGAGAGGGGGAAGTCAAAAAGACGGTTCAATCATATGGCGAACCACGACCTCTCGTCGGTTACCAGCCCATTTGGGGTACGTGATTGGTTAGCCAGTTATTTTTCTTCGAAAGCAACGAAGAGTCCAGCAACCCTTTCGCACATAACTATTCCTGTCATACCGCCGATAAACCGCCCCATAAACACCAGTGGTCCGAATAGTACAGTTTGGCCATTCAGTTACGTCCCATAATCAGATTAAAAATTTATTGAGGGCCTTTATGTTAGGATAAATATTATGCGAGCAATGTTCAATCAAATTTCGTTCGAAATTAACCGCGGGTGCCGCTCTGATACTAGAGCAATCGGAATTCAAGCTGCGAACAACAAAATAAGTAGTTGTGTAATCTGCAGGCTTGTCCATGGTACATATTTTTTGTCCCATCCCATGGGATTCCAATTGGAATAAAATTCAATAAAAATTGTTAAATTTAGGTTTAGCGTCTACTAAACAGGACTACATTTTCGAATAGACGTGCAAAACAACAAAATTTACGGACTTTGTTAACTTTATATTCATATCATTTTCACTTTATCTTTTACAGTATTTACTTTATCCTTTTACCTGGCCTGCAATGCCCCACCGGTATCGAAAATCTTCTCGACTGACGCGCAGCACAAGTTACACGCAAAACAAAAGACAGCCGTCACGCTTGGCGAATTTAAAAAGCCGAGTTCCCGTGAATAATTATACCCCTGCTAAATTCTGGATATCGAATCTACTACGATTGATGGATTTAGGGAAATATAACTAATAACCTTCTAGCGAAAATAACAATCTTTAACCATTTTTTGCTTGTTTTGTTAAAAAATCTGCT